TAAGACTTATATGGCATGTTCAGGGTTGAAATCTACAGAAATAGAAAATAATAAAGATGGATTAAATCAATAGAAGAAGAATGAAACAGCAATAGCATTAGAATTATCATTAGATTTCTTAAAAGCAGTGTCTGAATTTAGATATGAATACAAAGATTAAGATGTTGTTAAATTGTTCAAATTAAAAATCAAAATTGGAATCCATTATGGTTAAGTCATTGCAGGTGTAATAGGATATCATAAACCTTAATTTTCATTGATTGGAGATACAGTCAATACAGCATCACGAATGTGCTCAACTGGATAAGTAGGCAGAATAACAATATCAAATGAAGCTTATGAACGTGTAAAGGATACTGAGTTTCTTTTTACAACTAGAGAAGTGGAAGCTAAAGGAAAAGGTAAGTTGACTGTTCATTAGGTGGCTCAAAGGAAATTATAGATTAAAAAACATTATTCATAAGTGAGATTTTATGAAGGTTAGAAAAATGGAAGATTACTTAGTTTTAGAACTCATTAAACAAATAATATTAGATCTACTTAATTAAAGTAAACATATAAAGATGTCTCTCCTCCATCTTCAGTAAATGAACATTTAACAACAAAAGAATATGGTCGTAGATCTAAAATAATGAATCATCCTATGTAAGGCTCTTAATTAGTAAAAATAACAAGGAAGAATAAAGGAGCTGAACCTACAAGAGGAATGAGAAAGGGAACTATTAAAGAAGAATTCACATCTATGAGTGAAAGTGTATGGAGAGAAAGGAAGTCTAAATCTTAAGTTATTTAAAAAACTGATTATAATACAAATGATTGGGAAGAGACAAAGGAAGATGAAATTTAAATGAAATAAGTAGAAAAAGATCCTGAAAACAGAATTATTGGAGTTTCTGATAATGATGTTGATGGTCCTGAATAAGAGGTCAAAAGTGAAAGAGTAAAAAAAGTCATGGATTTAGAAGTACTTAAATACAAGAAATTAACACTTGAATATGAAAAATGTAATGATGCAAATATAGTAATGTAATTTGAATAGTATTATTAAGAAGTCAGATCAGCTTTAAAGGATATATTTTATCCTATGACTATTGTCTATACTTTATTTAAAGCTTAAATATAATTGATAGATTCAGGTTAAGATGGACTAACTATATATATTGTTAGAATGTTCTTAAGTTTATATTTAATAATATTGTATTTTATTACAAGCAGATTGAAAAAATATAATATGCATAATCTAGATTTGGCTTTAACTGGCCTTTATTATGTGAGTGCCTTTTTAACAATGTTTTTTGTTACTTTTAATAATTAATAGAGATTCCTTATTTCTGATAATGCTGAAGCCTATTTCTTTGCATTTTCAGCTGTAAATTAATAATCATTAAAATTCAAGTATATGTTCTTCTATATTTTATTATAATAAGCTGCATGGTTTGTTTAACTTCTTTTACATGAACATAATAATTTATTAGTATTTATAGTGTTATCCACAATTATCTTAGTAATAGTTTCACATAATAATTTTGAATTAACAATTAAAAATTTTAATAGTGCTGCTAATGAAAATTTGAAAAAAGAACAAAGAGATTCATTATTAACTAATTTATTACCATCACATATATTAACAAGATTCTATTAAAATAGTAAAATTAAATTAGAATTATCTGATGTTTTAATAGATGCAACTCTTTTATTTGCTGATATAAGTGGATTTACAGCATATTCAGCAAAAGTTTCAGCTGAATAAGTCGTAAAAATGTTAAGAGAACTTATGACATCATTTGATAAGGAATGTTTATAATAGAATGTCTATAAGGTATATACTATTGGAGATTGTTATGTTGTTTTGGGTATAAATGATATGGAACAAAGACATCCTGGATAAGAAGCAAAAAATGTTCTAGAAATGGGATTAGAAATGGTAGAAATTATAAAGAGAGTAAGAAAAGAGGTCAATTTTAAAGATTTGAATATGAGAATTGGAATACATACAGTAATTAATTATTATTTATTAATTTTAGGGATAATTTTATGGGGGAATTATAGGAACAGATATTGTTAGATATGATATATTTGGTATTGATGCTGTGATTGCTAATAAAATGGAATCCTAAGGAGAAGCAGGGAAAGTTATGGTAAGTGAAGACACAAGAAGATTAATTAATATACATTTTCCTGGAGAATATACTTTTACTCCAAGTAAATAAGTAGACATTCCTGTTGCTAAAAAAAAGGTTTAACCATATTTTGCAACTAAAGCAGATGTTATAAATCGTCAAGACAATTCAAGATATATTTGATTGCTTTGTTTATCTTTTATTTAATATTCAGATTAAAATTAAATAAATTATAAATTTATGTTGATTATTTAGACAAATAAAAATAAATCATTTTTTAGCTGTTCCATCTATTTATGATAACATCTATGCCATTAATTTTTTAACTTCCATTGTTATCTTCATCATTAATAATGATTATTGTCTTGTATATTCCATAGATGCTTGCATAGATGTTGAGATATACTCTATAAACTCAAACAATTATTAACTTTACTTTACAGATCTATTTAGATTAAGTATAATAATTACGCATATAATTCATCTTTATTTACTTTCTATTGTCCCTTGAATATTTACTAAATAAATTTATTGATGTCTTAATCATTTAATCTTTTGTTTAGATTAATAGGCTTGGTTTCTCCTTTGCAGACTAATACCTTAGAGATTCCTCTAAATAAACAATCTATAAAAAAGAAAAATTCATCTGAAGTGATATGGTTAGTCTTATCTGAACCAAAAATCACAGCGATGTCTATTCATATCAAACAATAGTTACTATAAAATATTTAACTAATTTCTCCAGTTGAGAGAAGAAGCATAACAGAAAATAATTCAGTAGCATCAATTCTTCCTATTCCTCTTGAATCAAATTATTAAAAAACTGTAGCCAAAGCTTACTTTTTATTAGAAATAGAATCCATAGCTTAAGAAGAATCAAAAAATAATGGTAAAGGAGCTTAGTTCTTTTTTGTCAATTTCTATAAGATAGATTTCAATGTCTCTTAAGTCCCTAAAATAATGATTATATATAATTACATCCACCACAAAGTTCTTCTAAAGCTGGCAACAAACATGATTATTCTCTTAAATTATTAAAGTACTATTATCTAAATGATGAGAAAGGAGTAGTTTCAAACTTTTAATACATAAAATAAATAAATAAATTAATGAATTAAAATTCACATTATGAATATTATAGTAAATAGTGTATTTATGTATTCAATTTATTTAAACTTTTTTTCATTTTAATTCTAATTTATTAAAGGAGTATTCTTTCAATGTAAAATCATTCTAATAAAAATATAATTTATAAATTATCATGAATACTTTTTATTAATAATCATGACTATCACTTCATTATTAAATAAACATTATTACCTTAACTAATATAATTATTTTATATTGGATGGTAACACTTAATTATATATATAAATCATTAAAGAGGAATTATTGGTCCTTAATAATCATATTTAACCCAAAGTGGTATTTAAGGTTTACTTAATGCTTCAGAATTTATAAGAATATATCCTAAGGTCTACATTATCATAGCTAATATTAAAAGCAAAAAAAGAGAAGGCAAATAATAAACAAATTTCTAATCTGAAAAATAGTAATAAGAATAATGATCTTAAAGCAGAAATGGCTTATTTTATTAAATTTTTTTACTATTAGTAATAACCATGAACAATAATATAGATATGATCCAACTATTAATACTAATGTTAACAATCCTAAAATTTACATAATATTAATTAATTAATAATGATGATTAATATTTTCAATTTCAAAATTTCGTAAAGTTTATTATAAAACTAAAGAAACTCAGTAGAATGACTAATTCTTATAATATAAATTGATTTCTTATTCACTAAAAATTATAAAAATCAATTTAATTCTTCAAATATTCGTTACAACCTTTCATGATTAATGACTATAAATTTTTGAGGTTCATTTTATGATGTTTAAATTGAAGTTCTTTTGCTAGCATCATGAATAGGTTAATGCTCCATTTATTGTGGATAATTTTCATTAGACATTAATTAATCTCTTCTCTCAATTAAATAATTGAGTAAATCACCCGTGTTTATTTTTCTTAAATCGGCATTATTTTCCTAATTTCTTAGATAATTTTCATACTTGTTATGCATATTTCAACATGAGTTTAATAACATCCTCTTGACCTCTTTTATACTCTGATATACAATATTAGCAACACTCTTACATAAAATCATGTAAGTCTTTTCTTTTTAAATCATACTATGCATTTAATTAAGGGTCCATAATTAATAGTTATATATGAACCTAATATTATAATAAACAGCAATTAAAATTATTTCTCTTATTACATTATTCAAAAAAGATTAGAAGATATTAAGTTATAAGATTGCTGGTACTCAACATTTCAAACCAAAATTTAAATTATGAATCTATCTATTAAAGAGGAATAAAAGATGAAATATGTTCTTATAAATTGTAAATTAAAATGATTTATTATCAATTAATCTAAAAAAATAAAATAATAAGTTTAGTATACCTTTATAGTTAACTAATAGTTATTGAAAATAACTGAAATTATTTAATTATGTAATTATTTATTTTTAAAACTTAACTTTTATTAACTTAAATTAACACATAGATTGTTTTAATGCCATAAAATAATTATCAATAGAATTCTAAAAAACTATATTAAATTAATATCATTTCTATTTTTTAAATGTTACATATTTCTTGTTTAAAAATAAATTTTAATTAAGACAAAACCTGTAGAAACTGAATAAAGATATTGAACTTTTTATTAAACTGAAACCATATTATCTTTTGTTAATAAACTTGAATTAAGTAGTTCATTGAATAGAAAACAAGAAATAATTGAAATATATTTAATGCTATATGTCGATATCAATTCGATTATTTTTATAAAAAGCTACTAATAATTAAATGGATTCAATTGACTATAAAGAAGCTAAATTCAAATTTTTAGGAATTAGAAAACACTTTTTTATAGATGTAACTTATCACATTACGGTTTTTGATGAAATAGTTGTTATGGGAAGGGTAAAACTCATCAATAAAATTTAGACAGCAGATTGCCAGAATCCTAAATACAGAATTAAACTGAGTCTAGATACAAAAATTAACTGGGAGATAATTAAGAGTAGAAAAGAATTAGAGTACTTTGAAATTGTTTATTAAAAGAAAAAGAAGATTTTTCATGCCTAAGCAAAGGATTTATTAAAGTACTTTTAACTTCATCTTATTTAAGATTTAAATAACTTTTAGCTGGAAAGATAATGTTTGAGGGAATAGGAGACTTATTTTAACCTTTATTTTAGGTTGGTAAAGGAAGTTCAGCAAAAGTATGAAAATATACAATTTATTAAGGTGTACAGTGCAAGAAATGTTTTAGATAATAGAGTTTATGCAGTTAAAGCAATCTAAAAGTCTTTTTTGAAGCTTTCAGAAAATGGAAGTGGAATGGTATATATTAAATAAAAGCTTAGTAAGCATTTTAATCTGAAATATAAATCCTAAAAACATTATCATAATATGAACAAAATTTCTTAGTTCTGAGTGAGATCTATGAAGGAGATAGTACCTTTTATTTGGTAACTTCTTATTTGGAAGGTTTAAGTTTAAGTGTAGAATTGGAAAAAGCAAAGGTGAATTTTAATATATAAATTAAATAGACTCTTCCATAGTAAAGATTACCAGTTTAAAGTATAAAAATGATAATGAAGAAATTATTCACTAATTTAAAAATACTTCATTCTCTTAAAGTACATATATATATATATTAATATTAGATAATTCATCGAGATTTAAAACCTGATAATTTGATGTTTGCTAGAAAGAATGACTATTCCTCATTGGTTTTAGTAGATTTTGGCCTTGCAACATTAGAACTTGTAGATTAGTAATCAACTGAAATTATATAAGATATTTATTTCCAAAGTGTGGGACACCTGGTTATGTAGCTCCTGAAGTATTAAGTTCAAGAAGAGATTAAAAGTATAATAGTAAAGTTGATATATTTTCTGCTGGTTGCATATTTTATAAATTACTCACAGGACAAAGTTTATTTCAGGGATAGAATTTTGATGAAGTCTTAAGATCAAATAGACATTGTCATATTAATTTAGAATTACCTATAGATGGAAATTATATAACAGATTAATCATTAGTATGTTTTATATAATTTAATTTAGGATTTATTAAGAAAAATGTTGAATACAAATGGACAGATTAGAATTTCTGCTATATAAGCTTTACAACATCCTTTTATTGATTCTACTAACTAATTTAGTACTTAAATTATATAAACTACTGGTTAATTAGGGATTAAAAATACCATTTATCAATTAAATCTGGCAGAATTTGAATCTAAATATAATAGTTAAAATGAAATTGGAGATGAATAGAATTATAAAATTAATGATCTAAAGAGATATTCTTTTATAACTGAAGTATAATAATAGATGTCTTTATCAGCCAAAAGAAGTAGTGGTTAATTTTCAGGAACATTCTATTAAAAGGATCCATTATCAGCTCTAAGAACATTAAAATTATATACAGAAACTTCATAACCACTTAAAAATAGTAGTCATTCACAGCATTCAGTATCATAATTTTGATTCTTTAATCTTGTATATAAATTATTAAATCATTTAATTGATAAAGACTTATTAGATCTGACACTTTTCTAACTTTATAATTCTTTTTAAGCAGCAGCTAAAGTAGCATAGAATCCTTTAATGGCTAATATACAAGCTGAAGCTTATTTTGATATCCTTCTCATCATTTTTCTTATATCTTCTTTTGAATTAGGTTCTTTACTATCAGTTTATTTGAATGAGTTTGTTGATAGAGGTTGCACTAATTTATTTATAGTGACTTATGCATTTTCAGTAGAAGTTGTTAACATAGGCACAATCACTAAGAATATTCATTTATATTATACTATAATAACTTAATTTGTTTCCTCTTTAAGATGTTTATTATTGTTATTTATGTAATTCAAATTATATTTCATCATTATACATCTAAATTCTATATATTTTTATTGTAATTTCTCCACTTGATCCATAAATTCTTTAATCCTTTTGAACAATTTCATCCTATAGCTTTTTTATTTAATCATTGATAAAAAATAATTAATAATATCAATTTTGATATTTATAAACTACATATCTAATTAATGTAATTAATATTCAATATTAATATTATCTAATAAATTATAATAAATAGCTATATTTCTATTTGAATATTAAATTTTTAATTACATTTATATTAAATTATTTTTTCATTAAATTTTAATAGTGAAATAGTTAATCAAATAGAATAATTCATCAATTTTTAAATGAACATATATGACAGAACTTTTAAATAATTAATTTAAAACATGCAAATACTCTACTTGTTAACTTTGTTTTGTATTTTAAGCTCAATTAATGCATAATGTGAACTTGTTAATGACTAATGTTCACAAGGATGCAATAAAATTGATGGAATATGTGTTGCTGAGATCTGCAATTCTTTTATAAATAAATTAGGAGACCCTAAAACCAATCCATTCAAAGGGACAATATAATATATTGATGAAACTATTGATTTAAATATAACTATAACTTACACTGATCCTAAATTTATTGATACAACATAATAAGGGATTACATAAGGAGAAAATACTGCATCATGTTTATCTCTAAATCTATATAAATATTAAAATAGTGAATATAAAATAAAAGATTCATCATCCTACACTATCAATTACATTAATGATGGTTCAAGTACAAGAGCATATTAATTCATTATTCCAAGTAAAGACTTTATAAAAGAACTCTAATTATCAGATGATGGAACTATTTTCTCTTTTCATGGATATTATAGTTTAGATTTTAGCATAGGAAAATTAGAATAAAGAGTCATCTATTTTGACTTCAATGCAGGTATAGATAGAGAAACAACTGGAAACAGAAATACTACTTTTGGAAGTTTGAGTACTAATTAAAGTATTGTTTGTAATCCAGAATGTAGAACTTCAGTTAATAGTTCACTTAAATTCTGTTCTGATGAAACATGTGCTTAACCAATAGAGAAAGTTGATCTATATTTGAATGATCAAATATGGATAAAATAAACTTTAACAAAGGAAGGAACATAAAATTATTATTTAATCAATCCTGAAATATATTTTACAGGTGATAAGTTATTCAAAAAAGCAACTATTCTATAACAAAAGATCAACTAAAAAGGTTATGCAATGTATTTGATTAAAGTTGAGATTGCATGGACATTTATAACAATATCTGCAAAAGCAACTATTTCATCAACAGCAGGATCAAGAATATTAGATGAATAAAATTAATCATAAACTTTAGGAGTTACTTAAGAAATAGATTGTATTAAATATAAAGAATCTAATTAATGTATTGAATGCGATTAATCATTAAATGTTAATAATGTTGATTCACCATAAGAGGATGGATGTCCAATAAGTGGTAATATTTTGATTATTGGAATTTTGATTTCAATGAATTTTTTAATTTGATAATTTATTTATATTTTAAAATTTCACTAATTCTATTTGACTTATTAGATGAATTTTATATTTAAACATTTTATGATATAATTGAGATGTTAATTCTATTAATCTATCTTAAATTATCAATTTTAAATAATGATTAATGAATTTATTATTTTATATTGCCCTTTATATTTCATATTAATAAAGAATTTATATCATATCATTAAAGGAAAGTATATATATTAAGGAATTTAACATTTAAGACACTATCATAATATTTTAATTATATTTTCAAATAGGAATTATTGAGTTAATATTATAATAGATCATATTATTATATAAATAATGATAAATATAATAATATGTATATATATATATATGTTCAATAAATTAGTGAATAATACAAATAATGATAATTTATCTAATTTTTATTCCTTTTTAATTTACTTTAGCTAATTGGAATTTATCTATCAAATATTCAACATTATGCAATTGTTAATAGATATCAGAACCAACTTTATGCAGCTCTAGTTAATTTTGTTAGCTTGATATGGATTTTGAATGTATTGAAGTACTTGATTATAATTGTTCATATTTCAATGAATAGACAATTCTTTATTTATGTTCACAATTAGATAGATGTTATTTAAATAATGGATAATGTGTTGAATTGAATGATTGTACAAAATTAAAAGGTTTAACAGATCAAGACTGTTATTAATAATCTAAAAGATGTGGTACATCTATTAATAACATTTGTTAATTAACTTAATGTGATAGTTATTTAGATGAAAGTCAATGCAACAATTCCATATTTAATATAAGATTTGACAACATTGGTTATGGAAATGTTTGTTATTGGAACAATCACATTTCGTCATGTTAAAATTTGTTATGTGAAAATGTATCAGTTGATAAATGTTATCAATATACAAATTTATGTCAAATTGTAAATAATCTATGCACATGGGCAACATGCTAAAATTCGTCTCCTGAGGATTGCACTTATGTATGGGAAGGTTCTCAAAGAAATGTTATATAACCTTGTGTATTAGTAAATGGAATATGTTAAAATGCTAATAGTGCCAATGACCTGAACAGTCAAGATTGTACTTTAAATACTCTATATACATACATCTATACATCAGATAATACTTGTTAACCATGTTAATATTCAAATTACCTTAAATTTCAATTATTACTGATCCTCATATTATTTAATTGAAAATTATATCTAATGAAAAATATTCATAATTTAATACATAAATGTATCTACATATTTATACACTTTTTATAAATTAAGATTATAATAAAATGATCAATAATATAATAATTAATTAATAAGTTTACAATATTTATTTTCAAATCCGCTTATCTAATTTTATTTCAAATCTTAATTTTTATTCCTTCTGTTTGATTAACATAAATAATATCTTTTACAAAATTTAAGCCTTTTAAATTAATTCTAAATTATCATTTTATTATTATATATATAATTACAATTTTATAATGTAATAATTTAATCTTTAAATAATTTAGTAAAACCATAAATTTTATTAGGATGTTGTTTAATAAGGTAAGGGTATATATGAAATTTCATCTTAGTAATAAAATCAAATCAATAATTTTGATATAATAGGATATATTAATTGTTATTAAAATAAAAATAATTATATTAGATCATTATTTAAGAATTAATTAGAAAAGCTAAATTAAAGAGATTAAACAAATTGAAAGGACTTTGAGAAAGATAATAAATAAATTTAAGGTAAAATATTATAAACAATAAGATTAAATTTGATGAACTAAATAAATTTCTTATTTACTGAAAAATGAATATAATAATAATCTTTTAATCTATGTAATATTTTTCAGATTATGGGCTTTCTTATCTTAAATTTCTATTAATCTTATTTTATTTTACATTATAAGATTCTTCTATTAAAGTAAATAAGTTTATTGAATTAAAAGGAAATGAATATTTAATCGTTTTTTAAAAGGTCTAATATATTTGGAGTGAAATTGATGATTTTATTTATTAATTATTAATTAAAATGAGTTTAACTAAGCCAATAAAGGAATATAAATTGATTTTACTATAGAATAGTTCTTATAAAAAGAAATTTGAATACAAAAATAAGGATAAATTTCTAAAGATTTTGAGAATTTCCATATCAGATGAGACTATTATAAAAATCACAAATTTTGAGATTGATAACTTAAATACATTAGAAATACCAGCAGAATGTAAATATTGAAGAAGAGATTTATTATTTATAGAATCGATAACAATTCACATAACAATATAAGCATCTAAAAATGCAAATGTGTTTATGAAGTTCATTAGATATGATACAGATTAAATAGAGGAAGAGTTACTTTTCAAGATAGAATTAAAATAATGATTATAGTCAAATTTTAGTTTATATCAAATAGAAAGTTTATTGATAAGTTTTCTAAATATATAATTTAACGATTGTATAATATAATTAATTAATAAATGAAATTTGAAATCAGATTAAGCCATCTAAAGAAAAGGGTAAAGGTTAAATATTAGAATTTTTGCATTCATCACAACAACTACATTTGGATGTGCATTTGGTTTTTCTTTTTTGACATTCACAATATCCTTTTGAGCAACTAGGAATTAATTAAAAATGAATACTCTTATCTTCTGCAATTGCATCCCAGAAATTCAGATCCAGATTATTTTGAGACAGCTGATTTAGGCAATTTGTTTGAACAATTATAACATTCACATTTGAATGTACATTCTTGATTATTGGCACTGCAAATACAATAGTTTTTAATGCATTTTGATTTTCTACATTTGCACACTATATTATCAACTTTGTAGAGATTAAATAAATCATCATCATTAGGTTTCACTAATTTATTAATTATAACATTATTTTAATTTAGTTCTATGGAATTTAATAGACCCAAAGTATAGGTTGAATTCACTAAATTATTAGTTTATTATTACCTTTGTTTTCTTTAGGTATGATACGTTTGCTTCTTCCAAGTATTCCATCTTATTTAATTACTATCTAATCATCATTAAATTCTAATTTCTTTATGATCTTATTTTTTTTGAATTCTTCTTTGAGTTTCTTAGGTGAACTTTGTTTAATATAAGTATTGGGTGATTTGAATGATTGTTATTTTTATGGAGTCTTAACTATATTATAAATTTATATAGAATTACAATCTGTATCATCAAGGTTCATTATAAATTGCTAAAAATACTTATAACACAATACTTCCATTTATCCGCCAAAATTAACAATATGAATTGTCAATATTATAATTAATATTTAATATAAAAAAATTCATGTTTATTTAATAACCACCATCTAGATAACCATATTTACAACCAAAATTGCCACTCTAATAATAATTCCATTAAAATAATTTTATTTAACAAGTAAAAAACTAATAGAAACTAATTAGCATTTTGCACCTTAAATTAAACAATAATTTATTGGTTAGAATTAACATAAACCAGATTTGATGTCCAGTATTCCATTTGCAAAATCAATTCAATATGAAGTTCCAAAATAAAATAATCAAGTTTAAAATAATAATTAAGATCCAAAGTATATCTAATGATATTCTTTTAGAAAACATTCTTCAGAAATGGTTTAATTAATTAAGGAAAGTTAAGAATTAAAAAAAAATATAAGTGAAAAAGATTAAGAAATATAAAAATGCAAATAAAATATAGATAGATTAGAATAATTAATAGATTACTTAGAAAAATAATCTAAAGAACCATAAAAAGAGTGATAAATAATGAAAATCTTAATATAATGTTTTTTTAATAAATTATTCAAAGAAATATTATATTGCTTAAATAATTATAAAAAGATTGCAAATAATTTAAACATTAAAATCTTATTTTATTCTTTTTTTCAATTCAATTATATTCAATTCTATTATCAAAATCATTATTCTAATAAATAAATTGATCAAAAAAAATAAAGAAAAAATATGATTTTTTTGAATTTATTATATTATATTTAATTATAAGATGATTTTTTTTTTATTGTTCTAACTCATTAGAACTTAGATTTTTGATTGTTCCATAACATAATCTAAATGTTCAGATAATTATTCACCTGTTTGTGGATTTACTATTAATATGTAGTAGATATAAACTTACATAAATCAATGTTATGCTTGTAAAGCTAATTTAGTTGTTAAATATATGAATGGTGAATGTATTGATCATTAAGATGAAAAAACCTCCAATAATCATATTGATTAAGACAATTAAAATACTAATTCAACATTCACTCCTTCTGGAAATTAAACTCAATTTTTCTCTTGTTTTGATCCTCGACCAAGTATTTGCGGAACTAAGTATACTTTAGATAATTACATGAAGTCTAAAACGTACATGTGGATTTTTAGACTCTTTGACTCATTGCAATGGAAAATATTGTTATGCATAATTCATTAATGAATGTCATGCTTGTAGAAATACTTCGATACATAATTATTTCTTTGGGGATTGTTCAGAATACAAGTAATTACCATATGTTCTTATTCTTAGATAAACATAACCAACTGTAATTCAGTGTAATTTAGATATAAAGAATTAATGTGATATAATGGAATAAATAGATGTTTGTGGTTTCTTAGATGAAACAACAGTTTGTCAAAATTAACCATGTTTATAACCATTTAAGAATACTTGTGAACCATGCAATTAATCTAATATTAAATCATATTTTATAGGAAATTGTAATGACTACTAGTATTTATTCCTTGGTTAGGAACAAGAAGAAGATGTTTTAATATAAAAATATTAATATTGTTAACCTGAAAGACCTTCTACTTGTAATTAAGAATTTTCATAAACTTGTGGAGTATTAAAATCTTGTAATGGAACTGCTTGTGAACGAATATATGATAATCCATGTGATGCATGTAAAAATACTCAAATTGAAGGTTATTATATAGGATAATGTTAGTAAAATTTTGGTTATGTTATCTAAATTTTTATGATTTAACTATTAATTTGAATATATTTGTAATTTTTTATATTATATTTCTTAACTATTTAATTTTATATATATATAATATAGATAAATTAAAAGTAAGTATTGTAGTTATTAAAACATATTAAATTGATTAGATAGAATATAAAAATATACATTCAATTAGTATAATCAAAATTAATATTAATTGTTAATCTAAAATAATTAGATTTTGTTTATTTGTTTATTAAATATATATAAATAATTAAATCTTATTTAATTTGTTAAAAACAAAAAAAAGTTATTGAAATAATTCAATTTTTTTAAGATCTCTTAGTTTAATTATTTTTGATTTGTAAAGGTCTAAAATGATTTAAATAAAATTAGGAAATAAGAAATTAAAATTTAATTATTTTAATGAAGTATTTCTTTTAAAAAGTGTTTCTATATTATCCTAATCAGAATATGTTGGAAAATTAAAACAAAAATATTCACATACCTGAAGCAGGTTTAATACATTATACTACTCCTTTACCTGTTTATCTATTTTTCATAAAGGTTGGAATTCTAATGTTGGATTCTATGTTTGATGCAGTAATAATTTCACCAATTAGAATAATTTTATCTATTTTGTCAAAAAACTTGATTTCAATTTAATTCAGATTGGATTTAATCTAAACTATAATGATTTGGGTAATAACTTGGCTTTTTACATTCAACTATTTTGAAGTTGGATATTGGTATCATATAATTAGGAGTTAATCTTAAATTAAGTTATATGGAATTATTTAGATCTTAGATTTACTTGATAGATTAGCTTGTACTTAAGGAGATTATATCATAAGATAATTATATTGGTAGAATGTGTATAAGAATTAAACTGTTTTCAATAGATATTTGATCTATTCATATATTTATATCTTTGCTCATGCATGTTTATTAGGATTATAGTTGACAGTTTATAATGTAATCTTTAGTTAGAAGGTGTAACTTTTGTATTTAGCTTTGTTTGTCTTAAGTTTAATAAAACTAAAGGGGTCAGTATTTAAAAAGTAGGATCAAAAATCATGTATATAGACAGCAATTAATGATGGAAGAGAATATTTTCAAAAAGCACTTTATATAATATTGATTTCAATGAGTATAAAATTTACTCCAGTAGACTTTTATTACAAAATTGGATTTTATTTTTTCATTGAATTGCTAGGTATAATTTAGTCAAATTTACATAGTCGATTCATTCAAATATATTTCAATTTTTCATCTAAACAGTGTATCAATAAATGTATTAAATGAATAAACAAAAAATTTGTCTAATTTTATGTATGCAGTTTCAATTTAATAAGATAAAATTAAGGAATTCTCATTAATTGATCATAAAGATTTATGTCTAGTATTATAAAATGTATAGATTTTAAATTTCTATAGATACCACTTGCTTAAGCTAAAATTATAGGCAAATTTAATATAGTTATATTTCCTTAAGTAATAATATCTCTAAAAATGTTGGCATACAACTACCAAAAACATAAATCATCATTAGAAAAAGAGGATTATATTTATATTGGATTTATAATATTAATTATGTTATCTTTTACTAAAATGATCATATTATTTTATTATAGAAATAGTTAACTCTACTTACATGTAAATAAATTAAAAGATTGAAAAATTAGATTTATAGATATATATTAATATATAAATTCAATATTTTCTAGTTCTTTCTTTATTTATATTAATTTTAGGTGCAAGAAGTCCAGTCATTTATTTGTTTAAATTATTATTCTTAGTATATGATGAATTACGTTTTTTCTCTTAAGATGCTTATTATGATTATCTAGATTAATATTGCATAAGCTAAGGAGCTCTCATAGTTTAAAAATTGCTTTGTTTTGTTGTTGTTGGTATATCTGTTGTTTTTTAAGGAATTGCTACTCCTATGAATTTCTCTTCTTTTATAATTTCATCTTTAATCCATTCAAATTTATAATCCCATTCAAAACCTTGTTTTCTAAAGGCTTCCTAAATATAATCATACATAAAAATACTCTAAATAGATTTCTAATATAATTATAATCTGGTTTATCTTCAAATTTCAAATTTCTACAATATTATAAATATTGAGTCATTTCATTAGGAAATCCCTTACATAATTATTCAGGAGTTGTTTCTTGCTTTTTCTCCATAATTTTTTAATATTTCTCTTTTTAATTTGATGCTTTCATATTTTACCATGGTAATTATCCTCTTAATAAATACATTAAGACATAACCAAGTGATTCTAAATCATCTCTTCTAGATTATTCTAAACCAACATGTGTATTAATAGATGCATATCTGGCAGTTCCAGTTAAACTTTTCCCTTCTTTATAAGGGATATGTCCTTCTTTAGTTATATATCTTTTGGCCAAACCAAAATCAACAATATAAACTCTTGAACTTTTACTGCCAACTCCAACCAAGAAATTATCAGGTTTAATATCACGATGTAAAAATTATTTTGAATGAATGTATTCAATTCTTTAAATTAACTAATCTGCTAACATTAGAACTGATTTAAGTGATAGTTTCCTATGATTTTTATTAAATAATTCTTCAAGGGATGGTCCTAAGAGATCCATGACGATGTAATTATAATCACCGTCTACTCCTTAATCATGAATTTTTGGAATGCCTTCCTTAGAATTACATAATAAACTTACCTTTATCATACTAATCCTATCCTTAAAGATAATTGTATAATTTAGCTTCAAAGAATATTTAAGGATGTTTGTTATCACTTCTTTCCAGTTTCATGGCATATTCAGATTTAGATTAAGATTAGACCAAATATATTTCTCCAAATGCTCCTGATCCAATTTTCTTGATTAACTTATATTAACGTGCAATAGTATTATTAGTAAGGTCTTTTCCTAAAATGGAATCCATATAAAATTATTATTAATGATCTAAAGTTTAGGGATGCAGACCAAATTTCATAAATAAATGGAGAAAATGAGAGGATTTCTGGTCTCAGCTCGAACTATATCTCCTATAAATGAAGATGAACCTATTAGAAAAACTTAGACTCCTTTAATTGGTTAATAAGCTTAATCAATATCATTCAGTGATGATGAGATGGAAGATGAAGATTTTAAGTAAATAGGGGTTAAATCTACAAATTTTGAAGATGAATTTACACTTGGTAAGAAATTAGGAGAAGGTACAAATGGTATAGTTAGAATTTGTTGGAAGAAAGATAATCCTTCATTATAATTTGCTGTTAAAATTATATAGACTCCAGATGAAGAATAATTAGATATTGTGAGATAAACATTTATCAATTCTACAATCATTAAAAGTCCTTATATTGCAAAATGCTATAAATTATATATTGACATTAATGTAATATATATGGTAATGGAATATGTTCCATTTTCTAATTTACAATCAATATTACAATAAAGAATAAAATTAAAAGAACAAGAAGTTTAAAAAATTGCATGTTATCTATTGAAAAGCGTTAGATGTTTACACAGTTGTGGTATTTGTCATAGAGATATTAAACCAGATAATATTCTAGTAAATCTGAAGTATAATAGTTGTTATTTATAGCGATTACACAGTCAAATTAATAGACTTTGGAGTATCTAGAAGATTTGTTACTTTTAATAATAGTACATTTAGATATATGAGAAATCAAATGTTAACAGTTACTGGTAATCTTCACTATCGAGCCCCAGAAATTATGGGTAGTCATATCTATGGTTATAATTAATAAGTTGATATATGGGCTATTGGAGTTATCATGTATTAATCTTTAACTGGTGTCTTACCATTTACTTCAGATAATACTGCAGACATTGTTGCTTTATTATCCAATACGTATTTTATTCTTATTTAATATCAATATAGATAATCAATAAATGAGGCATTCCAAAAACCTTAATTTTTATCCTTGTCATCTAGTTGTAGAGATTTAATCAAAAGATTAATGATGTGGAATCCCTTGAAAAGATTAACTGCCTCAGAGGCTCTAAAACACATATGGATACCTAATATGTTAACTCCTAGAAAAGTACTTACCAAAAAAATTACAAAAGATGATATGGATACTAGTAAAATAAGTTAAAATAGTGATCTTCTTAATAAATCATTAATTAATAGTGCTACCATTTTGAATTTTGAGTTATAAAACACTCTAATCAAAAGTAAACAAATTGATTCTGTAATGGAAAACTAAGAAATCAGTCGATCTTAAAAAAGTCTTGGTTTTTCTATTAAAATCAAAAGAGAAAAAGAAATATAAGATTTTAAAGCTAAATTAAAGTAATTTAAATTAGAAACCTCAACAAAGATTTACAAGAGGAATAATTCTAATTAGAATAATGCTATTTAATTGGTTGGAGCCTTAGTAGATGATAAAATGAACAATTCAATTAAACTAGATGATGAGGATGATATTTTTGGTATCAAAGTATGTGGAAGCCATCACTCTCTAACATAAATAGATGAACCTATATAAAATGATCATTAAGCACAACATAACAAGTTAGACCCCACATTATTATAGAAGCTCTCAGAATTTAATTTGTGATATAATATATAAATAATGAACTCTTCTAAAACTTCAAGAACTGTCAAAGCCTTGCATTTATTCCATTTAGAATAAAAAAATTCAGATCATCATCATTATAACATCCCTACTTTTAGAGAACCTCCTATTCCTACTATCTTAAAACCATCTTAATTATCTCCATCTAAATAATCATTTCCAGTATCTCGATAAAATTAAGAAAATGGATATACAAAAATAACAATAGAAAAGAAGATACTATAACTAAGAAAAGAAATTTTAAATGCCAAATATATAAAATAGAAATTATTATAAGAAAACGATAAATTATAACTTAAAGACATTGTCCCAGTCTAAGCAGTTGAGAAACCAAATGATAAATAGGTTAAACCTATTAAATATTGTGAAAAAAAGTCAAAATCAAAAGTTAAATTCTCTGAAATCTAAATTACACTACAAGAAAGATAACTCTAATAATCAATTTTATCAACGTAAATTAATAAAATTCCAAAATTTAAATTAAAAGAAAAATAAACTTTAACAATAGAAGATAGAATAGATGATATTTAAAAGATACCATAATGTTAATCATCTATAAAATTAAGAAGTGAGCCTAATTCTCCTTAAATAATAAAAAAATTACAATCTTATTAATTTAGTTAGAGAAGAGTCAGTTAAGGGAATGTATAATAACCAAAAAAAATAGAAGTGAATCCATGGTCATAAAATTTAGAAGGTTGGCATGCACCTTAAGCTGATGAAGATTTACTAGTTTATTATTAATAATGTTTCTGAGATGAATTTAATTTTGACTATAAATAATTGTAATGTAGGATTTGCTCTATTTTTTAATTGAATTTAAGGTAAATTTTTGTTATTTTGATGAAGATATCATATTTTTTATTCATTATATTATGCAACATGTTTCTCTTTCCTTTGGTGGCTTAATGTCTTCTTTGTTTCTATCATTTTTAGGTTTAATAGGTTCATCCTTGAAATCTTATTTTTATCCTATTCCCTTAGCAGTTACATATTATAATTTAGGATTCATTTTAAATGGACATAGTAATTACTCCATCTAAGCTAATCTTTATTTGAGTTTTTCTTAGAATTTCTATTGATTATTAAGATTAATAAATTACTTCAATCAATCCACTCTTAAATTCTTTTTATTATTTGATAATATTAATTCTATCTTCATATGAGAGTCTTACATCAAATCTTAGATTTACTGTGACATTATCTATATAAGGAGCATCCAAACTTTAATCCTAGTAATTTACAATCAAGTAACATTAAGGTATAGTAGGAAGAGCAAAATGTCTTGGTCTAATTTATTAATAGATATCAAGAATAGGTATTTTGATTTATGCTAATTCTTTAAAATCTTCTCCCAAAGTTCTTGCATCTCCTAAATTTTTATCTAATCTTTTTCCCATCACAACTAGTGTTATAGAATCTATAGTATTATCTAAGGAAATGCATGTAGATCGATTTGAATTCTCTGGATACAGTGGTTGATAATTTTAGTGAATTGTTCCAACTTTGTACTTCAGTTTATAAAACTAAGAAATAGATTTTGGTTATTAATACTTTTTACATTTCACTTATCTAATTGACTTGATCTACAAAAGAGATGACTAAGGCATTTTCTTGATTATATTCTGGTTTATCNAAATTAAAAGAAAAATAAACTTTAACAATAGAAGATAGAATAGATGATATTTAAAAGATACCATAATGTTAATCATCTATAAAATTAAGAAGTGAGCCTAATTCTCCTTAAATAATAAAAAAATTACAATCTTATTAATTTAGTTAGAGAAGAGTCAGTTAAGGGAATGTATAATAACCAAAAAAAATAGAAGTGAATCCATGGTCATAAAATTTAGAAGGTTGGCATGCACCTTAAGCTGATGAAGATTTACTAGTTTATTATTAATAATGTTTCTGAGATGAATTTAATTTTGACTATAAATAATTGTAATGTAGGATTTGCTCTATTTTTTAATTGAATTTAAGGTAAATTTTTGTTATTTTGATGAAGATATCATATTTTTTATTCATTATATTATGCAACATGTTTCTCTTTCCTTTGGTGGCTTAATGTCTTCTTTGTTTCTATCATTTTTAGGTTTAATAGGTTCATCCTTGAAATCTTATTTTTATCCTATTCCCTTAGCAGTTACATATTATAATTTAGGATTCATTTTAAATGGACATAGTAATTACTCCATCTAAGCTAATCTTTATTTGAGTTTTTCTTAGAATTTCTATTGATTATTAAGATTAATAAATTACTTCAATCAATCCACTCTTAAATTCTTTTTATTATTTGATAATATTAATTCTATCTTCATATGAGAGTCTTACATCAAATCTTAGATTTACTGTGACATTATCTATATAAGGAGCATCCAAACTTTAATCCTAGTAATTTACAATCAAGTAACATTAAGGTATAGTAGGAAGAGCAAAATGTCTTGGTCTAATTTATTAATAGATATCAAGAATAGGTATTTTGATTTATGCTAATTCTTTAAAATCTTCTCCCAAAGTTCTTGCATCTCCTAAATTTTTATCTAATCTTTTTCCCATCACAACTAGTGTTATAGAATCTATAGTATTATCTAAGGAAATGCATGTAGATCGATTTGAATTCTCTGGATACAGTGGTTGATAATTTTAGTGAATTGTTCCAACTTTGTACTTCAGTTTATAAAACTAAGAAATAGATTTTGGTTATTAATACTTTTTACATTTCACTTATCTAATTGACTTGATCTACAAAAGAGATGACTAAGGCATTTTCTTGATTATATTCTGGTTTATCTAAGATAATTTATTTATTTTGTAATACTTGCTTCAATGACTTTTGAAAACTTATCAAAATTGGTAAGTTCATCTTTGAAATAATCAATGTTTTTTTGGAAATCAAGTATTTTCAAATGTATCATTTTTGCTTAATCCAATAGTTTCTATACAAAAGTATCAATAGTTGCTTCTGATGCAAACTAATTAAATGAAAAACCCTACATTCTCATCATAAACTTAATCTTGTCCAATTGTATCGCTTATCACCTTCCATAGGATATGTTCTTAGTCTTAATTGATTTCTGGAAAAAACCAAAGTTAATCATCAAATGCAGAATCAGCTTTGTAGCCTTTCTGTTCAAAGAACTAAAGTATTTCCTCTTTCTTTTATTAAATAATATCCTCAGACTATTTAATGAAAGATGCATTCAATTGATCTGCCATTTTTAATAAAAAATATATTATCGTTTTCATTTGATTCATAATAAGTTATACTTATCTTATAAAATCATTTTTATTTCTCACACTTAATCTAGACATAAATAATTTACTATTTATGGTTTAGATCTCTAAGCATTCATATATTATTGATTAATATTATATTTAAATATAATCAGGATTCATTGCCAATTTACTTAAACAATAATTTTATATAGGATTATATGTTTATTTATAGATAATGACCTAAGGAGTTATTCAATAAGACTAGTAGAAATCCTTGAATTATAAAACTTCCATTTAAGATATATAATGTTATTAATTTACAAATACTAAATTAAAAAAGTATATAGAGATGAATAAAACTATTATCACAAAAATACTCTTTGAAATTAAGAAATAATTAGACAATAGCTATACCATTGAACTCTGACAATCGGAAAGTATAATTGAAATCTTATTATATAAATAATTTCTATCATTTTATTACATAAAATGACTATCTCACACTTGAATCCTATGTGAATGAAATAAAAATTATTTATATTATTAAAAAGTATAAACTTAATTTAGAAATTCCTTAGTTTCCCACCTAATTATATATGTTTTTAATTATTCTTAAAGCTTGCTAATCTATAAATCATGTAAGTATGTCCAAGAAATATTTTATTTAATATTTCTTTATCTTTGTTTAACACACTCATTAAATAAATTATTGTAAGAATTACTATTTCATTTTTATTCTAGTTTAAATTAACAAAATAAGACTTCTATCATTATAAGTTGTGATTATCCTTTATATAATATATTTTAATGTAATTTAATATAATACTAAAAAGCCAATTTCATTTTTTCTAATCTCTTACTGGTAAGAAATATGGATGATCTAAAGCTTCTTTAGGTGTAATTCTTAATGCCTATTATGATTATTGATTTTACATGATCATATAATAACATTTTGGATAATAAATCAATTGCCTCTTCTGAACATAAATGTTTATTCTCTTGATTGATAAACTTAGACCATTCTCTTTTTGGATAACTAAAGTTTTATAATAATTCTTACTTTCCCAATTTATTGTCAAATACTGGATCCAATTTCAATCTATACTTTTTAACATAAGCTAATAAATCTTCAGTTCCTAATACTTTTGCTATTACTATTAATTAATCATAATTATCATTTCCTTAAAAGAATGGCTCCTTCTTGAAAATCTAAAATTTATCTAATTTATAAAATAACCATTGATGCAAGCATTGCTCCACTACTCCAAATATCCAAAGAATAATCATAAAAAACATTATCAACCAATAATTCAGGACCCTTAAAATATCGAGATGCAACTCTAACATTATAATCTTGACCCATATGATAATATTCTGCTAAACCAAAATCAAGTAATTTCAATAACTTTTTTTAAGGATTCACTATTATATTCTAAGGTTTAACATCTCGATGAATAATCCCTCTAGAATGACAAAAATCCAATGCTTTCATTAATTCATATAGATAAAATCGAATTTCTATATCTGTAAGTTTTGGAAAGATGCTTCTAAAATCAACATGATCAATATAATCAAACACTAAACAAGGTGTTTTTGAAGCTGGGTCTCTTACTATATCACTCAATTCTATAATGTTTGGATGTCCTTTTAATGAAAGCAAAATCTTTGTCTCTCTTTTTATTTTTCTTTTCTTTACTGGCTTCAAAACCTTTATTACTACTCTTTAATTTTATGGGTATCTAATTCCTTCATAAACATCAGAATATTTTCCTCTTCCAATTTTTTTTATTATTTCATATTAATCATTATCCTAACATTAACAGTAGTCTTACACCCCATTCATTTTCAAAATTATCATAATCCCAGTATTCTTTTGGTTGATTCTTATTATAATCTGCATAAAATTTTGGTTTAGCTTATACTATTTAATTCATATATAAATATATTATATAAATAAATATTTAAATGAAACTTAGTTAACTTTTTACCAAGAATATAAAAATTAATCTAATAATCAAAACTAAAAATTAAACTAAAAAATCAAACTAAAAATCAAACATCTGTCAACCCATACTCTCTATTCTTCTATAAAATTAGACAAATTATTTTTATCATATAAATTAATCATTATTAATCATATTCATTAAAATTATTCCCTCTATTAAATGATTAAATGTTATATATTAAAATTAATTTATTCTTTAAATGCAAATTTTTCAGAATTTCTGGATAATTTATTAACATAAATTAATAAAATGATAAATGAAGCCTTAATAAATCAAGAACCTCAGCAGCTCTATGATTATTAACCAACTAGTATTTCATGTCCTCAAGTAGAATTAAATGAGTATGAATCTCCAGATAGATAACATTATATTAGTTCACTATGCTTTTAACTTAAAAAGTACTAAAAATAGAAAAAATTATTACTTAGAAAAATTAAACGATAAAGAAATCGGCCTAGTTTTTTGAAAATTGAAGATAGTGGAAGAAATGTGAAATTATATTCATGCTCTCTATATTCTAATAATACAGAGAAACCTGAAAATGATACTTAATGAACAACCTTATATAAGATTTGGAATTATTAATTATATGTTATATAAACTTTTTATAATTAGAGCTTAAAGTTAATCTTATTAAGCATTCTAACATACTTTAAATACTTTATTTTTGATAAGGAATAATTGTTTATTGTGTCTTTTGCATCAATTTAAACTATTAAAGTCATTTTAGTCTTATGTTGATCTTGAAATAATTATCAATTAATAAAAGTCATAATGAATGATAAAAATTGAATTTACATTAAATCAATCTACTAGAAGATTAAAAATATCTTTTAAATTATTTAGAAATAATCATTTTAATTAAAATAATTGGATTATCAAATCAGATTAATATCTGATGGATAATTTACTAATTATAAGAAATTTGTAAATATAAGTGAGAAATAATTGGCAATACTGATAATATATTATGAAGTTTTTATAGACAAAAATTCAAGTATTGAAAATTGTTAAACTTTTTAATTAATTTTAACATGTTTTAAATAGTCAAATTCTGACATTTTTTAGGATTAAATTATATATAAAAGTATTCTTGGTCATAATGAATAATTTTCATAAATTAAGATCTAAAAATAGTAAATTATTCATACAATTCTAAATTTATTTTTGATATATTTTTAATTGAAAAATCAAAGAGTTTGTGAAATGAATTCACTTAAGAATTTGAATACAAATGAATAAGTTTTCTTATAGAAAATATAAATTTATTATTTATCGTTTTTATTTTATAAATAATATATGAGTTCACTCATTATGTATGAAGATGAAGCGATTGATCATTATAATGAGTATTTGATGAGTAAAAGAAAAGAAGTAACGGAAATAAAGAATTATAAATTCAATGGAAAATTCAATTCAAAGCCAACGAAGGCATTCAAATTAAAAAATAAGAAAATACATTATTTAACATAATCACAGATATTAGCATTAGTAGTATTAACATTTGCAGTTGAGTATGGTATTTATACACGTATAGAGAGGGTTTGCAATTGAGATGGTTTTCATTTCTCCATTGTTTTTGAAATTAGACACTCCAGAACTTTTAGACTCTTCAATGTAATAAATTACTATAATAATTCAGTTGGTTATTTCCTCCTGTAATTAATTTAATACTCTATCCTTTTATTCGATATTATAGTGAAAGCAAATCACATTAATTAAAAAACGCAATGATTTATTTTATAATTGTTTCCATAATGGGAATAGGACTATTAGCAGATACAAAGTAAAATGTTTAAATAAATTTAGATCATTATATGTGGATTCAATTAATAAAAAAACATCAGTCCTTATAATTTCAATAGTAAGCTTTACAGTTATGGATGTTGGTTTAGAGATGCTTGGAGTATTTATATTTAATTATATATATAGTTTGCTTGTTCGGCATTGTTAGAAGATTATGTAAATCCAAAATAATAGTAAAAAGTTTAGTAATACAGAACATTTGTAGATTCATTTGGTAAATTTACAGGATTCCTAGTATCAAGTGTCTTAGCATTCAATTTTATTTATTTAAACTTTGATAATTTTATTGAAAATTTATCATTTGCCTATTTGGTAGGATTGATAATGATATTGATTGGTTTTGGAATGGTTTTAATATCATTTCCACGAAAAGGATTAGATTTAGTATAATCAAATCACAAAATGAGATTTAGTATCAATTCATTTTTGCCTGGAATTACATTTTTATTGTAAATATCTTAATAATATATTTAAGTTAATTACCTTAAAATATGAAGATATTTTTATTATCCCATTTTTTCACTTGTGGTTCTTAATTGTTTGTATCTGTCTATGCAACTTTATGGTCAGGCATTACAATGTTAGAAGAAGGTCCTCAATAATACAATGAAGCAATAAGGAATATTGTATTTGATATAGGAATAAGCTGGGGTATTGTTTAAATATTATACAGAGGGGCTTTGGCATTGTGTATGAGTGCTATACTTCATCTATTGACAACTTTGTTTTTAAAATAATTGGGTAATCGTTACACAAGTACAATTTATATGATTGTGAATGCATTGGCTGGGGCATCACTATTATATACTTGGTCAGTTAATGAATTTTATTCTATTTTTATCACTCTTCCATTTTGGGGAGTACAAACTGCTGTCTTGAGTGAATTACCTTATAAATTAGCAAACCAATTAGAGGATGATGTAAATATTAAAGGATTATATTCATTAGTAAGTTAGAGATACAATCAAAGGACTCTTACCTTAAATGCTTAATTTAACAACCTTTTTTTCTTAAGCATTTATGTTTTTCATTATTCCATTAGGTTTTTTATTGTTTTCTAGTGTTGATGATATATCAGTAAGTATGTTCATGAGTGGGATTTTCAGTTTAATAGGATCATTTTTAGTTTGCTTTTTATGAATAATATTATAAAATTATATAAATTTAATTCAATATTTTTTAATCATTATAATATTATAAATTAGAAGATTAATATCTATTTATATGAATAAATATAAGGGGAAATTTATTAGGACAAATTTCTATTATAATAAATTTAAAATATCTAACTGAAAGCTTAAATCTCAGACATTTAAATAAATTATCATTAAAGTAAAGAATAATCAGAATGATTAACATAATTATCTTCATACTTTTTACAATTATGAGAAAAAGTACATTCTTAAGAATAATAACAATAAAGTATTTATTAAATTACTCATTTGGGCAACTGACGCAAAATCTTATCCACTCATTAATTGATAAATTTTGAGTTCATCTGATAAAAAATTAAGTTCCTTGTATAATCTCATTCAAAAAAATTGATTGTTCAAAACGATTCCGAATACTTGCATTTTATTCTTAATTTTCCTTCTAAATATCTGGATTTTTACAACAATTAAAGTAAGAATTAAAATTTTCTTTTGATCTATTTAGTAATTGAAATTCTATTTTTTTATTAATATAAGAATATATATGGCCACTAAAAGGATTTTATGATAATTCATAAATATTTTTCTACTTATAAATGATGAATAGTTTGATGTACTAAAGTCTTAAAAGATTTAATTGATTCAAATTTTTAGTGTTCAATTTTTATACAAATAAACTTGAATAAAATTCTTTGATTAGATATAATTATAAATATAGATTTTTAATTATTTATATAAATGATAGATAAAAAAATAAACTATTATCATTTTTACTTGTTTAATAATCTAAATTTCTTTTGATGCTAAATTTGATTGCTAGATTCTCTAATTTTAAGGATTATAATATTTTGATTTTTAAACTAATAGTATAAATATTTTTTAAATAATTATCAGATACTCTTGAGGTATTCAAATTTAATAAACATATTATGATTATTTTCATGTTATAACCATCATGAATTTATCAAAATATTATATATGTTTTAATTCTATAAGTTTTATGAATTTAATCTATTAGTTTTCAAACACTCTATTAATAATTATAAAAATACCAAACAATATTAAATTATCAAAATCATTATTATTTATTTTATAATTCTATTAATAAAGATCAAGATGAAGGATAAATATATTGTGGAAGAAAATGTTTTAGGATAAGGACAATTTGGTAGTGTACAAACAGCTAAATCATTAGAAAATAAATAATTGAGAGTTTGTGTGAAAATAATGTAAAAGAAAAAATTTTATGGTTAAAATGTTCTCTAAACAGTATAAGAGGAAGAATTCAATATTTGTAAGAAAATGGTAAATAAAAAATTTGATAATTTGGTTTAAATTTATGATGTTTATGATTAAGATTATAATGATACTCAAGCGTATATATTCATGGAAAGATGCGATAAAAGCTTAAAGGAATTAATTAATTTAAAGAAGAGTGGATAAGAAAAAAAATTTACTAAAGAAGAATTAATTGATATCATAAATTAAATAGCTAAAGGTTATAATTAAATGATCTCTCAAGAAATTATTCATCGAGATCTTAAACCAGAAAATATATTATGCAATATCGTTGACAACTAAATACAAGTCAAAGTATTTATGTGTAATAAATATTTAGATTGCTGATTTTGGTCTTAGTAAAATTGTGGATTCTCCATCCCAGAAAAAAATGACTAAAAAGGTTGGAACAATGTATTATAGTGCTCCAGAGATTTTAAATGAAAAAAATCCTGATGATTATGATAATTTATGTGACATCTTTTCAGTATATTTATTTATATTATTTATAGCTTGGAGTAATCATATTTGAATTGGCATTACTACAAAAATAATACAATTATAAACAAATAGAAAAACTAAAAGAAACCACATTCTCTAAATTACATGAAGATGTTATATAAAATAAAGAAATTGATAAAGATATATTAGAGTTATTGGATAAAATGATAGTTTATGATCCAAAATAAAGATTAACATGGTAAGAATTATTAAATTATTTTGATTAAAAACCAAAATAATCAAGTCTTTAATCCGATTTACAATAACAATAATTAAAAAGATAATAAAATCAGTAATTCTAAAATCAATAGTAACAACAAGGTTAATTTTAATGTCCTCTATATATTAATGCATAGAAATAATAAAATGGACTTAATTAATAACCTTTATAATAATTTTTGCCAAATCCAGGATTCTAATAAATAAATTTTTAATAAAATTAATTTCCTTAATAAAATCTACCATAATTTCCATAAGGTAATTAAGGATAATCTGCTTTGTAAAACTAGACATAAAATCCTACTAGATATTCTACAATGTCAAAAGCATAATCATTGCCCGAACAAAGTTCATAAGCACCAAATGTTTAAACATAAGCCCAACCTACATAATAGCAACCATAAACTAAATTTTAATTTACATAACCTATAAATAATTTAAACTAATAAAATACTTTTCAATAAGGTGGTGTATAATTTAATCAATAACAAAAATTTACTCAATAACAACAATTTACTCAATAACAACTATTTACTCAAAAACAATAATTTAATTAATAGCAACAATTTACACAATAACAACAATTTACACAATAATAACAATTTACACAATAATAACAATTTACTCTATAACAACAATTTAATCCCTAGCAACAATTTAATTTATTACAACAATTTAATTAGTAACAACCATAAGGATAACCTAATAGATTAATGACAATGGCATCTAAGAAATGAAATAAAATAATTATTATTATAATTAATATTTTGAATTTCTTCATTTTTTTATAGATAATCAAGTAATTTAATATAATAATATTGGATAACCTTATTAAAATTAATCTAACATGCAAGTTTAGAAAATTTAGCCTTTATAATTTTCAATAATTTCAAAATTAATTTAATTATCTATTTTTAAACAATACTGTTCTTTAATAGCAACTTTAATAATTAGAGCTGATCCTTTTGATAAAAGATTAATGGTTAGGAAACCTATTATCAAATCATGATGGCCCTCTTTTTGAAATTAAATATAAAAGTAAACTTTTCATTTTTTTATAACTTGAATTATTAGATATCTTTACACATTTATAGATGATCACCCAAAGATTTTATAACTAAATTGTTTATTTAATAGACCTAAAATAAATGGATTAATTTGAAATTATAATTAAACTATTGTTTTTATAAATAAATAAAACTTGAAAGCTGATATATGAGAAGATATAATTTAAACTAAGCAGTATTGAGTTAGATTTATCATCTAATAAATTAGATTTATCTATTTAAGCATATCAAATACACTTATTTATTCATTATCAATTTATTGGTGGAAGTACATAATCTTGATTCAAATCAATTATATTTTTATAAAATAATAATAATTTTTAAATATGATAATCAAATTTATTATTTCATTAAAATTTTAATACTTAAAGAAGATTTTTTAAATAAAGCAAGTGCTGGAATTATTGCTCAACAAAATTCTCTATGAATTTAGAGAGGCATTTCTTAAACAAGATTAAAAATGGTCCTTCTTCCTATAAAATTTAAACTGCATTTTATTTGAATAATTCAGAAAAAATGAATAACCTATTATTAAACATATTTATCATGGAACCCTTCTTTAATACAGCATAATATTTATTTATCTATATATTAATTGCTAAGCAATTGGCTTTATAGTGATCTTCTGTTTAATTAATATCTTTAATTTTAAATAGTACATCTTTACTAAAATTAGAGATTTATTTTATTTTTATATTTTATTCTTTCAAAACTTTCATTTCCGAATATGCTAGATTAATAGTTGGAATACATTTTTTTTCAGTTCTTAACCAAAGTAAATACACTTATTACAACATGCAGATGAAGTTTTTATTTATTAAACCCAAATTCAAAAATCGTAATAAGAGAAATAAATTGAAATTTTTAATCTAATTTTTTGCAAGAGATCTAATTCTTTTTATTGAAATTCTTTTTTAAACAGATCTCTTTATTATTGATTCTTTTAAATAAATCATCTTATGATTCTACAGTTATTTTTCATAGATCAAATCATATTAAACCATCAGGAGATTAGTTGCTTGAAATTTCTCAAACAGGATCATAGATCATCATCTTTATGTCCATTCCAATCTAAAAATCTTGGAATATGATTTCCTGTTCTAAAGGGAATAATGACAATAAAACAATTAGAAAAATAAAAATTCTTATATTCATCTCAATTTAATCTCTTGATGAAGTCTTTTGAAATATACCTTGATTTATTAAGATTAAATTTAATTGTTTCTGCATTTAATTAAAGATACACCCCTGCCCGATTTCCACCAGAAGTTGGATTTAAAAAATAAAAAGCAAATTCCATATAAAAATTAATAATATGTCAATAACAAGATTAGGAGTATGTACATTAAATTAATGGGCTATGGACTTTAGTTAAAATGTTCAAAATATTATCGAAAGCATAGAAATTTGCAAAAGAAAACAATGTTTATATCGATTAGGACCTGAATTAGAGATATGTGGGTACATGTGTGAAGATCATTTTTTGGAATCAGATACAGTTACTCATTGTTGGTATGATTTTGATTAATTATTATAGGGAAGCAATAGTAGAGATACTTCCACATACAGTTAATATAGTTTGTGACATAGGAATGCCAGTAATACATAAAAGTGTGTTTTATAATTGTAGAGTGATTTTGTTAAACAAAAAGATTCACTTGGTTAGACCAAAAATGTATTTGGCTGATGATGGAAATTATAGAGAATCTAGATATTTCACTCCATGGAGTAAAGAAATTGAGGATCTAGAACTACCTCCTATTATTTAAATAGCCACTGGATAAAAATGCGTTCCAATTGGTGTGGCTATTTTATAAACTCATGATACAGAAATTGGTATAGAAATATGTGAAGAAATGTGGACACCCATTCCCACTAGTGCAAATTAAGCATTAGATGGAGCTGAAATAATTCTAAATTCAAGTGGATCTCATTATGAAGTTGGTAAAATTAAAGAAAGAACTGAATTATTCAAAGATATAACAAAAAGAAATGGTGCATGTTATGCATTTTGTAATCTTAGAGGATGTGATGGTAATAGATTGTATTTTGATGGATGTTCATGTATTGTTTTAAATGGTAAAGTATTTGCTAAAAGTGATGCATTCTCACTTAAAGATGTTGAAGTTACAACATGTGATATAGATTTACAAGAAGTTAGGAACATTAGAATCAATATAAAGAGTAGATCACTTATGGCTTCAAAATAAAAGCATTTCCCAAGAGTCAAACTAGACATTAATCTTACCTAATAATAGAATTATGTTTATTATCATGATATTCCTATCTAATATGAATCAGAAATTGAAGATTCAATAGCCTGTTATTTATGGGATTATATGAGAAGATCTGGAGCCTGTGGGTTTATGCTACCATTATCAGGAGGTTTAGATAGCAGTGCCACTGCATTATCTGTATTTTTTATGGCTAATAAAATATTCAAAACAATTAATAATCTTGATAATGATCATTAAACACACCTTAAAGTATTGTAATAACTACGCAAAACTGTAGAAGATGATACATTTACTCCTAAATCTCCATAAGAAATTGTTAATAGATTATTCTTTACTGTTTATCTTGGGTCTGAAAATTCAACCTAGGATTCTAGGGCTAGATCAAGATTATTAGCTGAGTAAATAGGCAGTAAACATTATGAAGTAGAAATTGATTAGGTTTGTAAAGCATGTACTTCTTGCATAAAACCTATTTTAAAAAAGGATCCTTAATTTATTGTAAATGGTGGATCTCTATCAGAAGATCTAGCCTTATAAAATATATAAGCAAGATCAAGAATGATTCTAACATATTTATTAGCTTAATTAACTCCATGGAATAATGGAAAAAAAGGATTTTTAATTGTACTTGGATCTAGCAATTTAGATGAATCTATCAGAGGATTCTTAACAAAATATGATTGTTCAAGTGCTGATATTAATCCAATAGGTAGTTTAAGTAAAAATGACTTAAGAGAACTTCTTTTATTTTGTTACAAGACCTTTAATTTTTCAGCAATCTAATTAATTTTAGAAGCTAAACCCTCCCCTGAATTAAGACCTTAATCAGCAGAAGGTCATGTTTCAGAAAATGACATGGAATTAACTTTCAATGAATTAGAAACTTTTGCTAAATTGAGAAAAGTTCAGAAATTAGGGCCAGTTAGTATGTTCAAGAAATTGAGATATCTTTGGTCGAATATGACGCCATAATAAGTTGCTGAAAAAGTTAAGAAATTTTTTAAGTACTATGCTTTAAATAGGCATAAAGTTGTTACTATCACTGCATCATTTCATGCCTAAGCCTTTTCACAAGATGATAATCGCTTTGATTTTAGACAATTTTTATATAATTGGAGATGGCCTTGGCAATTTAAAAAAATTGATGAAAATTTATAATGAAAACATTAATATTTTCATTAAGATATTATTTTCTATTTATTGTTATCTTTATAATAATATATTAATAATCAAAGTCTTATCGGGGATAAGGATTTTATTATAGTAAAAGCAGGATATACTCCTTTTGTAATAATTACTTTTTTAATTGGGCTACTGCATGGATCAACAACAGCACTCACCATTTCTCTTTTTACAGTTCTTTATTCACTTATTCTCTTATCAGAATCAAATTATGAAATTTTCATCTACTTAGATTCTTAAATAGAATGATACAATTAAGAAAGTATCTCTTTTTGAGCTGCTAATTGTAATTTAATTTCTTATATATTTTATTTGGTATCTGATTAATCATCAAGAATAGTTACTTGAATATTTTCACTCATTTAATCTGGTTTAATTTGAAATTATTTATCAGAGAAGCTTACTGAACCAGGTATAGAATGTTAAGAGGGACAAGCTACAAATTTTAATTAAGTTTTAGAAAACTATTATTAAGATTATTTTTTCATCAATTAGTCTAATGATTCTTCATTTTTACTTTAATTTTATTATTTCCTTTTTTATTCAGTATTTTATTAATTTTATTTTAGAATATTATTATCCTATTAATTTGATATTTATTTAGACTAAATAGATTCCTATTATATTTATTTATTAAAACTATTTTATTGATTTTGAAGTTGATTAGAAATAATAGACATCTATTGTGAATTAAATGATTAGTCTTATTGATTATCCTTATTCGATAAATGATCTTACTTATTATAAGAATTAATTAAATCAACTTTCATTTATTATGAACGACTTTATGACTCTTCTTTTTCTTATATAACTGATGGTTATTTTTATGGATAAAATTATTCCTATGATTATTATTAATAGAATGAATGTTATTAATTTGAATAATTTCTTTAGCTAGATTGATTTGATTATGATCTTTATTATTTATTTTCTCCAGAATATCTTGATTATCTTGATTGTCTAGATTATCTTGATTAAACATCTTATAGTTTATCAATCTACAAATTATCTAATTCAGTATGAGAAACTGGTTATTTTTTAATCATTGAATCAGCTCTAGATTTATTTGCTTCATCTTATTATTAACTTGATCTTCTATTATGTTATCTCTCATTTACATTCACATTATCTAAACTCTATATATCATTAAAGAACATAGACTACTGATTATTTGTTATTTTTGATTATTCAAAATGAGGAGAATTATTTTAATTATCTCTAATGAATGAATCCTCCTACTTTTTTTTTAATTCACTCTTCAATACATCACTTACTGTTTTAATAAAATCTTAATGAAAACTTTCTGATTATTATTGAGGATAACTCTCTTATGAATCTAAGGAAGCATTAGTTTTATATCCTGGCCTACTTTATGATATTTAATTTTCTTCTTCTAATTATTATTGTTACATTTTAAGCTATTCTAATTCTCTTTATTATTATTCTATCAATTATTACATGTATAGTTGTTATTGCTTAATCAACTTCATTTGAGTATCATCTCCAATATCAAATTTATCAAAATCAGTTTAAGATTAACTTCTTTTATGTCGATGAAATTTCAATTAACTCGATTGATTAGATTCACTTTAATTAAAAATAGCTGTATTTCTCATATCTAAAGCAAAGTCTTATTAACAAAAACTCAACTTTTTGCTATGATCAATATCTTATTATTATTATTATTATTATTATTATTATTATTATTATTATTATTATTATTATTATTATTATTATTATTATTATTATTATTATTATTATTATTATTATTATTATTATTAATATTAATATTAATATTATGTAATCTAATATTAAGACTGATGAGATAATTATGATTCATTAAATTGTTATGACTATTAATATTATGATGATTCTTCTTACTATTATAATTTACTTTATTGATCTCTATGAGATTACTAAGGAGTTATTTATTTAGAAGCTACTTAATTTATAGATTTGATTGAAATTCTTTATGATACAGGCTATGAAGACTGAACAGATCTTTTTGAATCTCTCAATTATGAGAATTCTTTAATTTATCTAGATTCCCATAATTATTATGATTATTAAGATGTATCCAAAGGAAGCTATTCAATTTTTTTACTATCCTATTTTTTTAATTTATTACCTTCACTCTTTATTTTATTTAAATCTTCAAGTTCATGTTACTATTAAAACTTTTTATGACCTTCAGATGATTTACATCTAGATTGTTAAGATGATTTTGATTGTTGTAAATGTTTAGGACTTTTGACTTGTTTTGATTGATAAGATGATCTTGATTAATCCAATATTGATTTCTTAGATTATTCAATAGATTATTCTTATTGATATTATTTAGATTTTTTAATAATTTAGTCAATATGATCCTTTGGTGAAGATTGTTATTTTTCTTAGAATAACTCACTCCTTTAACTAGAATGTTCTTCACTATCCAAAATTGCCTAATAAATTTGACTTTATTAAGATTATACACTTTTATTCTAATCAAAAGGCTTGGTAAATTGAGTTTGGAGTTTTTTTATTTCATCAACATATGCTGATTAACTTAATTTACTTGATGATTTATTATTAACAGAATCTTTCTTTTTTGTACTTTAAATTAAATACTACTTTGAATTAGAATGAGACTTTCTTGTATTCTATTAAGGTTAAATAGATTTTTTTTGTTAAGGTTGTTGCTCATTTTAATCAATATCTCTCAATTAACCTTTATAATACTTTATTAGTTAAATGCTATTTCTTTCAGGAGATGAATTCTATTTACTTCCATGTAAGGCATCAGAGATTCTCTTATATGAAGTTGACATAGAGTTTTGAAAATACTTATAATTTGATAACTTATTCTTTCGTTCAGGACTAGGAGAAGCACTAGTTTATCTTTAGATGGGTTCTTATTTTTAAAATTAGATTTCAAATAAATCTTCAATTTCTTTAATATTATTAAGGGTAATAGGTTATCTAATTTAAATAGGATTTTTATGATCACTATATGGAACTACAATAATAAAATAAATATACACATCAAATCTTTTGGAGAAGTGCAATTTTTAACTAATCCACTTTAATAAATTTCAATCAATTCTCCAAATCTCCACATCCCTTTAGCCCATTATAATTCATCTTCCTTAAATAAATAAATGCCTCTTCCATGATACTTACCATTTTCAAAGAAACCTTAATATATTTCTCCAGATGCTTATTATAATCTACCTAAACCATTCAAAACACCATCTTTAAATTATCCACATTGAAATAATCCATTTTAAGGAACAAATATACCTAATCCATTAGGTGCAACTTTATTTGCAGCATTCTTTCCTGTTATACCATAAAATGTTCCATCTAACCAATCAATCGTTTATAAAGCAGTACTATTGTAACATTAAACACTCTTTAAGTTTGGAATTTCACATGATTAATCTCTTTAACTAAGACCTCTTGTTGGTTTTCCATCTTGAAATGCTATTGTAACTTCTCCTTATTTGAAATAGGCAGTCATGCTTCCATTAGGTAAACCGTTGAGCCATTTACCATTATACTTTGCTTGTCTTGTTTATATGAGACAATTTCCATGTAATTTTGCTGAATTAAATTATCCTTATATAGTTGTTTTGGGAGGTAAGAAAAGTATTCCATTGCCATCTATTTAATCTGATTTCCATTCACCAAAATAGGCAGATCCATTCTCCCATAAATAAACTCCAATTCCTTGTTTATATCTAGATTGTAATGTTTATCCTTGGTATATTCCATCTTTGAATTCAAGTTGAGTTATTATACTATTGCGCATTGCCGTTAATATTATAATATTAGGAGGGGAAAATAATATATAAAAATTTAAATTCTTTAATGCCTCGCGAAATCATCACACTTCAAGTTGGATAATGTGGTAATCAAAGTAAGTGTATAATGAAATACTTTTAGTTGGTATTGAGTTTTGGAAATAGTTAATCAAAGAGCATGGTATAAATAATGAGGGAATTTTGGAGGAATTTGCACTCTAAGGAGATGATAGGAAAGATGTGTTCTTCTATTAAGCTGATGATGAACATTACATACCAAGAGCTTTATTGATAGACATGGAACCTAGAGTTATCAATTATATATAGACATCATAATTTTCTACTCTCTTCAATCCTGAGAATATATTTATTTCAAAAGATGGAGGTGGAGCAGGAAATAATTGGGCATGTGGTTATTCATAAGGTGAAAGATACTAAGAAGAATTGATGGAAATGATAGATAGAGAAGCAGATGGATCAGACAGTTTGGAGGGATTTTTAATGCTTCATTCAATTGCTGGTGGTACAGGTTCAGGATCAGGATCATATATTTTGGAAAGATTGAATGATCGTTTTCCCAAGAAAATTATATAAACATACTCTGTGTTCCCTAATCAAAATGAGACTAGTGATGTTGTTGTTCAACCCTATAATTCCCTACTTACTCTACGTAGATTAGCCTAAAATGCAGATGCTGTTGTTGTATTGGACAATACTGCTTTGAATAGAATAGCTGTGGACAGACTCAAAATACCCATACCAACTGTATCTCAAACCAATTCACTAGTGGCTATGGTTATGGCTGCTTCTACAACTACACTTAGATATCCTGGATATATGAATAATGATTTAGTTAGTATTTTGGCTGGATTAGTCCCAACACCTAGATGTCACTTTTTAATGACTGGATATACTCCTTTGACTATTGATAGACATGTATATATTTATATTCAAATTTAGATTTCTTCTGTAAGAAAAACCACAGTTTTAGATGTAATGAGAAGATTACTTTAGACTAAGAACATCATGGTTTCAACATCTACTAAGAATGGAAATTACATTTCTATTTTAAATATCATTCAAGGAGATGTCGATGCTACTCAAATACATAAAAGTTTATAAAGAATTAGAGAGCGCAAACTGGCCAGTTTTATTGAATGGGGTCCTACTTCAATTTAAGTAGCACTTTCAAAGAAGAGTCCTTATATTGAGACTTCTCATAAAGTTAGTGGACTTATGTTGGCTAATCATACCAGTATTCATTCAGTATTATATTTATGAAACGGTTTTAGCTTTTTGATAGAATATTAAAACAATATCATAAGTTGAGAAACAGAAATGCTTTCCTTGATTAATACAAAAAAGAGGCTATGTTTAAGGATTCACTTGATGAATTTGATGAATCAAGAGAGTGTTTAGAATCCTTAATTAGTGAATACAAAGCAGCTGAATAAAAAAACTATTTGGATTGGGGTAACGATGACAATATGAGAATCGAAGAGTAACAATGAAAATTTATATATTTTTATTAATTAAAATAAATGGGTAATTGTACTAAGATGTGTTATGTTAGTGAAGGTGTACAATAACTTACAAAAAAGGAAGAATTTGCAATTGAAACTGGAATAAAGAGTGATGATTTGATTATGCACTCTACTCATGGGAAATCAAAGGAGAACAAAGATGATTAATATTCATAATGTTCTAATAAAAGTGCTCTTCCTTAAATAATTTCTATTGAAGATGAAATCTTAATATAATCTACTTTGAATTCAAGTGTTCCTGTAAAACTAAGAAAAATATTAATGGAGGATGATGCTTACTATGAGGGAGAGTGGATGCAAGGTAAACGTTGGGGATAAGGAGAATAAAGATGGCCAGATGGGTATGACATATCTTATTTTAAGTTTCTAGGTCAACTTATAAAGGGGAATGGAAGAACAATAAGGCTAATGGGTATGGTATTTTGACTCATTCTGATGGAGATGTCTACAAAGGAGAATGGTTAAATGACTAAGCTCATGGAAAAGGAGTCTACATAAACTTCAACCAAGCTAAATATGAGGGTGACTGGGTCGAAGATAGATAAGATGGATACGGTGTTGAGAGTTGGCCTGATGGTTCTTTATTTGAAGGTAGCTGATTGATAATATATCTATGCTCAGGGCATTACAAACAAGGTAAGAAAGAAGGCTTTGGAAAGCTAACATATCCAGATGGTTCAAAGTATGAAGGCAATTTTCAAATGAATAATCTTCACGGACAAGGAAAGTACATTTGGCCTGATGGGAGGATATATGAAGGAGATTGGGTAAATAATTAAATGAATGGGAAGGGAATGATGAAATGGGAAGATGGTATGGAATGCAGATTATCTAGGGAGACAGTATGAAGGAGAATACAAGGAAGGATAGAAGCATGGTTTTGGAACATTGATATGGGAAGATGGTCATAAATATGTAGGTTAATGGATAATGGGAAAATAAGATGGAATAGGTGAATATTTCTTTACTAATGGTACTTCTCGTAAAGGAGTATGGAAAGAAGGCAAACGGATCTAATGGGATTGATTATTTAATAAATACTATGTAAAATCATAATCCTAATGATGAACTCAATTTAGAGAATGATAAGTTTTCTAAATAGTTGGATCAGGATGGTAATCAACCTTGATAATCTATCTAGAACGCATTTTGTTGTCATGCAACTTGTTTAAATTTAATGATTACAAGAAGAGACAAGAACGTAGTTTGTTAGTGTCAACAAAGAATGTAATAAATCTTAAAGGCACATGTATCATCTTTATTAATGTTTACTCATTAGCAATTAAGAGAAAGATTCCATATAATAAGATAAAGGCTATAACATTGTCCTCAATAGGTACTGAATTTGTAATCCATGTTCCAGATGAATATGATTATAGATATAGCAGTTATGACAAGTAAGTAATTACATGAATGATTAATAGACGCAATAAAATAGTATCCAAGATCTTAGAAGGATATAGTTTATTCACTAAAGCTAAACTAGCAATGTATTATAATCATATATATTGTATTTAGTTATTTTAAAGAGGATGTATCATTATACAATTATGCTACTACTAAAAGTGATAAGAAGAAGCATGTCTCAAAGATCCCTTCTGAATAACCTTAATATATGGATAACGAGATGTTTGCTTAAATTTTAGAAGGAGAGACTAAAGAGAAAGATGATGCACGAAAGAAAACTTAAACATTATGGGCAAGAGAGAAAGGGAAGGAAGTTACTTTAGATGACTTCTCAATCTTGAAAGTTTTAGGTAGAGGAGCATTTGGGCAAGTTATGTTGGTTGAGAAAAAAGACACTGGAGAATGGTTTGCTATGAAAACAATAAGAAAAGAAGATATTATAGAGAAAGATTAACTTGAACATACAAAAACAGAAAAAATGATATTGGAACATGTAAATCATCCATTTTTAGTGAATTTGGCATATGCATTTTAAACTCCATAGAAATTGTTTTTCATAATGCAATTTATGAAAGGAGGTGAATTATTTTAACATTTAAGAATGGCAAGAAAATTTGATGAAAAAAGAGCTAAATTTTATGTTGCTGAATTATTGTTAGGATTAGGACATCTACATAGTAAAGATATTGTTTATCGTGATCTTAAATTGGAAAATATATTAATGGATGATGTAGGTAATGTATTCTTAACAGATTTTGGAATGGCTAAAATAGTACGTAAAAATGAATTGGCAATGACATTCTGTGGTACTCCAGAATATCTTTGTCCAGAAGTCATTCTAGGATATGGTTGTGATAAAACAGCTGATTGGTGGAGTTTAGGAATACTTACATATGAAATGATGTATGGATTGCCTCCATTTTATAATAAAAATTAAACGATTATGTTTAAATTGATTAAGGAAGCTGAATTAAGATTCCCTGAAAGACCAGAAGTAAGTAAGGAAGCTAAAGATTTTATTTCAAGAGTAAATCTTTATAATATATAAGTTACTTGTAAGAGATCGATTTACAAGATTAGGAGCTAAGGGTGATTTCTAAGAGTTGATTGCACATCCTTGGTTCAAAGATATTAATTGGGAATAGTTGATTTAAAAAAAAGTACCTACTCCTTACAAACCAAGAGTTTAAGGGGAATAATGGTTGGATGGTTTCGATAAAGATTTCACTAGTGAAGGTAATATTATATATAATATAATTTAGATCCAAATAAGGTAATTGATGATGATCACTCAAAACCTTAAAAAGATTACGAATAACAATTCAAAGATTTCTGAAATATATTAACATATGGATTAAATCATTAATTAATTCCCTTATAAAATTAATAATTTATTTATTTGATTTAAGATAATAAATCTGAAAGCATCCAAAATATCAATAAATATAAATATAATCACAAAAAAGCTTAGATTACCTAATATTATAATAATTTAAATAATACAGTTCCTGAACTTATAGAATAATTTCCTAATTAATTCTAATCTATTAATTCTCTTCCATTTAAAAATAATCTGCAAGTTTTCTCATTTGCAACCTATAATATGATTTACTTAATTTCTTAAATAGTAGAAGTGTTTTAAGTAGAAATTTCAAAATCTTAAGGCAGTTTACTACTGCGAACTCTCACCTAAATAATTTGTTTTAATTACTTTTAAGATAGACGTTTCAAAATTCAATTCAAAATTTTGATTACTACAAAATGTAGGTTCATTAATTACAAATATTGGAACTTGATATATTTACTCTTATTTAAATAACAATTATACTATCTTTAACTAATAACTAAATGGAATTTCTAATCAATTTGAAATTGGCTTAACTGAGAATTTGAAAAGCTAAGGCTATAATATATTATAAATAAATATATTACATTCATCTTCTTAAGATAATGCCTTCCTTATAAGTTACCATTCAGAACTATCTTTATGACTATCTTGATATAATTTATAACTCTACTCCAAAACTAATTTTATATTAAATCCCATTCAATTCTTGATAAATTAGTTGAATATTGATTAGTTTATTTGATTCCTGTTCCAATATACTTATTTGGAATAAGTGTAAAATTATTAGCATATCTATGATTAACATTCCCAGGGTTATTAATATCTAATAATTGTATGATTAGCTATTCTATAATTCTCAGAACATACCTCTTCCTTTGAAATCATGTATTAACTCTTATTGGAACATACCCCCATTTTAATTATATTTATACATATAATAAATATGTTATTTTCAAAAGTCTGCATCTTCACCATCATCATCTAAATTTTCAATTCCATCCTCATCTTCTTCTTCCTCTTCTTCTTCATTTTCACCACCACTTAAATCATCTATATCATCTAACTCTCCATCTTCATCCATTTATTATTTATTAAAACCTCCATGTTATTATCTCATAAATTCATTCTTTCGTTTTTCTTAATTACTTGATTATAATCTAGAATCATCTCCTAATTATTCTAATTAATCATCATTTCCGTCATCATCTCCACCTCTTAAATCAATTATTTATGCCTTCTAAATTGCACCTCTAACACCTTATAATATTTAATCTTTCTTTTTCTATTCCATTTCTGCTTATTTATTTTAAGCATCTAAAACATGTTCTAAATATACAAGATTTCTAAATTTCTCAACATAAATCTAAATAATTAAAATCTTATTACTTAATATAATTTTTCTAATTCATATTCTTATCTATCATATTCTTCTTAATAAGCAGGTTTAACACTTGTCATCCCTTTTAATCTTTTCTCAGCTTATTCTAATTCCTTTGTTTTTCTCTTAATTTTTTCTTCAATCTATTTTTGTTCTCTCTCTAAACCACTTACATATTTAGACATATCTGATATGCTTTATTCTTATTATTTCAATATAGTTTAAATGCATTTTTAAATATAAGATTATTCAGATTGTGAATTCCCACTTCGAGATACATTTGATAAGAATTATAATGCTTTTTCCTAAATATAAAATTTGAATTTAATACTCTTGCTATTCTCACTTCATCCTCTTTTCCTAATTAATCATATAATCTTGTAGCTAAATCAGTAATCTCTTATGCCAATACTTTATGACTCTTAATATTACTTAATTTAGAGGGAAGTGACTTTGATATATCAGATTAATATGCTTACGAAATCATGCACTTCCTCCTCTTCTGCAGGTAAGGAGATTTATGCTTTATATAAAAAAGTTGAAATTTTCAAAATTTCTTGAACTGCATAAACATCAGCCATATATAACCTCTTTGGATTTATTTTGAGTCTAGCTTTACTAACAAAAAGAGTAGTAATCTATTTGATAAATTCAACTCGATGACGCTATATTTTAATTTACATTTATTACTTCTTCATCAATATTATCTGATATGTCTGTATTTGGATCATATTTCAAGGCTAACCAATATAAGATATCTGCAACTAATTCAAAATTAGGTCTTCTAAAGTTCTCAATCGAAATGATTCTATGATAACCCAAAGCCCTCATTTATTCACAGAAGTTACGAAGTTCTCTATATGACATTTATTGATATTATTAATATTTGAAATTATAACATATTTAAGCTTAAGTATCATTTTCTATGATGAGAATGATGTTTATTATTTTTTTTATGTTTCTTATGACTTCTACTTCTACTTCTTGATTTTATTTATTCTTTCTCTTCCTTTTATACTTAACCTTATTCTTATTCTTATTCTTTTTGTTATACAACTGATTCTTAATTCTACAATTCTTCTTCTAAAACACTTTTTCTTGGTTCTAATTAACCTTATTCTTCTAATATCCATCTTTTTTAATATCTTGGTAAAGAAATTCCAAAAATATTTTCTTCATTTAAAAGTTTTTCAGCTAATTCATCCATATGCCAAATTGCAAATGTACCATCTAAATTTCTAATTCTAATTTTTCTAAAATCTGCATAAAATTATTCAATTGCTGGATATGCTTCCTTAGGTTTTGAAGTCAATCTAATATAAAACATAGCCAAAGCACTTATGTATTTATAATCTTTGCTTTTAAGAAATTCAATAATAATTTCTTTTTCTGGATTAATTTACAAAAGTTTCATTAATAAACAAAGGAATGGCAAAGGTTTTCCAGTACCAGAGTATGTTACACCTATAATATAAAAATTTAATGATTTTACCTACACAATCTAATTTACAGGCTTTATCAACTAATGTTACAGCAGTTAATCCAAAACAATCTTCTTTCCAATATCTGCAATTGAAAACTTTATTTCTAATGATTTAATCAATCAAAGTCATTTATCTACCATCATTTGCTAGATGTTATTTCTCTTATTATTCATCATCATCCATTATTAAATTAAAAATGTAATTATATTTCTATATTTTTAATCCATTTCACATTGAGAAATATAATTTAGGAATAATAAAGAAATGAATATATTAGAAATGTAGTTTTTTATACATTAAAACTAATTTGAAATTTCAATTTGTTTATTAATTATTCAATAAAAGCTCTCTCTCTCTTTTATTATTATTGATTCTTATTAAAATTAAATAGACAATATTAAAGAAATTATCAATTCAATATTATTATTCAAATTATTATTATTATTATTAATGAATTATTTTCATAATTTCAAATTTTTGTTCAATAGTTTAATGGATCTGTATATTTAAGTCAATCAACATTAAGCAAGTAAAATGAATCAATATTATTAATTAATTAATCAAAAGAGATAATGAATCTTATTTTGATATCGATATTCATTTTGATTATTATTATTATTGAATAAGATCATATTGAATGATTTATAAAATGAATAATGGAAAATTTTGGAATAACTAAAATATTCCTTAATTTGATCATAATGAAACTTAGAAAGGTTTAATGTCAAATTTCTATAAATTTGGTAAACGATTAGGTCAGAAATGCTTACGTCAGTACATCTTAATTAGACAATACTTGTTATATACAGATATTGGTAATTCTTAACACATTAAAGGAAGTGTTAGATTAGATGGAGTATATGCATCATTTTAAATATCTAATTCAGAATTTCAAATATATCTAAAAAATAATGGATTCCAAATTGTTTTATACACAGATGATCTAAATCAATATGAGATATGGACTAAATTTTTATCAAACTGTTGTATACTTACAACATTTAATGAGGATATTATAATTGGGAATCTAATTGGAAATGGAAGTTTCTCAACAGTACTTTTCTATATTTAAAAAGGTTTATGAGGGTAGAAATAAAGAAGGAGATGTATTTGCTATTAAAGCAATACCTAAGAAGAAATCAAAATCATTGTCAATTAATAATTAATATGAAGAATAGTTGTTAAGCGAAATTTAAAGTTTAAGAGAATTAGACCATATAAATATTTTAAAGCTTAACCGAGTTTATGAGACATCAGAAAAATTATATTTAGTTACTGAATTTATTCATGGTTATGAATTAATCTCAAAAGCTACCAGCAAAGTTGTCTTTTAAGGATATGAATTGTTAAGTTTCATTCATCAAATGTTATTGGCAATTAAAGAGATGCATGAACATAACATAATGCATAGAGACATCAAACCATAGAATATCTTATTAAAAAATGGCCAGCTATCTTAACCAAGACTTATCGACTTTGGATTGGCTGTAAGTACTAAGAGAAAAGGAATGCCATTTCCATCATGTGGATCTCCTGGGTAAAATTCAATAATATTTCTTAGTTATTCAGCTCCAGAAATAATAAGATATGATGAAACCAAAAAATAATATAGTGGATAGTGTGATATATTCAGTTTTGGTATTACTTTATTTGTTATGTATTTCAATTCAATAATATTAGACTCTATGGATATAATCCATTTAAGACTCAAGATTAAAAGTCAACTATTAAAAGAAATGCCAATGCATATTTTGAATTCCCTAATTCCCTTTATCCATAAGAATGTATATACTATTATCATTTTATATATAGTAGAACATTTGATTTTATAAATGACTAAGAAATATCCAAAGGATAGAATAACTGCTGCATAGGCTCTTACTCATCCATTTTTAGAGACAAAACTATACTAAACAATTTAATTACCTAAGGCTATCTTATCTAAATAACAATATGAAATGAGCAAAAACTATAATAATATTAATGTTCATGCCAGTTTAGAAATGGATAGAGACTTTGGATTGAATTATGTCATAAAACTATGTAGTTCATCTCCTTAAAATAATAAAAATCTTACTTTATCTAATCAAAATAAATATTTAGATGAATTTCAATTAGATTATATTGAAGCCTCAGTCGATATTAATCATATAGAAAAATTAAAGATGGGTCAAAGATATTTTTCAAAATAGAAGTCACAAATCAACATTTAACTTTGATAAAACCTCATTATTTGTTAATTGCATTATACTAAAATAACAACATAAATATCTATTATTAACTATATTTAATAAACCAATCTTCTTACAAATGCCATTTTTGCTAAATGTTGTCAATCCAAAAACAAAAGAGCCAAACATCTTTTAATTAAAAATTAAAGGTAAATTAATACTCTTATATATATAAATTCTGTTGATACAAAATATATTTTAAGGTCTAATACTTTTTAATTGATGATTTAGAATTCTCATAATATTTATATGGATATTAAATAAATTTTATGATAATTGAAGTAATCATCATAAAATCAGTTGGGGAAAAGATTGATAAATATTGCATAATTAAATTTAATGTAAAAGAATTTATTAATCAAAAAGATTAATAAAGTAAAATTGATAATACTTTTGTAGTATTTTAGTTATTATATTTAAAAAATATTATTATGTTTATATTAATGAAAAAAGCAGATCCATTAATTATTTCAACATTTCATTATAATGCATTATACATTTTTTCATATTAGAGGTCACATTGATTATATTTAAATTGTATATCAAATAATAAGACATAATTTAAATATGAGTTCTATGTAAGAATTCAAAGTTAAAAAGAAAAAATATATTTTTCAAAGAAAGTAAATCATTTCCTAGTTGTTAAACTTCTTCTATCTTATAAAGATGATACATATCTAAAAGATAAATCTAAATTATATATAATATTAGAAGGTAGTATTACTTTTAATTATGCAATTAAACATAAGGACTAAAAATATAGAGAATGATGGTTAATATAATATTAAAGTTTAAAGGTCAATGGATTAAATGTAAAATAAAATGTAAGATTTTAGAAATTAAAGTTATTCAGAAATGAAATATAATGATTTTCTATAGATGGATGGATATATTAATATATAATTAAAATAAAAGGTATTCATATAATAAGTATTCAAATTAAAATATATAACTCTCTTTTATTAATTTGACAGATATACATTTGAATATTTCTAAATGTTTTATTAGGATTCAAAAGAAATGATAATTTTATAATTGCATGTTGATTATTAAATTACTTATGCATTTAAAATATAATCATAAACAAAAATTAATATTCAATTAAGATGTCATATATCAATAAATTGCTTGTTGCTAATAGAGGTGAAATTGCTTGTAGAGTAATGAGGACAGCCAAGAAAATGGGTATAAAAACTGTAGCTGTGTATAGTGATATTGATAAAAATACTTTATTTGTTGAGATGGCTGATGAAGCTTATAATATTGGTCCTCCATAAGCTTGTAATAATGAGTTTATATATGTTAGTGCAATCATATTTAAGGAGTGACAAAATTATTGATGTTGCCTTAAGTACAAAGAGTCAAGCTATTCATCCAGGATTTGGATTTCTTTCAGAGAATGCACAATTTTCTGAAGATTGTCAAAAAAATGATATTGTAATAAATATCTTTAATCTCTTTCAAGATATTTGTTGGTCCAGGTGCTGATGCAATTAGAAAAATGGGGTCTAAAAGTGAGTCAAAAATTATCATGACAAATGCAAAAGTGCCAGTTGTACCAGGATATCATGGAGAAACATAGGATCCCAATTTGTAATTATATTTTTAAAGTGATTAGTCTACTTCAAGAGGCTGAGAAAATAGGATTTCCAGTTTTAATAAAGGCTGTTATGGGTGGTGGAGGAAAAGGAATGAGAATAGTGAGATAGAAGTCTGAATTCTTAGAGGCTTTAGAAGGTGCAAAAAGAGAAGCATTAAAGAGTTTCAAAGATGAAAGAGTGCTTGTTGAAAAATACATTGAAAAGCCTAGACATATTGAAGTTTAGATCTTTGGTGATAAACATAATAATTATGTTCATTTATTTGAAAGGGATTGTTCAATATAAAGAAGACATTAAAAAGTAATAGAAGAGGCACCATCTGCTTTAGATGAGAATATAAGATATGATATAGGAGAAGTATGATTTAATTAATTAAATTAGAAAGCAAAAGAAGCTGCAAGAGCAGTTAAATATTCAAATGCAGGAACTGTAGAATTTATATTTGATTTGGATTCAAGTAAATTCTATTTTATGGAAATGAATACAAGATTATAAGTAGAACATCCAATTACAGAAATGATTACAGGGGTTGATTTAGTTGAATGGTAACTTAGAGTTGCAAGTGGAGAACATTTACCATTAACTTAAGAATAAATTAAAAGAAAAGGTCATTCTATAGAAGCTCGTATCTATTCAGAGAGTCCAAATAATAATTTTTTACCAGGGAGTGGCAAACTTGATCATTATTCTGAACCATAACCATCTCAAACTGTTAGAATTGAAACTGGTGTAAGAGAAGGTGATACTATTTCTATCTTTTATGATCCTATGATTGCTAAGTTGGTTGTTTATGGAGAAAATAGATAAATGGCTATCTAAACTCTTTTAAATGCTTTATAAAATTATTAAGTAATGTTTTATATTATTATTTTAGATTCAAGGTTTACCTAATAATATATCATTTTTAAAAACTGTTCTCTAACATCCAGAATATGTAAATTAATAATATGATACCTCCTTCATTGCTAAAAATTAAGATAATTTATTAAAATTAAAAGACAATTATAATCCTATTGATATTGCTCTAGCTATTGCTGGTAGACATTTTCTAAATTCAGTTCAGTTGCCAAAATCACTATTAAATTTTAGAAATGGCGCTTAAATTAATAATAAATTAACTTTAAATATTTAAAGTGCTTCTTATGCAAATTAAAAGGAAATTAAAATTACTCATAACATAAATGGAAATAATCATGAATTAGAAATTGAAGGATCTAAGATTATAGTACAAAAAGTAACTAAAAGTAATGAACATAACAATTTATTAATTTTTGAAACTAATCAAGGCATTTTTATTAGAACAATTAGAAATAAAGAAAACATATTGATTTTTGATGCTGAAGGAGATCCTATCACAATTACTGTATCTTCTGATGAAGTTAAGAAGGTCAAATAGGATCAACATGGACATGGTAATAATAAAGAGATTGTTGCTCCTATGCCTTGTACTTTGACTAAAGTTAATGTAACAGTTGGATAAAAAGTAAAAAGAGGTATTGACTTTTACATTATTATTATAGGTGATATTTTAATTATCATGGAAGCTATGAAGATGGAACACACAATTAAGGCTGCTATAGATGGTGAAGTTAAAGAAATAAGATACAAGGAAGGTTAATTTATTGAACCAGGAGCTATGATTGTTAAATTAGAATGATATAGAATTTATAAAGCTATATTGAATATTCTATAAAATAGACCTAAACCTTATAAATAAATCTTTTTTAATAAACATTTTAAATGACTCTTTAAATAAATATTTCTATTATTTTCTACCTATTTCCTAACAATTTAATAATACTTTTTATTCTTTATTCTTTACTCAGATTTGTCTCAGTAAATTCAATACTTATTAAATTTTTAATAAAAAATGGAAAAAATAGTACAAAGACATATATTTAAAACTTTTATTAAAGTATTTGTGTTTGTATCCTGTTAATTTCTTTAAATAAATAGAAAAGTATAAAATCTAATAAATAAGAGATATTTTATGGTATATGTACTTATCTCATAATTAGAAATTATTTAATCCTGAATATAAAAATTTACTTAAAAGTAAAAAGTTATTTAGTTAATTACAGATAAAATTAATTTGAATCATTCTTATTTGAAATATCTTTTTGAACTAACTTACTTGCTTCTATAATTAATTTTTCTCATTTTAATGACTTTTTATTATTCATCATCATATATCAAAATTATGTAAAATCATTAAATTATTGATTTTATTAATAATTAATCAGAAAAATAGAAATAATTAAACTCCTAGATTTATTAATTGAAGAGATTTTACCTAGCTCTATTTAAAATTGCTTCTTCATTTTCAGAGGTTTAATTTAGCTAATGTCAACAAAAATGATAAATTCTTAAGAATATATTCAACTGCTTTACATAAGAGTATTATAGTTGCTTCTTATTCACTTGATAAACTAACAAGTTCATTCCAAATATCTACACTATTAGGAATAAATTCAAAGGCTCTTTATAATAATTGAATTTTAGCATAAGTTTTTCTTATTCTTTATTTCCATCATTCAACCAAATTTTAACACTATGCGATAATTTTTAAATAGCCTTATTAAGTATCAATTGGACTTTCTCTGAGGTTTCCTATGTTGATAATTCAATCCATAAATCTTATTAATCTTCTAAAATTATAACAGTATCATGAACTGGCTTAATCTTGTCTTATTTATATTTCTTTATTGAATAATATCCAATATCAGAAATTGATAATTATACCACTTTTACTAATTCTCTTTAAATTAATTAGCAATTCATGGTTTTTCTTCATATTATTAGGTATTATTATTGACTTTTTTTCCTCCATTTTTCTGTCTACACTATTATAAGTCAGACTAGTTTTTCTGTAATAATCATCATAATCTCCCATATCAAATAATGAAATTGAATGCCCTATCCTCATCCTCATATTTTGTATCATTTCAATCATTCTGATCATCATCCTACTCAATTCCTATGCCATATTTAAAGGTCCTAATTCATTTTTGATAATAAATCCTACTGCATCTCTCTCTTCCTTAACTTTATACATAATTACTTAGTTGATTCCTTGAATCCTTCTATTTCTTAAAATATTAAGATTATAATTCTATAGATATTGATTAATTAATCAAAATTAATTTTAAGTATATTTTTAATATTTTAGTAAAATTTAATTTTGAAATTCTGTTCTTTTTTTAAATAGAATCATTAATAAAGAAGGTTTATTAGATTCTCTAAAAAAATTATAAATGTAATTTTCTTAAGATTTTTCTTAGAAGATATTTTTCTAATTATTTTTTTTGAATTCATTCTAAAAACAATATATATATCTTTTCGAAAATAAGAATATATTTCTAAGTATAAACTTAGAATCAAATATTATCAATGTAATTCTATTAGGTATAGGTATTAAAAGGATATTATTTTATTAATATATTATCTAGATAGGAAGATTGAATATAGATATAGTTAGAAAATCTTAAGAATGAATCTTCTTATGTATATTATATTTATTAATAAATTTTAATCAAATTCGTTAAAAAACACTATTATCTAATCTTTTTAATTAATTTTTTTATTTGTTTAATGAGAAGTGCCCACCAATTAATAACTCAATTTGAACTTAATGGTTTCTGTTTACCTTAAATGGAAAAGAACATGTGTATAACCTTTTTAAAGGATCTCCTCTAATAAAGTCCAATAGATATGGATTTCATACTAGCCAATACATCACCATCTCAATCATAGAGAAGATTGTTAACAACTAAATCAAATATCCTCCATCTCTTAAATGAAGATAAAGATCCACATATAATCAAACCTATATTCGATTATAGTCAACTTGAAAATCTCATACCAAAGAAAAATAGAAACAAAATCAATGAAATAAAAACAAAAGTTGAAACACTGCTTAATAGCAATAATATAGATCCTCCCTTAACTATAAAAAAGAGGTATTTTATTTACTATTTAATATAGATGGTGGACAGAAGAAGAAGATTAATAACTTAAAGAATTAGTAACTTAGCATGGAGCAAAAAATTGGAAAAAAATAGCATCATATTTTGAAGAAAGAACAGATGTATAATGTTTACATAGATGGCAAAAAGTGTTAAATCCTGATTTAGTTAAAGGACCTTGGACTTAAGAAGAAGATGAATTATTAATAAAATTAGTAACAAATTGTGGTCCTAAAAATTGGAGTTAAATAGCTAAACATTTACCTGGTAGAATTGGAAAATAATGTAGAGAGAGGTATTGATTAATAATATAATTTAGATTTCACAATCATTTAGATCCTAAAATTAATAAAGAAAGATGGACTGATGAAGAAGATTAAACAATAATAGAAGCACATAAAAAATTAGGTAATAGATGGTCATTAATTGCTGGACTCTTAAAAGGTAGGACTGATAATTCAATTAAAAATCATTGGAATAGCACTTTAAAAAGAAGATTGAAAATGTAAAATAGATGGGAAGATCTTTAAGTGATACCAAGATAAGATGAAACCTTAGTTAAAGGAGTACCTAGAAGATAAGTATAAAGGAGAATTATGTATTATAAAACACCTGAGAAATTAATAAAGAGAGATCCAGTGTCAAGATAATTAAATTTCTAAACTCCATATTCTAATACTACTCCAAGTAAAATATTAGATTTTTATTTTAGAATCTGAATAAACACCTAAAAATTTAAGTATAGTTTATCCAAATCTATTAGTCAAAGATGCTTAAATGATGTAAGATTCTATGTTATAAATTAATAGAGATTCTTGTTAAGTATTATTCAAATAATTAAGTGAATTAACTAATATGGATCTTGATTTCAATAAATAATATAGTTACAAATGATAAAATTTATAATCAAAATATATTCTCCATATTATGAAAATGACATTTAATATATAGAAAAAAAATATTACAGTTTTTTTAAGATATAATTATAAGTATTCATAAAACTTCTAAATCAAATCCTATAAACTAACAAATCTATTTCTAAAGTAACCCTATCACTTCTGAGTTAGTTTTAACAATAAAGACAATCTAAATTCATAATTGCCTAATTTAAATGAAGGATTTGTGTTCATGACAAAAATTATATCTAAATTAGAGTTAAAAAATGCTTATATTGTTCCTCTTAAGATATATAACTTAAAATAGGGCTAAAATAAAAGGATCCATATAGAGAAGATACATAAAAATTGATTTTCTTTATGAAAATTCAAAAATTTATTTTAGTCTATCCGAAACAAAATTTTTGAGTCATTTATAATAGAACCAATGAGATTGAATAGGAATTTAATACTTAAAAACTGTCCTGACACTTAGTTAAAAAATGGTGAATTATAAAATAATTATTTTTATTATGTATTTCAGTTTATTTGCTTTGATTTTTTTTACTATTAATCTATTTCAATTATGTAATAATAGTAATAAAATATCCATGTTTTCAAATAGAGTCAAGGATTCCATTTTCTAAGATGAAATAATTTCCTAAGAGAATATATCATCTCCCTAATCAATTGATATGGAACCATTTTCAGATTTTGAATCAAATTATCACTGTACTATTTTTTTTTAATTTTACTTAATAGTGTCATTCAATACGAAAGAATGTTTATAATTTTAAGATACAGAAGATCAGGAAATGATCCTTAATATAAAAGAGGACGACACATCTCTTAATTCCTAAAATTAAGAGTTAAATAAAAGAAAATAAAAAATTTGGAATGATGAAGAAGATTAAAGACTCAAATATTTATTTGATCAATGTTAAGGAAAATGGAATGAAATTGCAAAACATATGCCTCAAAGGAATGCATCTTAATGTTAATAAAGATGGAGAAGAATAAATCCACCTAAAGATGTAATTTTATTAAATTATTTAATTAGTAAACAAGACATATCTGGACATAGGAAGAAGATGATAAATTAACATAATTAGTTTAAGATATAGGAAAGCAATGGGTGAAAATTGCGAAATGTAGTTTTATTATTTAATTTAGGTTTCGGCAATATAACAGGGAAATAAGCTAGAGATAGATATATAAATAAATTAGATTAATCTATAAAGAAATAACCTTGGACTTATGAAGAAGATATGTTCATTTTAGATTAGTATATCATCAACGGACCTAGATGGACAAAAATTTCAAATCATTTGAATGGAAGACCTGTAATTAAATATTTTCTATTTTTTATAGGAGAATCATGTTAAGAATAGATTTTATAGCTATATAAAAAGAAAATATTTAGGAGAATAGAATAGATACCAAATAATATATTCTTGAATTGCTTCTCATTTTCTCATCTCAAATGAATGAGAAGCTCAATTATTTATTGAGTTATATATATATACATCGCGTTATAAAGTATAAATACATATAAGAATTTTAATACATATTAGCTTTGTTCTAATATGAATAATTGATATCACTTCAATGTAGTAATTATATATTCAGTTTTTTCAAGAATTATAATATATTATATAATCATTAATATTAACAGCTATAAAATATTTAATAATTAATATTATTAAGAAACATTATTTATATCATAAATCATCATCATCTGGAGCTGGTTTGTTCATATTGATATCAACTTTGCCATCATCTCCCATCTTTACTTTCTTTCCATTAATTGTGACATAATCATCATTTTATTTTCTTTAACCTTTTTCAATGTCTTTACATGACTAATTATAGGTATAATAAATAGATTACATTTGTTAATTTGTAGCAAATTTCATCTTCAATTGTATCATTTCCTTTTCTATTCATTAAGGCTTCAGTCACTTCTTCTGACCATCCAGACATAAATGCTTCACATCCTTTTTTCATATCAGGAGGAGGATATTCATAAACACTGAAATTTTTCATTTAACACATCTCTGATAGAGCATCAGTAATATCTGATTCTCTTGTTGATGTTTTAACTTTCTTTAATGTTTCTCGAACTATTGCTTAGCAACTATTGCAATAAAGTAAAGCTTCAACAGTTGTAGGTCTTCTATCATCTGTCTTTTTCTTTTTTTTAGCAGCTTCCAAGAGGAAAATCAATGTCACAAAAACGAAAAGAATTTTCATTTTAATTAATAATACGTGTACTTTATAAATATTATTCTTCTATTCAAATTTTATATAAATTTGTGTTATATAAAATTAATAAATCTAAAAAGAGAATAAATCTAGATAAATATTTATTATTAAATTAACTAGAGTTTATAAATAGTGTCACATTGAATTTCAAATATAACTTTTCTTTTTTTAATCTTTTATTTAAACATCATAAGAGACTATATCATAAAATTAAACATAAACTAAATTATCAATAAAATTATAATAAACCAATAGAAATGAATAATGTAAAATAAGTAATATTGATATAAAAAATTTACAAATTAAGTATATTCTATTATCTTTAGATCTCCCTATAGACTATGCAACTACTTAGATGATTCAATATTATGAAGAATAGTTGTTTACTTATTATATCGAAAATTAATAAGCAATTTCAAAATATAAATCCATTTAAGATTATAATATGCAAATAAACTATATTGAGTTTAAAATTTAATACGCTTTATCATTCTTAATCACAAGTATATTTTTGGATCATAAATTGACATTCTAATAGTGATAAGCAATAAGATATAAATATATCATTTAAATAAAGAAAATATGGGGCCTATTAAGAAATTATAAGCATTTGTTTGTGCTCAAACTTTCTGGCCATAATTCATGGTTAGATGGTTTTAAGCAGAGAAAGGACCATTCACAATATTTTTCTATTGTCCTTTAGCAAAATGTGGAATATCTGTGGCTAACATATATGATATCATTAAGAAGCCTGTAGATACAATAAATCCTGTCCAATAATCTGTAATAGCAATGTCAGGAACTCTTTTTGCAAGGTTAAATGTAATCTTTAAAATAGATGGTGCTGGATACTTAAACCTAGATAATTTATGCTTGTATTTGCTAACTCAGTTATGGCTTCAACTGGAATCATTTAGTTATGGAGAAAATTGTAAGTATTTTGAAAGATTAGATTTAGTTAATCAGGGTAATCAGTGTGAAATATAGAATACGTATCAATATAATATATAAATATGAAGTATTACTTATAAAAATGATTGTCTAATGCCTATTTTATTCATTGATGGGATTTTAGAAAGAATACTATTTTTAGATTGTAATTCTTTAAAAAATAAATTATTTTTTTTGAGTAGAATAATATAGAATATTCTTATATCCTTATAAATAAGCTTAAAATAGATTTATTCTTGAAAAATATCTGAAATATAAATGAATTAGAAGTTAAACAAATTGTAAATTGAATAAATTCATATTCATTTATTTACATTTTTCTTTCTTTCATCCAATAGTAATTTAATTTGTTATACTACTTTTCCTTAAGCCCCAGCAACAATATTTACTGCTTTTTTAGGTAGCATTCCTTTAGGATCAGCCCAAGTTACAAATATACAAAATGTACCCTAATTAAATTTATTAAAATATAAATAATACTCCTTCTCTTTTTTCAAGAATCCATCCACCAATTTTTAGATCTCCTCTTACAACACCTTTAACAGGTGGATGATTTGGATGTTCCAATGATTTTCCAATAGCATATGTAAAATCACCTTCAACAATTTTTCTTGATATTACAACAAAGTCTCTTGAACTGATGACAAAAAACATAGATTTAAATTTTTAATAGAAAAGCATTAATTCATCAGAGAATCGTCTAATAATTTAACCCTAATTTTATTTATTATTTTACAGATTCACAAATTCCATCATACTTGGGTCTTAATGGTATGTCTTCAATGATTGCAAATATTTCATCTATTGTATATGGTAAAAAGCCTTCTCCTCTAGTTAGACATAAACCAGTTTCTGGATCTGGACGTATATGAATCTTAAATCCATCATCTTCTGAAAATTGTTACCATTGATTTTCTTAAGTCAAAGGAGCAATTTTTTTCAAGAATTAATATCCATCTATTATGATTAAACACAAAAACCTTGTCCAATCTGCATATAGGCTTCAATATCATATATTTCTGATTAAATCATAAATTAATATTCTTATATAAATGAAAATGTCACTCTTACTAACCGGTTCTTTTTATTTAGGATTAAGATCCAGTTGTTCCTGTAACAGATAGAGTATTACCTGTTCTTGAAGTGACTGTTCTTGAGGTTACAACAACTTCCTAGAATATATATATATATTAATTTATTACTTTCTTCTATGCACTCTTTTTGAGTGATTCCAATTCAGCTTAACACATAGTTAATTCTTCTTAGCATTTATTATATTCATGATTAGTTTTAATGAACTTTGATTTCCAAACTTCAACTTCCTATGATAAATATGTCACCTTCTCTTAAATCACAGTTGTTCCTTATGATTCTAATGATGTGTATCTATATTTCCAATCTTCTAATTCAGAATCTTTATTTTATAATTGTATTTATAATCTATCCAATTCAACAGTAACCATTGCTAATTTATTCTAATAATAACTATATATATGATGTATTACTTCTAAATCTCTTAATTACATAATGAGTTCATTATTTTTACTATAAGATTCTTATTCTATTGTTGTATATTTGGTTTTCCAATTCAATATATCTTGATTAGCTTATTAAAGTGATCTTTCTAATCTGGAAATCTCATCTCTTGCTAATCTCAATTAGTTTTCTAAATCTCTCAATTAACTTGTATCCTAAGCACTGGTCTATAATTAAGATAATTATAATCTTAATTATTGAATTTCTGTATCTTTATTTTAATTTGATTGTTTTAATCTATCATTATCACTTTAAGATTAAGAATAAAGAAGTTCTAGATCAGCTAATTGTCTTCTTAGTCCAGCTATCTAATCTTCTAATTGAGTTCTCATAGCAAAGAATTCTGCCTACATAGAACTTGCATCAGCAGCATTAGCACTATGTAAGGAAATATCTCCTCGTAAACTCTCAATCTAAGATTCATAATTATTTTTCATTTGCATCATTTAATTTTTAAGATATTCATTTTCTTATCTTAAAGTACGTAATTATGATTCTAATTACTCTACACGAGTGTTATCAGTAACTTTCTCTACTACTACTTTCTCAACTACTTTCCCTTCCTTCCTTCTTTCCAAATCAGCAATAATTGATTAAAGATATTCACATTCTAATCTCCAAGGAGTTTCTATTTCTTCTTTAGATACAACTACTATGTTCATACACAAAGGTGGAGCTTATTAACAATTTTGTTGTACACTATAGGTGCCAGGATATGACACCTAAGGTATTTACATATTTTATCTTAAAACATTTTGACTTTAAATTCTTGGAGGTGGCAATTGTTAAGTTTGTTTCAATGGAGCTTCACTTTAGGTTTATATTAGTGTTTTTTGTTATGAAATTTCAATAACTGGTTGCTAAATATAAATAGGTATCAATTACTTAGGTGACTATTTATTTAGTTTCTGAAGTTACTAATCTCATACCCTAAAGACCCTAATTTAAGAATTGTACTTTCTAATCATCACTTTTGAAGATTTCTTAACTCATCTTAATTTTTATTGCAGTTTTATTAAATAAAAATCAAGTAATAAATATAGGTTATATATCTTGTAAATAGTTGTATATTAGCAATTAATTTTATATTCATAAGATTAAAAGGAATAGTTTCATTTAATGAATCAGTATAATTTTATATCTAAATAGAATCGATAATTCTAATTATTAAATGTGGTTGGAATTTATTCTAAAATATTAATATATAAGTTTAAAAGTATTGTACTTAGATTCTCATAAATTATATAACAGATATTCTAATTTATATTTAATTGTTGAATGGTAAACTACTTCAAAATTTTTTGGAATATTTAACTTAATTAATTGATCAACTTTACAAATATAATATACAATATTATAATATTCACAATAAGCTATATTTATATAAATAAATTATATATCAATTAATGATGAATCCTATTTTATTATAATATCTAATCAAATTATACTAAATTCTAATTAAACATCAATTTATGTTCTGTTTATTAAGTTAATATTGAATGTTTACTGGATTATTACAATTTTATATAGAAATGAAATTTAAAATAGTTTCAGGCCACTATCTAAGAAAGCATGTAAAGTTTAATTAAAATCAATTAAATAAAAAAAGAATGACTATATAATTGAATAGAAATATATTTTTAATTTTGTTTTTAGATTACTTCAATTTTATTGAAATTTGAAAAATATTTATAAAGATGTGATAATATAATGGTAAAATATTGATACATATATATGATTATTTGTTATAATACATATGATTTTATTAAAGTTATATAGGATAAATATTTAACTTAGTTATCAAAGAGTATATAATTATTTGAATTGATTAAAAATTTAGATGAATAAATAAATTTGATCAGAATAAAAAGATAAGTTTTTCAATTTTAGAAATTATTGATTTCATTTATATGTTGTAATTTGATAATTAAATGTATAATAATTTATTTTTACATAAAAATATATATTATGACTCAATTAAATTATACATTTTCTTATTGATGAAAAGAGTTGAGAATTTAATAACAACTATTTATTTTATATCATAAATATAATATGTTATGGCAGATATCAAAAATTTTGTAAAATAATTCTTTGACTTGTTTTTAATAATTATATATATTTTTTAAAATGAATAGAAGATTATCATCAGAACAAGACAATTTAAGAATAAAAAGAGCATTAATGAGATAACAAATAAATCAATCACATAGAGTTGATAGAGAATTTGAAATTGATGAGAGATTTCATTCAGTTTCTATGTATATAAAACATGATGAACTCGAAATTGATGATTGTGAATATTATGATCATTAAACATGGGAACGATTAGATAGATTTGATTAAGTAGTACCAAATTAAAGAAATAATTGTTCATGGGTTATATATGAAGATTTTTTGTATATCTTTGGTGGATTCACATTTAATGGAAGATTAGATGATGTTCATAGATATTCATTTGGTTCTAATTAATGGTAACGTTTAAATACATCAGGATAAAAACCAAGTGCTAGAGAAAATAATGGGGCAATATAATATAAAGGTCACATGTATGTGTTTGGTGGATGTGATGGATTATTATGGTTGAATGATTTTTATTCTCTTAATCTAAAGACACTTTAATGGAAAAAAATTGAACCTACTGGTTAGTGTCCTTCTGAAAGGTTTGGTATAGCTTGTGGTGCTTATTAAACTAAAATGCTCATTTTTGGAGGATGTGATGGTAATCATTATCTTAATGATGCATATGTTTGGGATTTTGAGGAATAAGTGTGGAATAAATTGTAATTAATAGGAGATATTCCTTCTGCTCGTTCTTGTCCTTCTTTTAGTACATTAAATAATTAAATTTATATATTTGGTGGATTTGATGGGGTTAATAGATTAAATGACTTTTATAAAATAAATATCTTCACAGGAAAAGTTAAAAGAATAAGTTAACATGGTACAATTCCATGTCCAAGATATGTAATATTTTGAAATTATTTTATAGTTTCATACATCAGAAGTTTATTAAAATAAATTATTATTATTTGGAGGATTTAATGGATAGGCGAGATTAAATGATTTATATGAATTTGAATTTGGAAGTAAGACTTGGAAGAAATTAGAAGTTCATGAACCTCCAAAGGGAAGATCTTCTATGGTATTTTAATTATATAATGATTCTCTTTATGTTTTTGGTGGATATGATGGAGATGAATTATTAAGTGATATATACAAATTAGAATTCAAGAATGCTTAAGTTCCAAGATCTAGTTTTATTCAGGATTTAAGATCATTAATAAATAATCCTTAAATGAGTGATGTTGTATTCATTGTGGAAGATCATTAAATCTATGCCAATCGTTGTATTTTAGGAGCTAGGAGTGAACACTTTTAGACTCTATTTTTTGAAGAATTTAGAGATAAAGAATAAATCTACATAGAGATAACTGAATGTTGTTATTAGACTTTTATGGATATGTTACTATATATATATACAGATTAATTGGACATTTGTTTAAACACAAATAGATTATTGAGTTTGATAATATTATCTGACTAATATCTAATGTAAAGATTAAAATATTTATGTGAAGAGTAATTAATAAGAAAGATAAATTGCAATAATGTCATAGAGTTAATATTATTTTCAAAAAAGTAATATATATATATATAAATTAATTTTTATTAGATATAATTGTAGATTATTAAGGATCCAAACAATGAAATAATTAGTTGATAATATCACAACTATAAAGAGAAGAAAAGATTTTATTAAATTAGCATAAGAACCAGAAATACTATTAGAGATAATATAAAAAAAATGTTGATATATTTTTATTTAATTCACTATTACTTTCTCTTTAAATATTCTTAATATACTTCTTCCATTCTATTTTGAGATGGGAAATATTGTTCATCTCTAGTAATGAAACCAGCCCATAATCCAAGGGGTACTCCAATAATTCCTGATATTCTGGAAATAATCTGAAATGCTCTTGCCATTTGTTTTTTTAATTATTAATAGTATTGTAGCACATTAATTTTAAATGAATCTAGAATTCTATAATTGAATGGAAAACGACACAAATTAGAATATAGAAGTATGAACCCTTTTTAATAATGCTTTATCCAAATTGATGCATTAATAGGAAGAATTTAATACCAATTTTCATTATATTTTAAGATGAAGTTAAAGTAAATTAAAATTTTTTGCATTTTATTGGTATTTAAAAAGAAGGAAATTAGTGTTTCAAGTCCTTATGATGCAAAGAAAAAATTTGATATTAAGGGTTATCCTACTTTTTTATATGTGGAGGAGAATAAAACTCTTAAATTTTAAGATCAAAGGATAACTGAATTAATAATAAAGTTTATTTAAATAGATTATGAATAAACAAAAGAGATAAAGACATTTGTAAATTTTAGTTATTTGCTCAGAATTTTATAGAAAAATATTTCAATAATTTATGGATATTAGTAAAAACTAGATTAATCAATTAATTAAATAACAAATGATAGTTTTCAGATATATTATTTATGATACTTATGTATGAATGATTATAAGATGGAATTATTAAAAAAAAAGAAAGAGAATGGAAATCATATATTAATGTATATTTGGAATTAAACAAAATTAATTCTCTGCTTTTTTTTGTTAAAGTCAGAATTTATGATGCGATATTTTCAACAATTCCTATTCAGTCTTTTGAATCTCATTTTTTACATTATCAATGAAGTTCTTAAATATTTGGTTAAATTTAGATTTAAGTTGATCTAAATTATCTTATAAATCCTGAGATTCTAACTTAACATTCTACTCTTAATTGATTAGTTTTTTGGTTGATCTGGAAATTCGTTTCATCTTTTTATTTGCTTTATCTATTTTTTGTGTCTTTTTTGGTGATAGTGATATTTGCTACTTTTGGAGGTTGGCATCATTTAAGGAGGCATAAGTCTCTTTGATTTAGGCCATGATCTTGTCATACTAAGGTGTGGTACATTAGCGATCTTATTATTTACTATCTCTAAGAGAGATTGATCTGTTGGTTGGACTTACATTTTATTATTATTGTTATTATTTTTTTGGTCGTCCTCGTTTTTTTTTTTGCATGTTTATTATTGTGATCCAATTTCATACAGGATTCCATTATATGAAAAAAATCACCCAAATAATTAGATTATATATATGTGTGCTTATGTAATTACATTTCCTATTTGGAAAGGATAATAATGGTCAGCATTTCGAGGTCATATTAGATTGTCTAATGAGTAAGTATTGATTGCAAGATTCAATGATACAGCCTCTATAGAACAAGAACTGAGATTTTTAGAATAGCATCAAAGAGTCAAATCTAAGATTGAAGGAAAGTTTATCAAACCTGTTTACAATTTATTACCAATGATAGTTTAAGTAATAAAAACACCTACATTTACTGATGTGTTATTTGATAATTGTGTAGATTGGTAATTAACAGGTGGAAACTTACAACATCTTCTTAGAATATATTTTGCATATGACATATACAAAGGTTAACCACCAAGAGATTGTACACTTGAGAATATTATGCGCAATGGTGATTCTATAGTAGTATTAGATTTTGGATTAAGAAAAAGAGTAGAAAATTATTGTGCTTATTGGAATCCTATGATTTTAAAAGGCAAACAATGTTTATCATAATATTAATGGTCTTTAGGTATCATGTATTTAGTGATGACTAATGGATCATTTATAATAAATGAGATTAATAAACGAATTTCAATATGGCTTAATGGAGGAAAATTAGACCTTGTTTCATTAGTAACAGTTAAAAAACAATCGATTATCTCTTTAATATAATAACTTTTAAATCCTGAAAATCCTATCCCTTGGGAATAAATACCTCATCATTCAGCTTTCAGGGATGATCCTAAATGTAAAGCAATACTAAAATTGTATGAAGTAAGATCAATGTCAGATCTCAAAATTAGACCTGTTTCTCGATTAAGTAATAAATAATCTAGTAGAAAAACTTAAAGAAATTCATTAGTTTTACATGAAAGTACATCTAATAGTAATTAATCTACTTCAAATTAATCTCTAATTAGTAAAATTTCATCTTTATATAAAAATAAATTTATTGAAGAATATAAATAAAGATGTAATTCTTCTGTCAAAAATAATAAACAAATTAACAATTTCTTTTCTAATAATAAAATGAAACTTAAATTTGCTACTAAACAATCAGATAATACTGTATAATTAAGTTGTGATTTTCGAAGTCTTAGAACTGGATCCAACCTATCTAATTTCGGTCTCACTCAAAGAATTGATGATTCTGATGATAAAAAACTTAATCGAAGACTCTCATAATAAGAAATAGAATACGATAAAATTAGATCAAGAGTAAGTTCTATTAGAATGGCAATTAAAAATTATAAGGCTCGAAGTTTGAGACACCTTTCTTAAGACTCCAATGTACCTGTTTAAAATTCAGAAGAAATATCTCATCCTGATAATTATATCTAATTAATTAAAAGACCTCAAGTTGAAATTGAAATTCTTACATAAAATTATTTGAGATCTCTAGAATGCATTAATATCATAGGTTAAACTGTTGCTAAATCTATTGAATTCTTGGATGCATTACAAAACTTTTGGATTATTCCATTATTTTTAGTATTCAAAAGAATGCTTTAACTTAGATTAGAAGTTGAAAAATTTCTTGAAGCCCAAATAAATTCATTCAATATAGGTTAATGGAAAGAAGTATGTAATTCCAGAGAATATCTATAATTCTTAACTCGTATCAAATCAGATAATTATCTAGTAAGAAATGAAATGATTTTACTTATGAATGCTTCTCATACAAAAGCTGATCAACTTGATAAAACTAAGAGAGAAAAAGTCTTATGGTTCCTTAATGATAATTTAGATTCTAATATTTAACCTATTTGTTTATCTTACATGAAAGATTAATTACTTCTTGCTATTATTGAAAAAAGAGGATTATAAAGAGAACCTATTGAATGGCTAAAACTTTAGCTATCTCTAAAAGCTTCAATCATAATAACTCAACTACCTGTACTAGTTTGTGAAAATAACGAATTTAGTTATGAAAGATATTTACAATATCAAGATTCACAAAATTATGCTTAAATATAAAAATATTGCGAGCAACTAAAAATCATAATATGATTTTATTTATTTTATCTTAATTTAGATTCAAATTATATAATTTTATCATTTTTATTAATTGATTTATTTATTAAATTTATATCTTATAAATCCTTATATAAATTTTTCAATAATCTAATTTTTAATAATTATAAGATAATAATAAATTAATTCATTTTTGAATAGATAATTATCAATAATTTACAGTTTTTCTAAAAGTTCAATTATCACTATTGAACTATCTTATCTATACTAAATTATATTGAAACAATGGAACTTAATACTTCTGTTCTAAATAAAATAGATAAAATGATAAGAATTTACAATATAATGTTGTATATGAACTTTATTTTGTTTTAATTGTTTTAAATTTTATTATTATTATTATATATTTTACAATTAACATTTATTTGTTTTATAATATTAATTTATAAGTAATATAAATAAATATTTAATAAAATAATTCATTAGGAAGTTATTAAAGTTTTATATTTACAGAATAAATTAAAACACATTTAATCTTTTTAAAGATATTATAATAGATTATTGAGAATTAACATGTTATATTTTCTATAATTTAATAATATAATAATTAATAATGATTGGGAATAAAACATCATCTAACAGTGTAAATTTGGTTGATTTTATAAATCCAGCTTTATTGCATCCACCTTCAAGAAAAATATAGCTTATAGAATAAACTAAGACAATTAAGTTACTAAAGAGTTATCACAAAATTCCATAGATAGCCACAGAATTTCAATCCCCAATGATTGTGAATAATTTAAGGAATAAAAATGAGTCATTATATTCACTACCATTTTAGTAATAACTTTTGGAGAAAGATAGATAAATTACTAAAATTGAAAGTGAAACCTCCAATAAAACTAGATCAAATAATCCATTACACAGTTTACCATAAATTCCATTAGCAATTATTAATACTTAAGCTAAACTAATTGATTTAAGTCGAACCAATAATATGATTCAATCACCTTAAAATAGTGATACAAAAAGATCATTGATTTCTCCAAAATTGAAATCAAATAGTAATAGATCAAATAAAAATTATACTTGTAACTCTACAACTACAGGAAGTAGTAAAGATTCAAGTTCTCAAATAGCAAATACATAATAATCTAATCTGACTAAAAATATAATGGATTCTTATTATGGTAAGCCAAGAAAAAGAAAATTAAATGTCACTGCAAAAAGTTTTATTGTTTATGATTGCATCGAACATAAAACTATTTTAAAAAGAAAAAGTAATAAAAAAGTTGAAGTAGCTAGTTTAACTAAAATCATGACTTTTTATGTAACTTTATTAACAATTGAATTATTCAATCTAAATTTGAAATAGATAAAAGTTAAAGTGACAAAAAAATCATCTGAGACAATTGGTACAACTGCTGAATTAAAATATAATGATATTTTATCAATGGAGGATTTACTTTATGGATTAATGTTACCTTCAGGAAATGATGCTGCAGTTCTTATTGCTTAAGCTATTGGAACTATTATGTAAAAATAATATATCTATTGACTTGATTAGATTGTTTTAATAATAAAACAAGAGGTTGGATCTTAAATTAATTGATATCGAACAATTAAGTGCTGAAGGATATTATTATAATCATGAATTTAGATTCTAATATTGTCCTATTGAAGTTTTCATTAAATAAATGAATAAATATTCTTAGTAAATTGGATAATAAAATACACAATTTGCATGTGTACATGGATTAGCTAATGAAGATAATGTAAAAAAAGGATATAAATTAGTATTCTTGTTGCAACGATATTATAACTTTATCTATAGAATGTTTAAAGTATGAACTATTCTAGACTGTGATTTCATCTAAAGAATATGTAGTAAAATCACTTTATAAATAATATGAATGGAAAAACACAAACAAATTATTAGATAAAGGCTTTTTTGGAATTAAGACTGGTATAACTGACTCGGCTGGTCCATGTTTAGCAAGTGCATACCGTTCTAATGAAATGGATTATTATATTATTATTGTATTAAATTGTAAGAATATGAACATGAGATTTGATGACACCATTATTTTATTATAGCATGCAAAATTAAAAAAAATGATGACTCCGATTCCATACTGAAATCATAATTTACTTAAATAGATATTTGAATTTTATTTATTTATTATAATAATTAAATACAAAATCTCATAAATTAGGAATCATTAATTATAAAATCACTCAAAATCAGCCTTTTGATATCCCTTTGTTATTTATTATACACCTACACCAACATTAGCCATTTCCATTTGCAATTTATCTAAACAATTTTCACTTTTCACTTCCTATGTCATAAATTGATAAATTATTTATACTGGATTATTTACAAAATTATCTAATTATGCAAAATTTGTTAATTCTTCATCTACATACATTTCACTTAAAACGTACTTTTTTTCTTGGATTGTGAATTCAGTCTTTTTTAAAAAATTGTCTTAAACCCAAAACTTAAAATAATTTTTTGTTTATTTACTTGTAAACCATTCATAAAAACAGGAATTATACACATCACAATTACTAATTTAAGAGTTGCTAAATCTGAAAATGGAGATAAAATAAATTAAGAAATGCTTTCTAATATGAAACCAATTGCTAATTGCAATAAAAAAAGGAAGAATTTTGACTATTTTTAAATATATGAATTTTTACAATTGCCACGACTAATATCCATAAAATTAACTAAATAAACCAAGCCTTTAAATCAATTTTTATAATAGGTTTGATAAGATTAGTACCTGCTGGCACTTTATCTTTATTATCCATTTCATTTTTTTTCACTTGGTCATCCGGCATAATTATTAAAAAATAGTTTCCTGAACGATAATTCTAAATGATTGTTATCTTACTGCCATTTAAAAATGCTCTAATGTAATTTCAACTAATTTTAGGATTACATAACTAAATAATACTCCCATTGTTGTATCCAATAGCAATGTAGCCAAATACCTTTTAAATATAAATACTTAGCTACCAAACACATTCATCAGAATCACCTGACAAATGTATAGCCAATGCAACATTTAAAAAATGAGCAAAGACTTACGAACATCCTTATTTTGATGTATCTAATCCCCAAACTTTCCATTGCCTCTTTGGTTTCTCCACAATTCTTTTATCTAATCATAAGATTTATAATTACAAATCAAAATAAAGAATGAAAACACACCTAATAGAATTTGTATTCCAAATCCTAATGGTCCTAAAATGTCACAATCATCAGACATTTTTATAATTTATATAATTAAATAAAGTTGTTAAAAAGTAATATGAATCAAATTAAATGTGAGAAATGCTAAATTGTTCCTGAAAAATTTGTTTGCTTAGATTGTGAACATTCCTTTTGTTTATCATGTTTAGCAAAATTGTTTAAATAAGTAAATAACCTTTATAATTAATTGATAGCATGAAAATTAAATTGAATGTGTTACATGTTTTGACATAACTATATTAGATGATGAAACTATTAATGCTTTAATTGAAGTTAAATTACAATCAATTTAACCTCCAGTTATCATACCTTATACTACATCTAAAAAATAAAATAATCAAAAAGATTAAATTTAAATTAAAGGTCATCCATTTATTGAGAAACTAAATGTTTCTATTGAAAAATGTTTTGACAACATTCGGGTTATTTAATTTGATAGACAAAAGATAAGAGAAATTTCAAATAAAATTAAATAGGATCTTGAATCAGAATTTAAATCTTTGCATTTATATCTGGATGATAAATTTGAAGCATTTATGAATGAGATCTCAAGATTTGAAACTCTAAATTTTACTAATTTATAATAATAAGAAGATGGATTCTAAATAGATATAAAAGAAATGCAAATAATAAAGGATGAAATAAAAAGTTTATTATAATAGCAAAGCGGAATTTAAAATGATATTGAACAATTTAAAATCATATTGAAGGAGATTGATGAAATTACAATCAAAACAAATTAATAATATTAAAGTCATCTTAAACAATTATAAGATGAAATATATAAACTACCTCCTTAATGGACAGATTTTTCGAATGCTTATAAATAATTTTTCAAAACCTTCAATACAGGAAAATTATCATAAGTTATATAACATAAAAATAATATTGAAGATATAGAGAATGAATTAGAAAAAGAATCAAGCAGACTTTTTAAATAAACATAATTTATAACAGCAAATCGATTAGAAAAAATTCATTAATCATTAGCTAAGTAAATTTAATAATTATTTAAGTTAAATTTCTAATACAAATGTCAAACCTATTAAAGTATCTCATAAATCTCATTTATCTCTATGTTCTCCTCCTAGAAATAGTTTTCTTTAAGATGAACATTAAATTCAAAGGAAATCAAGTCGAGTTGAACTAGTTAGTAAATTATAAAGTACAGCTGAAACCAGAGTCAATTCAATGAATAGAAGAAAACAAATAAATATAATACCAAATTTAAATTTGGGAGGAATCTCTTTTATCAAATGATTTATATATATATATATAGTATTTTCTGGAAGGTTTAATGATAAAATTAATTCATAAAGCAACTAATTTTTGAGATATAAAATAAAATTAAGTTATAATGTAAAAAACCATGTAAAATATATCCATCAATTTTTAATAGTGCTCCAATAGTGAAATGGGCTCAAAGGAAAGATAATGTATTTTTGATAGTAGAAGTGAGGGATTTAAAAGAAGAAAAGGTTGAATTGACTTCAAATTCACTTAAATTTTCAGCAAATGCAGAAGGTGTAAATTATGTATTTGAAATTAACTTCTTTAATGAAGTAGTCGTTGAAGTATTAATCAAATTTAATTCCTATAGGAAAGTAAATGGACAAACTATGGATTAAATGTCAGATTTATACTTTCTAAGAAAGATAAATTTACTTCATATTGGACAAGATTGATAAAAGAAACTCATAAATTGCAATATTTATAAGTAGATAATATAAAAATAATTGATAGGTTGATTGGTCTAAATATATTGATGAAGATGATGAGGCTGAAGAAGGAGGCAAAGGTTTGGATGATTGGGATTAAAACAAATTTTAGAATTTTGATCATGGACACGATCACGGACATGATCATGGTCACGATCATTGTCATGATCACGGACATGATCATGGACATGGACATCATCATGACGATGAAGATGATGAAGAAGATTAAGAAGAACCAAATGCAGGTAACTTTTGATATATATTTAATTAGGGAATATTGATGATTTAGAGAAAGAGGAGGAAGTCTAACAAAATGAATAGGCACCTAAAGAAGGTGATCAATAAAAATAAGAAGTTGAATGAGAATAATATTGAGAGGCTAAATGATTATTCTAAAATTCTATAAAATAGATTTTTATTATATTTTTTTACTTAAGTAAAACTTATAGATTTAAATATAAATAAATGTTCATAATTATTATCTGCATATCGCTATTTAATCATCTTAACCTTAACTATGGGTTTGTCATCATTACTTTTTGCTAACCTAAATTTCCCTTCAATGATAATCTAATATTTATAGACACTATACAATTGATTGAACTATTTTAATTATAATATTCACTAGATTTAAGTTTTTTATCTTAACTTATTGTGATTATTTTTAATCTTTAGAATTAAATCAAGTTTTGTGAACTTCTCGTTTAAGTTAATCCAAAGTTACTAAAATATCATATACAATAGCTGTACAATCTGAAGATCATGTAACAATCTAAATCTAATGATTATTTGATATAAATTTTAAATATAAATTAAAATATTTAAAATAATAAATTTTTGAATGTTTAATTTCTTCCCTAAATGTATAATCAAAAGTTTTAATGTATTCAAGCACACTTTCTTGTATCAATACCATATTATATATCTTTTATCAAATTATCATATGAAATAAATTTAGTTGCTAAATAATAAAATTAAATATCTACTAAATAGTTTATTACAACATTTTTAAGAACTTTTGATGTTCAAATCGCTATACAATGATTTGTTTGATTATTTTAAAAATAAAGTCGTAATTTCAAACTATAAATCAAATTACATAATATTCAATACTTATCCCCTTTTATTTTTATATCAAAATCTGTATTTAGTACTGATTCCATAACAACAGCTTGAAGTTTTTATATACCTAAATAAATTATTAAAAGAAAAATTGGATTTTTATCAATAGATAATAAATAGATAATATTTAAATAGAATTCAATTACTATTTTAAAAAGCAAAAAATATATTATTAATGAATGATAAATCATATTAATTTATTTGAACTATCATCAATTTATTATTATTATTACTATTGCTCATTTTGATTTATTGTTTAATTTAAATTTTACTCTGATTAATTTTAAGAATCTGTTTGATCTTTTTACTCTTAATTTGTATTTTCTTGATTTGATTTAATTTATTCATTTTTATCTTTTACTTCTTCTTAGTCTATAAAATTTCCTTCCTTAAAATTACCATCTTAAATTTTTCCATCTATAAATTATAAATAACCCTTCCCATGAGGTTAATAGTTTTTAATCTGTCCTATATAATTAATCTTTACTTTACCTTTATAAATACTATCATCTGGAAATTTAATAATGATTTCTTGATTTATAACAATCTCATCCTTTTAAAATTATCCTTAGTATTTGCAATTATTTTCTTATAATGTAATTACTCCAAATCCATCCTTTAAATCGTCTACCCATTCTCCCTCATATGTGTATTATTTAGCTAAAATAAAATGGAATTCATGTTTACTTTAATAGATTCCCATACCATGTCTCTTTCCTGCCTTGTAAATACCTTTATATATATCACCATTAGCCCAAACATATTGACCTTCTCCTTAAAATAAACCATCAGAAAATTAACCAACATATACATCTTTGTTTGGCAATATCAATTTTCCAGTTCCAAAATAGAACCCATTTTTAAACCACCCTTCATAAATTTAATTCTCTTTTTACAAATTACCATATCCATTAAATTGATTATTTCTAAAATCAAAAGAGATATTTACTCAAAATGACCATTATATTAAAATTCATTTACAACAATTAGTATACCATCTCCATGAAATTTGTTATTTTTAAATTGACCTTTATATTAAAATTTCTTATCAATTAATTTTTCATATCTTCCTTAACCATGTTTAAGAAAATCTTAAATTTAACCTAAGTATACTCTTTTTTAAAATAATTATATAAGTCCACCATATTACATATTTCCAATATAAATATCTGCATTATCAAATACTTTATAGAATGACACTGTTGAATTTTTATCAAAACATTCAGAATTTGTGATAATAGAATAATCAAATGATTTTAACCAATTGAGTCCATTCTCAGTTTTTGTAATCCAATAAATGATACCTTTTCTGTTATGCTTTCTTATCACTCTCATAAGATCATATAGTAAATTACGATATTCCTTAATTTTTAATTCTTCAACCAAATCTTCTTTATGCTTCTTTATTTCTAATTTTTATGGATCTTAAGATTCATTATCATCATCATCAGAGCTCTTTTTATTATAGATTCTAATATTACATCTTATGGACTTATTTCTTATTTAATTATCATACTCTTTCTAGTTCTTATTGCAGTCAATTTATTTATCCTTTCATCAAATGTTTATAAATTTATAACGAAATAGCTAATTTCAGATAACATTTTTATGTAATGATCATGAATTATTTTTCTAATCCAATCTTCACTTCCTTGAAATGTAATCTTATAATTTTGAATGGGAATTAATTTTTTTAATTAGTCTTATTAATTTTAATCCAATGTTTTTAAACAATCTGTATTAATAGCACTGTAAAGTTATTTTTCAATTAATTTAAGACTTAATTAAATAAATACAATTACTTTAATAATTTCTTATGCTATTCTTTTAAAATATTCAATTCTCCTGTGTCAATATCAATAATTATCTCAGGATTTAATTAATTGAGACCCTTTATAAATTTACTTGTAGTTCCAATCAAATACCCTTTTAGATTACTACTTTATAACATATTAATGTCTGTCACACTAAAATGCATAAATAATCTATATGTCTCAGTAAATATTTTAAATGGTAACCCAAAATTACTCAAGAAGCTTGCCTTTAAATATTTAAATATTATTACCTATATTAATGATTTTTTAGATTATAAATTAAAATTCAATAAACCTGGTATCAGAGATAATAAACTTATTATAAATCTAGAACAAACACTAGAAGATTAAGAGTATATAATTATTTTCATTTAATATTAAACTGCTTTTAGGATTTTAAATATTTTATCTTTAAAAATCCAAAATAACCCAATCAAATTAGTATCAGTATACAATGCTGAGATTTCTACATTCTTTAAATCAAATGTTTATAAAATGCTATCAAAAGCATAATTTAAAATTGACATATCTTTAAAGTCTTATAATTGAAAGTATGCTTATATTGTTGGCTCTAATCTACTCTTGATATATCCAAAAAGAGGCACAAAAGATAATAAACAAATAGCCTTTTAGATATGTCCTCTAGTTAATTCTGGGTTTTATTTTTTTAACTCTTCTGTTACTTTAATTTATTTGAAGCATGTTACACCAAACAATTATTTCTTCTACTCTTTTATTTATGCATCAAAATTAAAATATAAGTAGTCTTCATTAGCATTATGAACAGCATCTGGTAAAGCACATGTTGTCACTATATTGATAATATTTTCAATGTCATTCGTCAATTATGATAATTCTGGATAACAATACTCTATTTCTGATCCTCTTTTATGATGAAATCCAACTGCAAATATTGCTAATACTGGTGTTTAATCCTCTTATAGTGTATATAATTCCATTAATTTTTATTGCAATTCAACATCAAAGATTTATTCAGGACTTTTAAAGATTTCTTATATTTATTTAACAAATCCTTATGATTCTCTATTTAGATTTACTTAAATTAAATTATTGGATGTCATAATCTCCCAATAATTATAACATTTTTCAGAATTCAAATATTGTCTCATATATCTTTCTTTTCTAGTAAGTCTATGTTTATTTTAATCATCTGAAAGTCTTTAATTTAATTTTTTCTACAGCCACTTTTTCATTTAATTAATTTTTAAATATTATGAGAATAATAAATATTTTTCAGAATAATTTCAAATTTTATTGGTTCAATAGATAATATATTTATATTTGCTAGATATTATATTTTTATTATCCAAAAATAATTAAATATTTAGAATAAACTTTTAATAAAATCATTAAGAAGATAAAAAAAGATCTATATATTCATATTTTATATATAAGATCAAAATATATTTAATTAAAGGCAGAATTTCGTATTGATTAATAATAGAAATTTCTATTTAGTCTAAAGATTAAATTTTTATTTCTTTATTTTATGATTGAACTTAAGTTTTTAATAATTATTCAATTTTTAATTTAATCTATATCTAATATATATATTGAAATCATTTATATTAATATCATCATGAGTAATTTTCAAAAATTAGTTCTCTCTGATTGCAAGACACTCATGTCTACTTTTTTGTACATGCTTAAGAAAGCTTTGATTTTAATATGTTATTCATCAGGGGATTTTTATTTTTGAACTGAATTATCATTTGAATAATGTGAGATGGATGCAGTACTTTTGTTTGCAAATGTATTTACAAATAATTTTTTTGCTAATTGTTATCGATAGATTTATCTTTCTTCTGGAGTTGAAGTGCGATTTAACTAGTCAATCTTTTTAACAGGAGTTTTTATCAAATTTTAAGATAGCTATTTGATTAATTCTTGTGGAGTTTGAACATTTTTTTTATGTAATTTACTCCATGAATTTATCTTTCCTAATTAATAACCTTCACATTCTAATATGGATTAATTTTATGGCTTTATTTCTGATGATAGTATTTTATGATATTAAATAAGTTATTTTTTAAAGCCTCTATTAGGGTTGATAACTAATCTTTTCTCTTTTACATAATAAAATGTTTTTTCATAAGTCCATTTATAAGTTTTCATAATAAAGGCAATAACACATGCACTTGACCTTGAAATTCCTGCAACACAATGTACTAAAACTGAGCCATGATTTAATCCATTGATAATCTCATTATTGATCTCTTCAAAATGATTAATGATTTAAGCTTTTTCTGAATCCTCAACCTTAAAAATCTGACTTCATAATAAGATATACTTTGTGTCGTATGTTTAAATTCTGCTTAAAACTTATAAAAAGGTTATTGGCCACTGTTATCACTGTTTTGATGTTGTTTTCTTTCAACTGTGTTATATTTTAGGCAGCTCTTAGATTACCTAACCATAGTGCTCCTTGTTAATTATTTTTTTCAATTATTAGGTCCATTTCATTGACATTTACAACAAGCAAATGTTTTTTCATGGAATTTAATATAAGACTGAAAATAATTATAATATTAAAATAATATTATAAAATAAATGAAATACTCAATTTAGTTCTTCTTTAATTAGTGGCATTTATATAGATTATATCTTCTATTAAAGAGACTATTGATTAATAACAATTATGTTACAGAAATGATCATGAGTAATTATAAATTAACTAATTTTTATTTTTCTAATTCCCTTTAACAATTTGTAAGTTATATATAAGCATTCTTTTCTTCTAAACTTTAAGTAGATATAAGATTTTTAGTAGTTTTTGTTATCAATAATTAATGCTAATGTAATAAACTATTTGTTATATGTTAATCAGTTGTCTAGAGATTTATAAATAGTAAATGTATACTTTTAAATCAGGAGAAAAACTTCTTTTTTTTTATTATTCATCTCTTTCCAAATCATACATGGATTAAACCTTTCTCTCATTACTAAAACTATATTATTTCCCTTCTTTTTCTTTTCTTTGTTTCTCTCTAGTCTTCTTCTTCCCTATTCGACCTTCTTTTCTATATGTTGTTAAAATTGCTTTTGCTGTGCTAAAATTGACACCGAACTCTTTAGCTGCTTCTTTGATTGTAGCTTCTCTTGATAAAATTCGTTTTAACAATAAAACTCTCTTTGATTGATCGATAACAGCATATTTTTTTGATAAATCTTTTGGTTTTTCATCAATCTAGTTACTCTTAAGTTTATGTCTTTAATATAAATATAATATTCAACTGAGAATATGGAGAAAATTATTCCTCATTGTCTGAAGGTATCATTTTATGTTAACAAAAAGGTAAAATTAATGTAATAATATATTCCTTTAAAATTTTGATAAATTTAAAGAAATTATAAAGGAATAATATAATTATATTTCATCATTCATTAGATAATTTTGAAACTTTATGAATAAATTTATTCGTTGACTCTTTTCTTGCTTTTTAACTTAAAATCTCATTTTTATCACCAACTTGATTCATTAAAAAACCAATTAATTTTCTTTTGAATTATGTTTCACTTTAAAACTTTTTAAATTCTTCATGTTAAAATGTTTATTTTTCTTAATTTTGAAATTATTCTGATACAGTTCTTACTGATCTTTATATCTCTTAATCCATTCTTCTCATTTTTCTTTTAAATTATTTCTTTTCTTTTTTTTATTCATCTTCTAATTCAATACAATATCCAATAATATCTTACATTTATTACTAAGTATCAGGATCAACACCTTTACCATCCCATTTTTATTTAGTTGTCAAGAATGTCTAAGATTGTGTATGTGTACCTAATGCAGTTTAAGGTCTTGATTCAAAATGACTAATTCCAGGAGATTATCTATGAGATAAAGGTTTTGAATTAATTCCATAATTTGATCTTCTTTTAATTTTATTAGATATTTGTTATGATGGTGCTCTAAAAAATTTGTTCATATCAACCTTTTGTGTTTTATTTTATACTTCATCTTCAAATATTTAAGCAAATAATTTATCTTAAATTTCTTTTTATTTTTTAAATGTAGTCATTTTTAATTTGTTTTTTTTACTATATTCTGGTTCAAATTGATCATATCTAGATTCCTTATATACTTTAACTAAATTAGTTTTCTCATCTTTGCTTATTATTTAATCCAATTCTTCTTAATTTATTCTCTTTTCTATTAATTCATTTAATTTATCTTAATGTTGTGTCAATGACACTTTTTCTATATCTACATCTAACAATTTACCAATATCCACTTCTGGATGTTACCTACATAATTCAGTTAAATAATAATTAATCTATTCATCATCAGTCAATTCAACATGATTGAGTTCAATTAGGTTACATTTTTTTTATGCTTGTAATTTTTAAAGGTTTGCCTTAAGATTAGCCATTTTATATTCTTGATATAAGGAACTAGTTGAATTTTATTTCATTAATTCATCATTAATTAGGGATGCAACCTTTTGTTCTGGTTTTGGTTAAACTTTATGTTATTTTTTATGATAAGAAGTTTTTGGTCTTGTTTAACTTTCTTATTATGAAATCTGTCTTCTTTTAAAATTACTCATTTTATTTGGTGTATCAATATTTGTTTAAATGTTTAAATTAACTAAACTTTTAGCATTGACAGAGTTTGTGCCATTTGACACTAATTTATTATTGTTATACATCTCATATCTGCAAGCTTTTTATTTATATAGAGAGTCAAATTCTATCTCTGAAAATCTTAGTAATACCCTAATTGTTGTCTGATTGGATAATCTTGTATAGTTTTTTTCACAAGAAATCCTGTAAAAGAAGACATTATATAATTAGTTATATTAAAAATAATATATCAAATTTATTCAATTTTACCTATCATATATTCTTAAATAAGATTAGAAGACAGAAATTAACCTAGATAATATTATATTTATGGGTTAATAAATTTTATAAAGAAGAATTTAGTTTATTTTTGATTATTAATCTAAGAATAAAGAGAAGAGTAAGAAATTATTTTATAAGAATGAATATCCATTTTTTAATGATTACTCTATTTATTCAAGTAGATATTATATAATTTCAGTTAAATTATTTATATAATTATAATTATCTAGAAATATTATGTTATTTTTATTAAAAATAATTATCATTTATTATATAATAATAAATTATTCATATATATATTAGTTTTATAATAGTCTAAAAATTATGAATAAAAAAACAATTAATTAAATAATATATATATATATATTAATATTATTATATACTTAAATAGTTAAATAATAGGGAATTAGAGTGATTAGATAGTGAATTAGAATCAACAATTACTTATTTCAAATGTTTCACGACTTTCATCATTTGTTTAATCATTCAATTTCATTTCAATATTAGGCGAGTTTAGATTTGCTTCAGCTCTCAATTCTATTTCTTCTACATCACAATGATTAACTGTATGAGTTCTTTATGCTTTTGAATCAGTCTTTTTATTACTATTCTAATTATTTAAAATCATAGATTATGAAAGTATCTATCTTTTTGAATGTTTTCTTTATACCGATTCATTCATTACATATTACCTATATAATTAAGAGACTGGACGAACATCATTTTACTTAATATTTCATAATATTTAATACTTAACTTAACCAAATAAGAAATGGTAATAGAGTCTCAAGTTCATTATCATTTTTGTCTGCAATAAAATCTTTGATTAAATATCCATTCTCTTATTAAAATATAAATGACATTTAGGAATTCTAAGAGTGAACAATTGTTTTACATCAATAATTATGACATCTTTTAAATTTCTTCCCAATTTACTTAAATTTTTTGTTAATCCTCCTTGAATAGGAGTACAACTTTCTCTATATAATCTTGTCAATGCTCTTCTTGATGGATCTATAATGTCCATAACAGGATCGGCATACTCTTTCAAACTAGCAGTCCACATTATTATCTCAAAGTATTCACTTAAAGTATCAATAAAGTTTTCTACACCAGGTCTAACTGTCACATAAACTTTAAACAATTAACTTTAAACTATGATCTAATATATTATGAATTATTACATCTAAAGAAAAATCATGACCATTGTCTGCTTTAAATTAACTATGGACTAGTGTTTCATCTAAATCTAAAACACATACTTTTCTGCTCTCATATTTATATTTTTCATTTATACATGTGATTTTGGTGTATCAATTCCAAGTTAATACTTTTCATTAGTTTTATTAGTTTTCTTCTGAAAAAAGTAAATGCAAGAACATAATTTTTCTAAAAAATTTGGTTTTCTTTCTTATTATTCCTGTTGCTATTAATATATTATGTCATTGGTATTCATTCTTGATTATTTAAATTATGAATTAAAATTAACATAAGAATTTTTATTTGAAATGAATAATCATTGAAATAATGAAGTTACCATTGATAAATTGTGTAATAATAAAGAATTGATAAGATACTTATTAAATGTTAATTAGATTATGAAAGTTATGAATCAATTTTTAATTATTTGTATAATTAATTATATGAGTTTCTTTATTTATTTTTAGAAATTTTAAGTTATTAATAATAAATGTTATAGAAATGAATAATAAATATGTATTAGTTTACAATTAAGTATAAAAATAATAATTAATATATAACTGAAAATCATGATTTATCTAAAAGATCTGCAACTGTGTACATTCTTCTAAATGTTTTTTAATTAGATTTTGGTTTTTCCTCATTTGGATCAATTACTTTAATTTAAATTTATTTATTAAAAGAAACTATTTTCTTTCCTGGATTATATAATGGAGGTGAATAGTCATCCTTTTCTATTGGTTGAAGAGATACCTATTTACTATGTTTTAGTCTATTGAAAATTGGTTTTTATTATTATTATTTTAAATCCTAATTATCTTATTCAAAGAAATCAAAAATATCAGCATGTTCTCTACTGTTAGAGCTTTTTCTTTTAAGAATGCTTTTTAATTATATTTGTTAATCTTCTATTTGATCATCTCTTCTTAATCTATTTCTATGAGTAGATTCTTATTATTTAATTAATGGTTTAAGTGCTATATGTTTCTTATCCTATCTAAATATTTCTCTAATAAGTTCTTTACGTTATATTTCTGTACGTGAAGTTATCTGATCTATATTTGATTCGGTCTAAGAAATTTTGAATAAGTTAAGCTAATCCATTCCTTTTGAAGAGTTGAAGATTGAGTTGCTTTACTGTTTTTGAAATTAATTATAGGATGGTGTCTAAACAATTTCAGGTAGAAAACTATTATTTCTAGATGAAGGTCGAGAAAAATGAATCTACATTTTGTTGTCCTATCTAAATTGTGCTTGAGAATTCATTAAATAAATTATAAACTCTCTCTTCATTTCTATATAACATCATTATAGATTTATTTAAATACTAATTTAATAATATTTCAAACTGTGAAAATCAAGATCCTTATAGTAATAAATCTAAATGAAAAAAAACATTCATTTTTCTGTAAGTTCTCTATAACCTTTCCAATCATGTGGAGCCTTTCCACCATTGGAATGTATAACTTCTAAAAGGGTATTGGATGGACCATCCTTATGTTCAGGAATCATACTCTTTAAATTTAATTTATAAGCATACCAAAGTTTTTTGAAATATTAATTGAGCCTTATCCCATGTGCCTTTGATATATAATTAGAATCCTTCTTTCCAAGTTTGATAAAATTCCTAAAGAGATAAATATTTAACAATAGTTTACTTATGTAAATGGTTCTCTAGAATAAAGGAGTTCCTCATCAGTTTTAAATTGATCTGCAACATTTACTTTGTCTTTTTAAACATCCTTTAGTAATTATTCCCTTTTAAATCGATTAAGTACTCGAAACTGTTTTTATTGTTTCTAATTCATCTTGTTAGTGTCAAATTTGTCTTTCATTTCCTTTGTCTTCTGTATTAAATTTTTTATTGACATATCAACAGTATGAATTTCTACAGGCTCTACACTTCCCTTTACAGTTACAATATCAATTTATCTTAATTATTTTTGACAATCTTCAGTCAAATATTATTTTAAAACCCCACTAATTAAAATAATAGAACCAAATTATTTAGTGGCAGCTTCTAATCTAGATGCCATATTGACATTAGGGCTTAAGTAAGAAGCATCGATTTTGAAAGATGAACCAATTGCTCCTTCAATACCCCATCCCATATGTAATCCAAATCCCATTTTAACAGAATAATCTTTCATTCTTGCATTCAAACCAGCATGTTTTTTATACCTCTCTAATTTCTTTGAAATTGATATAGAAGTAATTATCTTTAGAAAAGCCATAACTGCCATATCTCCTTTTTGTTTTATATGATGATCAGTTTTCACAATTAATTTAGATGGATTTTGTGGATTTGGATGATATTCCATAGGTAAATATTTCCAAACTAATAGGAAAGCATCTCCAATATTTTTATTTGCTGATCCTCCATATTAATTAACTGTTGAATGTACAATCTCAGCAATTTCATTTACAAATACCATTACTTCTTCTTATAAAACTTCTGTTGCATCAGTAAAATTTCTAATATCACAAAAACCAAATATAGCCATTATTTTCTTACCTGGAAGCATTGGATCTACACTCCCTCCTTTCTTAATATTCTCAGCTATAATTTCTGAACCTGCTTCTCCAAATCCTACTGCCAATAAAGCTCCAACTTTCATAATTAACCTTTAAAGAATATATGTTTCCATCTATTTCTCAATGTACTTTTCCTTTATCTTCTCATGATCTTCATTTTATTCCAACTCTTCCATTATCAAATCTTCTTACTCTTCTATATTTACTGCCTCTAATGGATTTTGAGCAATTAATTCTATCTTTCCCATCATTTTCTCTATTGGTTCAATAACCAATTCATTTACATTTTTATTAAATAAAATAGCACTCGAAGCCAATACAATACATACAAATAAGGTCTAAAATATTGAAAGAATAGCATTAGTTTGATTATAGTCAATCAAATCACCTACTGAACATGTAATTAATTTATTATTTGTATCTACTGCAGCATAATATTATTTATCAGAGAACCGGTGTTAATCAATATTTAAATGTGTTGATTAAAACCATTCAGAGTTTCGAGAATAATTGAAGATTTAAAAATTTGTTTCATTTAATTTTGGAAAATTATTAGTTACATTATTTCTAATAACATATACAGCCAAGATTGGAAAAAGTTCATCTTGATGAAATTTTACATATTACATAGTTAAGATTTCAAGAAGTTTTTGATCATTTCTAAATTAACCTATTCTAAATATACCAGAATCATAAGAATTTATTGTTTCTTAATATGTATCTAAAGTTAATACTGGTATACTTATTAATATTGCCAAGATTATAGTTATAACTCTTCTCATTACTAAGTCAGACAATCTAGAACCAACATTGCTTTCTTGAAAATTTTGATTCATCTATTAAGATTATTAGCTTTATCTAAACTACTCATTACTCATTCCTTAAGCATTTTGATCATACGATAATCCTTATTAAACTGACAAAGCAGACATTTCATGATTTTATTATTATTAATTTTATCCTAGAAACGGTTTGCTTGTATCTTTAACTAAGTTTTAGAATTCACTCAACTCTTATTTATCATCATTATTTTTTAATTATTGTCCACCAGACGGAGGAGGTGATGGAAATGAGGAATTTCTGATAATATAATTTTGTTATTATTATTATTATTATTATTATTATTATTATTATTATTATTATTATTATTATTATTATTATTATTATTATTACTTTTAATTCTCATCGCTCAATATTCTATTTTATTTTAATATATCCTAAAGGATTTTTCGTTATTGATCCTTTTCATATTATTGTCTGGCATTTTTATATAATTTTACCAGTCTTACTAATCGGATTATCCTAATGACTCTTGCTGCTTTTCTTGCAACCCTAGATGCTCTACCCAAGGCTTTAATTGTTGCAGCATTTCCAATATCTCCTTCATCTCCATACCATAAATCCGTTACCCATCCTATGTCTAAAATCATCGTTGCAGTCGAAATTACATCAAGACAAAAATAAAACTAATCTTAGAACTTAATTATTTACATTTAGGATATAATTTGGATTTGCTATTGAGGTTAAGATTATTTCTATTGTAAAAAAAGACATGCTTATTATTGTGAGAATAAAAAAGATATCATCTTGATCTTTATTGACTGTTAAAATTCTTATATCATCTCCAAAAAGTGCATAAAGTGTAACAATAGCCATTAAAATTGAGAATGCCCATCCTTCAATAAATTAAGAAACTAATTTCTAAAATGCCGATGTTTATTTGATGTTTTACATTTTCTACAATCTTGCCTTTATTTTGCTATTCATTCTTCTTATTTATTTCTTCTTTGGTTCTCCATTCAATATTTGATTACTCAAATGTTTTGCACTCTTGGCACTCTTTGCACTCGATTAGCTTCTATTTGACTTTTATTCATTAATTTCTGCTATGCTTGAACCACTATTTATTTTTCTAACCTTTCCTTCCTAATCATCAAGTTCTTCTTGACTCAATTCTTTTTTTATTATTGGTAAACATTTGGGTTTATCAATTAACTTATTATAATTATTTTACTTATATACCAAGGGACCATGTTTATATTCATTTTCAATTGATTTTCGTTGGCTAACTCCATTGAAATCTATGTTTTTTGCATAAAAAATAGCTTTGTAATACATACTGGATGCGGTTAATTATTAATAATGCTCATCATTGCATAACTAGGCTTTTTTTATTCATCATTTTCAGATTCTCTTGAATGATAGTATTTCATAGATTCCTCTCTTTCTGCCATATGATTAAATTAAATATATTATATGAATTTAATATAAACAAACTTGAATTTTTCAAGTTATTCTAAGTGAATCAAAAATTTTAATATATAATAATAAACTACACAATAAAACACTGATTAGATAATCCAAGTATTCTATTGATTAAATAACAACTCTAATTCTTAAAGACTTTAACCAATTGTCTAAACTTATATTTTGCATTAAGATAAAACGAATATATATGTCCCATGAGTTGATTTCAAAATATATAAAAATTCATAATAGCCAATGAGAGAGATATTAAAATAATTATAACAAATATGCAACTATTTTATTTCCTTTACTACCTTTATATAACAAAGTGTAAATCAATTTGTCATAAATAAAAAATTCTATTATTTGTAGAAATGATTGTAAAATAAAATTTATTACTTTTTGATTATAAAAAATTAAATAATAATAGATGTGAAAACATTCTAAAATTAAAAAGGCAAATCTAAAACATCTAAAATATTATTTGTAAAGAGTTTGAAGGAAAAGTAAAGTAAATTGTTTGAGTTCAATAATCTGAATTTTTCGAATTTTAAATTAAATTATAAAAAATAATGAATAAAGTGTCAAATAACTCTAATCATTATGATTTAAATTATACTCACTAATTATTAAACAAAAAGCTAAAAATAGATGAATGACTTTTATGAGAAAGTATCAAATCATTAAGTTTAACTTAAGATCTAGGTCCTTTTTATTATTAATAGATAATATCTCTATTTATACAAAGAGATTACATAGAAACTAATAAATGTTGAGAAATTCAATAATACTATATTTGCTAACATAATTAAATTATTTTTATTTACTTATATACTTGAAATAATTAATAATCAAAAATCTATTAATAAAATGATGAATAATTATAAACACCATTCATATCTAAAATATGATATAACTAAGCAAAATGAGATAAAAAAAAGATTATAAAATAATATTTATAGCTTACAAGATTAGATAATTAATTAAAATATTTATATTCTTTAAATTTTGATATTAAAGTATGTTTATTTCATTTGGAAAAAAGTGACTAATAGTGATGACTAAGATTTAAATGAAGCTGGTTATCAATAATTTATGGATATAATAATTTTAATATTTATTAGAGGTTTTAGGTAAGAAGAAAAGATGTTCCTTATATTTGTAATCAATTTGAATTTAAATATTTCATTTTAAAGTTATTAATGTGTAGTAGTTGTATCCATAAATAAATAAATTAATTTGTTCATCTTCTAACTCCAATGTTATTGTTTCTCATTAGAAAGAGTAATTCCTCTTTTTCTTATTTTAATCTTGCATTTTCTTTTTACATCATCATGATTTTTTCTTCATTCTCATTTAATGCTTCTAATTTTTATGCGTAAGTTTTCAATTTCTCAACTAAATTCTCTTTAAATAAATCAGTTTATTTTTAAAATTTTATAAAATTTTTTTCACTTATTTCTAATTATCTTATCAATGATTAATTTTTTTCTTTTAGTATCTGAATCTCTTAATTTTGAATGAGAGACTTTTCTTATTGTTCTGCAACTATAGATTGGAGTTGTTTAATAGTTTAATCTTGATCTTGTATTCGACTTGTATTAGTATCAATTTTGAATTTTGATAATCTTTAAGGAGATTATGTATTAAAATATGATAAATTGGTTGATGCTGATCTATTAGTTTTATTTGATTTGTGAAATACTGCTGATTATTCTTAAAATGATATAGCAGATTACTCTAAAGTAGGCATTCTTCTAGAAGAATATCTTCTTGAATTTTGATTGATCAATTCTTAATCAAAAATATCAATTAATTCTATTTTTTCATTTTCTAAAAGAGTTTCAACTGTCTGTTAATTTTGATTTTGTAATTTGGATAAAGATTTCTTATGAGCAAATAGTAAGTTCTTTTATTTCAATTGATTCTCTTATAATTAAAGATTTTAACGTTATTCTAATAAAAGACTCAATTTTTTTTGCATTGTATGAGGTAATTCAGAATCCCAAGTTTACATTTTATAATTAAAATAATGAATTTACAACCAAGTTCTGGTTCAATCAATATGTCAGGAGATAGTCATTAGAATGGTCTTGATCATTATTTAAATGAACTCAATAATTAGAATTTAATGTAAGTAAGGAGACCAAATGAAGAGTAGATATTGGCATTTATTGATTTTGAAGGTATTAAACCAGATTAAGTAATCTAACATAAAACATTTCCTGAAAATCAAAAGGAAAATAAAAGGAAAGTAAGTAAATCATCTTAATAAATTCGTCGGAATAGTTTGGATTTATCTGAAGTATCACCTTTGAAACAATCTCTTAGGGATGATTTAATTCTATGTGATAGTCCAAATATAGAATTAAAGAAATTAGGAGAATTAGATGATCATAGAAAAAGTAAATCTATGATTAGTCCTGCTATTTAATCATCTAAATCTCCAAAAAGAAAAAGTAAACATTTTTCTAAGATTTTTTCAAAATTAACTAATCGAATGAATTTGGCTAAGAAATTCATATAAAATATTAAATAGTTATCTCCATTTGCTAAGAAAATTTCAAAGTCATAATTGTAATTAATATAAGATTTAAGTTCTGATATTAGCAATTCTAATGAGAAATACAACAACAATAGTTTTATTAAGATTCATGATAAATCAAAATAAAAGAAAGTATTAAAAAGAATGGAGAGTTTGAAAGCATTTATTGTACTTAGAACTTATTTTAGTGTTTGTAAAATTTAGATGATTTTTAATAAATTAAGAAAAGAAACAATAGATCCTTAAGGAAATTTTTTATTTTTTTGGGAATTATTAAAATTCTTTGTTACATTAGCATCTTTATTTCAATTATCAATTCAAATATGTTTTAATTTGAATGTTTTGAATTGGTTTTTTATTTCTGAGAAAGAGAATTCTTAAAATATTCTAATTTTAATGTTTATTTATTATTCATTTGATATAGTTTTAGGATTTAGAACAGGATATTATGAAAATGGAGAAGTTGTAATAAATTAAAAGAGAGTTGCTAGAAGATATATAAGAAAATATTTTTTTGTTGATTTGATATCAATAATACCAATATTCATTAACATAATTTTAATATAATCATTTGAAACAGATAATACAATAATTAGAATTGTGAATTGTTTATCATTTCTAAGATCTAATGCATTAAATAGAGTATATCATTCTTTAGAAGGAAGATTATTAAGTAATCCAAGATTTGTTATTGGATATCGATTTTTGAGTGTTATAGGAACTGTATTTTTATATGCTCATGTATTTGGATGTCTATGGTATGTAGTAGCATAAAATAATTAAAATAATTGGATAAATAAAGCAGGAATAGTTGAAGATTCTTGGTTTGCACTTTATAGTTATTCAATTTATTGGTCTGTTATGACTATGACTACTGTAGGATATGGTGATTTAACACCAGCAAATCATGAAGAAGCCTTATTTTGTGTTTGTACTATGTTTATTGCAAGTGTTGTATTTGCATATTCAATCAATACAATAGGTATGATTATTACTGAAATGAATAAATTTGATGTGAAAATCAATGAAAATATGGCAATTATAAATAGATATATGTAAAGAAAGAATTTTGAGTAGTCATTATAATTTAGAGTAAGATAATATTTATAGAATCTATGGACTTAAGAAGAGAAGTTTAGGATTGTTGATGAAAATAAGATTATAAATTGTTTAAATCCAACATTAAAAGAAGAAATTTAGATTTGTTTATATGGTTAATTTATTACAAGCATTCATATATTTTATAGATATTTTAGTTAAGAATGTTTATTAGATTTGACTAAGAATGTTTAAGAATACAGAGTTGCTCCAAATTCATATGTAATTGAAAATGGAACTCATGATGGAATTGCATTATATTAATTAGTTAGTGGAGAAGCTGAAATTTTAGTTGATCTTTAAGACAGAAAATTCTATATTGGAAAATTGAAATAGGGAGACATATTTGGCCATGGTCCATTCTTTATGAACAATGTTCATCCTTATAGTATTAAAACTGATACAGCTTGCTCATTTGCTTATTTATCTAAATAGATGTTTTTAGATATACTTCAATCTCATCCTAGAGATTATGTAATAATTTAAATAATATAGTAAACCTATAGAATGATTATTGATTAATGGACATTTCAAAATTAGAAATTAGATTTAGGTGTTAAATGTTTGGGATGTGGAGATACTTATCATGATATAGATTAATGTCATAGATTACATTTAATAATAAATAAATAGATTTTATTAGCAAAACATTTGTTTTCAGTTCCTAACAAAAGAACCTCATTTAAAAGAAATTGTAGAAGAACTACAAATGCTAAATTTGGATAGAGATTATTTGAAGATGCAGTTTCATTATTTTAAGAAAATAATTTTTCTTTTTCTTCTGAAGAAGAAGAACCTAATCCTAGTTAAATAGAAAGAACTCACTAAACTAAATTGACTTAAGAAATTAGATATTAAGAACCTACTCATAATACTCATAGATCATAATAACAATAACATTAGCAATCTAAAAATGTGAGATTTAGAAAAAGATCAAGATCTTTAAATTCTATAAGTGTTCATTCAGATGAAGAATCAAAATTTCAAAAATCCATGTCTGGCATTAAATCGAATGATTCTTAAGTAGATAAAATTAGTGCTATTCCTGTTAAAGTATAATAACTACCAAGTTCTTAATTATCATAAAGTTCTTTTAATGTATTTTTGAAAGAGTACCCAAAAAGAAAGATATCAAAATAGTAAGATTCTGATAAATATTCTAATCATTCTATTGGATAAAGATAATAGTAATAATAGTAACATCATTAATAATAATAATAATAATAATAATAATAATAATAATAATAATATTAACATAAATTAAGCAGTTAATCTAGTAGTGGTAATATTCCCTAGAGTAGTATTGGAATTCCTCCTGTACCAACTGGATCTCCACCTATGCTTTATTAAGATGAGAAATAACCTTTTTAAAAAGGAGTTGTTGAAGATAGTTTATTTGTTGCATAGGAGAGGAAAAAGAAATCTTAAATTGGTACAAGTTACTCTAATACTAAATCTATAAAAAATCCACTTTAGGCTATACCATCAGTTAGTGAAATGAATGAAACTGAAAAAATTAATAATTTAAAGGAAGCTTCATACACTTCTAAATAATTATCAATGTAGAGTAGATCTAGAAGTTAAAGATACACAATATCAATACGTACAGAAAGTTAGAAAATTCGAGAAGACACTAAACATGATACAACATAGAAACATGATTTCAAGATTAAAACTGATACATATAAATAATATCATGAGAATAGTCCCTTAAATGAAGAATAATTCCACAATACATTTGAATAAGCATGTAATTTAAACTCATACTACCCTCAATATAATAGGGATAGGATCATAGAAAAATATAAAAGATAATAATATAAAAAAAGTGCAAATTTATATTAATTTAAATTTTGATATATTTATATATACTAATAATTAATATCAAAGAATTATATACTATATAATAATACAAAAGGAAAGAGAATAAATTAATAAATATAAATATGAATAAGGATTCTTTTGCTTAAACATATAAATTCTGTAAAATTAAATAATTTAGAGTCTTAAAAAGGGTCTGATTAGAAATTCATGGATTGGTTGCGGTTAATTAAAATTACAAATTGACTTGCTGAGAATGTTGTGTGATATTAAATGAACTATTACTTAAAATAATTTTTTTGGATATCTATGTTGAAGAAATATTGATAATATTTTAAAACATAGTAGATCATTTAATAATTTTAATTTAAATCCTTTTGAAAATTTACTGATAAAAGTATGTACAATTTACAATATAAAATAGTAATTGATTTATCTAAGTATGAATAGAGAGAGTTTATTAATAATAAATTAGAAATTAATAATAAAAAGTTGAATTCAAAAAAATAAAATGATATAAAATTAATTTTTAAGTGAGATGATTCTAATATTTAATCTTTTAATCATGTTGATTAATATTTTCTTGATATGTATATGATTCTAATATATTATATAATAATCTATTTAGTGTAAAAATATTATTTATATATTTAAAAAATTTAAATTATTCAATTATAAGAATGAATATATTAGTATTAGTTCATTCTTTCTTAATATTAATTTGTTAATGAATTCTCGAGATCCTCCTAGTAAGATATTATTGCTAATCATTTCTTGCTTGCCTCATTCATTTCCTCTTACTAATGATTATCTCTTCGATATGTTCAAATCATATGGAGACATCAATAAAATACTCATTTTTGAAAGAGGGAAAACAAATAAAGCCTTCATAGAATACTCAAACATCAAGCATGCTATCCTTGCTAGAAGAAATATGATGGGGAAATAGATAACTCCATAAGGAGGAAAGTAAATATTTAGTTTTGAATATATAGACTACTTATTCATTTTTCTCATCTTAAGTAACTCAATCTTGAAGTTGTTGATTAAACTCGTGGAACTTCATACTAATAAAGTGAAGTTGAGACTCAACTGTTATTAAATTCTGTATCGAAAATAAAGATAAAAAACAATAAAGAAAATATTCAGTGTTAATAAGTTCAATCATCTTAAGTTGATTTTACAAATTAAAACTAAATAAGAGTCGCTTAAGATATAGGAGAGTCTCCTAATAAAACAATGTTTAATTTTTTAATTTATTTTAAGAATGGAATCATAATTAAAATAATTAATATAAATTTTGGATGATGATTACAATAATGAAATTGAAAAGTCTCAATAAATCTAATTTGATCAACAATAATAAATAATTCATTAATTATTATATTAGAAGCCATCTAAATACTTGATAGTTTCCAATATAGATATTAAAGTTACATCTAAAATGCTATATAATCTTTTTAATAGATTTGGTCATCTTGAGAATTTGATTTTAAACAAAAAATAATAAACAGCAATCCTAAAATTTCTGAACTCTGATTAAGCTACTATAGCCAAAGAATTATTAAACAATGTCTTATTTTTCAATAAAGAAGTTAGTAAAATTAAATGATATCTTTAGTTAAGAATACTATTCCATCAGCAACAAGATGATTTAAGAACCCTAAATATAGATGAAGAATTATATATAGGTTCAAAAACTAAATTTAAAATTGTTCCTATAAGCAAAGTGTTATTCTTGTAAGGAATCAAAGATATAATAGAAATTTAAAATATGGTGAAATTAGTTGGAATGATATAGGGTATTTAATTAAATAAATAAATATAATTTAGATATTAGATTAGAATACAATTAAATTAAGATTACTATGGTGGATATTTATGAAGCTTTAAAGGTTATTTCAGTTTTCTCTGAATATGAATATAAGGGTAATAAAATAAATATATTCTTTAAATGATCTAGTTGAATATATGTTATTACTTATTAATTAAATATAATGATAATAATATTATCAAATTAATTTATCCAAACTTTCTTAAATACTTTCCAATTATTCAAATAAATCTTAAACCTAAGCCTTTTAAAATTTAATGCTAAATTTATCAACTTTATTATTCTCTCCTGAAGGTTTAGTTTCAAATACAAAGGTTGTAGCTGGATTTCTTGCATCATGTGAATATAAATCATTAGCATCTTCAATTTTTCCATCAACATTCATAAAATTTGCGACATCTGTATTTCATACTTTATTATAGATACTCTTTTATGGTAATCTTGATTCATCAACTTATAAACTGATTTTCCAATTAAAAGAATGTAATACATCTTATACAGCTATTGGTTTTTCTCTTATTCTAATAGAATATTCATTCCCATATTATATCCATTATTACCTAAAAACTTCAATATGATCTTAAGACTATTAAAAATATAGAATAATTTATTACCATTCCATTTTATGCTAATACTTCTTCAACTTAACTTAAATTTCTTTCTGCAACAACATGCATTAATACAAATGTGAATGCATTTACAATGTTTGCTAATTACTATTCAGAAATATTCAGATTATTTTGAAATTTCTTAATTTCATCCTCTGTAAATAAATCTTTATATAATTATCCTGGTTTGCTAAATATTCTTCCAATAACTATTTCAGTCCTTGGAATACTTAAAGAATTTAGATTAATAATTGCATCTTATAAATTTTTATTCACCTTCATTTTATTAATATATTTAATTATATATAATAGTAATTTTATAATTAGAATTGACTAGATTAGTATACTTCAAATTCATTATTTTTTAAAATGTATATCCCAGTAAATGAAATACATAAACATTTCAAAGCAGAAACACCTAACATGTCAAATATCACTCACAAATAAGATTAATGGAGTCCATATCATGATAATTCAGGAACTGTATTAGGTAATTAATCAAATTAATATAAAATAGCTATTGGAATTCCAGGAGCTGTTATTGTAGCTGGAGATACTAGATTGAGTAATGGGTATAATATTTTAACTCGAGATGCAACTAAATTATCTTAATTGACTGATAAATGTATTTTAGCTACTGCAGGTCAATATGCAGATTTTATAGCATTAAGGAAATTTTTGTAATAAAGATTATAATTATATGAATTCTAAAATGAAGTCTAAGTAATCTGATTATTTTATAAACAAGGCTTCCACATAGACTGTAGCTCATTTATTATCTAGAGAACTCTATTCTAGAAGGTTTTTCCCATATTACACTTTTAATCTATTGGCTGGCCTTGATGAAAATAATCATGGAGTTGTATATGGATATGATGCCATTGGTAGTTATGATTAAATGACTTATGGTGTTTAAGGAAGTGGACAAGAATTAGTAGTTGCTGTTTTAGATAATTAACTAAAAGGTTACAACAAAATCAACAAAACAATTCCTTAAACTCAACAAGAAATTCTAGATATAATATTAGATTGTTTCAGTTGCGCTGCTGAAAGAGACATCCATACTGGAGACAATGTAGAAATCCTTATAATTACTCCAACAGGAACATAGAGAATTATTAAACCTCTAAGAAAAGATTGATTATTAATCAATTTAATATAATCATATTTTTCATTTATTAAATATTTCATTTTTAAGTATTTATAATTTTTGAAGTCTACAAAAACTTAGTATTATAATTAAATATACCTTACTTAATTTATATATTATTTTTGTATTTTAATTCTAATTAATCATAATAGATGACTTAATCTAAATGATTTTTTAATGATGATTAAGGCATTTCACACTAAAAAGTATTTAGTTTATATATTTATATTTTAATTTATTTAGTAGTTATTTACAAGATGAAATAGAAGAGTATCAAGTTAAATCAAAGAAATTAATTTAGATATAAATTATAATTTAGAATTAGCAAATTTCAATTTAAATAATTTGTTATATCCTCAAAAATTTAGTATTTTTAACGATAGAAATAATAATTTTTTATTTATTTACAGCTTGCTTTAATTAAGTTTCCAAAAAAATAAGAATTAAACCTATGTCTAGAAATTTCAATTTGATGTTTTCTTATAAATTAATTTGAATTATAGAATATCCTATACAAGTAAAATCCTTAATCAATATTTCTCTTAATCTTTGTAAAAGTAGACATCATTATAATAAACTATGATAATATCTTATTCATTTTCTCATTTTTCAATATTTTTTTGTTTTCCTTTATTTTTAAGTATCATTGAATTAATTCTCTATTATCATATTTCCACTTCTATATAAATGATAAATAAATAATTATTACTCAATAATTAGAATTTAAGAAGATTTTTAATACTTAATATCTTACTCTTATCTAAGTGATTTTATTGTTTAACTAATATATTTTACTTCTATTATATATGCTGTAATTTTAAACCATATTTTTTCTACTATCATAATTTATCTTCTCATTTAAAAAACACATTCATATATAGTTTTATAAAAATTTTTCATTACTTCATTTAATTATTAAAATGTTGAGAAATCAAATATCTAATTGAATAAAGCCTTATGAACTTAAAGGACTTATTTAAAAGAGAAGAGATAAAAAGTTCTATCATAAGAAATGACTAGATATTAGAATAGAGTATACTTATCTTTGATTTAATTTTTATCTCTGATATAGATTTATATAGTATATTCATAAAATAAAATTTATATTACTAAAATATTACACAAAGTAATAGAACATGGAATAACCAAATTATAAAAGTGTTGCAGAATACTAAGCACACCTTTACCAAAAGAATGTTGCTTATCAGATTGAATAATTCCTTTGCCAAAAATTAGGTTAGGAAGCAGAATTGAATCTGTAATGCACTTTTTCAAGAATACCTGTAACAATTCCTATACGACATCAAAATGTGGCCAGTATCAAATGCATATTTGAACTAGAATTATGGCTTCAATTTTTTGAAAGCAAGCTGAAGTAAGTATTATAGAATTATTTTACAAGAAATTAAAATAATTTCAGTTGTCCAGGATGCAAATAATATGTGTACTTTTAAGATTTCGGGATAGACTTCACTTTATATCATATATTAACAGCAAAAAAGAAATTAGAATAAGGAGGTTAAAAATTATTATCAGAAAAAGTAATCTATACATTCAATAATGGAAAAACANTTATAAATTAATTTGAATTATAGAATATCCTATACAAGTAAAATCCTTAATCAATATTTCTCTTAATCTTTGTAAAAGTAGACATCATTATAATAAACTATGATAATATCTTATTCATTTTCTCATTTTTCAATATTTTTTTGTTTTCCTTTATTTTTAAGTATCATTGAATTAATTCTCTATTATCATATTTCCACTTCTATATAAATGATAAATAAATAATTATTACTCAATAATTAGAATTTAAGAAGATTTTTAATACTTAATATCTTACTCTTATCTAAGTGATTTTATTGTTTAACTAATATATTTTACTTCTATTATATATGCTGTAATTTTAAACCATATTTTTTCTACTATCATAATTTATCTTCTCATTTAAAAAACACATTCATATATAGTTTTATAAAAATTTTTCATTACTTCATTTAATTATTAAAATGTTGAGAAATCAAATATCTAATTGAATAAAGCCTTATGAACTTAAAGGACTTATTTAAAAGAGAAGAGATAAAAAGTTCTATCATAAGAAATGACTAGATATTAGAATAGAGTATACTTATCTTTGATTTAATTTTTATCTCTGATATAGATTTATATAGTATATTCATAAAATAAAATTTATATTACTAAAATATTACACAAAGTAATAGAACATGGAATAACCAAATTATAAAAGTGTTGCAGAATACTAAGCACACCTTTACCAAAAGAATGTTGCTTATCAGATTGAATAATTCCTTTGCCAAAAATTAGGTTAGGAAGCAGAATTGAATCTGTAATGCACTTTTTCAAGAATACCTGTAACAATTCCTATACGACATCAAAATGTGGCCAGTATCAAATGCATATTTGAACTAGAATTATGGCTTCAATTTTTTGAAAGCAAGCTGAAGTAAGTATTATAGAATTATTTTACAAGAAATTAAAATAATTTCAGTTGTCCAGGATGCAAATAATATGTGTACTTTTAAGATTTCGGGATAGACTTCACTTTATATCATATATTAACAGCAAAAAAGAAATTAGAATAAGGAGGTTAAAAATTATTATCAGAAAAAGTAATCTATACATTCAATAATGGAAAAACAACATATTATGCAATATCAAAATTAGACAAATAAACAAAAATTAAAATTCCTGGATCATCCCCTATTATTAGATTGCCTATCCTAAAAAATAGTCTAAAAGTTCAAGATCTGAATCCAGGATAATAACGAATTCATGAATAAATTAATTATACTATTTCTTAAATATAACAATATATAACTTAGAGATTGTTTTAAGGTAAGTAGCAAGGATAATAAATAAATTAGATGAAGTAGGCTTTAAGAGGGAAATTAGATTAATTAAAATAAACATTTAGATAATCTCAAAATCTAATAGAATTGGGAGTTAAATCTCTGGAAACCCAATTTATTTTTGGATTAAAGAAACTACAAAAGGATGGAAAGAATGTAGGGAGTGTGGTATGAATTAATTAATAAATAAAGCTTATTGTATATTATCCACATCTAGGAATATGGGCAGATTATGAAATAAAGACAACTCCAGAAAAACATTTCTAATTTGAATATTAATTATATGTAAAAGAATAAGGTTTAGAAAAAGAGAATATTATTTATATAATAGGAGGTAGAGTTTAAAATTTGGTACCAACAAATTAATTTGTAAGAATTAGATTTCCTAAAGATCCTTTTTCTTAAGATTAATAAGCTTCTATTGATTATCTTCCTAATTTACCAAATGCAGGATTTAATTATTTAGGAGGTTGTTATAATAAGTAATATATTATATAAAAATATATTAGTAATGTTTATATCTTTTGTGGTTAAAGTAGAACACCAGATTAATCAGGAATTATAATTGATAAAATATTTAATGTTGGATATGTATTTAAAAATGGTTAATGGAATTAATTAAATTAGAAGGTTGAAAAAAGATATGATGGTAGTTGTACAATAATTAATCATTAAAAATATGATAAATGCTTACTCTTATATGGAGGAGCTGAATAATTACCTGATGGTAGAATGGGATATAACATTAAAGAACAATAACATATAGTTTAAGTGTTTTAATTTAAATAAGAAAAATTCATAGGAAATGGATTCAAATTGAAATTCTCAGATAATAATTAAGACTCGTATTAAAAATCAATGCTCTCAAGTCCAGTATTTTCTGTACCATTTGGTGCTCATAGTGAATTATTAATTGCAGGAGATTTTTTGAAAAAGAATTGGAAAGAAAAAAGAGAAGTATATATCTTTGATTGGGAAGATGGAACAATAAAAATAAATTTATTGTAAACATAGGCTCTTGAATAATAATTGCTTTCCCATATTAAAAGAAATTATAATTATTCGGGTGCTGAATTTCTATAACCTATTTAAGATTTTGAAGGTGCCTTCTTATTTGGAAATTATTTTACAATTCATTAAGAAGAGACATATATAGATTAAAAGACAACAATCTAAAATTTTTAGTTATTTGAATATAAAGTAGCTAATGGATAAGGTATATAATTATTTTTAACTATTTTAGTAACCACTAGACCATATATGTAAAGAGATGTTTCAATATAATTAGCAATTGAAGCTTTATAAAAATTAGCAAATTAAGAAAACAAAAAATTATGATGTATATTTTATCATTATAAAATAATAAAAAAATAAAGAATAATAATATCAAATATAATTGTGTATAACAATATGGAAAATAAGATAAATAAATTTAAAAATAATCAAAAATTCTGATAATATCTATTCTTATCAATTTAAACTTAAATGCAAATGAGGATTAGATATTCCTGCCTCTATGTTTCTTTGCATTTAATCCCTAAATTTCCTTAAAGCATCTCTTACATCAGGAAAATTCTTCTAAACTATTTAAATTAATAAAGGAGATAACAATAATAAAGCTTGATCATCTGAATCTCCATACCAACTTTATATTTATATTCCATTGTCAGGTTGAAATTGAAAATTTTCAGCCAAATTGTCTATAATAATTGTTTTCTTTATATCTCTTCCAATCTTCTATATATCTTTTACATATGTATTTTTCATAAGAGTAGTATGTTATCTGTATAATCTATGAGATATAACTTTCTCTTCATCTATGAGATCTAAAATAAAATCAGCATAATCTTATTATGCAGCAGTAAAAATAACAATCTCATAAAATTTAGACATATCTTTTAAGAATTGTTGAGCAAATGGTCTAACTAAAAATTAACCCTCATCTACTAACTATATAAAAAATCAATTTATACTTCTTAATAATGAACTAATGTTTCATCTAAATCTATGATTAAAGTATAGTTATTTGTTTTAGATAAATAAGGTATCTATTAACAATCTATCACTTCTTCATAGTCAAATTAAAAATCTTATGAATCCATTGTTAATCTTAATTATTGTATATGAGCCAACTATATAATAATTATTTATTAAATACAATTTTTTGATATTCTTATTTAATAAATTCTGTTCCTTGATTTAAAGAGAGTCTATCAATATTTGCTAGATTTTTCTCTAATGAACTAAGTTTTTAATCAGTTGAATTTTCAATACTAAATATATGAATTAAATTATATACAATAATACTAAAAGTGAATAAACTACATTGCTATTTTTACGGATTAAATTGATATCTAAATTTTAACAGTTTTTTTATGGTCTAATTTTATTTAATCTTGCTTAAATAACTGCCCTTTGAGATTGTGAAATAGTATTAGATTAGTTTAATATTTGTAGATGTAAAATCATACTGTTGTGTATATAAAATAATAGGTTTTTTAAATTCTATTAATCTTCTTCAAATGTATCAGATAATGCTTTATATAAGATTACCAAAATGCCTATTCTCTCTAAATGTATCTATTTAGATAGTATTTATTAAGAAATTTTATCTTTTTCTTCTATTAAGAAATGAGATATTCGATTAAGATAATTTTGACATTGATTTATTACTTTTTTTTTTCTGCTTATGACTGCCATAATTGTAAATACAATTTCCTCTTAATTAATTAAATTTTAAATTTATTCATCTGAATCATTTATAGTGGAACTTGTTGATTCATTTTTATGTGATTTTGATTCTTCTGTCTTATATTTTTAATTATCTTTATTTTTGTTATTTTATTATAATTTTGATTAATCTAACCTTTGATTTATTTATTAATATATTTTCTTTATCTCTTAAGGCATTTAGTAAAGAATTTAAGGAGAAATAGATCGTTATGATTTATTTATTGATCTATTTTCATGTTAAGATTTTTGACTAGAGGTTCTATTAAACAATTGCTCTTGAGAATTTTATCTTTTATAGAACAGTTCTTGTAAAATAGCATTTGATTTAGGTACTGATTTTTTTTTCTCATTAAATGACTTATTTATTAAAGACTTATCTGCTGATAATTCATAAACATTTCTTGAAGATCTACTATCTATAGGAGGCTTATTAGTCTTTGTTAAATTCAGATTTTTCAGTTGTTATTGATTGTTTTTTTACATTAAAATTATATTAATAAATATATAATTAAAATTTGATAAACGTAGCCAATCTTATTTTAATTATTTATTTTCCAATTAAATATTTTTATTCATCTTAATTTGATTTTTAAGTAATTATTTATAAATCCAATTCTAAATAAAATCTAAACTAAAAGCCAATTGATTATTTAATATAGATCTCTTTAAAAAGTAATTAAAAAATACAAAAGGTCTTTTTCTACCTTATAAATTTATTATGATATTATTATTATTAGTCTTCTTTATCTTAAAGATAACTTTTCTTTTTGAACAATTCATACATAGAATAAAAAATTAAATATTATATTTTGAGAAATTTACAATTAAAATTAAATCCAATATCCACTGAAACTTATTGATACATCTTACTATATACTAAAATTATAATTATATATATCTGATAGAATCAAGAGGAATTAATTTATAACTATATATCGAATTTTATGAAAATGAATTTAAAAACACATAATAGTAATTTTTTTAGAATAATTTATTAACATTAAATTTTATTTCGACAATGATAGACTTAAAAAAATAAAAAGAGAAACTAAATTCGATTCTAATTTCTTTTATTTTATAGAGTACTAAAATTAGGATAATTTACTTCTTAATACTTTAATACTTCTTATGATTAAAGCATTAAATATTATATATTAAAAAGTTCCGTTAATGGAATAAAATATTTCAATCAAATGTCCAATTCATAGAAGAGAATTAATAGTAACAGGATGTATTAATCCTAATTGTAATCGTTCACCTTTGATTTGTCAAATGTGTCCAGATGCTCATTCTGATCATTATTCAAATATAGTTCAAATATCTGAATGGCTATAAAAAGTTGCAAAGACTATTTAAGAAGGTTCAAAAACCTTAAAATAGATAAGAGACATCAATTAAATTGATTCTGTTTTAAAATGGTGTGAAGATAATGAAATGCATCTTAAAAAGGTAGACGAGCATTGTAAAGCCTAAAAAGCCTTGATTAATGAAGATTTTAATTATCTAAAAGACCTGTTTGTTGAAAAATGCAATTAAGCACAAGCATAATTAGAATAAGATATAGAAGACTTCTATATAAAATACAAAGAACAATTTAAAATTTGTAAATTAATTATGGATGACTCATATATTTTATAGAAGTAATGTAATCCTTATAGTAATGTGCATAACCTTATATTAAAATTATAATAATCCAATCCAAAAGAAGCTTAAGAATTAATTACTTAAATCAGAAAATTAATTAACAAACCATATGATCCAATAGAAAATATTAAGTAATGTGCAGAATCTATAACAGAAATGACTTATAATCTTCCAGTATTTGCATTTTAAGATGGTATTGATAATTTTGTAAATTAATTGGCTGATTAGATACACAATCATTTTAAAACAAAATTAAACATCACATTACCTCGAAAGATAGTTTCACCAATTAAATATTAACCAAAAAATCTGCATAAATAATATTCCTTACCAACTGAAAATTTAACAAACAATTACAATAGTAATTAAAATATATCAAAATCCCCTCGTTTAAATCAAAAATTAACATTTTCTCCCTAAAATAGTATTGCTTTGCATTCTAAAACTATAGTAGGGTAATGTAGTGATTTTACATTGAAACCTTTAAAAAAATATTAATTAGATTTTTGTGTATCAGCAATTGAAGTTGTAACTCCATAAATATTTGCAATGACATGTAGTAATGATCCACATTTGAGAGTTTTTGATACTATATAAAAGCGTATTCATACATTGTCCACACATACTACTCCAATTATACAAATACATAAATCAATAGATTAGGTTGTTCCATTATAATAACATAATAATTCAAAATCTTAAACTTATTTATTCACATTATCAAATGAATAATTAGTAGTTTGGGCTTTTGATTTTAGTAATTCTTAAATGATTGTCCCACATATTTATCATAAATATCTATTTAACAACTAAATAACATAGAGTTGTTATTTATAAGATAATTCTTGTATTGCTATTGGAGATTAAGTTGGGACTGTTGAAATTTATAACTTTTAGTAATCTAAATTATAATAGAATGGAATTAAAGGAAAACATTAGAAATAGATATCTTCTATATTGTTATTGAAAAAACATGATAAATTTATTTGTAGTTCTTATGATTAAACATTATCTATTTGGAAAATGTTATACAATTAATAATCATTTGAAAATACTTATTGTGAATCTATTATTTAATGTGGAAATATGCTTGGATAAATTTAGATAATAAATTAGTTTTAATCAAATCCAAATTTACTTTTGGTTGGAAATTTAGAAGGTAATATTATAGAATAATAAAAGGATCATTAAAGATTGTTAATTTGATGAATTAATGTGTCATTTTAGAATCAGATATATAAAAAAATACAAATTCTATTTGTGATTTTATTATTGCAGAAGATGCTAATAAAGGTAATTAAAATTTAATATTAATTAGAAACTATATCTGTAATAACTTACTTATAATCAAGTAAATCATTAAGATTTTGGAGATTGTAGAATAATAATGATATGGGATGGGCTTAAAATGAATAAAAGATAGAAGTTGCTTTATCTTTATCTGAGAATATGATCAGATCAAAATTATAATTAGTTTAAATGCCTTCTAGTACATAAAATACTGTAGTTTTAATAGCTAATGAAATAAATAAAGAATTGTTAGTTTATGAAATTATTAATAAATAGTGATTAAAATAAATATATCAATTATATATTTAAATCAATACTTTTAAACAAGATAAGTAATAAATTCTTCGAATTAGATTTCACCATCTCCATTTCCATCGCATGTCTATAAGATTTCTTACCATAATTAATCATCTATTCCTCCCATTATTTCTTATAATTCATCTTTACTTATTTATCCATCTCCATTCTATAAATTATTTATTTATATTAAATACTATATCAAATATTTTAAATGTTTATTCTAATTTTATCTTATTTAACATTTTTTCTTATTAGCATGCTGCAGATACAAAAGCAGTAAAATCAACTGCTCCTGTTTTATTTATATCAACTTTTTCAAATACTTCTTCAACCATTTATTATGCTTTCAGAGGATCATATTATTAACTGTATACTAATTTATTTTTTATTATTTACCAGCTAAAAGTTCTTCTTTACTTAATAATCCATCTCCATTTTTATCAATTGATTTAAATAATGCTATCAACTCTTCCTTTTCTTAGTTTGTCATAACTTAAGTTGTTATAAACTGCATTAAGGCTGTTCTAACTTTATTTTTACTCTTCATATATATATATTATAATACATAGAAAGATTATAAATTTTTCAGTTATCTAGTATCAATTTTTGCTACATGAACATTATTTTAAATCCATGGATCTTCATATGCCTATTTTGCTGTAATCCTTTTATTTGGTTCTCTTTCCATCATTTTTTTTATTAAACTAATTGCTTAATCTGATATTCCACTCCAATTTTCATCTATAATGTATTAATTTTTATTCAAATACTTGGAAAATCATAATTTCCAATGTCAATCTTTTATAAAATCTCATCCTATTATCCATCAAATGGTAATTTTCCACTCAACATTTGATATAATATAACTCCACATGACCAAACATCACATTTTTCATTATATTTTTTTTTTAAAACTTCTGGAGCAATATAATAAGGCTAAATAATTAATAATATGTCTACCGTTCCTAATTTCTTAGTCAAAAATTGGTTCTCTTATATACGTCTTGATGTTCCAAAATCTATAATTTTTAAATTTGCTCCTTATTTCATAGATTCTAATAAAATGTTTTCAGGTTTTAAATCTCTATGAACTATCTTTCTTTCATGACAATACATCACTGCTGATAAAATTTACTTTAAAAATTCTGCAGCAATCTTTTCTGTAAACGTTTTATATTCTGAAATTCTTTATAATAGCTCACCTCCTTCTAAATATCTAAAATATTATACATTTTAATACTCAGTAATTAAGTAATAACTAGTTTTATCTTAGAACAATTCATATAATTTGACAATATTTGGATGATCTAATTGTTTTAGTATTGTGACTTCATTTAATAGGATTTCTTCATCTTCTTTAAAAATTTTATCTTTCTTTATCTATTTCATAGCCCTTTTTTATCCTGTCTATTTATGAATGACTAATCGAACTTCTCCATAAGCACCTAGATTGTTATTAAATCTTTTACCTTGTCCAAGAGATTTTTCAACTCTATAATAACTAGTAACTTATCCTTATTTAAGTGTTTAAAAATTGTCTGGACCTACTTCGAAGGTTTCTTACTTTTTTGTTGTAGGTTATTTTATTTTCTCTTATTTATCTTATCTAGTCTTAGATTGACAAAGTCCCATTAAATAAATAAATTATTTTAATTAATCAAAGTATCTAAACATTAAAAAATGATAAAGGGCAATGACAAATAATCTTAATTTTTATTTTCATTTTATTAAAATCGAATGATCAAAAATTGAATGAGTTAAATAAAATTTATTATTAAGTAATTGTTCAATGACGAATTATAAAATATTTATTATTGATAGTTATTAAATCATACATATATATCAAAGGTTGATTCTTATTAAAAAAATATTATTTTTTTCTTTAATAATTTATAATTATATTAGTATATATAAATCATCATCATCAGATAATAGAATATAGTATATAAGATTTGATGTATTAATTTCAAAATGTTAGTTACTATTTGATTGATATACAATATTATAATTTGATTATTTTATTTATTTAATCAATAATACTATACATATAAAATGAAAAGACTATGATAATATAACATAATAATTGTATACTAATATTCTTGTTTGATTATTAAATTAGATATTATTTGATTAGAAACAAATCTAGTGATTCATTAATTAATAAAATAATATTTATTTTGGAATGTGGTATAAAAATTTTTCAAAACAAAGTTGGAATCTTCGAGTTTGGAGGTACATTTAAGGTTATATCATTATTAGAAAGGCTAACATATTGTTCAATTAAGATGATATTGGTATGTTCAAAACAAAAGGAGTTTTGAGATGGAAGGATACCGTATTTAGAATGGCAAGAAGTGAAGCTTGTGTAATTAAACATATTTATATGAAATTTAGTTAAGAGGATTCAACTTTTTTTTCTTTGCAGGTATGATTGGATCATTTATTTGGGTTAAATCAAACTATTATGATCCAAAATATGTTGCACCAAAAAAAGTAGAAAGTGAAAAGGAATTAGAAAGATTAGATGCTGAAGCTGATAAAATATTATTCAAAAATAGATTAGAAGCTTATTCAAGACCACATAGAAGTTTAGAAGATTTGATTGCATTCTTATCTGGGTATTATGGATTAATTAAACTTATAGTTCAAAGACATTTGATTAATTTGCTGATTTTATCAGTTATGAAGAAGCAATGAATAATAGTATGGATTAATAAAATGGTTTGGATTCATGGATGGATGATTAAGATTAAAGAATGCTTAAATATTACCAAAGAAGTATTGGACGTACACCAAAATTTGATTGATTTTGCAAAACAATCACATAAGCATATATAAAAATATCTATAGATAGTTAATTATTAAATGGAATTAATTCTTATTATTATGTAATGATTTAGATTCCAATTTATTAATATTAAAAATTTCGATAATTGTTAATATTTTTATTATTTAAAATTCAAATAAGATGGACATTTTTGATTAGTTTTAGAAATTCAAGACTAATTTAAAGACTCAAATTGAACATCGTCCTCATTCTCAATAAAGAAATACTGTACTAAAATCCAATTTTATTTAATCAACACTTTAGACATAATAATAATAAATATAAGATGTATAAAGGAAAAAAACATTGTAACATCATAGAAGTTCTACTCTATTTAGTGCTGCAAAAGAGAATTAAGATAAAGTGCAAAAGCAACAATAATAATAATAAAGGTTTACTATGGTGCATAAATAATTGCCAGAAGTATTACCGATGTAATAAATTTAACAGATATCTGATATTTTAATTGATTGTAGTGAAGGATAAATAAACTCATTATCAACATAATATGTCGAAGAGTTAGTTAAATTATCTAGCATCATTATGTATAAAGTGAAAAATTCAAAATTCTACTCATGATAATTACATTCTCTTTTATAATTATATTTAAAATTCACTTAATTTTTGAGCATTATATAAATTTTATTAATAATATATGCAACCTTTACATTTGCAATCCAAACTGCTTATTTTTTCTATATTATTTAATATTTACAATATTATACAAATATTTACTTTATTACATCAATAATATTTATAAACTTCAAAGATTAGAATATTATAAAAAAAGAATGCTTAGAAATATAAATAATTAAAATATTTTAATGAATACTAGAGCTTCAAAGAAACAGAGTTTACCTTTACATATTCCTCCAGGTATAAAACATAAGATAGTTTAATGGACATGCTAAGCTATTTTATCTATATTTTAAATTATTCATTTATTATTTAGAAACAAGAACAAAGTAAGAAGAGCTAATTGGTGAACCAGTTATTACAAAAGTAAATATAGATAATGAGGAATCTAATAACAAGATTACAAGTTTGAATTTTCGATACAATTAAGGCATTAAAAAACTATAAATTACCAAAACATATCCTAATGAGAAAAGTGGTAATTGTATTAAAATATGTCAGGTTTTAAAGCTCATAAAACTAGGAATAAACCAATAGTCTTGAATTTATTAAATTGTTTAAAATAAGGTGTTGATGGTAAACTATATGATGTTATGGATGTCAATACTTATATATAATTTATGAATGACTAATAACAATCATAAAACATTCCTAAATCTTTAAAGTGTAAATGTAATAAATCTATGTGTTTAAAACAATATTGTGATTGTTTTGCGAATGGCAATATGTGTACTACATAATGTCAATGTCAGGGATGTCATAATACTGAAGAGTATTTAGAGGAGAGAGATGAAGCCATAAATAAATTGAAAATGTAAAATTAATCAATTGAAGTATTTAATAAATAATAATTAAAAGAAAGAAGTACCTATTGGAATTAGTTGTAAATGTAAAAAATCAAAATGCTTAAAACGTTATTGTGATTGTTTTCAGAATTATTAGAAATGCAATGAAACTTGTTAATGCTTTAATTGTTCAAATTAATTGGAAAAAGTAGAATAGGGGGATTAAAGATTAATGATGAATTCTATATCATAATTTGATGAAAATAGCAGATTGGCAAAATCACCCATAGTTTATAACAGATAAGGTCTTTTTAGAAGAGCTGATAGTATGAACTATTCAAATTCTTTTGGTTATTCTAGAAGTATATAAAATAATCATTATAAATTAATTAAGGAATGCTAATACAACATGAAGGACCATACATTTTAAAGTAAGACTCATAAGGATTTAATTGAATAACATAATAACTGTAATTATAATTCAATTTTGTAAATTGTATCATGGAAGACTCTTTCTGATGTTCTCTAGTGTTTATGTAATATTATTGACAGAAGTAGTGAGCTAAAGAGTAATTAACGAATTGATACTTGTTCAGCAGTACTTTTGATGCCATTTATTTAAGCTTCCAATTAATTGAGTTTTTCTGGTACAGCTTTAAGAGTGACAGCATTTCTTTATATAGCAGCAAAATCATCTTCAATTTATTGCATTTGAGGAACTTAGCATTATCCCATTATGTAGAAATAAAATTTAATTATTAATAAATAAATTAATTAATTTAAGGATGTCAATGAGTGATTAGAGTAAGACAGAAAATCGGATATTTGTTACAGGATATTCAACAAAAGATAAAAATGAAGATGATATTAAGACTCTTTTTTCCAAATATGGAGAAATTAGTGAATTTTCTTGGAAGGGTCGTTTTTGTTTCATTGTATTTTTGCATATATATATTTATATTAGGCTTATTCAAAAGCTGAAGAAGCTACAGAAGCAGTGAATGAAATGAATTAAAAAGATTTAGATGGAAATACTTTTGTCGTTGAGATAGCTAGAGCCAAAAAAAAAGACGGTGAATGCTATCAATGCGGCAGAATAGGCCATTTGTAAATAATATGATGATATGAATTAGTGCTCGTAATTGTAGATAAAAAAGAAGATCTTCAAGTTCAAGTTCAAGGTAAATAATTTAATAATAAATAGACGCCACAAAAGAAAAAGTAGAAAATATAAAAAGAGAAGTCCCTCCAGTTCTTCAAGTTCATCTTCTTCTTCATCTTCAAGAGATAAAAAGAAGAAATAAAAAACTAAAAAAAGAAAATAATCCTCATCTTCAAGTGATTGATTTTAAAAGAATTTGGATATATATCAATGATTAAATAATTATCGTGTTTTTTGTTGTGAATAAATCTAATCATTTTTTCAATGCTTATTCGTTGTCTCTCAAAATTTAAAAAGCAGTCTTTAACGAATTCAATTATCCTTCTCTCTTACTAGCATTGGATCTAAAATTTGAATCATATAAATCTTTTTGAACTCTTGTGGTTTCTAATAATTATTAAGTATTTTCTTAATTCAATGACAATTATTTATTTCTTCTCTATACAATTTTCTATATGTCAATAAGTCATTTATGCATACCAAATCATTTTATTTATTCTTTAAAGTACTACTTGTCTTTTAATTATCTTATACTAATTTTTCTCTTAAAATTGACACTTCATTAATTAATGAATTAAAATTTTGTTCTGCTGCTATTTGATTTTGTTCTCTGAATTATTAACCATCTTTAATAGATGCAATTATTTATTCAATTAATTCAATAGCTTTTTTAGCTGTTATTTCATCAAATCTTAATTATCCAGATAAATATACTTTGCAGATAAATCTAATAATAAGACAAGAGGATGTTTATGTCCTAATTCTTATTTTACTTATTTAATTATTTCTTATTTTTCTCTTTCTTCAAGAAATGAACCTTAATTTGAAAGAACAGTTTTGACTAATCTATCATGAATTTCTTCTAATGCTCCTAATATCTTTTAAGCAGCAGTCTATTTAGTTTCTACAGCTTATATTTCCTTAGCTCTATTATCACGAATTTATTCTTCTCTTTAATTTATTGTTTCTAATTGTTTCTTAATGGAAACATTAGTAGATGTAAGTGTTGAAATTGATTATGTAATTTCTCCTATTTTTCTATTGTTGGTTTAAACTTCATTTTATAATGAAGCTAAATTTGTATCTAATTATTCTATGCTTTATTAAAATGCAGCCATTCTTGAAGCATGTTCTAAATTTGCAGAATTAATTTATCCAGTTAAATCATCAATCATTTTTTATAACAACTCAAAAACACGATCTAATTATCCACCTGCAACACTTAATTCCAACATATCAACTAATTATGAATTATATTCATTAGATTATAATTAATGTCTTAATTACTAAAGAGCAGGACTCTCTGTAGCTATTGCTATTGTTATTAATAGCAACACTAAAAGAGACTTTTATGACATTTAATCCGTTTTTATATTTATTATTAATAATCATTATTGTGGTTTTCTTTATGGAATCTATGCAGGGGATTATTTTATATGTTATTAAGGCGAAGCATACTAAGTATTTATTAAATTTTATTACTGATTCCTTTCTAATACATGGTGTTGGATGAATAGCTTCCAATGTTAATTCACCATTTTGTCTTAATAACAATGCTCTATCTTATTCATTTAATTTTTAAAGTTTTGGATTAGCTTTCAAGGTTCCTTAAATTGATTTAAAGATTTCAATTAAATTCTCTTTTTTATATTGAACTGTAGCCTTTCTTATTGGTGATCCTTAGATGTCTTTGCTTCCTCTAAAGATTATATATCATTATATATACTTATGTTTAGCTGGTTGAATTTATTCAGAAGTCTTTCTAGAAGTTGATTTTTTTTCAACATACTAAAAATAATAATAAATTATATACTGGACTCTATTACACCTTAGGAGGTTTATCAACATTTTTTACATTTTATTCTTATTTTTCTAGTGATTATTTTTCAACATAAATTTCTTTTGGTCCTGATGTAGGAGTTTTTGTTTTTTTTTCCTAATGCTCAACTTATTCGCTTCCCTTACGTTCTTAACCTGATTATTTTCTTGGATTTGATTATTATTATTGAACTGGAGGATAGTATGGTTTATTAATCTTTTCATGCTAATTCTATCCTGCAACATCATCAGAAGCTTTTCTTATATATAGATTTTAGAACATTTAATTATCTACATATACTAAAATACTTTTACTGTAAGGGTATAAGTATTGTGCTTGATTATTGAATCCTAGTGTCTTTGTAAGTGATTAATAAACATTTTCTGGTTCTACATATGCTTTTAATGGATCTTTTGGATCATTCACTGCTTAATCTAAAAACTTCAAACCCACTTCATCATCCTTGAATGTCACTCTACAACATCCACCTTCAAATGCTATTTCACACTCAATATTCTTCAGATATTTTTCAATCAAGTAAGCTTTGAAATCTGCATTTGTTTAACTGATTTCATTGATTATAATATTCTTTGTATGTGGAGGTATCAAGAGAGTGACATATCCTTCATGCAATTTGCAATTTTTACATTGCTTTAAAGCCTATAATTTATATAATTAATATTACTCCCAATATTTCTTCAATGGAATGCTTTGCTAGTGAATATTCTTTTTGAAGTGCCACTATTGGTAGATTCAAATTTGGGTCCAAGTTTTTTAGAAGGTATTTATTTTTCTCTAGGTGTTCTCTTGTGAACATGCCATCTAATTGTTTTATTAAATCAGTCATTAAAAATTTAATGAATAAATAAAATATAAAAAATACTACGTAATGCCTTTCTTGAACTTTTAATTAGCATTATAATTTAAATAGAATCAATATTTATTTATCCAACTTATAATAATATATAAATCTAATGATTATTAAAATTATTTATATATAATTTTACTACATACAAAAATATTATTTTAATCATCCTAATTGAAAATGATCTTCAACAATTATACTTTTTTTCTTTTGTTTACTAAATTATTTTAATTTCTTCTTCAAATTTAAATATATTTTATGTATTTCTTCATTATGTAAATGATATTTTCCATTTTTTTAATAAACTACAATAAATTATTATAAAAATTTTATCATATCATTTTATTTTGGTTTAAATTTAACAAGTGAATTATTGCTATATATTTTTATAGATTTAAAATAAACATAAAATTAAAGGAGCAAACACAATATAAATAAAATATTATCTCTCATATTTTACACACTAATCATTTTATATTGAATAATCAAATTTATTTGGATTAAATTGATACCAAAGAAAAGGTATTATTGTAATTTTTCTTATAATTTACCTACTCTAATTGGTATAGAATGTTTAATAAATAAATACTTATCTACCAAATATATTAATAACAATGATATTATTGAAGATAGAATAATAAAAGGATAGAATAATGCTGTAGCAATACATAAATTAAATATTTTGTAAATAGTATATCTTCTTTAATCAATTTAAAATTCTCTTTTTTCAAATAATTTATTTGCTTCTATTTATGTTAGATTATTAAAGTTATTTCTTTTTTCTTTTGTATATTTAATTAATCTCCATAAATATTTTATATCAAAAATAGAAGTTAATGCAGGAATTAAAATATTTAAGTAAGATATTGTAATTTAATTATCTACTAATCCTTCTTTCTATAACATCCATCTAGAAGCTCCTGGATCTGTGTAATAATTAAATGGATCAAAGCAATTAGTCCATTGTGTAAAATGGCCAGATAATGCTATATCTACAAAAACAAATAATTGAAACTAAAAATTAAAAAATAAGTTTTACAGATTAATGCACCATTGATGATCCATTTCTACAGACATAATCACTTAATTTTAATATTAATATTTATGAAATACCAAATAAAGCTTTTATAATACCCTATGTTATTTTAAGATCATCTCCTTCAAAGTAAATTGTAATGAATTTTAACCTAAAAAACATTGTAAGTGTTATCAATACTCTAGGTAAATAATAAGAAAATAATAAATTAAAAAAAATAAACCAAAAAGCTTTGGTCTCTTTCTTTTAAGTGTCTTAATATTGATATTCTTAAACTTGTTAATTATATAAATTGCAAAGCATATATAATTCATTTTTAATATATGCTAATTTATCCATTAATACAATCTTACCTATTATACAATCATTTATTAAAGTATTATCTTATATTAATTTCATTAAAACTTTTTTTGTCCATTTAGGACTAAAAATAAATGATTAATATTTACTCATTATCATATTTTTAAGAATATTTATACTTTAGTTCTTTTAATAAAGAATCTTCATATTTCTTTTCATCAAATACTCTGTATACAAAAAGGTTTTGCTATTAACTTTTCATATATTTCATTATATCTTAATGGATAAATTTAGGAAAATAAAGACAAGTTTGTTTTAAATATTCAAACATTGCTGGAGTTTAAATTCTTTTTGTTGTTTTATGATTACTGAAAAATCTAAAATGTACAATTTAAAGAAGTATGAATGTAAGATGAACAAAATAACTATAATTTTGATTATCTAAAGATTTATATTTTGGAATAAGATTCCACACTGAATAAATTTTATTTGTATTTTGATCACAATCTAAAATTTTCTCACATTAATTTCCTTAGCTATGAATTATAGAACAATAAGGAACAAGAAAGATACTAATCATAATTATTTATATTACCCAATAATCAATAGTTAATAGATGCAATATTTTATCAATTCAAAATATTCACCTAGTGAACTATGATGATGATAATATTTTCTGCCTTCAAAAAAACTATACTTTATATTATCTTTATGGAAATTACAACAAAGACACTATTAAGAATTTTAAAAATATTCTTTATGAACTGTATATGCTTACTAATAATTATTATGAGAAATACTCTATGTAATTAAGCTTTTTCCAAATTAGGAGGGATCTTAAAATAATTGTATTCTATATCAGAATCATCAAAAGACATTTATTTCTTGTCCTCCTACTTCTCTTAATCTATCTCTAATTCTTAAATTATATTCATAATTATTAAAACAAAATAAGTAATCTTATACCACTATTTTTTGGAATAATTTATATTAAAATTATCATTCAAATTTAATATATTCAATCTATCAAATGGTTATTTGATCTTAAAATAAAATGTAATAGAAATTTTATATGTGCTATAATATTTTTATTGTAATTATGTACTAATTGGATTTTGAATACATTTTATAATTATATATGATTACTTCTCATATTCTAAATCATCCATTAAAATTATATATTTATTGAAATTTAAAAAATGTTTTTGATTAATATTTCTAAGCTTTCCCATTTTATAACAAGATTGTTTCATCTAAAATTTAAAATCTTGATTGTTTATTTTAATAAGGTTCTTTCAGTGCTTTTAATTAATTAGCTGATGGTATTGCTTTACAATTTGATTTTTGGAATAATTGTTTCATACTATATAAACACCTTTATTCTTTAATCTAACTTTATTTTAACTAATTGCTTTCCTTTTCAAATAATTAACAAAATATCTAAAATTCTCTTATTAATATATATACTTCATCAATTGTAAAACAATTTAAATATGTTATCTTGCACTCTAATAAGAATCTCATTCCATATAATAATGAGATCTCTTATAATGCATTTTTTTGTATTGGAAAATAGAATGTTCCAATAATTATCTCATTCAAATCTTGTGTAATCATAAAATTAGCCCCTCTATTAGTATTATCATTTACTTTTCCAAAAATTAAGGCATAATCTCTATTTTAATCTAAATTGATGGGTTTGATAGATAATTTATTATATTCACTAAAAATATCTTAATATTCAAGTATAATTTAATTTAAAGGAGGTTCTTATTGTAGAATAGAAGATAAATTATTGATATTTTATTAAGAACTAAGTATTTGAGAATAATTTTGATCATTAGGGTTTGATTAATATTTAATTTGGCTTTAATCTATTAGAACTTTTACAAAATCATTTTACTCTCTTGATAATTACTTAGCCTAATAATTTGTTTCTTTTGGAATTTATAAAAATTAATGTGTTAAAAAAATTTACTATATTAATCTATTACATGGCTATAGATTGCTAATTCACCTTATAATTTAAATTCTCTAAATTTTGTAACTAACTAACATTTATATATGAAGAATATACTTGACTATTTCCTTTCACATTCAATATTTTAATTCCTAAATCAATACAATATCTCATTCCATGAATAGTAGCCAAAAATTCTAATTCATTAATTTTTTTATTTGAAAAGGATTAACTAATCATCACTAAATCTTTGCTTTAATTTTTAATAATAATTCCAAATCTCCCTTAAATATAAGTACTAGAAGCATAATACAACTCATAAGATTCTTATGGATCAATATTAATTTTTCTTTATAAAGAATTAAAGTAACAAATTTTTTCTTTGTGTTAATGATCTAAATCTAATAAGTTTGGTGGATTTTGTAACATTTATGAGATTGGGATTATTTAAGAAAATGAATGACTTTGCAAATTATTAGAAATTCTGCTTATTTCTGAATAGCTATCTTATTATTCTGTTTTGATTTAGTTGTAATTTAATGAACTACTCCAACTGTAAAACTAATTGTCACCCATAGATTTTATTTTTATTTATAATTCTTTGAATTATTTGTCTCTTAAATTAAATGAATATATTAGATAATAATCAAAAAAAAATAAAATAATATATGAAATGAAGATGTTTCATTTTTAATTTGATATTTATAATGATTATTAATAAAATGTATAACAACACTGATTTAGAAAAATTGGTCATTAAAGGTAGTACAAGATTTCAGGAAGTTAATTTTAATCAACCCAGACTCTTCTAACCTAAGTTGAATATAATAAAATTAAAAGGGTTTCAATAGATAGTAGATCTAATTAAGTAATAAGAATCTTTTTTGAAACAAAATTAGATTCCTTAAATTAATACTCAAAAAAATCTACCTTCAATTTTGGTTTATCCTCCTAAAGCTGAATTAATTACATCTTCAAAAAAAGAAATATCAATTAGAAAATATAGTGAAACTAGGGTTTATGGAAGAAAAAGCTTTACTGAAGCTGCTGAGCCTCAATCTCTTGAGAGAAGAAAGATTAGTACTAAAAGAAATAAGTTAGCCATTAAAAAGGCACTTCCTAATAAATAAGAAGAATAAAATATGTTTGAAAATCCTTCTGATTTTGCTACAATAGTAAGTTATTCAAATTTATTAATGATAATTCCATAAGAGAAAATAGTTTATAAGGCATTCATCACAAAAGGAAATAATGGTTAATTAGTTAGATAATTAATAAAATCTAGATCTTGGTGGGTATTACTTGATGCTCCTTAGAATGACATGAATCTATATTGGACTTAATTAAGAAAATAAGGATTTTATAAGGATCTAATAACTATTACTGGGAATTAATCAACATTTACAAAAACATAGAAAAAATTAGTGTTTGATAAATTTAAGCTTAAATTAGAAGAAGAAAAATATACAAATTTTGTTTCTAGTAATATATTAAGAGTACATAATCATTTAGAAGGGAATTTTTAAATCTCAAATAAGAAAGCTTTATATTATAATATGAAATCATATTATGAATCTATAGGGTAAGATCCATTTAAATTTATACCATTAACATTTCATATTTAAGATGGAATCAAAGATCCTGTATATTAGTAATTTGAAGAATATGCAAGAAAGAATAATATTAATGTATGGATAGTAAAACCAGGGGAATAATCAAATAGAGGAAATGGGATAGAAGTAGCCAATTCAATTTCTTAAGTTAAACGGCTAGTTTCGTATCGTGAATTGCATTCAAATGGAGTAAAGAAAACCTTTATTGTGCAATAATATTTAAATAGACCATTATTATACAATAAAAGGAAATTTGATATCAGATGTTTTATGTTGATAACTTGTATAAATCACTAATTTAAAGCTTATTGGTATTAAGAAGGATATATAAGAACAAGTTGTAAGGAATTCAATTTGGATGACACAGATTGTAAATATACTCATTTAACTAATGATGCTGTATAAAAATACAGTAAAAACTATGGGAAATATGAGACAGGAAATAAAGTAAATTAATAATATAAAATAAGGTTTCATTTAATGATTTTTCAAAATATGTATAGGAGATTTATAATATGAACTTTAATAATACAATAGAACAATTAAAGAGTTTATGTACTGACATTGTCAAAGCTTCTTATTAACATTTAGATCCAAATCGTCATTTCTATACTTTTGAATTATTTGGATTAGACTTTATGATAGATAGTGATTTTAAACCATGGCTTATAGAAGTGAATACAAATCCATGTCTTGAAACCTGTTGTCCTTTATTATCTAGATTAATAAATCATTTAGTCGAAAATACTATTAGAATTGCTATTGATCCTATGTATCCTCCTCCTACTAAGAAGAAACCATTACCTGAATTCAAAAATAATTTCGAATTGATTTTCAACTCTCCTCTAATAGAATAATGTGGTAAATTACCAGAAATTTAATAAGATGATGATGATCTTGATGTAGATGATGATAATTGAATTAATATATATTTATTTGTCATTCTTATTCCATACTCAATTTACTAAATTAAGATTGTAATTATATATCTTAATTAATTATATCACTCTCTGTTCTTAAATATTGATTAGTTGATAATTTCTTCTATATTTATAATTATTCTCCTTGTTCTTCTAATAAATCTTGAAAAGGTAGTTAGACATCTTGGAATATATTGGATCCAGAATGAGAATTCTCGATTCCATAAAGTTGTTTCTATTCTAAACTCATCTAATGTGCTAATTACAAAAAGTCTCCATTAGAATTTAGAGAATCTATGTAATTTATCATATTTTCATTTACCTCCTTTACCAAATCCATTATAGGAGATTTAAATGTAATGATTGAATTATTATAAATTGTTTATTGAGTTTTCTTACTCAAACTAACTCTGTATAGTATCTAATTATTTATCTTCCTTTTATATTTATTCTCTGAGATACTCTTATCCTGTAAAATCAGATTTATTTTATTACTATTGAGGAGTCATCACCTTACTATCTGAATCAGATTCCTTTGTTTAAATATTATAGTATTTCTTTATATGAGAATAAAACCGATTCTTTACAGAATTTTCCTATATTATTTAATTTAAATGATTACTGATCTTCCTTTTAATTTCTTAGATATTTCACTCCATTTAGGACCCAAACTTATATACAATTAATAGATATCTTCATCTTCCTTCTTATCATACGGATCATGATTGATTGCTTTGTCTAATTTATTGATAAATCTTTCTCTTATCTGTTTCCCTGTTCTCCCATTCATTTCGTTTTCTATTCTCTTCCAATTTTTCCCAAACTTTTAAATCAAACGTAAAACTTGCCTATCCTCTTCTTCTGTCCATGGTTTTCTTATTTTAATCTTTATACAATGCTTAAGATACTCTATTCGGATTTATTCTTTTCCATCTTTATGAACACTAAGATTGATTTCTTCCAGGTATAGCTTAGGATACTTATGTCCAATTTCCATTAAATTTATCATAAAAATTCTAAAGCATTTCATCTTCCTCTGGTGTCCATATTTTTACAATTCTCTTCTTCATCATAGGTTCTGAATCAGATGCATCTGACTCATAGTAATCAGAACTATATTTTCTAATGCTTTTTTTAGAAATCTAACTCTATTGGCTATTGGCTCTATGTTTTCATTAATTGTATTAATACCTGGTTCTAGTGCTTTAACTCATTTAAATATAATAATACTAAAAATTATAAATTTGTTAATTATCACAAAATTGATACAAATAATTATTTATAGAATTTAACAAATTATTTATATGACTAAATATTATGTCATAATTATCACATATTATAACTTTATAAATTAATACCTATTAAAATTATACTTATTTATATTCAGAAATCAAATTGTTTTTAATGTAATTATAATTTGTAAATTGAATTTATTCTGAAAAATATGTTTCCTACTTTAAATAAAAGGTTTAGAGGTGCTAAAGAATCTTTTAATAGGATTAATCTTAATTTTAATTCTTGTAGTATACTGATTCACTGAATAATCTTTTTAAGTAAGGATATAAGATTTTAGTATAACTGTTTAATAGTTATCCTCTTCTTTAAATCTAAGTTTAGATCAAAAAGAGAGTGTTCAAACTAGTGTTTAATTATATTTAATTTGATTCTCCATTTAAGTTGACAAACTTATTAAATGAAATTTTTTGATTTATAATTATTTTATTTTCTTGCATTTCCATATAAGTTGATTTTTTGTTAGTTTCTTATTTGAAATTTATTTGATTGTTTTTAATACTCACTTTATTGTCTAAAAATTGAGCAAAGTAGTTATTTTTTGTGATGAATATTTTTATATAAACTTGTTTAGGGGTCTTCTATATATATAAGTTCAAGATTTAATAAATTATTATAATATGCAGGTTATTTTTTTGGAGAATCCTTAATTCACAATTTTACTTTACTTTTTAATTTGAATCATTCTGATAATTAGTAGAATCAAATAATTATCAATTTTACTATTTACATTTTAGTATCAATTTAATATTATTAATAGGTTTATGGATAAAATTAAACAATAACCAAGACAAAAGTTTAAATTAAATATTTCATTATAGATATATAAGGTCTAATGAGAATTCTAAATAAGCTTCAAATATTGAAGAGGAAACAGATATTAAAATCAATTAAAATTTGATAATTTGATATTTAAGAATCTTTAGTGATAGATAAAATTAAGAAATATCTAGAATGATCATTTATATAAATTTTAGGATTTTTGATATTATTATTTATTAATTTTAAATAATTATCAATAATTGAATATATGATTCTATTTTGAAATTAAGTTTTTAAGAGGATTATAGGTTTATTTAAGTATACAAATGAGTAATTAAAATTAATGCTATAAATAATATAGATTCTATTAAATTTTGTATGGTATTATATCATTTATTTTGATTATCTAAATTTTTGTAGACATTATTAAATCTCCAATTATGATAATAATGAGCAGGTGAATAGTCTGAATAAACATGATTTGGATCTTTCTTGGAATAAATGATAGATGGAACAAATTCCTTTCCTACTTCAGTTCTGTCTTTAAGTAAAAGATGAACACCATCATACATAGATAGGAATCTCAAATAAATGTAAAAATTACTTTGTGAATCTGCTTGCAAAGACAAATGATTAATCTTTGAATTCATATATCCAATGATCTATATAATATAAATATAATTACTTAAGGTGTTATTATCTCCTTAAACAGAATGAACATCATGTCCAAAACCTCTAACTTATGGGCAAACCTTCAACATTGGTAGAGTATTTGTTCCTAAATGTACCCATCTTGAGAATTCAGGGAATGCAAAATGAGCTCTGCCTGTATAAAGACCAGCTTTGACTGGCCAGAAGGCAAGAGAATCAGCTTTATTAAATGATATATTATCATTAAGGAATTTAAGAGCAAATTTCCAATCCCATTATCCTGAAGGTAGTTTAATAAGATTATCACTAAAAATAGATCTCCATTTAACACACTATATAAGAATATTTAAATAATTTAACCTCTATGTTTTCTTTGAGAAATGATTCAATTTATGATTTGGTCATTTCTTTAGTATTAATTCCTGATAATTTCTTAATAAAGCCTCTGAATTCTGTAAATGCTTCATGAAATCTTTAATCCATAGGTGAATAATCAATGCAGAATACACCTGTTGTTCTTTCAGGATGATAACATCCAGCAGCTAAAGCAACCTTTGCTCCAAATCCATGTCCAGCCAAAGTTGCCATGGTAATTTTGTTATAATACATGTATCTAACAACATCATTGGCTAGATCTTCAACATCAAAAGAGTAATGTCTATCTGATGTACCAAAATTTCTTGGACTCAAAATATGCACATTTCTATAATCAAGAATCTATCAAATTTACACATTTTTCTACCTTATTAGATGGGTCACTGAAGAAAGGGATCCAATTTTCAACAGGATCACAGGCTTCAGGAAAGAAGAGCATATTTGGTAAATCATTATATCTGCCTTTGAGAGTGACTCCCCTTAAGACTACATTCTAGGAAACATTCTAATGTTCACCAACTCCTTTATGGAATTAGAGTGTACTGAATTTCCAAAGTTATCGAAATCTGTACATAGATATTTTAATTAATTAATTTATTCATATACTATCATAGCCACCATGTCTAAATCTCTAGACCTGAGTTTACAACCTATCTACACCAAAATGAAAGATTGTTCTAACTTAAGGAATAAGAGTTTTGATTTAATGAAAATGAGGGATAGCATCCTCTCCTTCTAATTACAATTTTTTACGATTGTATATGAATCGACCCCCAAAATATAAACAAATAATAAAAATGAATTTAAGAAACCAATGTGAACCTACATTATTGATATGGAATCAATACTTGCATTCCTACAGCCAACATGATGTCTAATTTTAAATTGATCTATGCATTCATTATCTGGTAAAACAGTAAATGTGGCATCATCATTTCCACATTCAATAAAAAAATGAGCCTATCTTGGTTACATTACTCCAGTAGGTTATTATTTTGGATCCATACACAAATCTCCTTAGGTGTATTTTATAACTATGCCTTTTTATAAATCTCTTTAATCCAAATGTTCAAATGTTTAAGTTTCTACCAATCCAGCTACATCACAATTCTCTGTTATTTATCCCATAACAGCTAAAGCTTCAATAGCTCCTACTTATCTATCATGACATTTTATGGGTTTGAAATCACAAAAATTGAATATGTAAACCATACTAAACATTCCCATCCCACTTGTTTCATCTTTTAATTGCCATCCTCCAGGTTTATCTAAAGATTTTAAATTATAGGTGTATCCTGATTCATCTGTCCATGTGCATTTTTGGCATTAAGCAATTCCTATCAAGAATAACAATATAGTTATCGTAAAATTAGGACACATATGTTAATTTATTTTATTATATATTATATTTATGAATGTATCAATAAGCTCTAACAGATTGCTGTTACATTTTAGCTTTTAAATCTTGATTTTCACCTTCCAATTCTTAAATTTGTTTGTCAAAATTATCCAAATCTTCATTTAACTATCCAATTATTTCTTCTTATTCTTTTAATTTATTTTCAGCTACTTAATATTTATATTTTAAAGCTTCAATTTGAGTTGCTAACATAGCTATCTTACCTTCATTATCATACTAATTTTATCAATATATTTATTACTTTAATCTATTCTAATTATTCTATCTATTATTATTATTACCCAATCTTTTCTTTCAATTATTAATTTTCATGATCTCTCTATTACAATTCATTTTCTAATTACTATTAATTTATAAGTTATTCATTTAATAAATTCAATTAGTTTTAAAGGTCATTGACACTAAATTATTAATTTAATATACTTAGCTTTGACTTAATTCAATTCATCAGATTTTGCAGTCAAAGTTGAATGAAGAGTATTATTTTCTTTCTCTAAATTTTACACTTTCTCTTCTGCTTAATTTAAAGCATTATCCAAATTGCCTAATTCTTATTATAAATGTTCATAATCTTATAATTTTTCTTCTAGTTCTTTAATTGTATTTTAAGCACCATTATATTTTAGTTTAGCTCTCTCTATTTCTGGTCCAAGCAATGCTACTTTATTTTACAATCCATAAACTTCATTATTTAATTTATTTATTTCATCATCTTTCTTCATCAAATCTAATTAATCTTAATCTGCTTTTTTCTTCATTTCTTATATTTATTCTGATAATCGTGTATTTTCAGGATCTAATGGTTCTAGTTAAGCAACAACATTTGATAACTATTTATTTTAATTATTTAATAATACATCTGTGTTTTAATTAGTTAATTCATCTATTTTTTCTTATTTATTTTTATTTAAATGCTTTTATCTCTCAATTTCTGCTGCCAACATTGCTATTCTCATATCTAAATTCTCTTTCTCCTTAGTCACTTTATCCAATTATAAAGTAGTCTTATCTAAATCTTCTTTTGTCATCCTCAAATCTTAAGCTCTATTAAATATTTAAATAAATATATACTTTTCAGCATAATTTGCCTACAATTTTTAATAGTCCTTTTCCATAACTTCATATGCTTCTATTTTACTTTCAAGTTCTTTAACTTTAGTTTAAGCTTCTCCTAATTTTTTAGCTATTTATTTATTTTCACCTTATAATTTATTGACCAATTATTATAAATCATTAACCTAAGTTTGTAATGGTTCAATTTATGCTACTAATTATTCTAATTCTGCTATTCTCTATTTTAAATCTGCAATTTAATGCTATAGTTCTTCTTCCATTAATTATTTCTCTAAAGTTATTGCTTTCAATTATTTTGTTAATTTATTGAAATTATCTGTTAATTCATCATTTATTAATCTCATCTATATAGCTTCAGCTTTATACACTTACAATGTCTTAACCTCATTATCTTTTTATAAATATTTAGCTTTCCATTATTCTAATTCTTCTTTTAATTAAACAATCTCATTTTTCAAAGATTCATTTTCTTATCTTACTTGATTAAGTTTTGTATCCAAAGTAAGGTTGAAACCTATTGCTTCTTTTAATTCTTATTCTAATATTCTATCTTTTATTATTTTTCCTTCCAATTCTTTTATCAATTTCTCTAATTATTCAATTTTATTTCTTAATTGATCTAACTCTTTTGTAGCTTTCTTTAATTCATCAGCAGTCTTTTAATGTTATTCTTACTCATTAAAAAATGCTTCTTCCAATTTTACAAATTATAATCTCTAAGCATTTAATTATTAGACTACTAAAGAATAATTAGATTCCAATTATGATAAATTTGATTTTACTTAAAATAAGGTTCTAATTTACAATTATTGTTAACTTAATTACTCATTTTAAAGATTTATTTAATCATTATAATCTAAATTCTATTTTGATAGTTTATCTACTTAATTTTATAATTTATTAGCTTTTTATTCTAATTAAGGAATTAATTCTTATAAATGATTTAATTCATTAACTTTTTATTCTAAATTCTTATTCTTTCTCTTAAGTTCTTCAATTTCTTTTATTAAACTTTATTTCTCTTGTCTCAATCTTTCTACTTCATTCTTATAGATTTAGAATTATTAATCTGTTCTTAGTAATTTCTTCTCTAAATCAGAAACTTGTTATATATATGTTGGTAATTAAATATTAAGTTCTGTGATTTCTTTACTCTTTAATGTATTTTCTGCCTTTAATTTTTCAATTATTGCTTCATATTATTTATTTTAATCTTCAAACAAATGTGTTTCTTAAATTTTAATTTATAATGATCTATTTTCACTTTGTAATTTACTTATTTAATCTTAATAATTTGTATTTAAATCAGCTAATTAATTCTTTTAGATTGTAATATCATTTAATTTTCTTTAAAGTCCCTTCAAATCAGCTAATTAACGATCATTTTCCAAATACTTTTCTTTGTATTAATCAGCTAATTTTTAAAGAGCTTTGATTTCCTCTTATTTGCGTAGTAATTCTTCTCTTAATTCTTAGAGTTAGAGATGATGATCATTTTTGATTGAATTTTTTTAGTCTTATAAACTTTAAATAGTTTTCTTAAGATTAAGTAATTCAGATTCCAATTCTTTGATTCTATCTTATAATTTTGCATTTAATACTATCTAATTATCTAATTCTTATTATTTATTTTACAATTAATTATTGAGAGTATCAATTTATTATTCAGCTTTTGCTAATTTCAATCTCAAATCTTCTAATTATTAAGATTTTTAATTTAATAAAGTATTATTTCTTTATAATTCAATATTAATTTAATTATCTCTTAAATTATTAACATTCTTTTATTATTAAATATTTTAGAATTATTATTATAATTATTAATTTCTTGAACTTAAATCTGAATTAATTTTAAGTGTTTATTCATATTTTTATTATAAAACTTTCAATTAACTTTATAATTCTCCTAATCCATCAACTTATGATTATAATTATTGATTTTCTGCCTCTAATTAAGCTAATTATAAATTAAGTTGATCATTTAATGATTTATAAGTTTCACATTATTAGAAAATCTTTAAATATTCTGTTTCTTTAGATATCAATTCTTTTAATCTTTATTCTAATTCAAAGTTTTTAACAGTCAAATCTTTAATCTATTTTCTCAATTCAGCAATGTCTCTATCCTTCATGTCTAATTAGGACTTAGCTCTATTTAAGTCTAATTCAAGAATTCTTAATTATTGTAATTTTTCTTATAAATTCTATAATTCTTTTTCAACATTAGTTAATTGTTCACTCTTTAATTTAAGTTCTTTATCTAATGATGACAATTCTGACAACAAACTTTATTTTTCAATTTATAATTCATTTATTTCCAAGACTTATTATCTTAAAGTGTTATTATCATTTTCAACAAATTTTAATTTATTATTTAGTTTATCATATGCTTACTATTTATTTTCAAGTGTTCTATTTAATTGATCAATTTAATAATTCAAAACACCATTCTATTTTTACAAATCTTAATTTTAACCTCTAATCTAATCTAATTACTTTTTCATCTTATCATTTTCTAGAATTTATTTTGCTTAATCATCATTTTTTCTTTTTAATTCATCAATGACTCTTTATTTCTCTTAGATTTATTATTTCAAACCTTATAATTCTTTGATATGATCTTCAGCTTATTAAAGACTAATTAATAATTAATTATTACTTAGTCTTTAATCTTTCTATTTCTTATTATTTTGATGCAAGTTATTGATTTAATCTTTCAATCTCTTTAACTAATAATTTATTATTATTATCTTAATCAGTTACTTGAACCTATAGATCAAATACTTATAATTCTAATGCCAAAGCCTTTTTTCTCCATTAATCTAAATCATTTAATATTTAATTAATTTAATCTCTTAATTTCTTATTCTCATCCTCTAATAAATCCATTGTAGATAATTGACCTCTCTTAACAGTATCTAAGTTCAATTAATTCATTCTTTCTAACAATTCTCTTAACTCTTATAATAATCTATTTCTATCTTCTTCAGATAACTTGAATTTATCTTTCCACATTGCTAATTCATTTTCTAGATTCTTGATCTTACTATGTAATTCAAAATTTTCAATTTCTTATTTTCTTGCATCAATTAAAAGTTCTTCCAATCCTTATAATTTTGCTCTTAACTGAAAAATCAAATAATTATTACTTCTAAATTTTCATCTTGTTTTTTCTTAAGTAATTCTTGAAGTGCATCATGTTCATGTTAATTTAATTCAAGTTAATAAATTTTATTATCTCTTTAAGCAATTGCTAAATCTTTCTATTCATTTTCATTAATAAGTTGTTTAATTAATGCTATCAATTTGCCATTTTCATCTGATAATATCTTTAATCTCATTTCATACATTCCAGTCTAAAAAACTTAATTTTTTTTAATTACTAGCTCTTCTAATCCTGAGCCTCCGCTTGTAATTTATAAAGCAAAGAATCTTGCCTTCCATTACTCCACCTCTATTCGCAGTTAATTTAGTTTATCCTAGTCAGATCCATCTCCATCTTACTTAATGATGATGGCTAACAATAATTTTATAATCATTACTTTATTAAGGTCTAACAAAAGTAGGTACTACCCTTGATGTTATCATTGGTTATATTTATCCATTAGGCATTTAAAAGTACTCTAATTAATTTACTACAGCTGATTATGCCATAGCAACATTAGGCTAAAGCAATAACATTGATTTTTTACTGAGTTAATTACTCTTACACTTGATCCTTCTGCACTAGATTTCTTCATCTTGTCATTAGGAATTATAATATGACTTTCTGAATAAACTCTCGATTGTTAATTTCCTGGTTATGGTGATAAAAATCTTCCTCGATTAGGTGTTTATTATTCACTCATTTAGATTAAATTAATATCTTTACAATAATTTTTATATCAATATATATATATATAAATGAACTTCAAAATGTTTACTAATTGATACATCCACTTCTATGGGATTATGTAAATTATATCAATTATTATCAATAATAATTATTTTGATTTATTTTATTTTCCAATATTTAAGGCTACTCAAACTTGTTAAATTTTATTTAGTAAAATAAAAATTATGTCTGAAGAAAATATTAGTTAAAAAAATCAATTCGAGTTTGCTAAACATTCCAATGCTGTTAGAAGATTCGAGAATCTCGAGAAACTTAAGTTAATTGAACGTTTAGAAACAATGCAAAGAATTAAAAAATCTAATGATAGATTAGAAATTAAGAAATTTATGTTTCAATTACAATAAAGAATGTTAGATGAACCTAATTAGTTTTCAATTATTAAATTTTCAATAGGTCTAATAAAACTAATTTCAGAGAATGTGCCTAAAGAAGTGTAGAAAAATTAAAGCGTGATTCAAAACTTTCTCGTTCACCTGACTCACGTTAAACTACAGCAGCTGATAAGTATATAGAAATAAAAGAAATTGAAGTTAAACCATTTAAAATGTGATAGTTTTAATTAGTTAAATTAGATCAATATTATCAATTATTGGTTAAAATCATAATTATTGATTTTAATTTTCTAAAAAAAATAAATTAAGAATATTATAATTAATTAATTTTATGATTAGCAAAAAATAATTTTTAACTCTTTAATATTTGATATTTTATTCAAAATTAATTTTATAATTTAAATCTATAAATAATCTTGCATATAAAATTAAGATATAAATAATTTCAACTAAAATGAATTTTTTTTTTCATTCTGCTTACATTATTATTATTTACATGTAAATAAAACAAAGATTATATGCAATAAATATATTTCAGCTTTTATTTTTCATATATATGATTTTAAGAACAGTTTTCTTTTTTTTAAAACATCACCTTGTCTATTTATATTATTTTTAGGACTTAAAGCAACATCAAAATGTACACTTTTTATTGATTTTTGAACATCCGATATTTATTGAAAATATTATGCTTTATTATTTATAAGTTCTTTTTTTTTCAAAATACTTCGTATCCCTATGCTTTAAAATGATGTAGATAACTTTGTAGTTAATGATCTTGTTTTTTTAGAGGGTTTATGATGGATTTTTCTCTTCAAGTAATAAGAAGTAAAATTTTCTCTGGAATTAGTTTAAATATCGCAAGCTGGAGAATAGGATTTGGCCTTTGTTTTGTTTTTTACTATTAGACGATCATATTGATCCATCAATAAAAATAATGCAAAGTCGTCTTCTTCTTGAAGAGGCAGAATTTATTCTAAGGGGATAGGTTTTTTGAGATCTGCCACAAATATTTCATGATTACTCTTTCTTGGTTCCATTTTGAGTTTCATTTCTTATATAGGATCTTAGGTATTTTTGCAACAGCAAGGTTATGAACCCATACTTTTGCTAAATTCTCTTTTATATTTTAATTAGGTTTCTTAAGAACTTCTAATTAATAAAAAAAGCTTGTATAGAAGTTTTCAGTATATGTTTATTATTTCTAAGTTTTCTAAAAGAAGAATAAAATGAATGATTATTTGAAGCAGTAGATTTCAATATTAAAAATTAACTTGTCACTTAAATGCTTCAAAATATTACAATCTATGAGATTAATTCTGATTAGAATAAGAATATCTGAGAATAAAAAGGAAATATTTAATTAATATTCGCTTCTATAGTAGAATAAAGTACTGATATTTAACCAAAATTCCTGTATGAAAGATTTTAATTACTTTATATATAAATGTTCTTAGAAATCAGCATGATGAAGATTTTAAGGTCTTGTAATGAATTTCCTTAAAAAAAATTAAAATAATAAATATTGTAGTATTAATTTAATAATTTATATTTATAATTATTAGAATAATAATACATTTAATTAAATCTAATGTTGTAATTATATTAAAGAATTGATAGTTAAATGAATTATTGATTTGTAATCATATTCCGTATTATTATTATACATAAATATATTACATAATATTAAATTAAATTGTAATTTTCAATAACGGATACCATTTAAATGTATATTAAAGGTCATGAATAAATATGATTATTTATGATTAGAATGTAATTAAATTTATATAAACAGAAACAAGTATTAAAATGGAGAATCAAAGATATGAAATTTTTGTATATCCCTTATATTTTGACTATAATTTGTTCTTCTATAATTCCTTTATTGAAAACCTAACTCTTTTATGTTATTGTAAGTTTCTTTTTACCTAATCCTAAAGCATTGTCTTATTTTTTAAAATACTTTTAGGTGGTATTTCAGAGAGATTATTTTGAATAAATACACTTTTTGATCTATTTTTAGTTCCATTGGAATTATTGATGAAATTGAAATCAGTGATTTTATCTAACTCTCTTTGAGATAGATTTTTGTTTTCTAACCTCTAAAATGACTCAACTATACTGATATTTGTTTCTACATCCTAATTCTATTAATCTTCATCTGAAGATAATTTAAGTTTAAGCTCTTCTAATGTTTCCGTTATCGTAGTACTCTATTCTAATATTATCCTAGAACTGCCCTCCTGAAGACATTCTCTTTTAATTACAAGTTGTCTTAAATCATTTACTGATGAATCACATCGTTAATTATTTGTTGCACATATCTATTATATTTGCCCCATTCAAGTAATTATATAAATAAAGAAAATAATAAATAGAAATAAAAATTTTAAATGCTTTTCTTTCTCATAAATAATTATCGAAATTACATATTTAATAAAGTCTTTTTCAAAAAATATCAATCAACTTTTTAGAATTACATTATAAAATAAAAGGTAGAAACGAAACTTTATATTTTGATTTTTTCTAGAATTGAGATTCTTGAGTATTTGATCTTTTTTTCAATATACTGCTTGGTTTTTATGTTGTGCTTAATTTCGATGAATTGTTTTAAAATTAAGATGCACTGAAAGATCTGCAATATTATTCTTTTTTCTTTTTTTCATGTTTCTTACTTATCAAAACTCCTGAATTTTAAAAATCAACAGAAATTGAGCGACTTCTGTTGTTGGATGAGCAATTATAGGCTGTACTTATTGATTTTCTATTCACTAACTATTCATATGTTGCCATAATTTATAGTAAAGAGGAATCATCTTCTGGAGTGATTTGCACAACTTAATTAAAAAGAGGTTATTTAAATTAAGTCAAATGAAGTTCATTATCAATTATTGTATTTTGTTTCCCCTAAGAATAAGATTAAGGACAGCACAAACAACTAGGATAGGATCCCATTTTAATATAAGTTAATTATTTTATAGAATATTCATATTAGTTGACATGAATATTAGAGTATAGGTAAAGAATATTCTTGAAGAATATTAGATAAATATTAAATTAAAAATATATTTTTTATATTCAGATTTTTTCGTGCTTTCAATTTTAAATTATTTAATACAACTATTAACAAATAGATGATTGATATTTGATCAACCAATTTTATATAAAGAACATTTTTTATGATAAAAAAAGAAATACTTTTACATTTTTTTGCTCATATCTAAACCAAACTGAAAGGATATATAATCCCTTAATTAATTTAAGTAATGAAATTAGATTTAATTTTTTTGAGTTATTATTTATAATTTTGTATTTTTTTTAATATACAATTTGGATCAACTATTTTTTCCTTATAAATATATGGATTAAGCTTACAATCACTATCAAGCTTTACAAATAAAAAATTCCTTTTCTTCTAATTATTTAATTTCTTTCTCAATATTTTTTTATCATTCATTTTTATAAGATTTAATAATCATCAATAATTTATATCTTTAAATTCATATCTAAATCCTAAAATTAACAAACATGGTCTTCAAATATTCATCTCATTATTTATGTTTTTTTTAGATATTACAAAGCAAAACCTACATACAATTTTTGCATCTGGATAAAGGTAGCTTATTGATAGTAATATGAATAATGATTTTTCATTAGTATATATATAATATAAATTAAATATGCAAGGATTAAACAATTAAAACTAAAATCCTATAGTGAGACCAAAAACATTAATTTGTTATATTTGTGGAAGAGAGTATTATAAATTACTAATTTAGATATGGAACAAAAAGTTTAGAAATACATCTTAAGACTTGTCAAGAAAAGTTTCTTATGGAAGAAGCAAAAGTACAGTTACATTATACATTTTTTTCAATTAGAAACCTAAAAATTAGAGAAGACCATTACCATAACCTCCAAAAGCTATAGGCGGAAGTGGAAATTATGATACAGAATCATATAACGATTAAGCATATCATGCATATAAAGAATAGAGTCTTGAGAAATGTGCATATTGTGGCAGAACGTAATAGGATTTCAGTTATCCCTAGTTTCAATAGAGAAAGCTATCCTATTCATTTAAAAATGTGTAAGGCTGATAAACCATTTAAACCTCTACCTGGATTTGTTTAAAACCCTAAAGAAGTCCAGTAACAAATCAATCGAGATAATGGAGGAACTTAATAAGGAAAATCAAATTCTAATGGTTATTCAGGAGAGTATAAGGCTCCTGTAAGACCAAAGACTTTGGTATGCTACATTTGTGGTAGAGAATATGGTACTAAATCTTTGGGAATTCATTTACCTTAATGCAAAGAAATGTTTATTGTGTAGGAAATGAAGAAACCAAAAGCTGAAAGAAGGAATCCTCCCACAACTCCAAGAGGCTTATGGGATTTATTAAATAAAGAAGATATTACTACAGAAGACATTATAGCCTATAATAATGGAGTAATTAAATGTGTTCTAAAATATAAAGGCTTTTAACAAATACAACAAAGAAGCCTTAGTAGCATGTAAGAACTGTGGTAGAACATTCAAACCTGAGGCTTTGGAGCATCATATAAAGGCTTGTACTGTGGATAACCCTTTTAAAGCATTAGATGCTGTTGAGGAGGGAGGTACAGTTGAATTAGTTCCTTGTAAGAAATGTGGAAGGAAATTCTTACCATCTAGAGTTGAAAAACATGAAAGCAATTGTAAAGATATAAAGGGAGCATCATAAACATAGGCAAATGGTTTTTAGAAATAATAAGAATAAAAATAAGAATAAAAATAATAATAATAAGAATAAAAATAAGAATAAAAATAAAAATAGATCTTAGAAACTCCATAATAAAATCAAAAATAATAAACAAAATAAGTTTAAAAATAATAAAGTTTTTCAAAAACATCAGTCAATTTTAATGATAAGAGTTTGAAATGTAAATAAATTTATTTTATTTTAAGGTTATAAATGTTTTTAAGATTGCAATACTATTTAAGATTTGAAATAACATGTGTTAAATTGTAAAAATGAAGGTACAAAACCTTAGATCTATGATGATTTGATATAAATTCCAAATCCATCATAAGCACTCTAAACAATTTATATGAGTTCTGTTTTTGAAAATTTTTAATAAAAAGATAACAATACAATTACTCCTGAATAATAAAAATCACAACCTAAATAATAATCTTAACCTTAAAAATAGTAATCAATATAATAATAAAATAATAATCATTTTTCTGATGAAGATTAAGAGGAGAAAGAAGATGAAATTGATTTAATAACATGTGCAAAATGTGAAAGAAGATTTGCTTAAGATAGAATAAAGAAGCATCAAAAAGTTTGCAAAGGCAAATAATTTTTTGAAAAAAAAGAACATAAAGTTGAAGTTCAAAAGGCTCCAGAAACTGGATGGAGAAAATATCATGAAGAATTTATTAATACTATAAAATATAACAGATAATTGAAGAAAATATAAGAATAAGGAGGTGATATTAAATAATTGGGACCTCCTCCTGTATCATTAAATAGCAATTATATTCAATGTCCTTATTGCTAAAGAAAGTTTGATCCAAGTAAAGCTGATAAACACATTTCAATTTGTTAGAATGTCGTTAATAAACCTAAAACTATCCAAGAAAAGAAATAAAATCCATTGCATTCATAGTAACCATAGCAACCAATTTTCTAATTATAATAATAATAACAACCTCAATAAAATTTTAAACAATAATAAAAAGTATAATAAATAAATTAACAACAACAAAACACATAAAATCCAAAATATGGAAGAGTATTTTAAATAAATGATGAACCTTCATAACCTTCATAATCAAAAGTTCAATCATAATAAATGAATGTATAATAATCTAAATCCTCATAGTAAAGATAATCAATTTCTTCATAAAAAACTCCATAAATTCCTTAAAAAGCAACAAGTCAATAATAATAATTATTATCCCCACCTTAAACTACAAATTAGTTTAGAATAAGATCACCATAAACAACATAAAAAACCTAATAAGTGAAATAATCTTAAAATTCTACTAAAATTGAAAACAATATATTCCGACCACCAACATCTGGTAGAACATAAGAGTTAACAAAACCTAATTCTTAATTGTAATTAAAACCAATTAGTTAAAATTAGAATATGTTGAGAAAATTTTGAATTTATTCTATTTTAATATTGTATTGATTCTTCTTTCATCATAAATTCTTTTTTATAAAAAAATATTATATAAAGATGTTTTTTGAAGATAATATTTAATTTTAGCATTAGTATTTAATATTTTATTAATATTTCATTATTTTGTATTGTATGAACCACAATGGCTACATTTTAGATAATAATTAAAAGAGATTTCATTTGAAATTTTTCGACAATCAAAACATTAAATAGAAACTTTTAAATTTGAAATGGAAGCAGGTAATAAATTTTTGGTTTCTTCAGCTAATTTATCATAATGTTCAATCTCCTCTTTAGTCATTTTCTTTTGAATAAATAAAATATTTACAGAAATAGGAAAGCTACATAATGGACAATTTCTATGATTAGATTTAATTAGTTATTTGAAGCATGCTATATGAATGAAGTGAGCACAATTTGGTAATTGCATTATAAAATTTGTAGAAATTTTTAGATTTTCTAAACAAACAGGACAATCATTATCGGCAGCCTGATTTAAACATTTGTGTGTATTTTAATTTAATTTAGATAAACAGATGCCACATAGCTTACAATGAAAATATTCTTCTTTAATTCCCTGAATAATTATATAGGATAATTACTCTTCTGCACATATTACATTCATCACAATGATATATTTATTTATTAGGATCATCATCATATAATTTACAAATAGAACAAAAATATTTAGCAAATTAAATTCCACATTATTCACATTAATTAGTTGGTGGTTATTCAAATAAACATTTTCTACATCGTATTATAGTAACATTATATCGATCCATAATTTCTGTTTTGCATCCATCAGAATTTGGTCCTTAATAATTGGCATTATGACAAAGTCTACAGGGATAAAATTTACCACAACAAGGAGCTTTCTTATCACAATTTCTTAAATAGTGCGGACAATAAGGTAGTGGAGATATCATTTTCTTTAAAGAATTAAAAAATAAAAAAATAAATATAATTTTTGGATTGACGCATCATTATGTAATTTTCTTTATATTCATTTATACTGAGGTTTATATTATTAAGAAATATATGTAATAATAGTAGGATCAATTGAAGATAGCCTTTTTACATCCTGGTATTTAAATATAATAATACTAAAGATTTGGGAATTGGAGGAGCAGAATAATTAGTAGTAAATCTTGCATTGGCATTGCAGAAAAATCATTATGTTAAAATCTATACTCCACATCATGATCCTAGTCACTCATTTCCAGAAACAAATGGATAAATACCTGTTGAAGTAAGAGGAAATATCATACCTGCTCATTTCTTTGGTAATAATATATCATATATTATCAAAAAGGATATTGTACAGCAATGTGTGCTTATATAAGAATGATATTAGCAACTTTGTATATAATATTTTTTAGTGGTCGTTGGGATGTTATCATCATTGATTAAGTATCTGTCTGCCTGCCATTGTTTTGGTTATTTAGAAGAAAGACTATTTTTTATTGTCATTTTCCTGATAAATTATTATGTGTTGAAAGAAAATCATTCATAAAAAAGATTTATAGATTTTTCTTGGACTCTTTTGAAGAAATTAGCATGCTTTTTGCTAATTTAGTATTAGTAAATAGTTAATTTACTAGAGAAATAGTAAAATAAGCATTTCCTCTTTATAATAAATATGGAAGACAACCAGAAGTGTTGTATCCAGCAATAGAATTCTCAAAATTTGAAATGGCTCCTGAACTTAGTAGACATGATAGTAGACTTACAAGCAACAATTATTTCTTATCATTAAATAGATATGAGAGAAAAAAAAATATTGCATTAGCAATTCATGCATTTGCTGCATTTAGATAATAATTACATTCAGATGAAAATATAGAAACTATAAGATTAGTGATAGCTGGAGGATTTGAATAAAGAGTAGAAGAGAATGCTTAACATTTTGAAGAATTAAATTAGATTGCTTAAAGATAAAATGTTGCTGAATATGTTTCTTTCAAAAAAAATATTTCAGATTCTGAAAGAACTTGGTTAATGTCAAATTCATTAGCTGTTCTATATACACCAGAAAGGGAACATTTTGGCATTGTTCCCGTTGAAGCTATGTATAATTAAGTTCCTGTAATTGCATGCAATTCTGGAGGACCTAAAGTATTTATTTAATTAAAACCTTTTAGGAATCAATTTAGAATGGAGTAACTGGATATTTGTGTGAATCTAAAACTAATGAATGGTGTTAAAGAATGATTGAGATTTATTAAAATAGAGAGAAAAGTAGAGAAATGGGAGAAAGAGGTAGAGATAGAGTAATTTAGTTGTTTGGATTTGCATAATTTTAAATGCAAATGGATAGTTATGTAAGGATGGTTACCAAAACAGGAAAATAAAAATAATAATGAATATTAAAGGTTATTTTGGAATCATTTTATTATTGTATAACATATAAAAATACGTAATATTTGAGAAATTAAATCCAACTTACAGAGAATGACTTCATTTTTAAAATAAAACATCTTTTCTTCTTAAAACACTGAACAACCACCATAGACTGGCCAGGTCATTTAATTAAACCAGCAAATATGCTTTTAGATTGTACTTCTTAAGAGGTATGTTTAACAAAATTTAAATAATTTTTAGGTTGTGATAATAGATAGCTCACCTAATCATAATAGAGAGAATTTCTTAATTATGCTAAAATCGATCCATATGGCCATTCCTTTATGATATATAATTCAAATGAACTTAAAAATAAGGTAAATTTATGGAAATAAACACTTCCATGGATTACACCATATTACGCAATTAAGAGCAACCCTATTGAACCTTTATTATAAGATATCATTAATGGACCTTTTGGGACTTTTGACTGTGCCTCTAAAGGAGTAAGATCTTTATAATATCTTTAGGAAATCTAAATGGTGATGAAATATGGAGTTCCCGCTTCAAAGCTGGTTTATAGTAATCCAGTCAAAGAGGAAAAGGATATTTATTATGCTAAGAACAAGGGAGTCTCAATAACCAGTGCTGACTCTATTGATGAACTAATCAAAATCTAAAAGATAGCACCAGAGATGAAGATACTATGGAGATTATCTATTGTTGAAGAGAATCCAGAATAAATGGCTACCTTATTTTCAGGCAAATTTGGAGATGATGTACCTAATTTAGAGGCTGCTCATAAAAGGTTTAAGTAAATTCAATAAATGGGAATTCAATTACATGGTATTCATTTTCATTGTGGAAGTGCTGTCTAAGGATCATCCTCTTTTGGAAAAGTAATTAATTTATTTATCTTTAGGCTATTGATTTGGCCTAAGAATGTATGAGAATAGGAAGATTGTATGGACATAAGATGGAATTATTAGATGTAGGTGGTGGATTTCCTACTGGTAATATTCATTAAAATGCAATTAATGCATTAAAAAAGACTTATAATGATCCTTTAGGATATTAAGTGATTGCTGAACCTGGAAGACATTTTAGTGCTAACACATGTTCATTGTTGTTTAGAATAATGACTAAAAGAATTAAGCATGGTAGATTATGTTATCATGTAAATGAATCTTTGTATCATTCTTTCAATTGTATACTTATGGATGGTATCTCATTTGAAAATTAAAATGATCAATTCTATGGTGTTCTCAATTCTGATGAATCCTAAAATTCTTAAATTTCTGATCAATCAAACGTTTCAATTTTTGGCATGACATGTGATGGTGCTGATATTATTGCAAAGAATATGACAGTTCCTAATGACATGTAGGTTGGAGATTGGTTATGTATGTAAGGTATGGGAAGTTACACTATTGGACCTAAATCCACATTCAATGGAATGAAATCAACATCTAAAATTTATTAATGGAATGGTTAAATTGAATAATCAAATGAAGTATCACCTTAAATTGCCATCAGTTAGATTTGTTGATTTATAAATAATATACATAAATATATATATAGATACAATTTATATTTAAATTACTATTTCTTTATTCAAAGTAAAATTTACAAAAATATCCCATATGTAGAAAATCATTTGAATATTTAAATAAATGACTTGTGCATTTAAACCTTTCATCCTTAAATCTACGCTAGTAGAATAAATTTTTTTTTAAATCTAAAAAATTTCAAGATTTATAATAAATAATTAGATTATTTATGAAATAAAAGGATGTAAAGAATCTTGAACTTAGCGAGATTGAAATAAATTGTCAAATAAATTATTCCCTCAATAAAAATAAAGACTCTTTAATATAACATTCATCAAATGGTGTTATTACTGAGCTTAGGAACTTTAAAGACTATTAAACAATCATAAAAATTAAACCTATTATATAAAATAACAAGATGAATTATTATATTCATTTTGATATAATGTCAGAGATTTCTAATTATATAAACAATAAAGATATAAATTTGAGAATGTGTACAATCTCTTTTGAATAATAATAATAGTTTTAATAGAATTAAATGTAGTTTTAATTAATATATGCAATTACTTTCGAATATGGTTTCCAAATTAAAGAAAATCCAATTGATTAAGCCATAATTTAAATTAGCTCTCGAATAGATAAGATATGTATTGAAACTTATAATAATGGGGATATCAATCTAATATAATAAATAGATGAGCTATTCGAATAATTTTAGGAATTTCTTAACTGAAATTATTATATATTAATATGAGTTAGTGATATTCATTTTTTCATTAAGATTTCCATAGCCTTTTAAATCTCAATATTTGCATCTAATTATGGGGCAACATATTTCTATCTGTAATTTTCACCAGGTTTTCTTTCAAATTTAGTTTCATTAAATTTAGGTCTTAATTCATCCTCAGTGGAAACTAAAATTTATATATATATACTTTATTTTGTCCTCTTGTACAATTCTTTTACTTATCTTTGTTAGGTTGCTTATCCAACATTATTTGTTTATTATTACAATTTTGATTTTTTAAATTCTATAAAATCCTAATACTCATTATCATCAATTATTTTTTATTGTTTTTTTGCAGCCTCCTTAAATCTTATAAATTCTAAATATTCCTAGTCTATTTACTATTCATCGTTCTTTTATACAGTTGTCTTTTTTTATTCCTTCAGACTATTCTATAAAGGTAAAGGAGGTCTTGATGGTTTCTACTATTATTGGTAAGGATTGTTAAGACTTTCTTAAGTTTATTAAGGGTAATTTTACTATTAATAATAGTCATATTAATCATAAGAAGGTTATTAATAATTATATTGATATGGTTATTAATATACTTATTACTATTATGGAGGAAATGCATTTGGATGTTGATATGGAGATGGATAATATTGTTATTATTATTAATATTGTTGTTAAATTGGATATTGAGGAGGATTAGGTAAATGCTAATGTGATGTTGGAATGTAATTCTATTCTTTAAAAGAGTTTCTTCTTCTTTAATTATTGTATTATTCTAAATAGGGATCTGGAATAATCTCATCATATGACCTTTTTCTTTAATAATTATATTATTAAGGAGGAGGAGGTAATTATTAATTATTTGATTAATGATGAGGGTTTGCCTATTAGTAATAATAAGGATTATATTATTATTGTTAATGGTCTGGGGGGTAATAATTGTCATAATAGTTTTAAATTTGGGGTTTAGGATTTTATAATAAATTAAGTGCATGCTTAGCATTATCAATTTAACATTAATGCCTTTGAATTTTATCATAATAATTAGCTTGTGGTTAATATGGAATTTGAATATTATTTTAATAATAATATTCAAGAGGGTTATGATAATTTTATTGGCTTTTTGATCCTCTTTCTATTTATGCATAACTTGAAAAAGCATTATACTTTCGAAATTCATTAAATTCATCTTTAGGTGGTTATTATTACTCTTCCTCTTCTTCCTCTTCTTCTTCCTCCTCTTCTTATTCACTTTCCAATTCTTAACTGTCTTCTTCACTCATTTTTAATTTGAAAACTAAAAATTGATTAAAATAATATAATAATGAAAGATTAGAATTAATATAATCTAATTCAAGGGGATGTTATAATCTAATTATTTCCTATTTTCAATAAAAATAGTGTTGTTAGTCCGTTATATTGAAGAACCTTAATGATAGGGGGGGAAGGAGTTATATTCAAAATAATAGAATAATGAATTAAAATATAACATAGAGATTGGTGTAAGTTTATATTTTCATATTAATAAATTATGAAAAAATTGATGAAACATTTAAGAGACTTTATAAGAATGATGTAATTTAAATAATAATATAACTATCTTTTTTTGTTTATAGTATTTTATAAAATTCAACAAAAAAAAAATGCATTTATAAAACTCTTATATTAATTTAATGAGTATTGAGAAATTTATTAATTAAACAAACACTTAAATTATACAAATAAATTTTCATTTTAATATCTCTATAAAATTAAAATATAATTAATGAAATAGTGAGTATTACATAATTATATTTCAATATTCAATTTCATTTTAGTTTAATAATTTGAATAGGATAAAAATGTCAAAAGAAGTTGTAATCATGGAGCATAATGTAAATTAAATAAAGCCATCTTATCAAAGATGGTTAGTTTTATTCTCTTATTCAATAATTGCGTAATAGAAATTAATAAAGCTATAGAATGGCTAATGTTATGCAATTAGTTAGTTACAGTCCTATTTGGGAATAGGCAGCAATATATTATGGAATCCAATCACAAGACTTATAATGGATAGGGAATATGTATTATATCACATTTTTTGTCTTGGCTCCATTTTGCATAAAGCCTTTATTAGTAAGATTGGATATAAGTATGCATTTAATTGGGATTATCAGTGCAATAGGGTAAGATTTATAGAATATAAATTGAAAGGGCATGGATAATATGGATTGGAGGATAATCATATTTAATGACAATGATAGGTTTATTTGTGATTGGAATTAGTGATGCTATGATTTTAATAGTCCCAGTTTGTAATTTTAATTGTAAATAACAAAGTTCTCTCTGAAAAATGGTTTACTGTATATGAGAGATTATTGGCAACTAGTTTAGGTAGTTTCTTTTAATATATTGGAATGGCATTTGCATATGGATTTTCTTCATTTTATTTTGATATTTTGGATGAATAGAGTATTATAAATAGGAAAATTGATGAAATGAATTTGATGATTGCAATATTTAATACAGTTGGAGCAGTTCTTCTTTTGATGTTTTTTAGAAATAGACCACCTCATCCAGCTTCAAATTCAGATGTATCAATTATATTGGTATTTAAAGAATATAGTTAAAGATACTATTTGGAAATCTACAATAAAGATGCTTACAATAGAGGAATCTATAATTGATTTATTATCTTTAGGAATCTGTAAATATATTAAATTATTAAAAGTTATTGGATTGGGTTGGGTGTACACAACTATTATATCTTTTGAATTGTATCCTTTTGGTTATACTCAAGTAATTAATTTATTAGTAAAAATTTAAAGGGAGAAGTTGCAATTAATGGAACAGTTTATTAAATATCAGGAGTAGCTGTGGGTTTATGGGCATCAATAAAATTAGATTCTTAAGCTAAATAAGGAAAATAACCTGATTATGATAGATATATTAAGATTTTTACAAGCATAGGAATGATCAGTTTGATTTTAGAAGCATTTATCATAGAATATTTAGATTATTGGATGTTGATTTTCATTAATTTTGCTATGGGTGTTGGTCTTAATTCTTTTTATCCTATAGCAATATAATCATATATTGAAAAACTATACCCTGCATCAGAATTGGTTTTAGTTACTGGATTGTTATGTTTGGCAAATGTATGTTATATAATTAAATATATAAGATGGTTGGATTTGTATTGAATTACTTAATTGTTTTACCAGAATTTGAATAATTTGGATTGTGGATGGGATGTTTAATAATAACTCCAGGGTATTTATATATCTTGTTAAATTATAAAACAAAATATAGAAGGTTTGAATAAGAAATTTGATATTATTAATTAAATATATTAGTTTTTTTGTATAAATGGAAAATAAAACAATGAGATATTTTGGAATGAGCTTAAACGTTTTAATTTCTGTTTCTCTTGCTATTGTGGAGTGTTTCATAAATTAAGTCTCAGATTCAATTATAATAGACATTGTTTTAATAATATGTGGGGCCTTTTTCTCATGGATATTTATTACTCAATAATTAGGATGGAAGAAGGGTATACTTCAATATTACCTTTAGGAGATATATCACCTTTTTTTTATTGGGCTTTGGCAATAAAGAGAATAACTCTGGTTGGAATATACAGAAGTGAATTCATTTATTTCTTATTTGGTTTTTTAAATGGAATTTATTCAAGTAAATTAGATGTGAAAGATTAAAAGAAGTATTATTAAAAAACTAAAACTGCTTTTTAAGTAATATTGACATTAGTTTTAATAATTTTCAATTCTTTAACAAATACAATTCAAAATCAAATAGTTTTAATAGTTTTTAATATAGGTCTTCTTGTTCTATTAGGTATATATGATAATATTGAAATTTATCCAAATAATACAAAATAAAATGATTATAATACAGATTAAAGAAATACTTAAGCAGAATTAAAAAAGTGTTAAACAATTATTTAATAATATCAATAAACAAAATCAATATGGGAATAATATATTAAATAAACAGATGATTGGATTTGTAAAGTTGACATAACTAAATTTTTATTTAATCGTAGTTGGGAAAGTAGAGAATAAAGTTAAACTTTATAAAAATTTTTAAAAGAGAATAAAATGAATATATAACAATTTTTCAATCATCTTATTATTGTAAATTAATAATCATCAAATTCATCTCAATCAATAATTACTTAATTTGAATTAGATGAAAGTAATACATTATTAGCATGGATAGAAAAGAACTATTTATAAGAAAATTAAAATTAGAAATAAAATATACAAAAATTAAAATAGTATTAAGATGGATAAGATTAAAATTAATAAAATTTAGAGGATTAACCTTCAATTATATCTCCTTAAAATGATGGGAAATCTATGTTTTATAAGGATAGATCTCAAGATCTTTCTGGATTATTAGCTATTCCAATTAATATGGATTAATAAGGACCTAATAATAAAATATATTTTTAATGTTAATTAAATCTGAATTCAATTATATATAATTTAAGTTTATTGATATTTTTAGTTGATGATGATAAAAGTAATGAATAGAAATAATAGTCAATTATTATTCAAATCAAAAATATTAATAAATTAATAAAGAATGAAATGTTAGAATAAAAAAGTTCTATCTTTTATAGATATATTAGTAGAATGGCAAATCTTTCAAGTTAAATGTTAAAGCAAGTTAATCTAATGAAATAGTCCCTTTAATTACATTTAAAGTATGTATCATACATTAAATAAAAGAGAATTCGATAAGATCAGACAAAGCAATTATAATTCTTTATCATTTTGTGATGATAATGCATTTGTTAAATCAGACAAATAAATTGGAGACTTCAAATAAGTACTTTTGAATGCTAGAACCCAACCTCCAATTTAAAGTGCCTACATAAAAGTTACATCATCTAATAGCCATAATCATGAGAATTAAGATGAGAACTTGTAAAAATTATCAATTATTTATTTATAATAATCATAGGAATTACTTAAATAAGTAGACTAATTAACCTTCGATTTATTAATTATAGAATAAAATAATTTTAATTTCTTTGAATTATTTAGTAATCCTTAATTAAATATTGAACAATTTAATTTATTATAGACATTTAATATTGTAATAGATTTTTTTAAATAACATTAACTCTTAAATTAGAATAATATTATTATTACTTAAGAATTAGATAATGAAACATAAATGATAATTTAATCTGACAGAAGAAGAATGAAATAAATATTGATCAATATAATTAATAATTCTATAGAAAATTTTGATCTTATATCAAAAAAAAAACAAAAAGAAAAATGTGAAAATTTATAAATTCATAAAAGTTTGATTATTTAGGAATTAAAACCTTAAAATTCAATTATTATTAAATTGCAAAGTGATGCTGATAAAATTACAATAGAAATTTAAGATAATGGGGGTGGTATAGATAAAGAAAAGTTAAAAAATAGAGTAAATGAATGTAAATTTGGATTAGCAGTTTGTCAGAAATAATTAAAATATTTGGCATATGATTCTAAAAAACCTTTGGAAATCATAAATTATTAAAAAAATTCAAATGAAGTTGAAGGTAGTGTTGTTAAATTTTAACTACCCAAAACAAGAGATAATTTTTATTTAAATGATGATAGCAAATAATCAGAATCCTTAAGAATAAGTAAAAGAATAGACAAATTTTGATCATATACTTATAATTTTATTATTCTATTTTTTAGATAATATAAATCCCATTAATAAATTAACAATCTTAATTATATATTTATTTTTTAAATAATTATTATTATTATTTATTCATTTTTAATATTGTTTGTTTTATGTAGAAATAATAAATTATAATATTAATTAATTAATCAAAAGACAAGCATTTGATAACACTCATAAATGTTCAATATTAAAGTGTTTATAAATTTTAAGATGGTCGTTTTTCAATTCTAATTTTTGATACCTCTAAATATTTTGGTAAAGAGAACTTTTTTCTTATAGAATTAAATTGCTTTTTATCTTAACCTTATAAAAGATTACACATTTCTTTAGCACATGTTCTAATTTCAATTTCATTTAAACCAGTTATTGAAACCATTTAATCTTAACTCCAAGATGGATGAATTCTTCTAATTTTATGAACTAAATAAATAGCTGCACTAGCTAATACATTATTAGAATATTAAATCATTGGATATTCTAACAAAGACAATTCTATTAAATATCTAAAGATTATATTAATATATACCTGCAAAGCATAAAATTTTTTTATTCTAATTTTGCTGTTTCTTAATATATATTTAACATTCTATAAGGACTAGTAGTTAATAAATCAAAGGAGAGTAATGAAATGATTTTTCCCTCTGCTTCTAGTATTTCTTCTTTAGGATATGCATTATCACAAACATAAACTAAATCTCTTACATGAGGAACAGAGTATACTTCTTCATATTTTGATGCTATAAACAATGCTGCAACTCCATATAATTAAAATTTAGATTTTGGTATCTGATGTAATTCAAGTACTCTCAAATTTAGGTTATAAATACCTATCAACAATTGATATTGTCATAAACAATGTTTCTGGGTCTAATTTGAATTTATGATGTACATCTACTAACCAATCTAGTAGAATACTACGCATTTTTTCTGTAATTTCTGTTTAAAATTGAAAAGCAATCATTTTGAAATTAGATTTACACTAAATTAAGATTATTAATTACACTTCTATCTCTCATATATGTAACAATTTCATTTTTATATGTATTTACTATTTGAGGATTTTCAATTTTTAAAGGTATTTAAAATGTTTTATTATTTAAAATTGTAGTGATTCCACTTGTAATACTAAGATTTCTTCCATTTCTTAAAGGTATAGGCATATTTGAATCTGTTTTAACTCTTTAAATAACTTCTCTAGTTCTATTGCTCTATTCTTCATTTAATTTCAATTGTGGTTTTTAAGGAGGCATCATAGAATGAAATGAATTTGATGACTTTTCTCTGATGGCTACAGATGATTATACTCTTTAATGTTTAGGTCCACAATAAAAATTTTCTTTTTCATAATCTGCAACACAAAATAGTCTTGGAATTTAATGTGCTTTCATTTTGAATATAAATTATTTAACTGAAAAAATACTATTTAATTTAAAGAATAATATTTATTTTTTTGATTTCATATATTTATATATGTATATATTTTCTTAGTTCAAATAACTATTACTTTTAATAAAATTAATTAGTTTATAACAATTAAAAATCTGCCTATTGATACATATCAACTTATATATAATTTTTAAATTTATTATCAATAATAATATTTTAAATATCATTCATTCTCTATTCCTAATAATATATAGAGTTTCTTAGAATTTGTATTTAAGTAGAAATAAAATATTCATATAAAATAATAAAATATGTTTGGGTAATCTTAGGATTATATTTAATATCAAATTTAAGAAGAATATAATAGATAAATCTGATAAATAGTTTACGATAGTGAGTATTAATAATATGTTGTTTACCTGATGAATTTTATTCAAATTAAAATGTTAATTAAATATGTAATAAATCGAATAGGATCAATAAAAGGAGTAAGAAATTACTCAAAATGAGATGCCTGATTTAATTATCAATCCTTATGAAGTGGTGAACAATTCCAAGAAGTAAATTGACTACGATAAGTTGATCCAATCATTCGGTTGCTAGAGAATTGAACAAAGTCATATTGAGCGCATATAGACCTTAACTTAAAAACCTGTTCATCATTATCTAAGACGTGGCATTTTCTTTTCACATCGAGACTTAAACCAAGTATTAGATGCCTATGAAGCTGGAAAAGGGTTCTATTTGTACACAGGTAGAGGACCTTCTGGAGATTCAATGCACGTGGGTCATTTGATGCCATTTATATTTACTAAATATTTATAGGAAGCTTTCGATGTGCCTGTTGTGATTGAATTATCAGATGATGAAAAGTTTTTCCATAAAAGTGAAACAACATTGGAAGAATATCAACGATATGGATATGAAAATGCTAAAGACATAATAGCATGTGGATTTGATGTTAACAAAACATTCATTTTCTTAAGTTCTAAATATGCAGGTCACATGTATCATAACATATGTAAATTTTAACATGCAATAACCTATTCATAATTAAGAGGAATATTTGGTTTAAATGAATCTGATAATTGTGGCAAAGTAGCATATCCTGCTGTTTAAGCTGCTCCATCCTTGTCTTCATCATTTAAACATATATTTGGCAAGGATGAGGTGATGTGTTTGGTACCACAAGGAATAGATTAAGACCCTTACTTTAGAATGACAAGAGATGTATGTTATAAACTTAAAGTTCCTAAAACAGGATGCATACATTCACAATTCCTTCCAGGACTTCATGGATTTGGTACTAAAATGGGAACTACAGATCCAACATCAGCTATATTTTTGACTGATACTCCAAAATAAATTGAAGAAAAAGTTAATATTTAATTAATTTATTTTAGATTAAGAAACATGCTATGTCTGGAGGTGGTATGACAAAAAAGGAACATTAAGAAAAAGGTGCTGATCTTACTGTGGATGTTCCATATCATTATTTGAGATTCTTCTTAGAAGATGATGCTCGTCTTGAAGAAATCAGAGTTCAATATGGAAAGGGTGTTATGATGACAAGTGAAGTCAAGAAAGAATTAATTACAGTTCTTACTAAAATAGTAACTGAACACTAATAGAGAAGAGCTCTTGTGACAGATGAAATGGTTGAAAAATTTATGGAATTAAGACCTTTAAGCAATTATCCACCTAAAAAGAATAATTGAGATTGAGATATAATAAAATAAAAATATTATTATTAAAATGCTCACTGGTAGAGAAGAATTAGATAAAATAAATACAAAAGTATAATACTTAATTATTATTTCTAAGAGTGGAAAAGGAAATGCTGAAAGTTAAGAATTACCTTAATATCTAAGATCTTCATATTCTCAAACATATTAATAATTAGAACCAACTAAAATTCTAAAAGGGAAAAAAGTACTCTAATAATAATGAATTTTTTAAGGTTTTTCCATAATTTGCTTATGGAAATTCACATGAAGCTCCAACTTATTTTAAATTATCGAACTCTTTAATCTGTCGAGAAAGTTATGATAATCCATACATTAAGATTAAAGTGCCTCCTTTAAGTAGATTAGATTCTCTTAAAGGGAGTACTCTTAATAATTATGAATTTTATAATATTTCTGAATAGAGATTTATAAATCGAAAACCTACAGGTTATGTTACTAATAAAATAACAGAGTATAAAATTAATGTCAACATTAAGTACGATTACAAATTAAGTTAAAATTGTACAAAAACCATTAAATGATGACAAAGACAAAATTCTTACATTTGAAAGTGCTTATAAATCTATTTAAGATTAATTATTCAATAAAAAACGTGGTATTAATTAATATTTAATAATCAGAGCTTTTCACTGATTTTGTTGAGAAAAATGATTTACTTAATGTATATGGGCCATTAAATATGAGAACAAGACCAAAAGAATTTAGAGAAGTCAAAAATTATGCTTTAGATCCTGATTAACTTAAATTATTGAAAGAATAAAGATCGAGATAGTAAATAACTCCAACAAATAGAAGTGGTTTCACTGATCTTATTAAAACTGTACGATTACCTACAATATCTAAAATTTAAGGGTTGGATACAGATAAATACTATAACAAAGATTAACATTATCTCAATAAATTAACTAATTCAATTATTATAGAAAAAATTGATTAAAATATTAAACATAAAAATAAAACTCTTTCAAGTTTCAATAAAAATAAACATTCGATTAAACATAACACAGAAGATACTGAAAATATGTAAGGAATTATTGATATATTTGAGAAACATTTAGAATTCGAAAAATAATATAATTGTTGAAATATATATAATTAAATTATACATTTAATTCAAAATTGATCTATATATTAACTTAATTGTTCTTTTAATTTCTATATTTTAATGTCCTTTTTATCTAATGCTTCTTATACTATAGATTCAAATTTAGTAATATCTGTGTAATGTTATTATTTCAAATTTTAGAGTTTCTCTTCATAATACTATTTTAATTATTGATTTTAGAATTTTAGTTATTCAATCTTTTCATAAGCAATTTTCTTTTCTTCTTCTAAATTCATTAATAAAGTCTCTATCTAAACTAATTTATTGCTGAATTCTTCTGACTATTAAAGAGATTTACAATTTTCATCTTACAAAAAATGAAGTTATTCAATTAATTCATTTTAATTTTCTTAAGGTTCTTATTTTTAATATTGTGCTAATTATAACTATAAATCTTTTTTATCTTATAAAATCTTATCTATAAAAGTTACATACTCTTATAAAATAGATTAGAATTCATTTTTTTATTTCAATAAATCAGCCTCTAATTTAGACTTCCTAATTAAATATGTTGTAAATACATTTCTAATTTCATTTAAATAATTGTTTCTTTAAGTTTACGATTCTCTTAAATCAAATTATTTTCTTCTGTTAAATATGGTTATGCTCTTTTTGTTTACATTTAAGGTACATCAACAGATATTTCTAAATTTTCATCTGTAGGATGTGATTCCCATAATTATTATGTTAATTCTTAATAAAACTTTTGATCATTTGAAAATTAACCTTTTGGAATAGAAGGATGAGCATCTGGACACTTTTTTTTTTTTAATTAGGAATACATTTATTATTTCAGTTAAAAAAAATTATGTATAATAACATCAATCTCTTCTCAACACATTTTTCAGAATTATAAAGATCTTCTATTTTTTCTAATCTGGCTCTGCGTTGTGAATATTATAATACTTTTCTGTAATCCACTTTATAATCTTTTAAGTATTTACAAAATGAATAAGTTTCAAGTCCATCATTTTACTATTTTATAATACTCATTATAGCAGCTAAACATTCAGGATTCTTTCTACCAACTAAGATAGCCAGATTAGAATTTATCATAACATTCAAAACACCATGTCTATGATATCTTTCTATTTATTATATTAATCGACCACCAAAAATTTAGGCTTGTAAATCAGTTAAGTTATGTTATCTTAAGGCTAATCGATAAATATCTGACTTTTTATATGAAAGACAATCTTTTAAAAGATTTAATGAATAAACATCATTTAATAATTTAAATAAGGATGGAAGGTACCTTTCTTAATAATGAGCTTTTTTCATAAATTCTAATATAATTGTAGGTAACAAATCTTTAAAGATATGTTAATCTTAATATTAGAAATTTAAGATTTCATTTATAATTTTTAATGGATTGTCTTTGATTTTTTTTTTTAAATATCCATTTAATCTTTATTTAAGTTTTTCATTAGTAATTACAGCATATGAATGAAGAGGATGAAGAAATGCATTTTCTTCAGTGACAAAGGAATCAACTTCTTATCCACATATAAATCTTAAATATAAAAGACCATTTTCTGGGAAAGCAAATTTACAAACTTAATTTATATAATCAGAAAACACTGTAACTTTTAATCTAGAATTAATTGTTATATTTAATTTGCATAAAGATAATATAATATGTGCTACTTTATTTGCTTATTAAACTGAATGTAAATGAGTTTCTAATTATAATCTTGATATAATTTCATCAATTAATTTTTCAATTTCTTATGGTGTACAAATTGATTTTAGATTCATTAAAAATTATTAAATAAAGTGGGCTGATATTTTTTATGGTCTTAAATTTAATTATTTAAATAAAAACTCTTTAATTTTAATTTCTAAAACAGGAGTAACTTCAAGAGGCAATAATTAAAAATTAGTTATTATTGATAATATAGTATGTTCATCCATTACATTTAGATTTTCAATTAAAAATTATCTCATTTTTAAGAGAATAGGATGTGATTACAAATGTGGATTTAAGTATTAATATTTCATCTTAAGTAACATTATGTAAAATTAAGTGACTTATTAAAAATCATAATAAAGTGAATTTGCATCATAATGAGAAATACAAAATTCAACTAAAGAAGTATTTACAAATTTCCTTTTCTAAGATTTCATCATTTCACATCTTATTAAAAGAACAACCTCCATAGATGAAAGAGGTTCAGTATTTAATCGATCTTCAACTAATTAATGAATAGCTGGTAAAGACATATTTAAAACTTAAGAGTCATACCATATATTTATGTAATGTCTAATACTAAAATCATTACAATCTTATAATATTTTATTTAATGAATTGGCTAATTTTTTATCATCAATATTTTCAAGCAAATATTATTGACCCTTTAATTAATATTTAGATTTAAAACAAAGCAATTCAAGCAAATCTATTGGACTAAATTAATCTAGTTAATTATTTAATAATTTTGATATTTCTCCCATTCCTTAACGAAATATAGTTTCATTTTCATATAATTTTAAAGAATTTAAGAAATGTGCAATAATACGAATTGTAAGTAATGAATGTTATAGTCCAAATATATTTTTATTCTTGTTAAATATATCTATCAAGATTTTAGGATCTACATGTTAACTAATCAGTGCCATTAATTCTTATTCATTTTATACAACCTTCACATCCCCTTTTGGAAAATCAAATATATCAATGTCACTATCTGATTCATTCTCAAAACCATCTCGTAATACAAAATTAATTAAATTGGTATGAGTAGAAAATCTCCATTTCAATAATGTTTTAAAAATTATCATAAATATTTTTATTATTTATTTTTCATTAAACAACAATTGTATTATTTTCTAACTAACTCTAATATTGATTCTACAATTCTATTAAAAACTTCCCAAGTAATAGCCTTTCTCTATTTATTGTTCAGATTTGATATATATCTCAAATTAACCTAATTTGATAAGGTTTTGATTCCATTGATTGTTAAATCTGGTCCATTATATTTATATATTATAATCCTTAATTCCAACAATAATCTTAGGGAATAATATTTTTTCTGATTATATCATTTAATTATGGTACATCATTAATTTTGTAATAAAAAAATCTTTCAATATTATGTTTTAGTGATTACTTGATTGAATTGTTTCTTCTCTGAAATTTATTTAGAATAATAATAAAATCTTCCTGATTTACATAGAGGGAAGACATTTCAAAAAGCAAATGCGGCATCGCAATTTGTTTTACTCATTCCAAAAAATGTCCAATAACTAGGATTATTAATATTGTTTTCAGATCCTTAATAGAAGAGTACAACATCATTGTCATTCAAAAATCTATTAAATTGATCTTATCTTAAAATTTCTGTTGGACCCATTGACCAACTAAAAATATTATAGATTTTATTTATATATACCTACAAAATGAATTAAAATAGAGAATCAGCACTTCTTTATCCAGTAAATTGAAAAGGTTTGCCTATAAATGAAAAATATGAAAGTAAGGAAACATGAGATTTTGAATTTTGAAAGAGCATATTTATCTAGGTCTTTTTATTAATCATAAGCAACTCTAGCAATAGAGTTTTAATGCCTAATTTGTAAGTTGTCGATATTCTGGAACAAATTATTTGCATGGAGCACAAAAGATGCATAGAATTCAATTAAAATTACAGGATGACCTTGATATCAAAGTATCAATATTATTAGATAAAGCAATAATTGGTTATATTATTTATTAGAGTGTTTTAACAATTGTTAGATTTTCATTTTAGATTATTTTATCTGTAGGGTCTTATGTTAAGAGTAAATGTATGAAACAGAATATTAAGTTAAATTTCATTATTATTAAATTCATGAACAAAGTTGAAGATTCTACAACAAAATTATTGCAAACAGATATATTGCAAATAGAGTAAGGGAAGGAAAGTATTTAAATAGCTGAAGAGAATGGAAGTAATTCGTGGAAAGAGAAAATGAAATCTTTTTTGGTTGTACCAATATAGAAATGTAGTCGTAATATATGTTTGAATGGACAATGCACACCAATAAATCAATAAAGTAATGTGATCAAGAATTCTAAATACAATTTCTTTACATTTCTACCAAAAGTGCTATATTAATAGTTTCATTAATTCATTAACATCTTTTATTTGGGATTGACAATATCACAATTTATTTAACCTTTCAAAGTTGGATTTCTTATAGGATATTTAGGGCCTCTAGCTTTGGTGGTCACTCTGAGTGTTCTAAAAGAATTGTATGATGATATAAAAAGACATAAAAGAGATAGACAAATTAATAGTACAATATATAAGCGTTATATAAATGGTTAATGGGAAGATATATCAAGTGGTTAATTACAAGTAGGGATGATTATAAAAATAAACAGTAATTAACGTATACCAGCAGACATTTTAGTATTGGAAGCAAGTGATGATTAAGTATTTATTCGTACAGATTAATTGGATGGTGAAACAGATTGGAAATTAAGGAAACCTGTTTAATATATTTAAAAGAAAGGATTAGAGAATTTAAATTTGTCTTCATGTTCATTGAATTGTGATCGTCCTTAAGAAAATATATATGATTTTCATGCTGTTTTTTAATGTGAATAATCAAAAGAACCATTATCATTAGAAAATGTTATGTGGGCTAGTACAGTACTTGCAAATGGTAATGTAAATGGGATAGTTATATATAATGGATTTGAAACAAGAATGGCCATGAACAGTAGATAACCTCAAACAAAGTTTGGTAAAATTGACAGTAATCTATATTCCATAAATATTTAGCTGAAATCAATTATATGTCAATTATGCTTTTTATAGCTATGGGATTCTTATCAATAATGATTACAATACTATCATAACCTCCTTTAAATGCTTTGGCCATATGTGTAGCCATGGTTCGATATCTAATTTTACTCTCAAATATTATTCCCATTTCCATGAGAGTCAATGTAGAATTTGCTAAATTAATTTATTGTTATAAAATATCAATAGATAAAGGTATAGAAGGTACAATCCCTAGAAATTCTAATATTCCAGAGTCTTTAGGGAGAATAGAATATTTACTTACAGATAAGACAGGAACCTTAACATAAAATGATATGATATTCAAGAAATTATCATTAAAATAGAATGTTTATACATATGAAAATTATGATGAAATGAAGAGGAGCTTATTGACTTAATTTGAGATAGGTAATTCAGAAGAAGATGCAATTTTAAGAGATTTATTGTTAGCTATAGCATTATGCCACAATGTTACTCCAATAGAAGAGAATGGAGAAAGATAATATTAAGCCTCATCTCCAGATGAAGTTGCATTGGTTAAGATAGCTGAATCTCTTGGAATTACTTTATTGAGTAGAGATCAAAATTCTATGATTATAGAATACAATGGATAAACTAAGAGATATGAAATTCTATATAATTTTCCCTTTTCTAGTGAAAGTAAAAGAATGGGAATTCTATTGAAATTAGATAACCTATATATATTTTATTTAAAAGGAGCAGATGCAATAATGAAACAATTTCTACCAGAAACTCAACGTGGATTTGTAGATGAAGAATGTGAAAATTTAGCAAGAGAGGGATTGAGAACATTAGTTTTAACTTAAAAGATAATTACTAAAGAATTTTTTGAAGATTGGAAATAAAAGTTTGAATAAGCTTAATGTATTGAAAATGTAACTTAGAGATAAAATAAATTAAGTAGAGTTAGAAAAGAATTAGAGAATCATATGTAATTCTTAGGGATAACAGGAGTTGAAGATAAATTATAGGAAGATGTTTGTTCAACTCTTGAAAATATAAGAAATGCTGGAATTAATGTTTGGATGTTAACTGGAGATAAAATTGAAACTGCTATTTGTATAGCTATATCAAGTGGAATTAAATCTGCAACATAAGAGATTTTTTTACTTAAGGAAATAACAGATGAAGAAACTTTATAATAGAGATTATAATAATTTGAAACTAGAACCAATCAATTATTGGTTATTGATGGTACAAGTTTAACTACAGCATTTAAAAAAGAAGAGTTTTTCTTTAGAATTGCTACTTAAGCCTAATCAGTTGTTTGTTGTAGATGTTCTCCAACACAGAAAGCATTAGTAACTGAATGTATAAAAAAATATACTCATAAAATTACTGCCTGCATCGGAGATGGGGGTAATGATGTAGGAATGATCTAATCAGCTGATGTAGGAATAGGTATTGAAGGAAAAGAAGGTAAATAAGCAGCATTAGCTAGTGATTTTTCTATTCTTAAATTTAAATACTTAAACTCCTTATTACTTTGGCATGGCAGATTATCATATAAGAGATCTGCTTTATTATCTTAATTTGTAACTCATAGAGGATTAATTATTTCAATGATTTAAACAGTTTTTATGTGCATCTACTTTTATTTAAGTATTAGTATTTTCAGTAGTACATTAATCTTAGGATATGCTACAATCTATACGTAATTATTTAATATTAATTAATATTAGAATGTTTCCAGTATTTAGTATAATTTTTGATGAAGATGTTGTAGAAAAAGTAGCATTGGAATTTCCTCCACTTTATAAATCATTACAAAAGAGTAGAGATTTAAATTAGAAGACATTTATGATTTGGTGTTGGAAAGCTACTTATTAAGGAACCTTAATAATGATTTTAGCTTAATTTCTGTATAAGAATGTTTTCTTATATATTGAGACAGCTGCATTCACATCTTTAATTATTACTGAATATTGCATGATTTTTAGTGAAGTATTATTGTAATTCACATATTATCTAGCTTAATTCATTACATATTGTAATGTTCATATCAACAATTGGTTCAACTGTATTTTATGTATTGACTATGGTTCTCATTCCAGAAACTTTAGTGGTAGCAGAAGTTCTAAATGGAACATTTTGGATAAACACTTTAATAATTGTATTATTTAGTTGGTGTCCAATATTCTTATTTTAATGGATTGTAAGAATAAAATAACCAAATGATTATGAGAAAATCATGAAATAAGTGAAAGGTAAGAAAAAAATAAAAACAAATCTATTCACTTGAATTCGATTTATATATATTTAATATTATATATATTGACTATTTTAGAAATATTTAATGGTATATCATTATTATTATTCATTCTTAGAATAGCAAACTAAGTGGAAAGATTAAAAAGACACCTGTTGTATAGGAAATATAAAGTAATATTATCATTTTCAATCTAGTTAAACCAAGAACAGAAGAATAGATATAATCAGTTGTAAAAAATGTTAGGAATGGAGATGCCTCTCATCCAGAAGTTGTCTTAATTGGGGAAGCTGAATTATAAAGAATGAAAGTATTAGTTGTATTTTCTATATTTCCAGAATAATGCTATCATAACGACCAAAGAAGAATAATTATACTAGAAAAAATTACTTGAGGAATAAAAAGAGAAGTAAATGGCTGCTGCAAAAGCTAAAAAGCAAAAAATGTTACAAATGGAGGAAGAAAAGAAAAAATAAGTACCTCTTTCAACATAATAAGAAGAAGATAAGGTAGTTAAAGATTCACTTATAGCAAGGGTAAATTATGATTTTAATTATTTGTTAGGCAGCAGAAATTATGAATGAATAGATGGATGATGTAAAGGAAATGAACAAAATGGTTATGTATGCAAAATGTGTAACTGTTCGAGATAAACAATTATAAGAGAAGAAAGAACTTCATGAATAATATAAAGTATAAGAGAAACGTAAGGATTTAATGATGGAAATTGAAAGACTTAAATCTATCAAATATCATGAAGAAAAAGATAAATAAAGAAAAATTGAGTAAATACATGGTCATGATATTATTATTGAATAAATAAAGGAAAGAGAACTCATTCGTTTAAAAGATAAAGAAGAATAAGAAAGAGAAGGATAAATAATGCTTAAATAAATTAAATAGCTGTAATAAGAAGAATAATAGAAGGCTATGTAGAAGAAGATTACTTAATAAAAGGTTTAAGAAGAAATCTTAGAAGCAAATGATAGAGCTATTTTGGTTAAAGAGAAGAGAAAATTAGAAGAAAGAGAGGAAGAAGAAATGATTGTCAAATATAATTTATAAAAAGCATAGAAGGAAGCAGAATTATTAGAAGAATAAAGAAGAATAAAAGAAGAAAAAGAAAGAGAAGTTTAAAGATTAAGAGAAATGCAAGAAAAAGCATAAGATAGATAAGCAGAATTAGATGCATTAAGAGCAAAAAGAGCTATGGAATAAAATGAAAGATAAGCAAGAGAAAAAGAGAGAAAAGAAGCAGAATGGAAAATGAAATTAAATCATGAAGTTTAAGAAGCTAGAAAATTGTAATAATGTGAAAAATAAGAAAGATTAGAAGAATAAGTATATTATATAATTTATATTTTATTAGGCTAGATTAGAAAGAGATGAATTTTAGAGAGTAATATAGAAATAAAAATAAGAGAGAGAAAATGAATTGAAATTACATCATGAAAAAGAAGCATTAATTAAAAAACATGCTGATGAACTAAGAAAATAAATATCTCTTAATGAAGAAAAGAGAAAATAAGAAGAAAGAGATAAGTATTATATTTCATCTTAATATTTTTAGATTAGAAGAAGGTAAGAAAATTAGAGATAAAATGTTAAATGAAAAGAAATTATTAGAAAATATCAAAGAAACTAAAATTAAGACATTAAATGATAACTCAATTCCAGATAAATATAAAGCAGAATTAGCTCGGAAAAAAATTAATATATTAATTTGAACAAATTCATTATTCATCAATTTAAGTGGGTTCTTAAATATATGTTTCCTTTAGTGCATCCACTACTCTTTCGATTAATTCTTTCCAAGTCTATGGTTTATATGTTTATAGATGATTTGCCAAATGATTAATTTTCTCTTCTAAATTTTCGATTCTTTAATCTATATAACATTTTTTAGGATCAGCAATTGCTCTGAATTAATGTTCTTCATCCATTACTTTAGGATAATTCCATAATTCAGGAGGTCTTCTCATCAAAACATATTGATTATCATAATCTTTTTTACGTAATTCATTAAATAATAAACTGGGATCATTTTATTATAATTATCTATTACGAATCCTAAAAAAATATTAAATTAATTATTATACTTTGGTATCATACCTTCTTTGATGATTTCATCTTCAATATCTTATTAAACTGCTTTATTAATATGTCTAACTCTTTCTACACAATCTTCAAATATTTATCTATTTTCTTATGTACAATAAAAATCCCATAACCAATATCTCCCATATTTATGCATCAATGATTATTACTCCTTTTCTCTTGCTGTTTCTTCAGCCAATCTTTATTCTTCTTCTTTCTTTTTTTATTCTTCTTCCAATTATCTTTTCCTTTCTGGAGAAACATAAACAGTAGATTAAGCATTAGCCAAATTATCATCTTATGTACTTTATAATTATGAATGTTAAAGTTAGGTTTACTTCAATAAGTCTTACTATTCTTATTTCTACTACTTTAAATCATCCTCTTTTTTTCTATCCTTCCAAGCTCTCATATATAATATTGTATGATATGCAATTAATTTTGGAATGCTTCCTTTAATACAATTGTCATCTTTTTTTTACAAAAATTCTCTAGCTTATGGATTTGCATGAAAAATAACACTTAATACATTATATACAAAGTTTATTTAGTCTCTTTTAAGAGGAGATCCAAGCAAATGTTCACTAATCAATTCAGCCTTTATAACTTCATTAATATCAATTACAAATTACTAATAAATCTTAATTATATATTTACTTAATTATCTAATAAAGGTGCTTTGTAATAGTTTATTCCTTTGAGCATTAAGCAAAATAAATTCCTTCTCATCTTTTCAAATGCTTCTAAAAGTGGTTTTAAATAAAAAGACTCTATTTTATTACTTTACCTAAAATTATAGAAATCTATAACTTACCAATTTTCATAACCTAATTTATTAAAAATAAGTTTCACATTAGGATTTGCTTTTATAGCTTATGTTTCAAGTAATATTCTTTCACATTCTTATAAACAAATACAATATTATTCGATATCTGCTTTAACTATAAAATCTCTTATCATCCTATCTCTATTTGTAGTATTTCTTAAATCAAAGAACATAAATTTCTTATTGATTTCCAAAAGTGCTCTTAATGGAGCTGTAACTTACATTAACCTCTCTTCAATAAGTTTATGACTTATTTTTATTAGAATAGGCAATTTTTTAGTAAATTCATTCAATAGAGTCTGTAAATTTTTTCTTTCAGTTTAATAATTTTCAGCATTCATTTCTAAAAACCTATGATCCTCCAAAGCTAAAAATTTCTTTTCTTAAATTACTTCTATAAATTTTAGCAAAAGCCTATTTCACATGGTTACCACGATCTTTATCTAACTTCTCTACAGAACAGTATATGCCATCAATATATTGTTTTATGATTTGCTTATTTATTTCAATGTCTTCTTATGCAAAAAATGCACTTCGGATATGAACATGATCAATGAACTTGAACTTAGGTTTACACTTAAAAACTTGGCATAATTCAAACAATTTGTTATGATATATCTATATAAGCATATAATTTACTTGCCAATTTCCTGTTAAATCTTTGGTTGTTTCAGAAATAACAGTATCTAAAGATTTTGAGATTATCCTAAGTTCATTCCAAACTCTAAATTCTTCACTTTCTTTCCATTTCTCAAATTGTTCCTAAGATTTAAGTTGGCAATACTTATTGTAATTGAGGATCAATTTATTTAGGTTTTTTGGGAGGCATTATAAAATTTATTTAAAAAAAAATATATATATTCGGCAGATGACTCATAATAAATAATCTCTTTATTATTAATTTTCATTTCTGTTTATTATTTTAGAATCACAAGAAAATTGGCATTACTTGTATTATAATATTTAATTTTTATCAATCTATTTCTCTAATTTATAAGAATCTCCTTATAATTTTATTGTGAATTCATTATATTTTTATTAACATTTGGGAGTCTCTCTACATTTATTAAATATCATTTTTAAATTAGATTTTTTTCATTATTTTTATTATTTTATTAAATAAAATAGGATTTATATAATTACAGCAAAAACTAGGTTCTAATAATAATTTATGTATATATTTCAATATACATTTTATTTTAATTATCTAATTCTTTTATAATATAGTTTTAAAATTGAGTTACTTAAACTCAAATTTTATAATTTAATTCACCTAATAAACTTTATATCAAAATTATATGCTTAATCCTTTAATTTTAAGTCTATTAATTCGATAATTTTATAATATTATAGAAAATATCATTTCTTATAATAAATAAAATATTAATAGTATTTAAAATACTATAATTTTTTATTTTTCTCATACAAAATAAATATATTCCTAATTATCTATATTTAATATGTCAATAGATATTCTAAACCATTTTTTATGAGAATATCCTAAAAGTTTATAATTATTCTTTTTAAAAAAGTATGGTAATGGGATTCTCAAAAAATTGTTTTTTTTAATATGAATAGATTTATATTATTTTAGTTTAATTTTTTTTCATAAATTCATGGATTAACAATAATAGGATTAAGTTCAATATACAACTTTTGAAAATTTGTAAGATTAAATCATTCAAAAAAATGATGCATCTGATTGGAAACAATAATTTATATTTATAGATAGTTTAAGAGCTTAAAATAAATTTCATAGTGATTAATTTAAAATTTAGGAATGGTGGGATTAACTTTAACCCTTAACTGATAGTATAAGAAGTAATGTGTCAAAAAATGCATTGATGTTGATAAAAGAAACAAGTATAATAATTAAAATATAAAGTTTAACACAACAATGTTTTTGATGAAAAAATTTTGCAAAAATTATTTGAAAAATGTGAAAGTGATTTTAAGTTTTTAAAAAATGAAGCTTTGCAAACAATTGAAATTTTATCTCAAAAACCTTATTCTGATGATCTCATTAAGATCTTATGTAATATAACATTATCATAAAATTATGTAATATAATAGATTATCATTAGAAGTTGCAATCCCATTCCTATCCTACATTAGTGAAAATAGTATTAGCTTCAGATTTTAATTGTGATTGGGATAATATAATTAAGGCTACTTTAGCAGTTTACATAGGCAAAAGTGTTGAATGTAAAAAAGCAAGTGATTAGCTATACTTGGCCATTTAAAAATAAAGACCAGAAGTATTAGAAAAGGAAGAATAACTAAAAGTTATCGGAGAGAGAACCAAATAAAAAGGGCCTTAAAAAGGGTTCAAGGAATTTTTATAATAATAGAAGAAATGATTCTGAATTTATTTATATATATGTATAAAAATTGCAAAACTAATATTCCAATTTGAACATCAATAAATAAATTATTTAATTAATAAAAGGCTTTTATGTTCTTTTAAATAATGATATTTCTATGGCAACATATAATTTAATAATATTAGCAACTATGTAAAAATATTTTTATTAAATACTTAATAATAACTTTAAGAATGTATTCATCAAAAATTACTGATGTTATATCTTTCATTAAAAGTTTTTTGTACTTTTGCTTTTAGAATAATTAAAATAACTTTTAAACTTTATTATATTTCAGTATATAATCCATAATTTACATGGTGATGTAATTTGTATTAATATTCAATCTAGGCTATTCAAGAGGAAGGTTAATCAGTAATTGAGAAACTGAATTAGAGTTGAGGGACATTATGCAAATTCAAATCTTAAATTATAAAAAAGTTGATATCCATATTAAATGAATTTAAATATGATTATCGAATAGAAATACTATTGACATCAAAATTACATTAATTAAAATAGGTAACATATTCTGAGTATGAAGTATTATTTGTAAAAAAAGCATTTTTCTACAAATAGATGATTTAATATTCCTAAATAATAATAACTATTCTTCTTAATTCATAATTTAACCCAAATAAATAAATGTAATTAGTTAACATGGATTGAGAGATATTACATTTAAGATAGCATATCAAAATATGTATACAAACTATTTTCAATATAAATTTAATAAATAAATCAAAACTTATTTGCAAATGGCTTAAATAACTCAAAAACAAAATAATTCTAACTAGATTAATTCTAATCTTCAATTCTCTTTGAATTAAAAATAAGCTGTTAACTAATCACAAAATATTGATAGTGATTTAATATCAAGTAAAAAGAAGGTAAAATATAAAACTGAAAATTAGCAAGTTTATGATAGATTGATGAGTTCTTAAACTAACAGAGACAATCAAACTGAAGTATCCCAATACTTTGATCATTTAGGAGGTAAGTTTGAATAAATATAAAATAAAAAGGCAAATGCTTATGTGCATTATGTAACTGTGGCAAACATAAATGTAATAGTAAAAATTGTATACACAAACCCTAATTACATGGAAATTACACTATTTATTAAAAGGAATATCAAAAAAAGACACCAGAAACAGGATCTCGTTATAATTAGAATATATTTACTTAACCAAAAGCTGAAGGTGATCTTGAAAATGTGACAACCTACAAAGTATTAATTAACATTCTATTATCATAGCATGATTTTCCTGGATATAATAGTAAAGCAGAACTACATAAGAATTCATAGAAACCTACAGTAAGTGGAGTCCCTTTCTCTGGATTGTCAACCTACAACAATATGTATTTAAATTGGGGAATGGGTGATACACCTTAACTATTACCTTAAAATAATCCTACAGTTATTAAAGAAATGCCATTTATGGGTAGAAGTATATATAAAGACAGTTACTAAGGAGTGTAGGCTCTTCCAACATAGAGTTGTAAAAATATGAATAAAGCTTTGAAGTATACAATTTACTTATATAGATCTCCATTGTCTCCTCCAGATTTGAAGTTCTCTGCAGAATCAATAGCTAAATCTTCTTATAAACCATTTAGAACAGATAGAGTACCAACAGCTAAGAGCCAACAAAATGTACATTATTAATTAATATAATAGGCAACCTTAAATCCATCATTTAATGGTTAATACAATAGTGAATATCGTAAAGAATTCGATCCAAAAGGTTTAAATCAATGTCCAGCCAAGGAAGTATTAGAGGAGGTCGCACGTAGTACAAAATTTTGATAATAAAATGATTATGATTAAAGATAATAAATATATAAAATTTTAACTTATTATTATTATTATTAATTTGAATAAATTCTATATTAAATAAAGCTATCATATTCAAAATTATATGATATTTATTAATATTTTAATTATCAAAATACATATTGTATTTTTACAAAAGAAATATATTAATTATTTATAATTTTACATCTTAATCTAATAAATATTATTATTTACTTAATATATAACAACTTTTTATGAGCGGAAGAGATTTTCATTTTTAGAGAAGAAGAGATAAATATCCAAGACGAGACTCTTATAAAGAATAAAAGTCAAACCCTAATTTCGTTGAAGATGGTTCTTTTGTTGGAACTTTAGAAAGAAAAATTCAACATTAAAATTAGACCATTGATAATCTTATTAAAGCATTTGAAGATTCAAGATTAGAATAACAAAGATAAATCTAATATTTAGAAAAATTGAAACAAGCAGAAGAACAGAAATATAGTATATAAATTTTAGAAGAACTTAAGACTCTAAAATAGAAGATCAAAAAGATTGAACATAGTCCACCTATTATATAATCTACTTCTTAAATGTATTAATAACCTTTATTTCCTCCTTTACATCCTTAATTTTAATAAGTTTATCCCCCTTAATTTTATAATTATGCTTAAATTCCATATTCATAGAATTCATTTCATTAATAAAGCTAACCTATACAACCTTAATTTATAAATAATCAATAATAAATTAGGCCTAAAAAACCAAAAGAAATGGATACATTACATAAATTTTTATTGAAAATGTTACATGAAAAGGACTAATAAAAGAATAATGACAAGAAACCAAAAGAGAATTCAGATGTTCGTTATGTAACTGATATTGAATCATCATAAAATTACTCTTCCAAAAGATAGACCCTTTAAACTCCATTAATAAAATCCAGATCATAAAGAAGATCATAAAAATAATAAGATAGCATTAGGTCTAATGTTTCAGACCATTCTCAATTAAATATTAGAAAATAATCTTAATTATCTTAATAATAGTCATTAGTAGCAGGATCATAGAAATCTTCATAATAAAAGTTTTAAATAACTTAGCAAAGATTGAAATATTTGATGAGAAAATTTAAAGGAATAGTAAGATATTTTTGGATAGCCTTGACTTATTTAAAATATTGTAAAAAGATTTGGAATATTAAGATGATTTCTTTTAATGAATATTCTTAGGAATAGATTGGATAATATGATTCTTAATTTGTAAAATAATAAATTAATTATTTATAGAACTATTTGTCTATCATATCATAATTCTATAAGGAATGTACACTTAAGAAATAATTGGATAAATCATGGATCTTTACTTAAACTTTAGATATTCAAGCTAGATGTCAAACTATGCTTAGTGTTTTAGAGATATTTTTTAGATATTTAATAGTTTAAACTTTAGATTTTACTAAAGAACATATAGAATTTATGAAAAGATTTTCACTTCCCAAAGGATATCTATTATTAGGACATAGTAAATATGTTACTAGCAGAATCAATTTAAGACCAAATAATACTTTAAAGTAGGACAAATTTTATATTTAGGATTGAAACACCTGAACAATCAAAAATGTTACTTATGGAGTATTCATTCATTTAAATCTTATTACCATAAATAGTTGAAGCTGATTTCTGGAAAAAGTTAGTAAATTATAAAGAAGCCTTAAAAGTTTTTGTTTCAGTTCTTCATTATTTATTTATAGATAGATTTTCTAATATTCCTCTTAGTAAATAATCATTACCTTTTAATGTAAATTTATAAAATATTATTTAAGAAAGAATATGTTCCTTCATTTGATTTTAATAGAAATCCTGAAGAAGGATTTTATTTGTTAATTGATTCAAATCATCCATCATATGTTGAATCTAAGGAAGAAGTGACTTTAGGATTATATACTAAGGCTTAGTTGCATCCTCTTATTTTACATGTTGGATTTAAGAAAGTCTAAGAAAGCTTTTAGCAGTATTGTGATTTAATTTATTCTTTCATTAAATGAACACTTCAGCAAAGCATTTTTTAAATATATTGTAATGCCCGTTTTTTAAATACATATAATTTTCATTTCCATGCTCAAACAATTTATGTCTGGGAGTCTGAAAACCTTTACAAAAGTGATAAAGGTATTATTTAAAAAATAAATACTGAAGCAATAAAGTCTAATTGTTAATATTAATTTAATGAATTCATTACAATATTTTTACTAAAAAATAGTCAGTTTTGATAAAAATATTCATAAATCAATATTTCTTTTTAGTTCACTATAGAATATATTAGTCTCAGTATGAGATTCTGTGATTTGATGAACATTTTTTTTTTCTTATTAATTATTGTGGCATCCTTAATGAAGCTATTATTCAATAATATCTATTAATAACTATAGATATTCAATGAATGGAGCTTCAATACTTGGTTTTTACTGTTTTACATCCATTTTGAATTCCTAAATAAGCACACTTTTTCGAAATAAAAAATATTTGGAATTCCACCAAATTTCTTCTTTTGAATTTAAGGTTTTCATAGCCAAATAGGATTCTATTAAGATCTACATTAATATTAATATTACTTTAACAACACAAAGTTCTATTATTGGATAGGTAACATTCATAAAATTTTGTTGAAATGGTATATAATACTGATTAATCAATATTCTTAAGAATTTATGAATGGAATTATGAGCATTACTTCTATCAGTTTCAAAGAGTAATTTTTATTTGTTCAGAGACATCTGAGTATCAATCATTTGAAAAAGATTGAAGATTGAATTTCTAAATTGAATAGAGATAGTATCTAAGTTTTTTCTGGTTTGTTCTTTATCAAGGATTGTCATAATTTCTTAAGAGTTGTAAATTTTGATTTTAATTTTCTTACCAGTAGAGCACATTTAACCCATTATTTTATATATAAATTATCATAAATTAATTAAACTTATCGAATTATAAAACGTAAAAGTATAAAATTGTATAGGAAATGTAAGGGCTTTACTACCAGATAATATTATGAAATAAACACAAAAATTGACAAATAAGATTAAATTAATAATATTTTTATTATAAAAACAAACAGAAAAATAAAGAAAATATATAATTAAGAATATTATTTTATAATTAAACTTATACAATCAAAATAAATTTAATTTGGTAACAATAACTACTTTGCAAGTTTAATCCAAACCACACAAACATGCCAATCCTAAAAAATTCTATATTTTTATATACCCAATTTATCAGTATTCCAATCTAAAGATGAAATTGGTTATTAACAAACATCTTATTTATTAAGTAATTCTAATTTTCCAATAACTCCCTTGGGTTTTCCTTCAGTATCTTATATCTATCTTTAAGATGGATATGAATATTTATAAATATTTAAAGCACCATCACCTCCTTGAGTTGCAAATAAATCTCTATTCTAAGGTAAATGTTTGACTCCCCAAATAGTTGATTTTTAACCTTCATGTGTTAATGAAGCAAATCCATTATTGAATGTTCTTAAATCAAAAACATTAATTTTGCCTAAAAATAAAAAAATAAAATACTTTCTAAAGTAGTTGCTACTAATTTATTCATTTAGATATCTTTTCTATCAAATTCTATACCACAGATACCATTTTTTACATTTGTATCCCATATCAATTGATTTTATTTTAAATCAAAAAGTTTAATATCTCCATTATCATATCCACAAGCAATAACACGTTCATCATTATATGAATTACCAAATACAACACTCCAAGCATCTGGTATAACATCTTTTTCAATAGGTTCTAATGATACAACTGGGGCTGCTTATCTTGGATCCCATACTCTAACACATCCATCTCTTGAACCAGTTACAATTTCAGGTGCTCCAATATTAAAACAAGTATCAATAGAATTAATTATTTGATCATGTGCTTTAACTTCAAATGTTGTCTAATATTTATATATTTAAATTTTACTTTTTTAGTTTCTAGATCTATGACTTTTAATTTTCCATCAAAATCACCAAATGCAAATAAATTATCCAAAAATTATCCACATTTTATACCTTTAGGTTATTCTATCTAATGATATATTAATTTATAACTGATGATAAGGTTTTCAGTTCTGTTTTATTCAATTATAATATTTCAATAATTCCATTTGCTTTAGGTGGTTAACCACATAATACAAATTTTGCAGTTCCAGGTATCCATCTTGTAACAAAAGGAGTGAAATTTAGTGATTTATTGAGATGTTCAATAATTTAAGGAGCATTTGTTGTGTCCATTATTTATTTATTAATAATTTAATTATCTATTTAATATATGCAAAATTAATTATAAAATTTTGTGTTTTCATTGTAATTCCCGTAATCTCTTAATCATTTATTAATGCAATGAACTATCAAGGTACTTGTTTATATGATTTAATAATCTTATTTTTTTAACATAACCACAACTCTCTGATGATTCCATTGAAACTGATGTTGATACTTCTGTAGGTTCCCAAACTTATTTTACATATTCTAATCCATTTTTGTCACCTTCACTTAACAATTCTTAAATTATTTATTCATCAAAATGTTTAGATGCAAGTTTCAAGCATACAGCTTCAGAATTCATTAATTATTTATGAATTAATATAATTTTTTATTTACTTTCTGTTCTAAATATATGTTATCAATAATTTTACATCTATTTAACATAAAACTAGAACTCAATATTAATCTACAGATATACTATATAATAATTAAATATTAACTTAACTTTTTAATGGAATACCTATTTTCATCAATTAATCAATAAACTATTAGTTGAATTAGATAAATTATTTCAGTTTTACAATTTCAATAATACTAAAATAAGTATTTAAGTATAAAATGAATTATTATTTATGTAAATAATACTCATAAAAATGTGTATATTATAAAATATTTTATACTAAAATAAGTGATACAAAATATGAATGTATACCTTTATAATTAATCAAATCTCTTTAAAAGAAACAAAAAATTAGTGAAATTGATTTGCAAGTATGTAATGTTGAATATTTACTATAATTAAATCAAGAAAAATAAGATGAAGAGAAATTATATTTAGCATCAAATTGAATTTATAATTTAGACTATTTACCTTCAAATATATTATATTTGGAGTATAATCAAATTTGATATATAGATTCAATATTTTTAATATAGATTATCTTAAATAATTATAAAAATTACAACTGTTTAAGTATGGAAATAGTTTAATTGATCAATTTGAAATTTAATTAGCTTAACTTGAGATTTTAGATATATCAAATAATTATTTAGATAAATTACCAAATAAATTAACTAATTTACTACTTTCATTAAGCATTTATGCAAAACTCATTTAAAAATTATGAGAATGATGTAAACAACTTACTTTTCTCAGTAGAAATAGATGCTATTGATTGGTTATATTATGATCCAAACATAGAAAGAATATTCAGTAATTTTTAAAGTAAAAATGAATAATCAGTGGAAATACAAAGAATAAGCATTCATGAACAACTGATTGGGAAGTCATAGGTTAAATTGATTTTTCTAGAGGATACAATACTTGTGTTATTTATGATACAAATATTGCTCTTATTTGATTAATCACATTATATTTTATAAGTTCCAAAAAGAATAAGATTTATAATATAAATTATAATGTATAATTTCAATTATATGATGAGAGAATTCTAAGATTATCTTAAATAATAATCTTTTTTTTTAATATAATAAATAAAGGATTGTTAATAATCAAAGCAACATTAAAATATTCATAAATTTATTATAAAACTCATGGTTAACCAGATTACTTTCTAAGATTTACACAAGTTTATCCGTCGCAAAATGGTACACTTTTAGTTAATTTGCATCCACATAATTCCAAAGAATCAGTTTCTTATTCTAATGTAAATCGATATGGCTTAAATGATGTTCCTTAATGAGAGCCATCACATAATGGCTATAAATAAATCATTGTTTAATTTACTTATTTCTAACTTAATCCACATGAACACCATCTATAGGTTTTATTAGAAACTTTTGGATCCTCTATTTTTATTGGACCAAGAACAGGTGATGTTGGAATTGGAGTAAATTATTCAACATCAGCTTACTTATGTTGTTTATTCAACTTAACCACTTTTCCTGCTTCCTCTAACTCTTTTAATTAGACTGTAAAGCATCTTTTCATTAACATTCTTATCATTTTTCTTATTTATATTAATTCAAAACTTAAAAAAAATATTAAGAAATTCCTACAATTTTCTAAATCAATTAAATCATACACATAAACATAATCATTTTAAGATTCTTTATAAAGCAATAACAATTAATAGATAATGCACATTAATATTACTTTGCATATTTTATTTTTTGAATACTATTTATGATTTTTAATAATATCATAAGTCATTCAAATTAATTAATCATATCACAAAGAATATAATTATTTTAATTATGAATTTAGAATCTNTGTAAACAACTTACTTTTCTCAGTAGAAATAGATGCTATTGATTGGTTATATTATGATCCAAACATAGAAAGAATATTCAGTAATTTTTAAAGTAAAAATGAATAATCAGTGGAAATACAAAGAATAAGCATTCATGAACAACTGATTGGGAAGTCATAGGTTAAATTGATTTTTCTAGAGGATACAATACTTGTGTTATTTATGATACAAATATTGCTCTTATTTGATTAATCACATTATATTTTATAAGTTCCAAAAAGAATAAGATTTATAATATAAATTATAATGTATAATTTCAATTATATGATGAGAGAATTCTAAGATTATCTTAAATAATAATCTTTTTTTTTAATATAATAAATAAAGGATTGTTAATAATCAAAGCAACATTAAAATATTCATAAATTTATTATAAAACTCATGGTTAACCAGATTACTTTCTAAGATTTACACAAGTTTATCCGTCGCAAAATGGTACACTTTTAGTTAATTTGCATCCACATAATTCCAAAGAATCAGTTTCTTATTCTAATGTAAATCGATATGGCTTAAATGATGTTCCTTAATGAGAGCCATCACATAATGGCTATAAATAAATCATTGTTTAATTTACTTATTTCTAACTTAATCCACATGAACACCATCTATAGGTTTTATTAGAAACTTTTGGATCCTCTATTTTTATTGGACCAAGAACAGGTGATGTTGGAATTGGAGTAAATTATTCAACATCAGCTTACTTATGTTGTTTATTCAACTTAACCACTTTTCCTGCTTCCTCTAACTCTTTTAATTAGACTGTAAAGCATCTTTTCATTAACATTCTTATCATTTTTCTTATTTATATTAATTCAAAACTTAAAAAAAATATTAAGAAATTCCTACAATTTTCTAAATCAATTAAATCATACACATAAACATAATCATTTTAAGATTCTTTATAAAGCAATAACAATTAATAGATAATGCACATTAATATTACTTTGCATATTTTATTTTTTGAATACTATTTATGATTTTTAATAATATCATAAGTCATTCAAATTAATTAATCATATCACAAAGAATATAATTATTTTAATTATGAATTTAGAATCTATATGTTATAATAATATATAAAACAATAATAATTAAATTAACAATTATATCTTCTGATAAATAGGAGATTTATATTTAATAATAAATAATTTATAAAATTATATTTTATATATTATTATATTATTAGTAATGTCTCTATAATTAATTTTATCAAGATCTAGATCTCAAATATGGAATAGAATTGGGCTAATCATCTGAATAATCAATATCTGCTATTGAATGAGATTTTTTAAAATCAGGTTCTGAAACTTGAAGATTTAAACTAAGTTTCTAATTAAAAATTTAATCTAATTTAGTTTGATCTTTATTCAAAGTTAAGAATAATTCAATAATGTCTTCATCTAATATTTCAATTATATTCTTATCTATTTAATTTAATTCATTTTTCTTTTTCAATTTTGTAAATGATACAAAAGCTTCCTAAAGTTTTAAAAGATCTGACTTTTCATCTTGCAATATAAATTAATAAGCTTTTTTTGATTCAATTTCTTTAATTTTTTTTTCTGCATCATTTCCAAATAATGCCTCAGGAATTACAGGTTTTGGTAAATAATTAAATAATTATAGTTGATCTTCATTTAATAATACCAATTTTAATTTATCAATCTCATAAATTTTAGATATAATATATGCAACATCTAATTTAGACATAAATTTATCAGTTGCATATTATATTTACATTTTCTCTTTCTTTTTACATCCTAAACTCATAATAATTATATCTCTTAATGTTAAATTTAAAGATTATTTTTTAGATTTTAAATATTCACTCATAGTTTTAGAATCTTAAATTTTTTCAAAATTCTTTGATTTAAGAGATCTACCTAAAGATTTAGAAAATGAGGATTTTTTTATATCAAAATCTAAAACTCTTTAAGATGATTATTATTTAGGTGATTAAATAATGAAATTATCTTAAACATTTTAATCTTCATCAAAAGAATCATTTGCATTTTCAAATCTAAATAATTTATTAGCCATTTATAAATTAACAAATTTCTAAATAAGAGGACTCAAAATAGAATAAATTGTTAAAAATAAAACTTAATAGAGACCTCCTATTGTACTTAAGATGGCTTAAACTTTAGCATATGATCTAGAATATTCACCCTATCTTTAATCTAGAGTTATATAATGAAGAACTAAAAATTCATCATTGTATTCTTCTTATGATTCACGATTAGAATATTAAATTAAACTAGATGAATCAGACTTATCTTCAGTAATCAATCCATAATCAGTAATAACATTAGTCATTTTTAAATTTTGAATTATAGTTTTTGAATTTGCTATTGACATAGTTGTATATTAAAGTGAAATATATTCTTAAAATGGATCTCCTGGTTATTTCATTTAAACAAGATTATCAGATAAATGAACCACATAATAACCTGTTTTTAATTCTTTTTAAATGCTTTCAATTGGTGCACATTTATTGTATGAACTTGAATTCTTACATTATTAAATCATAATTGTAATATATTGATATGTTTTACCAGCAATTTAGCCTTGCAAAATCTAATATATATAATTATAATAAAATTACAGGAGGTGAGTTATTCCATTATTTTGAATTCAAACATTAAGTATATCCTAAATTGATTGATTAAAAATAATTCTTTTAAACATTTGTAACAAAATGTTAATCATCACATGCTTCTGTTGGATATTCAGTACAACTTAAATATTAAAATGAAAAGATACTTCTATTAAATTTTAGTTTTTCCTGTTTATTCATCTATGAGTCTTAATCTGATACAGTTTTTCACTGTAATAGTAAAATGTGTATTTAATGTTGTAAGAGTATTAAGACTTAGATTAGCAACTGAAATTGCCATCGTAAAGTTATTCATTAATAAAGGAACAGGCTTTAATAATTAAATAGACTTACAGCAGTATCAGTCATTTAATATTCTGAAAACACAACAAAAGGGTTTTTTCGATCATATAATTATATGATTTAATAAATTAAATATAGTAAGCAAATAGTAGTGATCGCTGATGTACAAAAGAAGCCTGTTGAAGTAGTGAATTTACTTTTTTTTAATATTCTCAATACAGGAGGTTATCCAAATACATCTAATCCACTTAAAAATCCTTATAAACTATTTTTAAACATTTATGTGTTCCTTTTTTGGTACTTAAACATAATTTCTTAATTTGATATTCTTTTAAGCAATTATTTATTTTAACATTAATTCTTTCAATAATGGTTTTTAAAAAGAGTAAAACTAAAGATAAAAATAATTATAATCAAAATCAAGTTGATTCATATGTTAAAACCATGAAAATTAAGTAATCAAATCAAAATTAATAAATGGTAGATTGTAATACTTATACGCAACATTTGTTTCAAAATCCATTTATTTATTTAGTATTAGATTCATCATAAATAAGTTAAATTTAAGTTTTCTTCAATATTAATATGTTTATTAGAATAGTATATTTTTAAGACAATATTACCTTTTATTTTTTAAAAGAATGGCGTTGTCTTAAGAATTTATGTACTTAATATTGATTTGAAAAAGAAATATAATAAAAAAGAATATAATATATAGGATTATGATGGTCACAATAATTGCTATATGTTCTTAAAAATTAAATTATAATAATTTAATAGAGAATCAAATAATATTTAAAATAGTACTTTTAAATTCTTTAATATTATTTATATTAACATATATATAAATTTTTATGATTTTGTATAGTAAATAAGAAATCCATAAGATTTATATATATGTTATTAATGTACATATAATTTTGATTGAGTTTGAATTAAGTAATTTTATATATAAATTATTATATTAATTGAGTCAACACATCATAATAGTCTGTATTACACATTAATTTAAATATAAATATTCTGAATAATCATGAAAGTAGAGGAAGAGGGAATTTCACTAAAAGGAACTGTGTTAGACCCATTAATTGAAAAGTAGGAAATTAAATTAAGAGAAATAATACTTAATTAGACAATTTCTTAAAAAAAGTCGTGTAATGAAATCAATAATAGCAAATACTCTATATTGACATTTTTACCTTTAGTATTGTTTTATTAATTTTAACATTTCTTTAACTTATACTTTTTAGGATTGACTATTACTTAATTCATACCTGCTTTAAAAGTAGGTAAAATATAATGTTTTATTATATTAGGATTTATTATCAATTATGTAGGTCCATTATCAATAGTTGTATGTTTATCTATGTGTAAAGAGGCTTATGATGATATTTTAAGACATTCAAGAGATAGATAAATAAACAATCAACTTTATTAGATATTAACAATAGAAGGTTTGATGAACAAGAAATCAGGAAATTTATAAGTAGGATAAATTGTTTAAGTGAATAAAGATGAAAGAATACCTGCAGATTTATTAATATTAAGAACAGATGATAAGGATGGAAATGCATTTATTAGAACAGATTAATTAGATGGTGAGACAGATTGGAAATTGAGAAAATCTATTAAAATAACACAAAATATGGATGATAATTAATTAACATCCATATCTGGATTAATTTAATTTGAATAACCTCATTAAAATATAAATATTTTTAAAGGATTAGTATAAATTGATGAAATAGATGGAAAATAAGTTCGTGAATCAATAAATTTAGAAAATGTTATTTGGGCAAATAGTGTTTTGGCTGTAGGATAAATTTATGGGATAGTAATTTATAATGGAAATGAGGCAAAAATGATGATGAATTAAAAGAAGGCTTAAACTAAAAAGGGAATTTTTGATGTTGAAGTTGATAAATTAAGTAAATTATCATTTTTCATTATGATTGTTTTGGCTGTTATCATAACATTATTTAGCAGTCCTCCAAGAGATCTTAGATATGTACTATAAATGTATATGAGATATTTAATATTAGTTAGTAACATTATTCCAGTATTAAATTATAATATATAATTAGATTTCTATGAGAGTAAATTTAGAGTTTGCAAAAATAGTTTATTCTATCAGAATTAATAGAGATAATAAAATTGAAGGAACTATCACCAGGAATTCAAATATACCTGAATCTTTAGGTAGAATTTCCTATTTATTAAGTGATAAAACTGGTAAATTTAATTATTAATTGAATGAGGCACTCTCACATAAAATGATATGATTTTTAAGAGATTTTCATTAGAAAATGAGAAATATACTATTGAACAAGAAGACTTATAAAAAGTAAAATAAATCCTCTATGATTAATTTAAATATTCAAATAAAAAGAATGGAAAAATGAGAGATTTCTTTACATGTTTAAGTGTTTGTCATCATGTAACACCAGTAGATGATGAATATGGAAATCGTACATATTAAGCTTAATCTCCAGATGAAATAGCATTAATTAAATTTGCTGCATAATAAGGTTTCTATATATCATCAAGAGATGATAAAGAAATCATTATACATATAGATTAAAATGAACTAAAAATAATGGAAAGATATTAAATATTAAATAGTTTTCCATTTTCAAGTGAAAATAAAAGAATGGGAATAATTCTAAAGAATAATTAAAATTAAATACATTTTTATGTTAAAGGTGCAGATATAGTACTCAAATAATTATTACCAGAATAATATTAAAGTTATATTGATGAAGAGACAGAAAATCTAGCTAGAATAGGTTTAAGAACACTTGTATTGGCTCATAAAAAACTATCTTAATAAGAATATGATGAATGGAATCAAGAATATATAAAAGCAACTTAATTAATTGAAAATAGAGAATAGAAAATGTAAAAGTTAATTGAATAACTTGAAAGAAATTTAGATTTTATAGGAATAACAGGTGTAGAAGATAAATTATAAGATGTAATTAATAATATTAGATAAGGATGTGTCACATACTATTGAAAATTTAAAGAATGCAGGAATCAATGTTTGGATGTTGACAGGTGATAAAATGGAAACAGCTATCTGTATTGCTATTCTATCTGGTCTTAAACATGCAACATAAAATTTTATTATTATGAAAGATGTTATTGATGAGGTACTATTATAATTATATAATAGATATAAATGTCATTGATTTTATAAAATTTAGAGGCTAATTCTAATAATGTATTAGTTATTGATGGAACAAGTTTATAAGAAGCATTACATGGATTTGAATAACAATTTATGAAAGCTGCTATGAATTGTCCTTCAGTAATTTGTTGTAGATGTTCTCCTACATAAAAAGCTATAGTAACTGAACTATTAAAGAAATACTCAGGACTTGTTGTAGCAGCAGTAGGTGATGGAGGAAATGATGTTGGAATGATATAATCTAGTGATGTAGGAATAGGTGTTGAAGGTAAAGAAGGTAAATAAGCTGCTTTAGCATCTGATTTTTCAATCTTAAAATTCAATTCATTAAATTTGCTATTATTATGGCATGGGAGATTATCATACAAAAGAAGTTCTTTACTTTCTTAATTTATTCTACATAGAGGTCTTCTGATTGCCACAGTTTAAACTATATTTATGTTTTTATTTTACTTTCTGTCAATCAGTTTATTCTCTGGTTTTTTAATGTTTGGATATTCCACTATTTTCACGTATACATTATTTATATATTTAAGGATGTTTCCTGTATTTTGCATTATTTATGATGAAGATGTTAAACAAGAAATTGCTTTAAGATTTCCACCTCTTTATAAATCAATTCAATAAGGAAGGTTACTTAATACAAAGACATTTCTTATTTGGCTATGGAAGGCTGTATTCCAAGGTTTTATTATAATGATTTGTTCAATTCTTTTGATTAAGCAAGCCTTTTTAAGATTAGAAACAACTGTTTTCACATGTTTAATATTTACATAATATGCTATGACACTTACAGAAGTACTAATAATTAAAATTTAATAGTTAGAATCTCTACATATTTATATGATTATGTCAAATTTATTGTCTGTATTGATCTATCTTATGACATTATTATTGTTTCCTGAATAACTCTTAGTATAAGATACAATTGATGTACCATTTTTTGGATGGGTGATCTTAATTTTATTAATGAGTTGGTTACCTTTGTATATTTTAAGGAGAATCTTAAAATCAGTGGATCCATCTGATTACGAGAAACTTATGGACTAAGTTTAAAGAGAAACAATTAATACGAATTGAATGATTAATTATTATTGTATTTTGATTAAGCTTTTTCTTGTAACAAATTTTTGATAGTTATTATTTTTATATAAATATATTATGTCAGCTTTTAAGACTTTAATGAAAATGCCATAAACTAAATTAGCATCGAAATGTATAGCCTTAGAAGAATTGTTATAGCGTTATTATTAGTTTGAAGAAGTTCATTATGATTTATAAAGCAAATACTAAATTCTTTAAGAAAAATTTGAGAAGCTTAGTCAATAGCATATATAATTAATGCAAAGCATTTAAAATGATAAAGATTCTATTTCTCAAAAGAGTTATAAAAAATTAGATTCTTACCTTAATTGTGCAGAGAAAATAGAGTTATGTGCTATTGAAGATCTCGAAACACAAAAACTAATTGAAGAATTGAAGTAATAAAATTAAAAAATGAAAGAGGAAGTCTCTTAAAGTAAATAAGAATATCAAAGATTATAATCAATGTATTTTTATTACTATCTAGATTTGAATAAACTTAGACAGAACTACTTAGATCTGCATCTGTAAAAACGGCTTCAGATTCTAAATATAATTCTCTTATTGATGATAAAAGTAATGATTCTATTTAATCTTATAAAAATGAAATTGCCAGATTAAATAAAATAGTAATTTCTCTTATTTAGTGTAGGTAACATCTTTGAGAGTTGAATTATGTCAATATAAAACAAGAGAATATGATGAAGAGTGGATGAAGGCTTAGCTAATTAAATATTAAAAATAATCTTAATTATCAAGCAATAATAATAAATCTTTTGACATTCTTGATTATGTTGATAATTGATACATCAAATTTATTTAATGAATTCTAATCATAATGATCATTGAATGAATATCAATATTTTGTTATTTCTTTTATTATTTACATACATAGATTGATGTACTATTTCATTTATGTATATCTAATTGAATCCTAATTATAAATCTTTATTATTACTTTATTAATTTATATTAGATAATTAAATATATTAGCTAAAATTAAGTTGATATAAAATAAATTATGAATGGATTAAGTATTTGAATTCTAATAAGGAAGATATAATTATTTTATAATAATAATTAGTGTAATATATATAAATAATTGAATCTACTAATATTTGCATTTAACTCAAAGTATATATAATCTTTTGTTATTGTTATATAATAGTTGAGTAGCTTATTAATGAATTTTAAAGATATCTTAATAACTCTTAATCTATTTCTATTTTGCAACAAAGATTTAAAACTAAAATATTGAATAAAATTTATTCTAATTACAACAACATAGAATTTGTTCATTTATGAGAAAGACTTCTTCAATATTAAAATATGCTTAATAATATATTAAAAATTATTATAACAACATAAAATATTTATATCTTAAAATAAACATCAGAATTACATTGAAAGTCTTTCTTACATATTATATAAAATTATCAGAGGGTCTTAATTAAATCTGATTTTTACATTTATAAAAAACATGCACTCTAGTTGGTATTATTACATTTCTATTTCCTTATTATTATATAGAATTTTTGTTTAGACATGATAGTATTACATATCTAAATATAATAACAATTATAAAAAGAATTAAGAGTTTAAATAACATAAAGAGTTGTAAACCATATTTAATTACTTAGAAATCATCAATTACTTATATCATATAGAAATAGCGTCTATATATTTATATTTAAAGAATTGAATTTCACAAAAAAATAATTACATTATTTAAACACTATGTGAAAATCAAACTTAAAATATTTAGATTTTATATTATTTATATCATCAAATGAAGACTTCTTATTAAGCACCTGATAATAAAAACTGGGAAAGTTAATCAAACTCTTATGTCATCTACTATAAATTAATTTCAATACTTTATTGAATAAGTGATAAATATCATTAAATGATTTATTTATGTTTTAAACATAAACATCATCTTTCAATAGATCTAGATCACCTTCTTCTATTGGTTAATAGTAATTTGATGAATTTTATTATTATAATTGAATTGGTGGATTATAATTTTATTATTCGGAATTTTACTATTGGTTATATGATGATATTAAAGGTTATTGTCTTCCCTACAATTAAATATCAGTTATCTTTTGTTCTCCAGATTATTTTTGTTTTTTCGCACTACAGACTCCCATTAATTTTTATTTTATATTTAATATTTTGATCAAAACTATTAATATTAATATTAATATTAAGATAGGTTTATATTTAAATATATTCTATTATTTATATATTCAAATTTTCATTATGATTTTGCACTAAATACATTGATTATTTTTTTAAGTTCTAGAACCTCTACTTATTGATGGATATACATTTCATAATGGATTATAATATATTAATGAAGTTCCTATTTACAATAGATTAATAATTAATATATAATAGATTCACATATCTTCATCACTACTTTCTTTATCTTCTTATAACATTGATTATCGATTACTATTCATTTGATCTTACCTAGCAATTATTTATAAAAGATTCAATAGTGATTGCATCCCTCCTGATTATCTTTGATATTGATTCCTTTATTATAATAATTAAGTTCTTAAATCTTCAGTAGTCTATTGCTATGTTGATAATTATTTTCTTGAATCTTTTTTTAAATAAACATAGAGTTAATTTTTAGTAGGATGAAACTTAATACAAGATATTTCTTTATCATATTCTGATATCTATTTTTAATTAATTAATTACTTAGTATGACTCAATTGGTTTACTTGATTTTTGAATATGCCATACCAATAAATCACCTTTATTAGTACCTGCAGCTATTAAATTATAATTAAGCCATCCTATGTCAAATTGATTAATTAAAGAAGCATTAATTCTTGATGTAGTTTAGAATACTTTAATCAATTATAAATCTGGTATTGCATATAAATACAATTCTTATATTGTGTCATTTACTAAAATTAAAACAAAATTAAAATGTTTATCTACAATTGAATTTTAATTATTGTTAGAACTAGAAGTCTAAGAAATTTAATATTTTGTATATAATTTATACAAACTAATTTTATTTTAACTAGTTAAAAGCATTAATTCTTTTTATTAATGAGTATGTAATTTTAACAATTTTTCCTCAATTTTTAATCCTCCTTTTCTTTCATTTTCATTCCATTCATAAAGCCATCCATCTATTGAAATAGTATAAATATCATATTCATTTTTCTACTTTTTGATAGATTAATCACATAATACAAAATTTAAACATTATACAATAGCATTATGTCCTTCAAGTCTATATTTATTTTCTGTTTAAATGTTATATACAAAAACTGTAAAATCTTGAGATGATGTTCCTATATATTTGCTACAAGGTGAAAATATTATTGATGTTATTGCAATAGTTTATCCAGTTTATATTTTCCTAGGTTTTTACTAATATTCATTTTTTGTGTTGTCAAATTAATATAAATAAATTTAAAGACCATGAACTAAGGCTTAATATTAACCATTAATAGAAAATTCACAAAAACTGATATTTTTCTACTATTTAATTATATTTAATTAGGAATTACAGGTATGCTTTTTAAAAATATTGTAATTTTATTCTAATTTAATATGGAATTGACAATCTAATATTTAATTTGCTTGCTATTATTATAATATGGTCACTAATCTATTAGGTTCAATTAATCCAATTTATTTATAGCACAATTATATAATTTCATCTATCAATTCTTATTCTTATTTTACTTTAAGTTCTGGAAGATAAATCATTGAAGCATATTAATGTTTTTATTCTTCATCTAAATTTTTTATAAATATATTATTATACCTGAACAAAAATTTGTTATATGATTTCTCAATAATTATATTGCTTCTTAAACATTATGTAATTTAAGTAATTTAATATATTTTTATTCTAATAGTTTCAATATACATTTTTTTTTTGTTTCTTTATCTACATATTGATTAAGGATCTATTCTAATTATATTATGTCATAATTTTTTATTGATTAAGTAATCAATTCTAAATTTTAAGGATCTAGTTAGATTTATGATTGTTCCTAGAGTTTCTAGAAAGTATTATCATATTTTAATTATCTTAAAAATTACAGAATTAGTTTTATTTTTTCTTCCTTATTATTCATTTAATATTTGATTAAAAAAAATTTCTTTTTTTAATTGACCATAAATAATGGATATCGTTGGAGTAAAGCATTGTTATTATCATAGAATGTATTGCCATAAGTTTTGAAAGACGAAGCTACTGAAGATAAAGGAGAGATGGCCAGATTGGTAAATTATTCATTATTAACATTCAAAGTAAAGCTTTGTAGGAGCAATTGCAGTTGCAGATCTAGTAAAAACAACCTTAGGACCAAAAGGAATGGTATTAGTTATGAATAAATTTAATAGGATAAAATATTAAAGCCAACAGGACCAGGTTAAGAAATGACTCATATTACTGTAACCAATGATGGTGCTACAATTCTAAAGTCAATGTATGTTGAGAATCCTGCAGCAAAGATTCTTATAGAGATCAGTAAGACCTAGGATGAGGAAGTAGGAGATGGAACAACAACAGTTGCAGTATTGGCAGGTGAATTATTGCGGGAAGGAGAGAAATTAATCTAAAAAAGAATTCATCCATAACATGTTATAGCTGGATGGAGAATTGCTAGAGATGTAGCCTTAAAGAGATTAAGAGATATTTGTAATGAATTATATATATTTTTGATTAGCTACTGAAAATGATATCAATTCATAAGAATTTCATGATGATTTAGTAAAGATAGCTAGAACAACATTAAGTTCAAAGTTAATAACAACAGATAGAGATTATTTCGCTGATTTATGTGTTAAAGCAGTACTTCGATTAAAAGGATCATCTAATTTGGATTATATTCAAATAATAAAACTTCCAGGAGGTACAATAAGAGATTCTTATTTGGATGATGGATTTATTTTAAAGAAATAGATTACTATAGGATGTAAGAGAAGAATTGAGAATGCAAAGATTTTGGTTGCTAATACTGCTATGGATTATGATAAAATTAAAATATATGGAACAAAAGTTAAAGTTAATTCAATGGATAAAGTAGCAGAAATAGAAGCTGCTGAAAAGGAAAAGATGAAACATAAAGTTGATAAGATTCTTAAATATTAACCAACAGTATTTGTTAATAGATAATTGATTTATAATTATCCAGAATAATTATTAGCAGATTCTGGAATTACTGTTATAGAACATGCAGATTTTGAAGGAATGGAAAGAGTAGCTGCAGCAACAGGAGCAGAAATCTTATCAACATTTGATGCTCCTGAAAGATCATAATAAGTATTAGGTCATTGTGATTTGATTGAAGAAATTATGATTGGAGAAGAAAAAGTAATATATATATATAATATAATATATTAGATGATTAAATTCACAGGATGTAAGAAAAATGAAGCATGTACTATTGTATTAAGAGGAGCTAGTACTCATATTTTGGATGAAGTTGATAGATCAATTCATGATGCATTATGTGTTTTAATTACTACAGTCAAAAATAAAAGAGTTGTTTGGGGTGGTGGAAATTCAGAAATGTAAATGGCAGCTGCTTGTGAAGAGGAAGCCAAAAAAGTATAAGGAAAATAAGCATTTGCAATTGAAGCATTTGCTAGAGCTCTAAGATAGATTCCAACCATTATTTGTGATAATGGAGGTATATATACTTATAGATTTGATTCAAGGTTATGACTCAGCTGAATTAATATAAAATTTCAAAGTTGAATTATAAAAAGGCAATTAAACATGTGGATTAAATATGACAGATGGAACAATTGGAAATATGAATGAATTAGGTGTTAAAGAATGTTTAAGAGTAAAAGAATAAGCATTGATGGCTGCAAGTGAAGCAGCTGAATTAATTATGAGAGTTGATAATATTGTTAAATGTGCACCAAGAAAGAGAGAAAGAGCATGAGTTAAATATAAATAATACAAATATAAAAATCATAATTAGTTTTAATTTTTTTTAATTAGATGTCTTCCTTCATAATTTGATTATTCCAATTAAATTGATTATTATTATTATTATTATTATTATTATTATTATTATTATTATTATTATTATTATTATTATTATTATTATTATTATTATTATGAAATTACTTAAGATTAAAAGCAAATCTCATCCATTTATATTATGTACATAATATATGGATGATAGAATTTTAATGATATTATGCAAAAAACACAAAACAAAAACAACAAAATTGGTAACAATAAATTAATCAAAAGTAGATATCCAATCCAATATCTATTGTTAATCTCTTCTTTAATATTCATAATTGGAAAATACTCTATCTCTGTTTTAAAATATACATAAGGATCTATATCTCTACTTTTCTTTAAAATTCCACTTAATTCATACGAATATTATTTATTATTCTCAAATTACCAATTTACTTAAAACAAACATTTATCATTATCATAATTAATACAAGTCAAATTTTCATTATTATCTATAATTTAACATTCTAAAATTGTTTCTTATTATTCATTTTTTATGTTTATTTTTGCATTACTTAAATATATATTTTTAACACATTCTTTATAATCTTTTGGTAATACTGTTATTTTAGCAAAAGTGTTATTAATAACCTATGTAACATCTATCAGCATTTTAATATAATTTGTATACTTAAACTCTTACTTTATTAATGTATCATAACTGGTTAATTATGAAAAAGTTTAATCAATTTAAGTAATTGCTTCAAAGTTTAGAGTTTACTAAATTTATGATATCAAAGACATTTATCTTAATTGATAATTTGTTTTTATTAAAAATGGCAATTCATTTAATTAAATATGATTATTAGCCTAAATCATATAGTTTCCTTATATTATAATATTATTTAAATCTATTTATGATATTGATGATGGTAAAAGAATATTGTCTAAATATAATTTAAACCAACAAAATACAGACTATTTATCTTCAGATTTTGGGATTATTGTCTTATATTATAAAGTTTTATTCTTGATTATCATTTCAAAATTTTAGTATAAATTATAATTAAAATTGCTATTATTATGAAATTAAGGAAGTTATCCTGTAAAAAGTACTTAATCTTTCGTATTAGTTTAAACTTTTGCTATATATATAAAAATTAAATTTAATGATGTCGTTGAATTCAGCCAAAATTCAATTGAATTCATGCAAGTTAAAAAATGTTAATGTTAAATTTAAATAAATGATTAGCCAGTTATTTATATACTTAAATTATACATTTTGTAATCTATGAAAATAAATAGTTCATCATTAAAAAGTGGTCGATTAAAAATAAATGTATAATTGTAAGTATTGTCTTCATATAAGGGTAATTAATAATTATCATCTAAACAAATTCCTTAGCCTTTTTGGATGCTTATTTATTATTATCCTTCTACATCTACAAATTCAACTTACTCTTTTGTTTTACAATCAATCCATTATAATAATCTGAATTAAAAATTATCTAATGGGAAAACTAGATCTTCAATGCCTTCAGCAATAAAGTAGATACAGAAAAATAAAAATCCTATTGATCCTAACATTTTAATAAAATAAATTTTTATTTATTTCTATCTGATTATAAATATAGATGCCAAATTATTAATCCTAAAATTGAAATTATCATATTCATATCCTTGTAGTTGATAAAAAAATAGAATAAGTTTGATTATAAAATAATCAAGTTTTTTTGTAGATTAAATTCCTAAGTAATCATATATCTGATACCAAATTATTGTTAAAGTATATATTCACTTAAATTTCATAAGCAAAATAAAAATGATGGGTAAATACATAAAAGCAAATATAGAGCTAGTATAATACCAAATAATTATAGTTTTGTTTTTGTTTTTTCCTTTAATATAATTTAAATTAAAATGAATTAAAATGTTTTGAGTATTTGCATCAAATTTTTTGAATAATTTTTGTTTAATTAAATAAATTACTAATTTAACTTCTAAATAAAAATTGAAAATGAATGAAAAATTGTTAAATAAATCTTAATTTAAGTTTATCAACAAACAATTTATACTCTAAAATTATCTCCTATTAATTATAAATTTTATGTAATTCACTTCAAATAAATCAAAAAATTTTAGTCATCTAAGAATATTAAATTTATCATACTTGATTGTTTATTTCTAATTAGATTAAAAAATCATTAAATATTTATAGTGAAATCTATTATTATTTTATTACTAATAATCTTAAAGAATATTTTAAGTTTCTTTAAGATTAAATAGATTAAATGTGAATTATTATTAGTTTGATAACATAATATAGATAATTTAAATTAATATAGTTCGTATAAATAGGGAATTAAATTAATGTATATTGAATAATTCTGTCATTTTATGAGCCTAAATATTGAGTATCTATTTAAGAAAATAGATTTTATTTTTTGTTACATTATTTATATATAAAAATATATTACATATTAAAATATATTAAAATGAAAATAGATTAACAAAAACTAAATATTTTTTATGATGAGATGTGTGGAATTTGTGATAAGTTAATAAAATTACTAGTTTATTTGATAAATCCTAATATTCTATAATTATATTCTTTATAGAATGCAATATAGGATGAGAAATTAAGAAAAGAATATGATTTAGATCTTTCATCAATTGTAGTGATAACATAAAATAAGAAACTAATAAAATCAAAAGCAATATTCTATTTACTTAAATAGACTAAATTAAAATATATAATTAAAGTGATTGAATTCATCATGCCATAGTGTTTGTCAGATTGGACCTATGATTTCATTGCAAAACATAGAGATAAAATTTGTAAGTTGAAGAGAAGATGATTGAATATTATTATTAAATAATCATATATTTAAATATCATTTTTCTGTTAATTCTCTATAACCTTTCCAATAATTAGGTGCTTTATTTCCATTAGAATGCAGAACTTCTAGTAGAGTATTGGAAGGTCCATCTTTATGTTCAGGTATCATAGACTAAAGAAATATAAATAACATCGATTACAAGAGTCTTAGTAAAGATAGGTAAAGCTTTCTCCCATTATCCATTAATATAATGTTAAAATCCCTGATCCCAATAATCATAGAACTCTTATTTAAACGGAGCCCGTACAAGTACTAATTCTTCATCAGTTTTAAAGAGATCAGCAATTTGAATTTAATTATTCTCAACTTTTTTAATTAATTGATTTCTTTAATATCTTTAGACAACTCTATATTTTTTGGCTTCTCTTTATGTTAATTTACTAATATCATATTTATCAATAGGTTATTTGATTCCTTTCAATAAAGATTTAATTGATAAATCAATGGTATAAATTTCTAGGAATAGAATAATTTTTACTCATTGGTTCAATGCTTCCTTTGACAGTTACGATATCAATAAGTCTTAATTACTTTTAACAAGATTCAGTTAAATATTCTCTAAATATACCACTAATTAGTATTATTGAACCAAATTATTTAGTAGCAGCTTCTAATCTAGATGCCATATTTACATTTGGACTTAGATAAGAAGCATCAATCTTAAAAGATGAACCTATAGCTCCTTCAATACCCCAGCCCATATGTAAACCAAAACCCATTTTTACTGAGTATTCCTTCATTCTTGCATTTAAACCAGGATGCTTTTTATATTTTTCCAATTTTTTTGAAATAGAAACTGAAGTAATAATTTTGAGGAAAGCTAAGACTGCCATATCTCCTTTTTATTTGATTAATTTTGTATCTTTCAATAATAATTTTTAATGATTAGTTGGATCAGGATGATAATCAAATTAATCATATTTCCAAACTAAAAGAAAAGCATCTCCTATATTTTTATTTGCTGATCCACTAAAACTATTGACAGCTGAATGAACAATTTCTGCAATTTCATTAACAAATACCATGACATCTTATTATAAAACTTCAGTTGCATCAGTAAAATTTCTAATATCACAAAATCCAAAGATTGCCATTATTTTTTTACCTGGGATCATCGGATCAACACTACCTCCCTTTTTAATATTTTCTGCTATAATTTCAGATCCTGCTTCTCCAAATCCCACTGCTAATAAAGCACCTACTTTCATAATTAAACGTTATAATATATAAGTTTCCATAGTTCTCATAATTTCCTTTTCTTTTAATTTTTTGTGATCTTAACTTTTTTCTAATTCTTCAATTACTAAATCTTCTTATTCTTCAATATTCACAGCCTCTAAGGGATTAGCTGCAATTAATTCTATTTATTTCATCATTGTTTCTATAGGTTCAATAACTAAATCTTCAACATCTTTATTGAAAAGTAACGCACTTAACGCTAAAACTATACAAACAAAAATAGTTTAAAATATAGATAGAATTGAATTAGTCTAATTATATGATATAAGATCTGCAGCAGAATATGCTAATAGAGTTCCATTTTAAGAAGTTTAAATATAATATTGAAGATCTGTAAATCTATATTAATCTGGTGATAATGATGTATATTCAAAATAATCTGGATATTTTTAATAATTATAATTAACCCAAGTATCATTTACTATAATATTTACTGCTTGTATTGGATAGATTTATCCTTTATGGAATTCTGCATATTATTTAATGAGGATCTCTTTTACATTCTATTAATCCTTAAATTATGATATTCTAAAAATGCCTGAATCATAACTATTGATATTCTCTTAATATGTATCAAAATTGATCAATGGTATACTAATTAGAACTGCTAAAATGATAGTGATCACTCTCCTCATTACTAAATCTGATAATTATTAACCAACATTTGATTCTTTTGTGTCAATCTCTCCATTCATTGAACTCTCACCTTAAGAATTAGTCTATTAACCAGATTTTCCAGGAGTTGATTTACTTGGAGATTTACTAAATTGATTATTTGATCCTTCACTTCCATCCTAACTTGAATTTGGTTTTTAGATTTGTTAATTAATTGGGATAGAATTTCCACTCATTTGACTTTAATTTAATTGATTGCTTTTAATTTTCCCACTTTCTATTACAGATTATGGATTTTTAATTTGTAATATTTAATCCTCCTCATTAACGGCTTAAAAATAATATATAAATATTACGTTACTAATTATTTTATGATTAGGACAATTATTATTAAGATTACTATTTAATTTATTATTAGTTTTAAATTTATGATTATAATTATTAAGATTCTTAAATTATTTATTATTATTTTTATTATTATTTCATTTTTTCTTCTTGAGATATTTAAGCCTATCTTAATAACTATCTCAAAAGTGCCTTTTATTTTTATTACTATATTTATTATCTTGCATGTTTATACAATTTAATCAATCTTACTAATCTTATAACTCTTATGACTCTTGCTGCCTTTCTTGCAACTTTAGATGCAGAACCAATTGTTTTAATTGATGCAGCATTAGTTACATCTCCAGAATACCATTCATCAGTTATCCATCCAATATCTAAAAACATGGTTGCTGTTGATATTACATCTAACCAAAAGTAAAACTATATTTAGAATTATTATAATATACATTGCAAAAATATTCATGTTTACAAATACATGTAAATATTATCTCTAAAGTAAAGCAAACCATACATAAAATAGTTAAAACAAAAAATGCATCATCTCCATCTTTATTTACAGTTAAGATTCTTATATCATCCCCAAATAAAGCATAAAGGGTTACTAATGCCATTAAAATTGAAAAAGGAAGACTCTCAACAACATGAGAAATTTTAGTCGTAATGCTTGTATTTAAGGCTCTAGGTAATATAACTGATTGTCTGGCCTTTATTCTACTATTCATTCTTCTTATCGTTTTTTTAGACACTAGAATCATATTTTAAAATCACTTACTAAATTGTCTTTGTTGTCCTGATTTATTTTGACTTGATCTACCATCTAAATCAGATTCCATATTTTATGAACTCATTTATCTATTCTTTTTCTAAGAAATTTCATCAATTTCATCATTCTCTTAATCTTAACTACTTAATTTCTTTTGAACTATAGGTAAACATAAAGGCTTGTCTGTAAACTACAAATATTGAATTATAATACCAATTAAGCTGTATTCCCTCTTTATAGCTCTGAATTTATAGGTTAATCTACAACTTGTTATTCAATTGGTTCCTAATAAAATTGCAAATGTACTTGCTTAACCTCAGCTAACTATTTATTAAAATTATCAACAACTTGAAGTGGAAGAAAGTTTTATTCTGTATCTCGAACAATTAAGTTGTTATTAACAATATTTGTATACCTTTCAGACATTCGATCAGAATCCATCATTTTATATTATAATTGAAAAACAAGATATTAACTTGATTTGAATTCATAAATCAAATCCTTTTAATAAGAAAGTTCGTCATCATTAATACAATTATTAAACCATTATAAATTAATTTAATTAAAAAATTTAATTATTTATAATTTCATATAATTATCATATAATTATTGAATTGAATTATAAATAATAGATATAATTATAATCTTCAATTCTATAGAAATTGGATTGAGTAAAATTAAATTAAATGATTATCATATTACAAAGAATTAGGTTATTTATTTGATAAAGATTCTAAATATAGTATTTAAAATAAATATTCTCAAGAAAAAACATATTTTTAATTAATCTTTGGATGAAATGTACATTATTCTCTTTCTTTTTATATTGCTTCTTCCTCTAATTATCTTTTATTCATATTATTTTATTAAGTAATATTAAAAGGTTCTGGCTTAGTCTTTTCTAAATGATTCTTAAAATCATATTTTAATTCATAATGAAAAAGTTCTTTTTCTCTTTCTGTTTGTTGATTAGCTTTTCTTTTTAAGTTTTCTTTATTTTAAAAGAAATTCTCAATTCCTTTAACTTTTTAGATTAATGGTTCTTCATCTTTCTAAAATTATTTTGTTATTGGTTTAAAAGTACATTCCTTTAATTCTTAATATTACATTTATCTAAAATAAATAATATTTTTACTTTTTTAAGTCTTGAATTTTTCTTTCTTTAAGTTCTTTTTCAATTTCCATATTTTATTTAATTAACTTTTTATCATATTTTGATTTGACATGTTAATATTACTATGATTTTTTAGTTTAGGGATAATAACTAAAAGATTATTTAGATTCTTATTCCTAAAGTATTAATAATAAATAAATTACTTCTTTTAATCTATTTAATTTTTCTTATCTTTCTGGATTATAGGCTAGATCATCTAGAGATCTTTTTTATGCAATAATAGAAGAAATATGATTAATTTAAGGTTTAAAAGTGTATTATTGATAATATGCTTATTAAATTTATTCTTTTAATATTTGATTTTTTTCATAATCTTTGACTCCAAGTCGATTAATCTTATCAGACATATTTTCTTAAATTCTTTCTTCATTACTTTCCATAATTAATTCACTTGTTTTATTAATTTAAGGTTTGAAAGTAATATCAGAATTTTTAATAAATTCTTGAATAAGTTTTTCTTTTTTTTCTCTCATAAAATCAGCCATTAAATATTAAGTTTAACAAATTTAATTAATTTATTATACTGGTTTAGTTGTTGGATTGATTTATGGATTGAAAGTACATTCATCTTTTTCTTATATTTCATTCTTTTAATTTATTTTTTTTTATAATTTAATAGCTGCATCTTCCATTAATCTTTCAACAACAGACTTTGATGTTTATTTTTATTCTGCTATTTAGATTGATCTTTATGAAATTTTAGGTTAATATGTAACATCAGATTATTATTATAATACCTATTATTTTAATAATAATTCATCTTATTTTTTCTTCATTACTTCATCAATTCTTTCATATAATGGTTTCATAAATTATTTTTCACCTTTTAATACATTATTAATTTAACTAATATCTGGTTTAAAAGAAAATTATTCTGAATTAATATGATCAAATTTTAATTATTCTTTTCTTTTTTTTTATTGAATACCATCTTAATATAATCTTTCAGCTACTGGTTAATCTGTGTTTCTTCTTGATGCAATATCACTAATTATTGGTTTAAATGTACAATGTTATTCTACCAATTCATCAATATATTTTCTTTTTTCATTTTCCCTCTATTCTAATTAATTTCTTTTATCTTCCAATAATCTATTCCAAACTTCTTCTTTTGAATATTCTAATATCTTTTTTTATTGTTATCTAGGCATATCATAAGATTTAGGTTAACAACAAGGTCTTTTAATTTTTGGACTGTAAGTTGAATTAAATTCTTCCATCAATTTATTCAAATAAGTTTTCTATTATTCACCCTCCTCATATTACTCTTCATGAGGTTCAGAAATATATTATTCTCTATGATCAGATTAACTTCTTTGAATTCTCATCATATATTCATGATTAAATTCTTTATTCTTTTCTAATTATTACTATAGTTTTTAGGCAGTTAATTCAAGTGTTTAACTTTACATTTTAGACTCCTTTTTACTGCTACTTAAAATCAAATCATCCCAATATTGTGGAGATTATTATTCAATCATCATAACGAATTTTGAATTAAATAAATAAAATAATGCAACCTGATTTAGAACATAAAGGGTTTCTTAAGAAAATGGAAAAATAAATCAATAATAAATAAAAATTAGTACCAGTCTTTGCTAAAAACCCATTTAAACCTGCAGCTCGTTTAATGTATGGTTCTAAGAGATATACCAATGTTATAAAATTCAATAGTTGTTAAAAATATGATAATTTGATTGACAAACATATTGATTCTTAAGCTCGAAATAAAAATAAATTGTTATAATATGAAATCAAAAATCCTCATTAGGATGCAATTAAAAAGATTCTCTAAAAGTTAGAATAGAGAACATTTAAAAAGTATAGCAAAATTATTATTAAAGCTAGGATTATGAAACTGGATTATTTACAGAAATTATACAAAATAGAAGATTTAAAAATCTAATCTTAACTGAATAATAGACTATTGATTAATCTACTATTGATTATAGTAAATGTTCTTTTAAATTACCTCGATTAAATCAATCTTATGATTTAGTAAAGTGTCATAATGAATCTAGTGATAGTAAAATCTCATAATTGTTGAATACTTGTCATGAAGAAAAATCCACATTATCTAATATAGATTCAATATTAATTAACAATCATAAAAAATAAAGGAGACATCTAGGAGCATTAAAATAATATGTAAATATTTTAAGTCTTGATATTTGATTATTATTATATTATATTATAAATGATTCACGGTCCCAATTCCCCATTCTCAGGAGCATTTACTATTGGTAAACGATATGAATGTATAATCTATATCTATTCCTTAGCTGCCATATACTAAACTAATCCATACCCAGGGTAATGTATGCTATTCACATAGTCCAAATCACTACTCTATTAATCCAATTGATAAACCCATTGGATTCAGATTCTCTAAATCAAATAGAAAACCCTTATATTAACCTAGTAAAGCACCAGATCCAGGAGCATATGATCTTAAATATTAAGTATTCAATAATATAACTTAATTAGACAATTTCCTAAAATGCCCCTAATGCTATTTTTGCAACTGCAAAAGATCACTAATAAAGAGGATTAGAAATTGGTCCTGGATCATATAATTGGACAGATTAAAAAAAGGCTCCAGCATTTACCTTTCAAAGCAAATTCGATTCTATCGGTAATCAGATACTGTAAAACCCTGGTCCAGGAACTTATGACATTAAGCATTATCATACTCATTAACCTTAAAATAAGGGATTGACAACAAGCAAGAGAGTTAATCATTTAACATAAAGTACTCCAGGGCCAGGATAATATGATGTTGAAATACCTTCATTTTCAACTAACATTAAGTATATTATGATATCTAACAGATTCCCTAAATCATAAAGAAGTTTTGAATTAAGTCAAATTGGACCTGGTCCAGGAGCATTTGATTTGAGTTTGCCAAAACAATAAGGGATAACATTTGGAGTTAAAGGAAATCAACACATTGAAAAGTCTAATGTTCCAGGTCCTGGTAGTTACAAATTAAAATCATTTGTTGAATATGATGAAAGAGATTTAAAATAAAACAAAATAAAAGGAGTCAAGTATAAATAATTCAGTTAAAATTAGAATTGGTACTTCACAAAGAAGTAGTCAAAATTTACTAAAGTTTGGTCCATCTCCATTAGATTATGATGTTTAAAAATATAAACATCCTACTAGACATGCTAGGTAAAAAAAGAGGATTCATATACTCTTAGTTTTGGAAGTGCAGTCAGATAATCAATAATTCCAAATTAATAAACCCCTGGTCCTGGATAATATATGGTTGATTCAAAACTTAGCAGAAATGGCCCTGTAATTTCAAAAGCATCTAAGGATTTCAGTTCTTTAGATAATACTCCTGTAAAATCTAAAATTAATAATAAAGGGTCCTGGAAAGTACAATCCTAACATATCAATTTCATCTAATAAGGGACCAAGCTATCATATAGCTGGCAAATATGACAAACCATAAGAAAAAAGTTTAGTTGGACCTGGAAGATATAATATTTCAAGAAATATTAATGATGGTCCCAAATATACATTTCCAACCTTAGAAAAAAGTATGGATAACAAATCTTTAGATGTTAATTAGTAATTTGCTTTAAATTTATCATACTAGATCACATTGCTATGAGATTTAGTAAACTATTGGGTATATACCTCCATATAACTTACATAATTGAATAAAATCAAAACGGATTAATTTATTATAAAATTATGAAAATTATTGTCTTAATATTCTTGTTAGGTGCCTTTGCTTCAAACATCAGACATAAAAAGGAGAGGTTTTTTATTATTCTTATCATTTAGACATATTGATTCATAGACTTTATCACACCAATAATAAAACACAAAAGGTATTGAACAATAAATACATATATTTAGAATTATTATAAGTCACTGATATAGACAACGAATCTTAGACATTAGTTGAGGAAACACTCAATCAACAATAAAATCTAGAAGAACCCAAACCATTATATAATAATGATGGTAGATCACCTGATATGGGAATGAATTAAATAGATAATAACGATGCCCCTGAAGCTCCAATGATGGCAGATAATGTTTTAGATTATTCAGCTCAAGAGGAAGTGATTAAAGGTGTTTCACTTATATAAGTTGGAGAAATTGATGCATTAGCTGATATTGATACTAGTATGCCATTATTAGATGAGGATTTCAAATATGATGAATAAGCCCTTTAAGAAACTCCTTTAAACATTGATATTATTGAAGAAGTACCACAATAATAAGATTAAGAAATTAATTAAATTGATGACTAATTATAATAAGAAGTCCAAGTAGAAGATTAATAAGATTAATTGATAAATGAGGTTTAATTACTCTAAATTGGAGGATTCTATTATTGATTTATTCAAAAAATAAATATAATATTAAATTAAGTTATTCATAAATATTATCAATTATTAAATACAACATTCTATTCTAAAATAAATTAAAATATCTTTAATTTTGCCAATAAATGAATAGAATTTACAAATATTTAATAAAATAGTTAAAGTGGTATACATTCAAAATTAAATTTATTTTTTATCTTAAATGATAGAATTATAAATAAATTGAAATATCAAATATAGATCTATATATATATGTATTATTTAAATCCAAAATCAACATAACATTAGAATTAAAATTTTTTAATATTATCCCTAGAGATTAATAAAATGATAAATAAATTTAAATCATAAGGCTGGTGAAGAATATTTGATAAAAACTTTAAAATTTGAGTACATCCTTTTTATTTATATAACTAAAATTAATAACTATAATTCTATTTTATAATGATAGTTATGGCATTGTAAAAGATCATAAGATCTGTCTATATTAATCTAAAAGAATTAATATATTTTAATTTTGTTCAGAATATATTGTGAACTCTAATATATATAATAAATAAATTAACTGCAAATCAAATGAATTACGAAGCATTACTTGAGGAACTGGGATTGGATGGTACTCCATAAAAATAAACAAGCAAATCACCATAGAATAATACTAGAGCAAGTGATAATATTTACCTTACAAAAACACCTGAAACTTAATAAAGAAAAATAAAATTAATATTAAATGTAAATCTGAGTTCAAATCAAGTGGAATAGTTAATGATTTATTAAGATGATGATCCAAAGTTGAAAGTATCAGAATTTTGTCATTTGCACTAATTAGACAAGAATGCATAAAGTGTATTAATAAAATAGATCAACAGCAATACAAACAATGAAAATTATCAAAGTTAACATAAATTACAATAGTAAAACTATTATTCTAAACAATTGCAATCATATTCAACTAAAGAGTCAGAATAACCAGGAGAGAGACTCTATTAATTGGCATAAAAGAAAAAGGAATAAAGAGAAAATCAAATAAAATAGTATTAAACAGAAAAATAAGAATAAGAATAACAACAATTATAATCAACTCCTAAATTAAGCAAACAAACAAAAATCTATTTGGTATTTAGTAATCCATTGACTTATTTAAGGAATAAGCTGGGTATCGTAAGAATGGTTATATGAGAGAGAAAGGAACTCTAAAGGACAAGCAAATTTAATAGGTATTTTTGGATGAACAAGGAAAAGAATATAATTTTGTACCTTAGATAAATGAATTGTAATATATTTATAATATTGATAGATCAAAATAAATGAGTCATTATATTAGAGAGAAATAACATTATGAAAACGTATTTGATGAATTATATGAATAAGCAAGAAATAGAATGTATTCTTAACCAGAATAAGATATTCCTGAATGTACTTTCAAGCCTTCAGTGAATTAGAATATTAAGATTGATGAAGATTTTTTAACAAGAATGGAGAAAAAGTAGGAAGAATTGAAAGAAAGAAGAGAATTAATTAAAATGAAGTATGAAAACGTTGATTTAAAAACTCGGCAATTATTATATCGACCTAAAATATGTAGAAGTCCTTATGCTTAAACATCATCAGAAAAACGTATATGAATAGATTAAATCATAAGCCATTCATGAGAAGCTTTATTTATAGTCCAAGTTAAAGTCTGAAAAATTGCAGTAAATGTCTGAATAAAAAATTATGGAAGAAAAGGAATCTTAAAATGTGAGATTCAAAAATGAATTGTCAGAAGATATAGTATTTCTATAAAGAAAAAAGATTCTCAAATAATTATTTGTTGAAATGGATACAAATTAAGATGGTTTAATATAATGTTCATATGAAGAAATTAATAATCTATCTCCTAATATTATCTAAACCCTTTGGCCTATATTTAAATTGTTATAAGAGTTAAAAAGATATTTAGATTTTAATGACTTTTTTGAAAATGTCTATGAATATTGTGTCAATCTACCTTAAATCTAAAAAGATATCATTTTCAAGAAGTCAAAGAATAACAATCCTACTATGAAAGATTAAGATTATACATTCACTCCAAAAACTAATAAAAAATCCAACTCAATGAATACAATGCATTATCCTAGTTGTAAATGTGAAATTTGTTCATAAATTGCTATTATATAAAGACAATTAAATGATTAATGAATAATATATATATATAACAATATTTACATTAAGTCTGAAATTTAATAAAAAAAGTAAATTCCTATTTGGATATTAAGTCATTATTTTACATAAAATCATATTTAGAATAATAGAAGTTTCAGAAATATATTACATGAAGATCAATTCAAGTAATTAATATTATTTTTGTTTTAAATTAGAAATTGAGGATTAAAATACTTATATTCAATATTTTTAATGTATTTTTATATATTTTTTATTTTCATTCATTCTCATTGTTTTGAATTGTTCATTGAAAAAGATAAATAATATTTGATAGCAGATGATGATAAAATTGATACTCGATTTAAACAAGAGTCTTTAGAACAAACCTAATGTCATCCTGCAAAATTGTATTTAGAAAATCAAAATTAAAAACATACTAAATTTGTATTCCACAACAATCAATAAAAGCAGATAACTATTAAAATGCATCCTTTAATCTTTGATGCAGATGTCCTTAACATTTTGTAAAATTCAAAAAGAGAACCATATTAGATATAATCAAATTAGCAAGAATAATTTATAATCACATATGAATGCATAGCATAAAATGATTAAATTTCATGGAGTTTAATAATATTAGATTTTACAGTATTCTTAAATCAGAATAATTCTCAATCTTACTCAATTTATTTCTATAAATAATGCCAACCAACTGAATAATATTTGCATCCATTAATAATGTTATTAATTTTAGCAGTAACTTTACTAATAATAGGAACAAATTATGGATTATAAGAAATGAAATTGATTGAATCAATAAAGACTGAAGAATTTAATACAAAAACATCAGTGTTATTTATATTATCTGCAAGTGTTTTGTTACTTTGTCTATATAAATTTCCATCAATTGGATAAATGTAAAATAGTATTTAAGCTTTAGAGTCTTGAGTATAGTGATGTTCTTTATGGCAATTTTGAGTATTTAAATAATATTATAAGATTAATTGCAAAAGATATTTAGAAAATAAAATTTATAAAGGTTTATTTCATATTTCATTAGCTTCCTTATTGTATTTTCATACTTTTATACTAAACATTGGATAATCAACAATTTAATAGCATTTCTAATTACACTTTTGATGTTTAAAGTAAAGATAGTAATTAATTAAGATAATCGAAATTGATAGTTTTAAGACATCGACATTATTATTGAGTTTAGCCTTCTTTTATGATATATTTTGGGTTTTTATAAGTCCTGTTTTTTTTGGAACATCTGTTATGGCATAAGTAGCCACATCTATAGACTTGCCAATGAAATTTATCATACCTCCATTGATGATATCATATTATTCTCCTTTAATGAAATGTTCTATACTTGGTTTAGGTGATATTCTATTGCCAGGTATAGTGATCAAGTACATTCTTAAATTTGAAAACTTGGTAAACAAAGGGTATTGTATGTATATTACCTCTATAATTGGATATTGTTTTGGTTTATTAGTTTGTATGTTTTCGTTAGTGATATATTAATAAGCATAACCAGCTTTATTATATTTAGTTCCTATAATATTGATACCTGTGTTTATAATTAGTGTGATAAGAAATTAGTTTTATTCTTTGTGGAAAGGATAGATATTTAAATAGGAGAAATCAGCTGGAATTTACGAGTTGTAATAGAGTGAATAAGTTTGATTTTTATAAACCTATGTATGAATAATCGGAACTAAAAATGTTATATTTTAATTCTATAATAAAGATTTGCTATTTTAGACTACTATTGACAAAAATTATAAAGTTCTGTTCTATTTTAAAAATAAAATTAATCAAAAATTAAATTATTATTTTTATTCTTAATTCAATTTTATTCTAAAATTTACACAAATTAGAAATTATAAAGATTTTAAGCCGAGTTAAATATTTAATACAAGAAATATGTTGAAAAAAAAGATGATTTATTTCTTTAATTTAAATTTTTGGAAAATGATATCATAAATAATACATAAACAATTTGTTAAATTAAGTAAATATAGCAAGGATAATAATTTTAATAGAATTAAGAAGAATATTAAATTAGCTCTAATATAAAAGAAACTATTCATAAAGAAAATGAAATCAAATCAATTATTTAAATAAGAAAATTAAAATACATTATTAAACATAAAAAATGTTCAATTTCATATAGTAAATAAGTAAATCATAGATAACTTAATTCTAGGATAAATCATTTATTGTCTTTATTATGAAATAATATTATTTATACAAACCATAGGCATGTATCCTTAATTTTATAATATCTGCATTTAAATTTCATAATCAATTAAAATAATAGGTTAATAAATAATGAAGATTATTTCAAATATCGACAGTCCAAGGATCTAAAGAGACTTCAATAAATGATTGTATTCGAAATCGAGGCTATCTTTCAATTTTAATTGACTTTTGGTTTGTGATATTTTCCAAATAAGTTCTTTTTAATCTCTAGAAATCAGAATTTTCTGAAGAATCATCAGCATTCGAGCTATTTTATACGATTTTTTTAATCATCGATTGCTTTGATAAATTCTTTTATAAATTTGGTTCATTAATGGATTATGATCTAATTATTATTGTATTCTTTATAGAAATAGGTTGTAATAATTGTATTGATGTATTTATTGATTAACTTTCATGCTCAATTATATTTTTGGTCTTCTTTTAATGTAACTTATTTGCATAAATAGGTATTTTAAATTATTTTTAAATGCTATAAGTAAAAGATGAATCTGGAGTTTTTTTACCGAAAGTATTGACATTAAATGTTTGATAGCTTCTTCGCAAGGGCTCTCTCAATGGGAATTTCTTATATATTAACAAAGATTTTAAATTCTGATCAGCTTAAATCATATGAATAATAATAATAAATCAAAAATAAAGTTACTACTTATTTTTAGAGTCAGGTTTGGATTTGTTATTAGTAAATGTTTATTTAAGAAGATTTTCAAAATTAGTTTGTAACTAAAGATTCATTAAGCCTTATTTATTGTATTAAGTTTTTTTAACAAGGTTTTCTAAGGTAGATTTAGCTAATTATATATTTTTGTCTTTATCTCCACTTTTTGAAAAATAAAATTAGCAAGAAAATATTGATTAGAATGATGCATTCAGTTTTTATTCTCTTTAAATCTATTCCAAAAATTATTAATCATTTTAATTCACTGATTTTAAGTTTAACTTTTGTAGATCTGGTATATAAGGTGGTTTGACACTCTTATTTATAAATTAAATTATATCTATATTTTTAAACCATCTATGTTAAAGTATCTCATCAATTCCATTCTTGGCTCCTAATCTCTTAGAAGGATCTTTGATCATTAATTGTCTTATCAAATCTTTAATATCTGAACTTAAATATTCTGGGAATTCTACCTATTCTTTAAGTAGTCTTTTGTATATAATATTTTTATCATCAGCATAAAATGGTGGTAGACCTGTGACAAATTCATATAATAGACATCCTAAACAGTAATAATCTACTAATTAAGTATGTCCAGAGTTCTAAAACATTTCAGGTGCCATATATTCAGGTGAACCGCAGAAAGAATAAGCACAACTATCTTTATTCATATTAGGTCTAGCTAAACCAAAGTCAGCTAGTTAAATATGACCTGTTGAATCAATTAAAATATTTTCAGGCTTTATATCCCTATAAATAATCTGTTCATTATGCAAAAATCCAATAGCCAAAATAACTTCTATTATATAAAATCTTGCCTATTATTCTGATAATTTTTATGACTTTTTAATAAGGTTGAACATTTCACCACCAGGACAATAATCTATACAAAAAACTATCCAATTTTTTGTTTCAAATGCATACTCTATTCGATTTGTGAAAATGGCCCCTCTATAAGTTGTTTATATTAAAATATCTCTTTCATTTTAGATTAAATCCTACTTTTAATGTTATTAAATAAATTGTTTATTAATTAATTTCAGCGCTACAAATTAACCATTTATTAATGATCTTGCTAGTACTACAGTTGAAAATCCTCCTCTTCCAATTACTGATATAAATTAAAATGAATTTAAATTGATTCTATTTTGAATTTTATTTATTATAGGCTTTAATCTAATGGTTTTATTTACAAAGGATTCCATGGATAAGTTTGGTAATGACAATAAATAGTCAAGTTATATATTATCATCTAAAGATTAGAAAGCAATTATTTCATTATTATTAACTTTTAATTTTAGCATACTAATTAATTTATCAGTAGATATATTTGAGGCAAATCTATAATTTTAAACTTAATCCTGTCCTATATGAAGATTAATTGATATTTCTTAGGTAGTGATTTTGTCTTGAGAAGAAGATTTTGCAATCCCGGTGTAGTTTGATGAAGAAATCAGTTCTTCCATGCTATTTCTTCTTGTCATAGACCCTAAAGCTGGTTTTAACTATTAAGTCTTTTAATTTTGAGGGTTTTTATTTTTCTGAGTTAAAAGCAGATTAACTCCTCTAGTTAATTGAAAAAAATTATCAGTAGGTATTCTGAGTTACTTAATATTAGATCCAACCCTGTCTTTTGATATAGATTTTTACGATTTTTATAAGCTATTAACTCTTTCTGTCAAACTGCCATTATTAGTTTTTGTCATATAGTTTGATTTAACAACAAAATCTTCTATTAGTCCTTGAGAAATTTTTCTATTAGGAAAACGTTGAGGAGAGATCAAAGCATTTTTAGAACTAAAGGGCTTACCCTAAAGAGGAATCCTAGTAGGAGAAACTAGAATATGATGTTGCATATAAAAAATTAATGTAATTGAATTTATTTTTTTCCATGGAAATACACAAGATTTATATATATAGAGGGATTCGATTAAGTGTAGGTTTATTTATGAAATAATAAATAACATGCTATTTCTAATAATTGATATTTAAGGGTACAGATCAAGCCAGCTATTTGGCAAATACAAAGTATGATATTCAATTAAGATTTAGTTGAACTTGATTTATGACAAAAAGATATCAATTCCAGCTGTTCTGATTCATGACTAAGCTTATGATATCATAAACTATATTTTTATCCATGAAATACATGATAAGTATTATTGATTTATAGAATAGTTGTTTCTCAATTGTAAATTCAATACATTTCCAAATATTATGCAAAAAAATTTGATCAAGAAATTTGCAGGTCATTACAATGTTTCTTTAATTTAGGAGTAAATAAATGATCTAATATTATAATTTAATTTATGAGTTAGAAAAGATAGGATGGCAGAAATCTCTTGTAAATGAGAAATATCGAATTTAAACTCGCCATTGATCTCTCTGTTGATGGGTCTTGCTTATATAAATAAGGATTAACTGAAGTCATTTGTTTAGTCTAGGGGCCAAGAGCTGTAAATAATATTTTCATATCAGAAAACATAATCAGAATTACTACTTATTGAATACTCTGTTTCACCTTTTAGCAACATAGAATCAAAAAGGAATTCTAAATTTGACAAAGATTATTCAATGTTTGCAGAAAATCTTAAAGACTCTTTTGAAAATCTTATCATCTTGGATGAAAATGGGAAATCAGAAATCTCAATTTCAGTCTGTGTTATTTAAAATGATGGTAGTTCTAAAAGTGCTGTTTTTAATGCAATCACTTTGGCATTATTAGATGCTGGTGTTTCTATGAAGGATTTTCTAGTATCAGTTACAGTTGGTCTAGATTAAGGCAACTTAATTGTTGATCTAATTTAAGAGGAAAGTAAAACAGCTCAAGGAGAACTTACAATATCCTATTAATCAAGAAAACAGAAAATAGACTTCTATGAATTAAAAACATTAAAATTATAATAGCAAGAAATGGATTAATTAAGCAAATTAGCAGTATCTAAAGCAGATGAAATTTATCAGTGGATGAAAGAAGAAATATATTAAATCAAAGAAAAATAAATAGATTAATGAAAATTTGTGTATAATATATCATTAAATATAATTATCATGCCATATGCAATTTCCAGTTCAAATCCTGATATCAAACAAAGACTTGAGAAGTAGTGATTTTAACCCTTTAGAAACAGGCCATCGCTCAATTATGCTAATCCTCATACTCTCTCCTGTACAAACCCAATACTCAATATGATTGGCTGATAATTGTGCTGGTCTTGGAGCACTATATCTCATTGGAAGGCATTATTTTTACTAATTATAATCCATTAAAATTTTATGCTATTAAGTTGCTGCGAAAATCCCTCTTCATCATATTGCAACACATGCTAAATTAGACGGCTTAAGATAAAATCTAAATATATTGGTTTTATAAATCATTCAAATTTTAGAAAAACTTTGGATGATAGAATTTGAATTGCATCCTTTAATTAGAAGGGCTTGGGATTGAGCAAATGAAATTCATAAAGACTATTCAGATTAATTAAGGGAATATATAGCTACTTTAAAAACAGAATTGAGAAAATGATAAATAACAAGCAAATAAAATATTATTATTAATTATATCCATAGATTTTAATATTTTCCTAAACAGAATTTGAAATTCTTTGATCCCCCTGTAAAGTTACTAGCCTATAAGAAATGTGAATCTATAAAAAAACAGAGTCTTAAAATTGTAAAATACAAAAGAAAAAAGATATATCATTTTTCAGGAGCTTTAAAATTGATATAAGTTATTGAAGATAAGCAAAATATATTAATAAAAATGAAAGGTCAGAACTTATATAGAGGTTCTTTTAATTTAAAAGATTTTAGATATTCTGTTGAAAAATAAAGTAAATTTTATTGATTATGAGATTTGCTTTATCTATTAAAGATACGATAATTCATTTATCAAAAACTTATTTGCAGAGATTCTTGTTTTATTATTATATGAAACCACATTGATATAAAATCTTTAAATTTGATATATTTAATTGATTCTACTTCAATCATATTATACTAAACAAGCAATCTTAAAGTATTCGATCTTTTTGATATATGATTACGGCTGCCATCCTTATATCTCTTCAGATCTGAACAAATCCAAGACAGAATTTTAATTTGATATAAAATTATATTAACCATAAAAACTTAGAAAAATCCTTAAATGTTCTAAACAATTCACAATTTGCTGCCAAGCTTATACAATTATAATGAATACATACCAGCCAAAATAGAAATAGATAGATTGACATAGTTGGAAGCAGTATTATTATGTCAATTTAATCACTAGCGTATGAAGGAATTAAAAATTATTCAAACAAATAATGAACTTTATACAAAACAAATTATACGTCGATAATCAATAGAAAGATATAAGTAAAAGAAACGATTTGGAAATGCTTAATAGATATATTAAGTACGTAAAATTATTGCAGAGAAAAGATTAAGAATAAATGGGTAATTTTTAACATAAAATGAATCTGAAAAGATTTTGTTAGCTAGGTATATTCTAGGAAAAAAAAAAGTTCAAATAATAAATAATAATGTGAAAATCAAAATTTCGAATGAAAAGCGAAAGGAAAACCTTATAAAATTTATTGATAAATTAATGCCTGATTAAATTTTATAGAAAATATAGAATAAATAAAGAATATTCAAAATTAAATGAGTTTCGATTTTTTCATAACTAATATTAACAAACTATAATCCTACCTTATTCAATATTTTTCTCATAAATGGTATATTCTATAAAATGTAAAAATCATCTTTAATTAACTCTCTCATAAAAATATTATTATAAGTTATTATGCTTAGGCTAACAGTCGCTATTTTTATTTTTTTTGTAAATTAACTAATAATTTTAGAATTTATTAGAGTCTGTAATAATAATATTTGATTTAGTAAAAAAAGCAACGGGATTTTTAGAGAATTTTCGAAATAGATAAAATGAATTATAGTGATTAGGTATTTATTTCGAGATATTGCAACTATTCTTGGGAATTTCGAAAATTCTTTCCGTTCTATGACTAAAATTATTTTGAAATTTTCATTCTCATAATAATACCATTTGATAAATAATGATAATGAACAATAATATATGTTAAATATTGTAAATTTTATTGAATATACTATTAAATTGCCTATTCCTAACCTTTTTCAATTTAGAAATTTCAAGTTTAGAGCATCACCATAAATAAAACATTATTGAAAAATTACTTGATTAATTTAACATGATATTAAAATTTATTTATATAATTTAACATTTATAATAATAATTAACTAAAATTTCTATATTTTTAAAATTTATATGAAGCAATTATACTTTTCATTCTTTCATGGTAATTGAGTTTTACATGAAATAATATTTACTAAAAAATGAAATCTCCTTCAAATCATGAATTTTTGTTTTAAGAAAGTAATAAATAGTAAATTATTATTAATTATATTTATTGATGAGACATATCATAATTCATCATTATTAATAAAGGTCCAGCCTCCCAAATGAGCTTTGGATTCATCGACAATACTTTGCATATCAAATACATTTCCATCAATGTGAGTATTTATTCGAATTTTTCTATTAGGTTTAGGCAAGGGAAGCTCTCTATTAAAAACAGTTTCCCAATCGACATCCTAAAAGTATTGATGAGCTTTAATTTCTTCTGAGTCTCCTTTTCCAGAGCCTAAGCGTTTAGCAGGATTTCTTTGTAATAACTAAAATAAATGTCTAATAGTTACTGCTTTTAAAAGATTTCTAGCTTCGAGCGAAATGTAAGAGGGTATTTTTAGTTAAGCGTTTTCAATGTTATAGAATAACTCTTCTCTATTATTAGCATAATAAGGAGGCAACCCGACCAAAAGTTCATACATTACAACACCTAATAAATACCAATCAACTGCCTTTCCATGTCCAGATCTTTTCAACATCTCTGGTGCAAGATAAGCAACAGATCCACAAAATGATCTTGCTCCAGTGTTTGGTTCTAAAATACCTTCTTTAGATAATCCAAAATCAGTTAACAAAGCGTGTCCTTCACTATCTAATACAATATTATCTGGTTTTAAATCCCTAAAAATAATATCTCTTTTATGTAGATCCTCTAAGGCTAGAACAATCTCACACAAATAGTTTTTAACTATGTTTTCTGGAAGTCTCTTTTATTTTTATAAGACTTCTCCCAAATCCCCTCCAGGGCAATAATCTAAAATCATGAATAACTTGTCTTATGTTTAGAATGCAAACCTAAGTTTCACAATAAATGGATGGGAAGTAATCGATAACACATTTCTTTCGGTTAGAGCATATCTCGTCAAGTTATGTTCTAACATAATATTAAAATTTTACTCATTATTCTATTTTTATGAAGTACTTTCATGGCATATAACTGNAACATTTATAATAATAATTAACTAAAATTTCTATATTTTTAAAATTTATATGAAGCAATTATACTTTTCATTCTTTCATGGTAATTGAGTTTTACATGAAATAATATTTACTAAAAAATGAAATCTCCTTCAAATCATGAATTTTTGTTTTAAGAAAGTAATAAATAGTAAATTATTATTAATTATATTTATTGATGAGACATATCATAATTCATCATTATTAATAAAGGTCCAGCCTCCCAAATGAGCTTTGGATTCATCGACAATACTTTGCATATCAAATACATTTCCATCAATGTGAGTATTTATTCGAATTTTTCTATTAGGTTTAGGCAAGGGAAGCTCTCTATTAAAAACAGTTTCCCAATCGACATCCTAAAAGTATTGATGAGCTTTAATTTCTTCTGAGTCTCCTTTTCCAGAGCCTAAGCGTTTAGCAGGATTTCTTTGTAATAACTAAAATAAATGTCTAATAGTTACTGCTTTTAAAAGATTTCTAGCTTCGAGCGAAATGTAAGAGGGTATTTTTAGTTAAGCGTTTTCAATGTTATAGAATAACTCTTCTCTATTATTAGCATAATAAGGAGGCAACCCGACCAAAAGTTCATACATTACAACACCTAATAAATACCAATCAACTGCCTTTCCATGTCCAGATCTTTTCAACATCTCTGGTGCAAGATAAGCAACAGATCCACAAAATGATCTTGCTCCAGTGTTTGGTTCTAAAATACCTTCTTTAGATAATCCAAAATCAGTTAACAAAGCGTGTCCTTCACTATCTAATACAATATTATCTGGTTTTAAATCCCTAAAAATAATATCTCTTTTATGTAGATCCTCTAAGGCTAGAACAATCTCACACAAATAGTTTTTAACTATGTTTTCTGGAAGTCTCTTTTATTTTTATAAGACTTCTCCCAAATCCCCTCCAGGGCAATAATCTAAAATCATGAATAACTTGTCTTATGTTTAGAATGCAAACCTAAGTTTCACAATAAATGGATGGGAAGTAATCGATAACACATTTCTTTCGGTTAGAGCATATCTCGTCAAGTTATGTTCTAACATAATATTAAAATTTTACTCATTATTCTATTTTTATGAAGTACTTTCATGGCATATAACTGATTACTTTTTTAGACTAAATAGACTTCTCCAAAGCTACCTTTGCCAATCAATCCAATAACTTAAAATTATTGAGGACCTATTTTATCATCTTCCTTGTTTTTAATTGACTCTGAATTTGTTGAGACTGTATTTGTTAATTATTGTTTTGATGAATGAGTTGAATTAATTTTATTTAATCTTTCTTATTTAATATCTTATTGGGTACGATTGTTAGGAGAAGACGATTATTTATTTACATTAATTAAGTTTTTACAGGAATAACTCGTTAATTGTATAGGAGTTTAAGTAGAGAGTTAAGTTGTTTATTATTATTACTATTATTATGAATTTATTTAGCCTCGTTTATTCTGAAACATTTTCAAGATTACATCATTTTATGTGTTTTAAATTTAGACCATATTCATTTTTTACTCTAAAATCATTAAATATTATACGTTATTTTTTACAATCTTCATTATAATTTCTAAATAGTTATTAAATATCCTCATTAACAGCATAAAAATCAGGAGTTTTGTTTTCTTTGTTATTTTTAAATTAAATTGATTGTCTTCTCAACAGCAATTACACTATGGATTTTTAATTATTTTTGCATGCGTAATGCAAAGATGTATTACCCACAGAATCTTGATAATTTATATCTGCTCCAGCATTCATAAGAATCATAAATACTTCTTCTTAACCACTAAATTAAAACAAGATTATTACTGAATGGCTGCTAAAATAAGAGGAGTCATAAATTCCTTATTAGGCAAATCAATAGGAATTTATTTAAATATTAAAGCAGAAACTAATTGAGCATTTCCATTCTTTGCTGAATAATGCAAAGCTGTATTATCGGATAAATCTTTAGATGTTAATGATGCTCTAAGTTCTGGATTTATCTTTTATCTTGGAGGTAATTTAACTAAAAATAGTTTTTAGGTTTACGTATGTTATGAACAAGTGTTGGTTCCAAAAGTTAAAGACAACCTCCAGTATTATTGTTTTTGCTTTCCTTTATAAACCATTAGTTTAATTATTTTTTAATATCTTATAATTCTGTAGTTCTTGGTGATTATGCTTCTACAGTTTTTGTAATTCCTTAACTGGAAATCGGGATTTTCTGTTCATCTGCTTGACTTGTTTATCTTTTTGAACCTGATACTTTCCTATTTTAAAAAAATGGCAAAAGTTTGTGTTATGAATGAGAACGATCAGTTGATGATTTGGTCTGCTATTTTAACTAAGAGACAGGTTTTGGAGTCATAATTTTTGAAGTGTTGCATTAGGATTTGGCCTGACTTAATCTACGATTATTAGCATCTTGAATTTGCTTTAATTTATCCAAATATTCTTATAGGGTAGGTTTGCTATTGTTGTTAATATTCATTTTTTGGATTTCTGATTATTTAATAATATAAAATTCAAATTTTTAACATTAACAAAAATGAAAGTGATTCAAAATCCAACTCAGTATTTCTTCGAATAATCTAATAATCCATCTGATGAATATTTAGATAAGATTAATGTGTTTATTGGAAAATTGACTAATCAAAAATAATGTCTTTTATGCAAACAGGACTACAATATCAAAGATAGATTACCAAGAATACTTATTCATTGCGGACATACCATATGTACATAATGTTTAGGAAATTTCTATAGGTTATTATAATTAAATTAATGAGTTTTAGAAATAGAAGAGTAAGATGTCCACTTTGTTTGAAATTAGTAAAACATCTTGATTCAATTGAAAGATTACCTGTATCAAAATTTAATTGATAATCTAGATAAATCACACTATTTTTACAAAGATGGCTGAAGAAATTAATAAAAAGAGCAGGTTACATGGAGGAACTGATATAATAGATCCATAATAATATTTGTTTACCTAATTTCAACAATCAGCAGTCTAAGCATAGAAAATAAGACAATAACAATAAAATTAATATCCTTAAATTGACCCTGATTCAGGATTAGAATTTTGTGAATTTCATAATGACAGAGTGAAACATTTCTTTTGCATGAAACATAAAGTTACTTGTTGCAGAGTATGTTCTGACATGATTCATTAAAAGAAGGTAATTCACAATCTAATCTGAAAGGATTGTATTGTCGTTGATCTTTATGAAATTGAGGATGTTCCAGCATTCTTAAATGAAGCCTACAAATTGAATCAAGAAAATAATTGTTAAAATTAAAATATTGAATTCTTACCAGGTATAAAAATTTTTTAAATAGATGATGACAATAATTTTAATGATTATGATTTAGATGGAGAATTAACTCAAAATGAAAGTCTAAAAAGCTTATGATTATAATTAATTATATATGAACCCTTAAAAAAAAACTAATCCTTTACTTTTAATTATAATGAAATATTAAATTTAAAGATGTTATAATTCTGATAAAAGTTTATCTTCTGTTAAGATTTTTCATTCTATTCGACTTCAAATTGTTTAGACATTTTTTTTATTATAAGAGCATTATAATAATATAATACGTACAAAGTTATTTGACATTAGTTTTAAATTATATATAAGTTACTAAAAATTAATTTAATTTTTGGAACATTACTTGAAACTTTATTATATATATATACTTATATAGACATAAGGCCTAATAAATATTATTGTTAAATAAAATCTTTTGAAAATTGGAATTAATATTTCTATTTCATTGGCACTATTTTACTTTTATTTAAATTTTATTGATTGATTATTTATATTAATTATATTTAATATCTTTCTCATTTCTTACACTTACAAACTTTTCCCTTATTTTGATTATAGCCAGTTCCACCACATTTATAACATAACCCAGCATGTTTATAACAATTCTTACAGTATTTTTGTTTACCTTTTTTCATTATTTTTCCAGTTCCATGACAACTAAACTTAAAATTATTTCAATACTCATGGCAATTTGGATTAAATTTAATTTACACTACAGCTACCTATTATGGTGGATATCCAGGTTAAACAGGATAGCCAGGTTAAGGTGGGTAACCTTACTATGGTGGATATCCAGGTTAAAGAGGATAGCCTGGTTATGGAGGATAACCTGGTTAAGGAGGATAACCCGTTTATGGTGGATATCCAGGTTAAGGAGGATAACCAGGTTAAGGAGCATAACCTGGTTAAGGAGCATAACCAGGTTAAGGAGGATAACCAGGTTAAGGAGGATGACCTTATTATGGTGGATATCCAGGTTAAGGAGGATAACCAGGTTAGGGAGGATAGCCTTATTATCCTGGTTATTATGGATAACCAATTTATTAGGGTTATTTAGGGTACCCTTATGGCTATCCATCTGGATTAAATTCAATTATAACGTGTAATTCTCCAGATGATTTACCTTTATACATCAAAGGGAGGGCTCCTTAAAATTATCTTGTCTGTTCAACTTAAGCAATAGGGAATGAAGCTTAACCGATTAAATCATTTTTTGAGCCTTAATCGTACTGAATAAAATAATAGATTTACATCCCAAACTTCAAATTCAATTAAGTTTTCATACGTTTTTCTGAATGTTATAACACTATTCCAAACAGGAGTTTTGCCAGCTTCATTAGCGACAGATGTATTTTAATTTTAATTTCCCATTTTAACAATGACAAAGGGATCCTAATATTTTTGTTCATCTATAATATAGTACCATCTTTCCAAATATTTCAGTATCTTTTCTTAAGTTAGCCTTAAATGGCCTAATGATTAATGTTCCTTACATTAATAATAATGAATTGATGTGTCATTAAGATTAATATTTATTTGCAATAATCATGAATCACAATAATTTGAACATGAATGTAGGAATAATAATGAATTGAAATGTGTTATCTGTTAATAATTATATTATTTATATAATTAATAATCGTCATTTGACAGTGGTTGTAGGGACTCCATCTCCCAAAGCTTTAACTTTTTCCATTAATGAGTCATCAACAACAGTACCATCTACATTTTTTAAGGTGTTTATTCTTTTAAGAACAAGCAATTTAGGATCATCTTTCTAGTTTTCATATATAGGATTTCCTTTTTTGTAAAAATTAGAGAAATACCTATAAAAAGAACATTGGCAATTTCAGGAAGATCTTTCAATTTATCAACCTCATCCCAGACCTTGATTCTATTATTACCAATATAGAGTGTATGCAATTTAACACATGGTTGTAGACCATCAAGTCTTTCAATGTAATTATAACTCAACCATAATTCTTTTAATGTTTATCCTATTTCTTCTAATCCAGCTATTTTCTTTATATTATTTCTCGATAACGACAGGATTTCTATCTGTCTTAAACCAGGAAGATTGACCATTTTCTCTATTGCATTTGAAGAAAGGGATAAACGTTTAACTTTAGCTAATGTATTTAAAACTGGAGGATCCAATTTGTCAAGAGGTGGATTTTAGAATATCAATCTAATGTCTTCTGCTTCAGATGGTTGTTCACCTGGATGATCTTGCTCCCAATTTTATAGAGCTTTTGCACAAGTTGTCTTTGCCATTTAATAATTTATATAAATTTATTATAATTTAATAGTTCTAAAATCTGTTTAAATAGGTTAAATTATTTATGCTTATGAATACTTATGAACTCTAAAATAATTGAATTTGATATTCAAGTATTTATTTAAGTATTAAATAGGATTATGAAATATCTGATTTAAATAAGTACTTTTTATTTTTAAGAAAATGATTATTTATTTAACAAATGATTATTTAGTTATATTAATCCATTTATATCATGAAAAATATAATTTCAGCATTGAAATTTCGTTAATTTACTTTTCATATTTTTTAAGCATAGCTTGAGTTTCGAACTTTGGAACAAAATTTATATTAGAAAAATTGGTTATTAAATAATATATATATATATCTGTATTATAATCAATAAGTGTTCCTAATAGAGAGATGATACTTTGATTGGCTATATGTAATATTATTGGATAGTTGATTAATATAAATTAAACAAGAATTTATTATTTTATTTATTAAATAACACTCTTTTTAGGAGTAAAGAAATATAAGGTAGGTATGGTTTGATTGTAAGAATATTGCTTAATATTCTTTTAATATTCCTATATACGTTTATATTAACCTATTACTTAATATTACTTTAGGAATGAGCGAAGATAATTAATTGAATGTTGATAAAAACTAAAACAAAAATAATCTTGAGAAAATAATAAAGTTAGATAAAAAGAATGGGAATTTTGATATTTTTGATAAATATTCCAAGTAAAGTCAATTTTCAATACGAATAGACGGAAATTAAAAGTTAGAACCTCTTAGAATAATTCGCACATTAACAGTTCATATTAAAATGAATACATTTTGTGTTATTTTTGGAGACATATTAATTAAGTATACTTCAAAAAAATTGATGAACCTGAATATGAACGACTTGATTATCTTAAGGCCATCAATTAAGATATCATACACACCTAATTTCCTGTGAAATATGCAGATTATAAGTTTTATTAAGCAAGATAAATCTTAAATAAGTAGTTTTTATCATCAGAAAATGCAACTTATTTGGAAAATATTTAAAAACATATTAGGCTAAGTGGACTTATTCATAAAGCTAAAGATTTAAAAATTCCTTAGATTGATAAATTATATTATATGAAATAGAAAGCTATGGTCAAATTTAATTAAAAAAACATAAGGTATAAATTTATTAATAAAAGTTTGTTGATATAAGAAAATGCTTAATTAGATAAACTATTAGATAAGTTAAATGAACAAATTGAATTAAGAATCGGTCAGAAGGATGAATTATTCTAGTAGCTTTAAGAATATTCGGCAGAATTACAACAAATCAACAAATTAAATAAAATAGATTTATAAAATTTGAATTAAAAAATTAAATCAGAATAACCATTAAATGTCTTTGGCACTTAGGTTCATATTTATAAGTAAAAACGCAATAATAATGGACTCAGTAAAAATCAAATTATCTACAATAATGAAGCCTTACTCAACTTTTTGAGAAAGAGTTTAGAATAATTGGATTATAGATAAACTGCTGAATCCATTGTTAAAGTAGTAAGTACAACTCATTCTTCAAATGGATATATATTTTGTGTAGCATTTGAATAAGCCTTAAATTCAAACAATGTTAATATTGAAGAAGATTTAATGTATTAATTAGATAAGTTAAGAGATACATCCTTATTTAAGTTTTACAATATTCCCCAAAAAACTAAATATTCCCATATCTCTTAAAATGTATTTATATATATATATATTAAAGTTTATTGGAATTAACTAAGTGTAACATAACAGATAGAAACCAAATCCTTTAATAAACAAAAATCTTACAAAAGAGTCTAAAATAACATTTTAAAATGAGAATGATTCTAATTTATAGCATTATGAGGCATGTCATCATTGTAAAATGCTATTTAGAGAGGAATACTTAATATCTTGTAATTATAGAAGTAGTACTATGGGATTACCTATTATAAATTCATAAATGACAGATACGTATTTATTCAATTAGTGTATAAATTTCAATAAATAATTTAAGTGGATGAAGAAGGAATAACAAGTCGAAGACAAGTACCTAACAGAAAGAAAACAGCTTATAGTATATATTCAAAGAAAAGTATCAAATTTAATAAATAATATAGATGGAGAATTAATATGTCAAAGGAAATTCTGTAGAATGTGTTTAAAGTAGAACTATGATCTTAAAATTGAAGATATAATATAGAAAACTGATTGGGTTTGTCCCTTTTGTTAAGTACATCCAAAATATCAAGTATCTAGGCCATTTGTTTTTGTTCAAGATGCCAAACGAATGATATCATAATTAAGTTGAAAGATTTGTATACAATTTGTGGAGGTGATCTAGAGTAATTAACTAAAGATTCAATTTTTGAGAAATATGTAAGACCATTAACTGATGAATAATTATATAAAAGGAAACCAAGTTAATTATAAGTATATTATTTAATTATTTCATAGAGAACTGGTTATTCAATTGTAAAATAGTAATTGAAGAATTTTAAAGATATGCAAACAATAAGACTTGATTTTGAGAATCTTAGATTATTATGTTCTTAGATAATGAGAAGAGAGAAGTTGAAATGGAAATTATTAGAATAAGATATACTGATGTGGAATGAAGATGTCAAATCATTATAAATAAAGAATAATAAGAGTACTTAAAAGAATATAAAATTAAAATCTAAAACTAAACAAATAGCAAAGAAATTATAGTAGTAAATACTATATATAATTTATAAGATAAGAGATTGATTAAATTCAAGAATTTTAAGCATCATCTTCTTCTAGTAGTAGTGAATATCATTTAAGTAGTGAATTTGAATCTGAAGAAAATCCAAAGGAGATATAATAGAAGAAATAAATAACTTAATAAATATTAAATTCAAATAAAAGGTAAAATTAGAAATAGAAATCAATTAATAGAATATAATAGAATTATAAGTCTTTTCCAGTTAAAAAACTCAAGAGAGAAGTAGCTTATCTTTTATAATATCAGGATACTAATATTTACAGTTAAACTCATAAAAAAATCAAATAGGATCAAAAATAAAATTCATTCAAGAAATGATAATAAATTATTAGTATATAATAATAATAGTTATATGAATTATCGATCAACAAAGTAAACATGTCTATTATGCATTTAATGTACATTATATACAGATATAATGTTTATTACAATTACCTTTAATTTGAGCATCCCATAATGTCATTAAACATTGAGAACATTAATTATTATTGTTTATCATATCATCCTGAGTAAAGTGTCTTTCTCCACATTAATATTCTATTATTTTTCTTAATTGAATAAATTAGGACTCTAAATAATTAGGCACATGAGATCCAATAAATTTAGGAGGCCAATTTGGATCCATTAATAAAGTAGCAGCATTTGGTTCTACATCTTAAATTTTATGTTATTTAATCTTTCTTTCAGCAGAGGAAGGTCTGGTTTTTTAAGTTTGATTTTTTAAAGTGATCAATCTTCTTATTAATTTTGCATTACATCCTAAAATTGGACATTCTATAGAGTATTTATTTCTAAAATAAATTTTTAAACAATGTTCACAATATCTATGTCTACAAAAAATGTTATTGGCCAAATCTACTTTTGCTATCATACAAACTGAACAAGTTTTTAATGTTATTTATATATCTAATTCTCCATATTATACTTCACCAGAATAATTGATAAATCCATATTATTAAAATTCTTCTACAATATATACCAATTCTTTAGATCCTTTTCCAATTTCTTTTGGATAATAATTTTTTTTATAATTCATTCTTACAAATCTAAATCCAGCCTTCACAATTAACATCTTTTTACTAAGTTATTTATAAGCTAATGCAAATCCTTCTAAACATATTGATGTTTTTTTATAAAATATTGATATTGCTATATGAGGACTTAATCCTGCTTTTAACTTAAAAATCAATCCTCTTAATTAATATACTGTATGACGAAAATAATAAATCTTCAGAGCTTCCTATTTATGAAATGGATTTTTCTCCAAATATTCATAAATTTCAGTCAACATTAAAATTTTCTTCCAAATTGCTAATTATTCAATTAACAGTAAAAATTTTGCCGACTTTGAATTTTTAAATACTCTTAAGTAGCCTTTATTGAAATTATATTCAATTGTTAATTTAGTCACTGGCACTATAGAATATACACTGAGTACCATTCTTTTTCTGTTATTATTTTAATTAATGTCTAAAAAATAAACAAATGATAATGCAGATAGATATAAAGGTGATGCTGGAAATTTCTAATCCTTAGAAAGTGATGAAGGTCCAGGGCCAATGAAATGTAATACATAAAATCTATTATTAGCTATTGAGGGATGGATTGTAATTGTTAAAGGCATTCATGAAGAAGCTTAAGAAGATGATGTGTTTGATGCTTTTAGTAAATATGGACCAATAAAAAATCTACATTTGAATTTAGACAGAAGAACTGGATTTGTTAAAGGGTATAATACCTAATAATAACTTTTGATAGATATGCATTAGTTGAATTTAATGAATATGCTCATGCATCTGATGCTATTAATGGAATTAATAAATCAGAAGGTATTTGTGGTAAAAAAGTTCAAGTTGATTGGGCATTTAAAAAGCCTCCTAAGAAAGGGGCATTAAAATAAGTTAAAAAATAATGATTTAGAATTTATATGGTTTTTAATAAATAAATAAGAAGTAGAAACAATATAATAAAAGCATAATTTTTGTAAAATATTGATATTTACTTTAAGTTCTTAATAAATTTTCGATTTGTTATAAATTATAACAAATATCTAGTATAAAATTAATTCATTATTCCAATTAATATATAAATCTGAAGTAATACTAAATTTAATTATAATTAAGATATTTTGATTTCTATTTTGAGTAAATGTATTAATATATCATTATTAATCGATGAACAATCACAGCGATTCTAGGTCATTTTCTAATAGATTTCGACCTAAAAAGGTAGTAGAATCCATTTAAGTATTCTATTTATTCTTCAGCCTTCTTCTAAAAATAGGGTTCTTATGAATGATGTATTCTTCTTCTAAATCAAACAGGGTTCTACGAGAGGTATGCTTAGAACTTTGATCTTAGTCAGAATATTCGAAAGTGGGCGTAGAAGGAGTTTGTGGAGTAGATGGCAAATTGAGTGTATTATATGTTAAATTTTGCATTGTAATTATAATTATTAATATATATAGAATAATTTAAATTCAAATTATTGGAATGAAAGAAAGAGTTATTAGAACAAATTTAGACAAAAAAAGATTGTAAACTTAATCCTTATTTTTATAATAAGGATTATTTTATATATTTTTTGTTTCTCACATTAGATAATTAACATTGATTGATATACTTATAATTACAATTAAAACAAAATGATATTAATATTCTCAGAAGTATTCAATTAAATAATTATCCTTTAAAAAAAATTAAATTATTTACATTATCAGATAATAATATTTTATAATCATAATGTCATTTTAATGAATATTATTAATCATACAAAGTAAATTGATTTGATAAAAGATAAAGAATTTTAGAATCATATTGCATATTAATAGTTATTAGAAATGAATATAATTAGATTTATATTTTTAAGACGTGGAGAATCATTTAAAATTAAGATACTATTATCAATACTCTTCATATTTCAGTTAATATAATATATATTTAATTTGAACTTTATATTTGTATAGATATTCATTATATCATAAATTCTTCAAGAATTTCTCTTCATATAACTTGATACTTTCTTCTATAATTCTGTATGCATCTTCTTTTCCTTTAAACTCTTCTACAACCACGTGTTTGTGTTCAAGTTTCTTGTAATCTTCAAAGAATCTTTAAATTTCTTAAGTAGTATGGAAAGGAATATCTTTCAAATCATTGACACCTGAATATGCAGCATCGTTTTTGGCCACTGCAATTATCTTATCATCGATTTCTCCTTAATCAACCATATGCATAACACCAATAACACGAGCCTCGACTAAACACATTGGCTCTATTTCAACTGAACATAACACTAAAATATCTAAAGGATCTTAATCATCACAATAGGTTTATGGGATGAATCCATAATTTGCAGGATAATGAACAGCTGAAAACAAGACTCTATCTAATTTTAATAGTCCACTGTCTTTATCCAGTTCATATTTTGCTTTACTGCCTTTTGTAATTTCTATGATTGCATTCACAACTCTATTTTTATATTATTTTATACTTTGGACTATCATTACCAAAATGAACATGATGCCATGGATTCTTGGCATACTTTTAGATCAAGTGAGTGGATTATTAATGATTCATATAATTATCAATAAATAAAATAATTAATATATTAGTTATCTTAATAATATGAATTAAATGAGAAATATAAATTTATTACTAATCTTTGTAAAAGTCCTATTGAATAATTGAAATTTTATGACTAATATATAGTACTGTATTAGATTGAAACTTCTAAAGATGATCTCTAAAAATATTAATAAACTATTTGGGAAATCAAAATATAGTTATCATAACATTTCATACTACAAAATAAAAATAATTTGACAAATAATTTATTATAGAAAATTGAGCATTATGTAATTACATCAACCCAAATTAACTATAAAAAAATTACATTTCTTATATAATAAACTTTATTAACAAAATATTAAAGCATTTTATTATAATTAATAAAGATTCATGATCTCTAACAGAATATAATTGTATTAATGCTTTAAAACTTATTGTTATTTACATTTATGAATTGTTTTAAATTTCTAATTATACCGTCACTATATTAAAATTATAAATACAGATCATGGTATAATGCTTATTTTCTATTAATGATTAATTTTTATCATTATTATATTTAATATGTGTAGATAATCTTATAACAATAATTAGTTATCCCATATGAAACATTTTTAATAATTGAATGTTTAAATATAAATTTATTTAAAGCACTTAATTTCAAAATGCAACATCCAATAATTTTATTATTATCCATCACTGTATTGAAAATTAGAGATCTAAATGGAAAGCAGCAGGAATAATTAAATGTTTGTTTATTTTTAATATATAAATTCATCAATAATATAATTGAGATATTTAATATTTAAATTATTAAACTAACTCCAACTAGCATAGAAAAAGTAATATCTCCTCCTTCTTCTTTCATATCCCTCTCATATATTACAAAGTGTTGATTTTTTTATTCTTAGTGAATACGTCGAATGATGAATATGCTTGGAATTAACATTAATAGGATGGTAATAATTTTCTTTTTTGATTTATCTCCCTCTTATAGAACTTCCTCGAAATCAATTCTTCACGCTATCTATACCACCAGAGAAGGATATCAGAAATAAAAATTGCAAATTGCACATCGGAAACCTTCCTCTTTAGATTACAGAAGAGACATTACATCGTGTGTTCTCCAAATATGGTTAAATTAAAGAAGTTAAGATCATTCGCAAAAATAGTTAAGGGGTTTAGTTTTTTATATATATTTAAATAAGTAACCACTAAAAGATTACTGCTATGGGTTTGTTCTTATGTGTGATGGTGATGGAGCTTAAAATGCTGTCACAGAGTTGAAATAAAACAGTCCCTTGGGTACTACATGGACAGTTGCTTTTAGTAAAGATAAAAATGATGTATGCTTCTACGTTTTTGTATTCTTTTCTTAAGGATTCTGCTGGTGCTGGTCATTAGAAATCTGATAAAAAGAAGGATGATAAGATTAAAAAGAAAGAGAAATCAAAAGAAAGATTAAAGAAAGATAAATCTAAACCAAAAAAGAAAGTTGTATTTTTTAATTAATAAAAGAAGAAGAAATCAGAATCATCGTCCTCATCTGATTCTTCAAGAGCAAGATCTGCTAAAAAATAAAAAAAATAAAAAAAGCGTAAACATTCTAGTTCATCTGAATCATCTTCTTCTAAATTGCCACCTAGAAGTGCTCTAGTTAAAGTTGAGAATAAGGACATAGCAGATATAGTATTTTCAGGTGGCGATTTATAGTCTCATCTAATTTTTTAATAAGTATGTTAATGTCTAAAAAATAAAGTAGCCATAGTAACAATATCAAATAACTCATCATGTATATGTAAGAGAGTTATTTATATCTGGGATACCTCAATCTAAGATCTCTGCTGACATACAAAGGATCTTTTCTGCTTATGGTATTGTAGAGAGAATTGATATTGTTCCTAAGTAATTAGTAAATTACGCATATGTTAAATTCAAGAGATTGGAATCAGTTCTATAAGCTATGCAAAATTCATAATTGATAGCAGAATAATTGGAGAGTGCAGGATAAGTTAAAATATATTAATCTGATCCATTTCGTAGAGTTTAAATTGTAGGCAATGCTGAAGATAGTGAAAGAGTAAAATAATATAATAAATTAATAGGAAGAAGAAATGCTTCCAGTTATGTTTATAGGTTTTCCTCCAAATTAAAATTATGTTTTGGATGAAAAGTTCTTGAAAAAAATGGCTGAGAAATTTGGAGGTGAAGTTAAAGGAATTTAACATTTTTAACCAGATTCTCCTTAATTGAGATCCTATGTTTTAATAGAATTCTCTTTTTTAAAAGATTGTAAAAAAGCCAGAAGAAAATTCTGTAGATATAAAATACAAATTTTGGGTGATAAAAAATGTGATGTAGCTATCTTATCTAATTATCCAACTAATCTATAAAATAAAAGATAAACCAATATGTTTATGTAATAACCATTTGGTATGGGTAATATTATTATTTTATAATTAGATTATATGTAAGTTAATTAATAAATACCTATTCATCAATAGATGATATAAAGATAAATGCCATAATAAGTATAGATGTTAACACCCTTTCAAACTTAATCTCTACCTTAATAACATATAGCTCCTCCTAATATACCTAATATATATGACTATAATTAAATGCCTATTTTATATCCTCAATAATAATAAAACTAATAGCAAATGATGTATATGAAAAATCAATAGCAATAATTGTAAATTCCTGCTTAAACTCCTGTTTAACCTCAATTTAGACCATAACCTCAACCAGTACCTTAAACTTAATAGCCTCCACAATTATAATATTACTAATAGCTCAATCCTTAACCATAGGCTCAAAGTTATTTACCATAACAATATCCAATGGATATGATTATCCCTCCTCCTACTATGAAATAAGATGAAATCAACTCACCATTTTGGTGTGGTTATATGAATAGAGGCAAATAACATCGTGTTGGAATTGATGCAAGGATGAATAAAACTAATATGGATATTAAGAAAAGTATGATTAATTATAAATTTAGTCAACTTACCATCTAATCTAGAAATGAGTTATAAATGCACTTATTAAGATGCTTATTAAAGAGCAGGATAAGATCAATCAGCTATTTTAATATTTAGTCCTGCTTAAGATACTGATGTACCGAAATTTACTGAATATGTTCAATACTTAAGAAATAAGGTAATCATTAAATGCATTTTAGTAACGAGCTGGTGTTATTCAAAGTGAAACATTCACAATTTATGTTATTCCTCCAGGAGTATCAGAGGCATAACTAATTTGCAATATCAATTAATAAGAAATGATAGCTATTTATTGTCATAAGGAATAAAAATGATAGGTTTATTGATAAATAATAAATATAAAATTACAATCAAACATTTTATTAATTTTATTCTTAATTACTCTCTTTTATTCTATTCAACATTTAAATTATACCTTATAATATTGAATCAGATTCCATTAACAAAGTATAAAATTAATCTTAATTTAGTTTAATAAAATAAAGAATAATTGAGTTAATTTAATAGTCATTATTCTATTTACTAAAAGTGTTTTATTTAAATTAAGTAAATAGTCTTATTTTTATTAAAAATAAAGTATAAATATGATTAACATTAATAAAATTAAATAGATTTTTATTCCTTACATAACAACTAAATTGATGTATTATATACTAAGAATACCTCAAATATACTAAATTAATTAGAATTGAATAAAAAACCATTTTTTTTCTTTTCAAATAATTTTCACTTTTTATAAATGTTATGTGATTAATTTCTTTTTATAATGTTATTAAAAAGAAAATTATTATATTTATTGCTAGAAATTATTTTATAGAATGATAAAATTTAATAATAAAAATTTAATCGTTAAATGGATCACTAACAAAATCAGTGTCAACATATAGATCTTATTCCTTTTAATAATAAGTTCTTTTGTAGATAATGTGGAATTCATATGCCAGAAGATGGAAGCATTGGAATTAAAGCTTAAAATTTTAGTTTTCCAGGTTATCTAAATCCAATATAAAATTTGAAGAAACAATGGAATCGTGCAGTTCCAATAGGAGCATTACCAGGAGAATATTAAAAAGTATATATGTTATAAATTTAATAGCAACGATTATCATTAATTGATTATATGATAGAATGGAGTGAAAAATTAAAATTGTCTATGAATTCTTTATTTCTTGCTGTTTAATTTTTAGATTATTTTGTATCATAAAAGAAAGTAGATCCTGTATAATATAGATTATATGGTTCTACTTGTCTTATGTTGGCAGGTATCTTTTTTTTAAATATTTTAGCTAAATCAATTGAACTGGATGAAAGAATTCCCTTCATTAGTAAACTAAGAAGATATACCTATTTACCCTATGCAACATTAGATTTTAGAAGATGTGAATGTCAAATAATTAAATAGTTGAATTGGAATCTACAATGCACTACTTTAATTGATTGGGCTGAGGCAGTAATCTCTTTAGGAATAGTCTATGAATAAGATGAATTATCTTAATCAGAAAACATTTTGAAAGAAAAAAGTACTAACATTCTTTAGCAATAAAATAATCAATAAATAAAATAAGATATATTTAAAGAACATTTGGATAATGTATTCAAATAACCAATTGGTGTTCCTAAATAGATTAATGATAAAGTTTAAGAATAGTTAATTAAACTATGTGTTTCTGTTCTTAAGGATGGAACATTTTTGGATAAGGATCCAGCTGAATTGACAGTTTCAGTAATTGGATGTGCTAGAAAAGCAAGTGGATTAAAAAATTCAATGTAAATTATCAAATATAAAATAGACCAAAATGTTTGTTTGAATTATTAGAAAATGTAGAACCTAAATTTTAAGAAAGTTTAACTGATCATTTTATAAAATAAGTAAAATAACCAACAAGTGTTTTGGGACGAGCTTTTACAACGGACTTAGATTTTTTTAGTCTTTAAAATTACAAACATAGAATTGTATGATATATAATAGTTAATTATAATACTACCCTATATAAAATCATTATAATTCATCAATTGTGTGGATTACTTTACTAAATTAACTCTTTTTTAAAGGATCCTCTTTCATAGATTACACAGATTTTCTATGATGGGGTATAATTTCTTAATGAGGCGATAAACATTCATGTTTTGGAGAAGTTATTTTAACTTCTTTTACTTCATTCTTGAAAGCCAAACCATTATTAGCATCGAATCTGGGTGAAATTTATATATAGCATCCATTAAATTTATTCTTTGAATTTTCAGAACCCTAAGATGAGATAGATGATTATCTAGAATGATTAGCTGATTACAATGTCATTTATTTTTTATGTTTCATTTTTATATATATATATAATAAAGAAGTATATTTTAATATTGAGATAAATTGGTTATTTTGCTATTTGTTAATTCAATTAATTAGAAATGGTAATTTTCTAATATTTCTCTGAAAATACTTTCATCAATATTGTTTTTTGTTTGTATTAATATTATAAAATTAACAATATATATGTAATCTTATTTTATCTTATAATAAATGTTATTTTATTTTCCACTTATCAAATATTATTTATTATATTATATCAATATTATGTTTTGTATTTTTTATTTATATATAATGCCATTATCATTCTTCAAGCATCTTTTTCCCTTTCTCTGCATACTCTTTATTGAGTTCTTCCCAATTTTCCAATACCATTTCAAATTGCTCAAAGATCATTGAATGTGTCAACCTATTTCTTGAAGGTCCTACTTCCATTGAATAAATCTTATGGGATGTATTTGTTTCAACTGTTCTATTCAAATAGACTCCATAACTAAATTTGATATAATCCTTCATACACATAATGAGGAATCCAAATAATTGCTGCTAAACCAAATGAAAGTCTTGTTTCTCTTCCAATATAATCATCATACAATCCTCTGAACCACCAATGTCGATTTCTTACTGCAATAGCTGCTCCCATTTTTAATTAAATATATTTAATTAAGATTTTATTGAATATATAATATGATTATAAATTTTGAACATGATCATCAATAAAGTTCTTTAATTCATATCTATATCTTGGATAATTTATTAATTAGATTAATAGATAGAATAGAAAGATAATAATAATAAGATTGAGATTGAGAAAATAACTAATTTATTAAGTTTTTAATTATATTATAAATGAATACATATGAAGATGAGAAGAATAGAATAGCACTGAAAAATATCATTGATGAGAGAAATAAGAAGATTATCAAGACTCCATTACCTTAATTCTATTTAGATTAGGTTTGTGGAATAGCTGATAGACCAATCAGCAATCAGTTGACATTCATATAAGGAAGTATTGGAAGTTATATTAATTTGTAGATCTAATTGTGTTTTATGCATCTAATATGATAATAATTTAGAATGTTGAAACAGGATAATAATAATTTATACCAGGAAGATATAAAAATGTGACTGCAATTGCTGCTGCAAGTAGAAAAGATGGTTTAATGATTGCTGTTGGCGAAAACTTAGAATAATCATCAAATTTAGTTATTATTATAAAAGATAAAATAAGAACTATTTCATTGTAATGCAAAGGTGCTATTTCATTAATACAATTGAATGTAGAGAAATAATATTGTGGATTACAAATATCTAATTAAATATAAATTTGGAATTATGAAAAGGAAAGATTATTGGCATCTGCTTTCATAAAAGCACCTTTTGAAAAATTTAGTTTTCATCCATTGAAACATAAACATATTTTATTATCTGGTCATAATTATTTAAGATTATGGGAAATGTAATTTTAAGAAAAATAAATTAAAGAAACTCATGAAACTTTAATACCACTCAAAATAGAAAAAGAAAATAAATTTTTAGATCATGGATGGGTTATGCTTTCAGCTAATTAAGCTTTATTAGTATTATTAGCTGCTGGTAATAAGATATTGATTTTAATTAATGATCATTTCAAAAAACCTATTGATATTGATCCTTAAAATTTAAATTTCATTGATGCACCTGTATAGGATTTTAATGCAGAAGATAATGATGATGTTATGGGTATTAATTCTGCACTTGAAGATGTTATCAAAGATAAAGTTGGATAAATTGCAATGAATAATCAAACTAAATTAACATAAAATACAACTATAATGACATAATAATAATTAGAATTTTAATGTTTATCAACTACTAAAAAAGGATTCATTTTAGGAGGTACTAAAGGAGCTGTTTGTATTTATGAATTTGATAAAAATTATAATATTGTTAGTGCCATGTCATTTAATATGAAAAGTAATAGAGGTGAACATAAAGTTATTTAAATATCTAATAGTGGTGATTAACTCATTTCTATAATAAGTTTATTTGGTAATCAATTATATTATAGTATTTTAAATACTGCTTAAATGGATACTGAAATTAGTCCTATCTAACCATTCTTTGCTGCAGGATTTCATAATAAAAGAGTTAATTCTATTTCACATGCTAAAATTAAATAAGTATTTGTTACATGTTCAGAAGATAATTCTGTTAAAATTTGGAATTATTATCAAAATGAAAATAATGATAAAAAAGGAGTCTTAAGTAAATATTTCAAAGAAGAACCTGTATGTGCTTCTATGCATCCATTTGGTTTATTTGTAGCTGTTGGATTTACTAATGGATTTAAAGTCTTTGCAATCTTAAATGAGGGTTTCTTTCCTCTTAAAGATGTTACTTTAAATAATTGTAAAATTGTTAAATATAGTCATGGTGGCCATATGCTTATTACTAATGAAAAAACAAATGTCTATATTTATGATGCCATTTATTATGAACTCATACATTAATTTGAATTTCATAACTCACCTATTAAAGATATTGCTATATCTCTAAATGATCAATATATTGTTAGTACTTGTACAAATGGATATGTATATTGTTATAATTTAGCAGAACTTAATAATAATGTTGTTAGAGAATAAAAACATTAAGAATAAGGAATTTTTAATTCTATATAATATGATGAATATTTTATTGGAAGTACAAATGAGAAATTAATGGTGATTTTTGATAAAAATTTCAAATTAATTACTGAATTTCATGTAACTGATTGTTATTTAACTAAATTATTAATGACTGATTAACATATTATTGCAGGTACTTCTAAAGGTAGTGTAAGAATATATCCAATTAGAGATGAAGATAATTTAGAATTAGAATTAATCAATTAAAAAAATGAAACAATGTATAAAATACCTGAATGTTTTGAAATTTCAGTTCATGCAACTGCTATTACTTGTATTGATTATGATGGTTAATATATATTTACAGGATGTGAAGATGGATCAGTTTGTTTATTAAAATCTAGAAGTGAAATTTCAGAAGAAAGATAAAGGATGGCTGCAGTTTCAAATGATCTTTATTTAGAAGTCATATTTAAGATTTAAAAAGAAAATGATAGAATATAATCAAAGAATTTTGAAGTTATTAAATCTGAATAAACTGTAAGAATTGAGACAGCAAAATTAGAGACTTAATTTAAATAGAAAATTGATTAAATGACTAAGAAATTTTAATAAACTATGTCTGATGATAAGAATTTAAAAGATAAATTTGTAGAGAAATCAGAATAGGATTATGATTAATTATATAGTTAATATATGGAAGAGAAAGTTAAATATGAAAATGAAATTAATAAACTTAAATAATAACATATTGAGAAAATTGAATATGAAGAATCTAGAAATTAAGAAATTGAAGATGAAATAAAAAAAGTATAAGAAGTACATAAAGATGATTTACAAACTTTATTAGAATAACATAAATATGAATTAAAATAAATGAAATTATAATTCTATGAAAAATGTAGAAAAGTCTAAGTCAAATATTCTAGTGTTGTTGACAATGCTAAAAATTATGGAACTGCTTTTATTTAAAGATTAGAAAAAGAAGAGGCTGAATATGAAAAAGAAATTGATGAGTAAATTAAAGATTTAGAAAATCAAATTGCAAAAGTAATTTAAGATAATGAAAAATTAGAAAAAGAAAATAGAGAATTAGCATCTTAATTTGAATAATTAAAAAAAGATGATGATGATTTATAAATTTAATTTAATGAATTATTTGATGAACATAATAAAATTAGACTTGAAAATTTAAAAAATGATGATGATATTTTAAAAATGTAACATTAATTACTTGAAAGATTATAAGTTATTGACTCAAAAGAAGAAACATGTAAAGCTGCTAAAGATGAATAAATTAATTTAGAAAATTTCAGATATATGTTAGATTAAAAAATTAAAAGTCTTTAAAATGATAAATAATTATTACTTGATAAAATTACTGATAAAGAAGTAATATATATTTAATTAATTTTTTATAGTATAAATTAAGAGTTATGTTTAAAGAATTGATTGATGAATCAAATAAAAATGAAATGAAATATTAATAATTAGTTTAATTACGAGGATAATTAGAAGTTATTGAAACATAAATTAAAAAAACTGAAATTTAAATCTTCTTAAATGCTAATAAATTAAAAAATTACGAAAGTGTAAGAAAACTCATTTATTCAAAATTAGACTTTATTATCCATCATGAAGAGCAATGATCCTCCCAGTTTAATAGCTTAGAAATTGAGACAAATTATTAATGATAAAGGTGAAGAGAATGAAGAAATAGAACAATTATCATAAAAAAAATCCATTTCCAATAAAGATATTAAGGATATTATCAAATTGAAATAAGATAAACCAAATGAATTAAATGAAGAATTATTAAGATAAGGTTAGTGGATGACTAAAAAATTATACCTTATCAAAGTAACATCAGATAAATTAAAAAAAATAAGAGATGATAATATTAATACTATTTTTAATTAAAATACAAAACTTATTGAAGAATGTAATATGCTCAGAAGTGAAAATGATAGATATTCTAAAAAGATTAAACATGTTGAAAAATTAGTAAAAGATGCAGACAGATTATTATAAAGATTAAAGCCTAAGTTGAATAAATAACCTAAATTAAATCAAATAGAAAAATAAATTGAAGAATAGAAATAAAAAGTTCAAAATCAGAAAACAAAACTTTCTAATTTAAAGGATTCCATGAGTTAAATCTTAAAAAAGTCAGTTGTAGATTGATATTATTCAATATAATAATTATTAATATTAATTAATAAATTTATTATATTAATTTTGTTCACCAATATATTTATAAATTGTAGAAATAATCAATTATTTATCCAATTATCGTATATCTTTATAGATTGATTTTTTAAATATAATCAATTTTCATTTTAATAGTTTATGAATGTCCTTTTAAGCTGTTTAAGTGTATATATACCATAATTTGATTTTAATAATTAGAAAAAAATTCATTTACCATAATAAAAAAATACATGTTGACGTATTATAAATTTAATGACAATCACGTATTTATATACTAAACATTAGATTGAAGTATTTTAAGAATTAAATAAGTTCTTTATTCTTTTGAATGTCATAAATCATTCGTAATATTTCAAGTCTAAGAGAAGAATGGAAATAATTAGCTAAAAAGAAGATAAAGAAAAATAAAAGGAAGAATTAATATACATTACCTTATTCTTTTGATAACTCTAAAAACAATAACACTAATAAAACTGATTTTCTTCTCATAGTTAAGAATATTCCAAATACAATACCTAATAATAATGTTTTTAGGCTAAAAACAAATATTTAATTCTCTATGAGCATCAATAAAGAGTATTCAATGGGTTCACTATCTATTGATCCTCATTCAAATAATTATAAAGTTGTCAGAACTGATAAAAGAAAAAACCTTACAATTCTAACATTAGATTAGATAAATAGACCTATAACACCATCTGATGTGTTATTTTAAATATTCAAAAGTAGAAATGAATTATTAGCAGAAGCATTTTAGATGTTTGATTAAAGAAATCTTGATCCTTCAAAATTTAAATTAAATAAAATCTAAGAAATGATTGAATTTGAATCAACTATTACAAATTTTCCATATGCATGTTATGTATAAATATATGAGAATGGAATGTGGAGAACATTTTAAAAGATATTTAATCAGAAAATGCTCTAAGTACTAGCTATTTCTGAGGAAATGCTTATAAATTACTGTAATGAAACAAAATTGATTCCAATAAGTGCTTTTTTTGATCCATCAGACCAACAACTCTAGGTATTTTATAAAATCTTTTCTGGGATTGTAGGATAAAATGCATCTAAAAGAGATTACATAAATTATAATGGAGAAAGATTCACAGCTGCTTTGAAAATAAAGAGTTTTTTTATTATGGATGAAGATAAGGGTTAATTATTTGAATATACATATTGTATAACTGAATGTGAAGATAGATGGATTTCTGATGATAGAGTTAGAATGAATGAATTAGAGTATTTTAATATTAAGCCTTGTAATTCTTCAACAGATGAATCATCATATGTAGAATAATAAAAAAGATGTGGATTTAAATAACTCAAATGATATTTTAAGAAGTTGTTTATAAAATATTAATTATTTATTTTGAATACAAATTAAATTTAATTTATTGTCTCATATAAAAATAATCTCTTTAATTTTTTTCTATTTAATCAAAATATTTTATTTTCAATAATCTTTAATTTTTTGTTAATATTTTTAGAATGAAATAAAATTAAGTTTAAAAGGAATTTGTAACCATTTTATAAAGCTTTATAAATCAATAACATGAATTAACTAAAAAATTCTCATAATTATTATTAAGATACAAATAATAAGAATCCTTAAGAATCTTCTCTAAAATATCAAATGAACTTGTATAATAAATGAAATTGTCTTTAAATTAATAATAAAATTTTTAATATTAATAAGATAATAATGACCTTAATCATAAACTTAAATATAAGTATGAATGTGAATATTGTGGCAAAGGATATATACATAAATTATCAATGAAAAAACATTTAAAAAATGTTCATTCAGATTTTAAAAAAGCAAATTAATTAGATATTTATGATGATACTAAAAGAAAATAATTTACAGCAAGAGAATTAATGAAGAAAATCAATTTAGATGATGGATTTGATAATGATAGTTAAATGATTACTAGCAATAAATTATCTCAAAAAGAAATTAGGTTAAAATTATTATAAACTCTTTAAGTATTGGATAAACATGAGGTAGATTAGAATGTGATAAATCAATCTGATAATGACTAATTATAAGTAATTTTATTGGATGATAATTGAATTTTATAAATTTTATAATAATTCATTAATCATCATTAGCTTCTTCTTCAGGATTATTCCATAAAGTCAAATTATCTCTTAATAATTGCATTATGAGAGTACAATCTTTATAATTCTCTTCATTTACAGTATCAACCTAAGCTATAGCTTATTCAAATGCATCATTGGCTATTCTAATAGCTTCAGTTGCATTTTATAAAATTTCATAATAAAATACTGATTGATTAAGATGTAAACCCAATCTAATAGGAGATGTAGTTGATAAATTAGATTTAGCCAATATATCAGCTTCTCTAATATGAAATAAATAAAGAAATACTTGTAAGCTTATGTTGCCTATTCAACAGCACCATGATATTCATTGTCTAATAAAAATTCTGCTAAATATCTATTATAATCTCCCTTCATTTTTAAATAAAAGACTTTGCTATCAACTTATTTTGCATTTGGATAGAGAGTACTATCAATTAAATTGAGTATTTCAGCACATGAATTTTTGAGTTCACCTTCAATTTTATGTTTATAATTTCTGATATAATTTAGAGTGTATTAGTCAGTTTGTTTTCTTGACTCTTTTTATTCAATGGCAGTGAGTACTCTCAATTCTGCTCTTTTATTACCCACCTACAAATTTCAATATGCAATTTGATGGATACCACATTTTTATAAGCAGCAGATAATATGCTTCTTTCTTCTTTATTTAATTCTTAATCCAAGAAATGCTTAATAAATTCAATCATATCATTAAATCGTTCTGTTTATTAAGCAATACGAGCTAAGAATAAAAATTCTTCTCTACTAAATTTATTCATTATTAATTTAATATATTCATTATTATATAAGTATCATATAATCATAGTTGAATATAATTATAATAAGAATCACCTCTTATAAATGATCCTATACTCCTTCTTTGATTAATAAAGAAATTTATTAAAAATATTATAGTATTTTTATCTATAATAAAGAAATAAACTTTCTTAGTTATTTTCATACAGAATAAGTTATTAAATAGATAGAATAATTTAATCATATAGACAATTTAAGAAATACAATACTCTTATTTATTTATTGAATTAATATATAAAATAATTAAATATAGTTAGATAAATTATAATTATGATAAAATATATATTTTCTATTTATTAGTTTTCAAGAAAAGTTCCATCTCAACTTGCCAAATAAGTTTATATGTAGAAGTTAAGAGAAGATGATGAATTTAAATAATTACTTAAGAAAGATTAACAAACATCTCTTAAACAAATATAAGGAGATAACTATATGCCTGAACCTAAAAGAGGAGATTCAAGATTGCCAAGAGTTAAAGATAATCTAAAAGAAACAAATACACATATAACTGAATAGAAAAGAGTAAAAATAATTACAATACGATAAGCTAGATTCAGCATTAAAATCTCTACAAGTTAAAGATGAGGATTCAAAAGCTGTAATTAAGAATGCATTGAAAGAGGAGTTCTTTCTTATGAAAAAGTTATCTGAAGAAAATGCTAAGATTGAAGAAGAGATGAAAGTTAAGAAGAGAAAGAAAGAATTGAAAGATATATTTAAATAAATTGAAGAGATGGATATATAACCTGATGATTAAAATGCAGAAGTATATAAATATCTTTAATATAATAGTAAATTCCTTATTTTAATAAATTATCAATGGAAGAGAAATATGAAAGAATTGCTGATTGGAATAAAAGATATGATGTTTTAGGGAAAGTAGATCCTTATCTTTTGTAAAGAGCAAGAACAAGTCAAAATATAGAGAATTTTATATAAACTAATTTTGAAGAAAATTAAAAATATTTTGATTAAGTAAAAATAAAAGGAGGTGTATCTATTGGTGAGATTTTAACAAATAGAGCATGTACAGTTGTTTGGATTTATATTAATTTTTTAGAAAAATTGGATAAAAAAGAATAAAATGAATATTTAGAGAAATTAAATAAGAATTCTAAATAATTGAGTTGGTAGATGTGTTAAGATTTAGGATTAAAATATGGACCAGATATTAGATTTAGTTTAAGTAGAAGAGAAGAAAAGGAAAATGAAATAAAAAAGGAAATGGATGAAAATGCTAAGGAATTAGTTAAATAAGACTTGATTGAAAAATATTAAGCAGGTGAAATACCTAGAAAGATTAAAAAATCTAAATTTAATGAAATAGTTTAAGAATTAAAAGATAAGAAAATTTATCTCACTGGAAAAATTTCAAATTCTGAAATACCATCATCTAAAAGTAAAGCTGATGAAAAAGAAATCCATAATAAGAAAAGTAATTAAAATTAAAAATCATCTGCTGAAAAGTTTTGGGACTAACTTTGAGTTTAAAATGAATGATTATATAACAATTTATTTAATGTTGAAATATGTTGTTTATATTTAAATTAATATTAAGGAAATGAATTATGATTATATAGGGGCCATTAAAATTAAAGATGGACTATTTTTAGGAGATTAATTTGCTGCCTAGGTATTCTATAATGGTTAGATTAGGATCTTGAATTTATTGTTACAAACAAAGTTTCAAGAATTATTAACTGTGCATCTAAATAAATACCAAATCATTGGGAATCTATTGGCATTATTTATATGTCATTTCCATGGATGGATAATGATTAATAAGTAAGAAACCATTAATAAATCATTAGGTTATTTTATAATAGGATGAAATAATAAATAATATAATGAAATTTGTAGATGATGCATTAAATAATGGAGAAAGTGTTATTATTTTATCAGTTAAAGGTCATAACCGATCAGTAGCAACCTTATGTGTTTATTTTATGAAGAAATATAGATGGACTCTTTATAAAACTCTTTAATATATGCATAATAGAAGACCAGATTTAGAAATCAGAGCTCATTTCTTTAATTAGTTATTATCAATTGAAACAAGATTATAAAAATAAGGATATGGTGCAAAGACTTATAATTGGGATGAAATTTATACATAAGGTGAAAATGATGAAATTGTACTTAGAAATACATACTTAAATTCTTAAGCATAAGGAGTAGCTGAATTTAAGGATCATGATCCAAAACCAAAGGAATCTAAGTTTATTATCAATTATATTATATATTAGATTAAAATTTGCTGAAAAAGTTTCTATGTATATTCCACCTTATGATAAAGTTGTATTCTCTAAAACACGATCTTTAATTTAAGATGCAAAACCAATTATAAAATTATCAGGTTCATCAAAATAAATTGATCCATCATTTTAATAATCAACTTAAAAATAATAATCTATCAATATTTAGGATTAATCCAATTAATAACCTCAAAAAGATTCACAAAAATAGTCTCTTTAATAGATATAGCCTCCTTAACCTTAAAGACCTTAATCTTAAGGTACTCAACAATAAAGGTTAACCAAAAGTGATAGTGTTAAATCTGGATAAGTGCTTGATAATAATGTTGTTTGTATATCTTTTATTATATTCTATAGAACCATAAAGAGTTTAAATGAATAATTTCATGGACTCAAGAGAATAATTTCTATAGAAGTCTTAATAATAAAATGGGCCTCGTAGACCATAAACTGCTCCTAATTAACTCAAAGCTCCAAGAGTTTAAACAACACCTTATAAAAGAAATACAAGTTCAGGTCAAAGATAAGAAGCTGGATCATAACCAAATTCATAATTTAAACCTATGAGATAAAGAGCATAATCTCCAAATTCTGCATATAATTCCTAAAATCCATATGTTCAAAGATAATTTAAAGCCAAAGCATGGAAAAAATGAAGCTCTATTTAATCTATTTTTGTTTTGCTTATTTATTAAATTTTGAGAAATTATTATATATAAAACATATTAAAAATCTCTCACATCATTCAATTAATGTTAATACTATTTTATTTGAAATGAATTTATCTAGATTTTACTCTCATCAGAATAAATTAAATCCAATCAAGTCAAAACGTAAATCTTTATAAAAGAATACATCTTATACTCCTTAAAAACATAGATCTGTTACTTACAACAATAATGATGATCTTTTGAAACTAATCATTAATAATGATAACTTACTAGAAATAATTGAAAAAATATAGAAGTAACGATAAGTTTAGAGGTTAGTTCAAGAGGCTAATTCTAATTCTATTTTGCCTTCCATTTCAAAAAATGAAAAAAATAATTAGAATTTGTATCCAAAATAGGATAGAAAACATAAGAGAGAAAGTATTCAATATACATTTTAAATGAATCCAAAAAACATTCCATATTATTAAGAGAACAAAATTTATGGAAAGTTTATTGAACCTACTGAATATAAAAAAATAGATTATGAATCTATAAAAACTATGTATTTATATTTAATCATTGGATTTTAGAGAAATTGCTTTGTCTAAATAATTATAAGAAGAATTTGAATTATAAAATTAATTTAATTAAAACAAAGAAAGACCTTAACATGAATATTAATAATAATAAATGTAATCAATTGAAATACAATTTGATAAACATAAAAATTATCATTCATAAGTGACTTTAGATTCTGATGATTGTGATAAAATCTTTAATAAATAAACAAAAATAAACCAAACAGTCTCAAATATATTTAAACTGAGATAATAAAATCAAGAATAAAATAATCTACCAAAAATAACTATGGATTTTTAAATGAAAGATGAATTTCAAAAATATTTAGATGTTAAATAATGTAATTAATGTATATAGAATATGGCTATCAATTAAAATTAATATATTAAGATGCCAAAAAATAAGAAGATTTTAAAATAATGAAATTTAACTCTGATTTTTTTGAATAATATTCCTATTTCTTAATAATAATTCAATATCATTTATTAAAATTAATTACTTTACAACCTCCTATGATATTTTCAAATTTTGAATATTATATATTTAATTATAATATAACATAATTTATCATATAGTTTTTAACTTATTAACTATTTAAAATCTAGATGTCTCGAGATATTTTTTTATTAATCCACAGAGCATAGGATGTGAACTAATTCCTCAAACTTTTATCCAAAATACTACCATTTAACTGAATTTATCTGTGAAAATCTTTAGAGACACAAATTTAAAGGTAGAATTAATTTTCAAGCAAGATATATATAGATCATACTTTGATGATAAATACTATTATAATGATTCAAAACAAAACTTTTCATTTAAATATGTAAGAATATAAGATTTAATTAAACTATATTTTAGATTTTGAGGTATTTTATTACAGATTAATTAGTAATTTATTATTAAAGCGTATCATAAAATCTCTTATTGCTTTTGTTTAAGTTTAATTCTTTAATGTATTCTGTATATTTAAAAAGGTCAGTGCACTTAAATTATTTTATTCTTTAATTTCCTTTTAAATTAACAATCCAAATAGAAATATGAATATACCACTGATATTATAAACCTTCAAACCTATTGGATGCTATTTTTTTTTAATTATTACATCTTCGAATAATTAATTGAAGCATTTATTAGGTTCTATTATTTACATTCATCCATGATTCTCCTATAAATCATTATACTATTTGGCAATGCCAAACTTTATACCCACTAAATACTTAATTATTATTATATTATATGATTCCTACAGTTTATATCAACATAAGCAGGGTGGCGAAGTGGAATCGCGTTGGGCTCATAACTCAAAGGTCGGTGGATCGAAACCACTCTCTGCTATATTTTTTATTTTTTCAAAGATAAATGTATAAATTAATCAATAATATAAATATAATTATTAATTAAATATATATATTTAAAAATATATTTTAATTATTCAAAAAGTATTAAGTAGTTCATTAATTGTGTTTTTCTTTTGAATTTTCAATTAATTAATTTATCCTAATTCTTTATCTAAAATTGAATTGAGAATATAAATAATACATTAATAATTTAACAAATTTGAATCACTTATTTAATAAAATACAAAGCAATTTTAACAAAACTTTTTAATATAAATTTTTTACAATAGATATATCGACAAAAATAAATTTAATAAAATGAAAAGATATTTAAGTATTCTTAATATTTCTAAAATCTGAAAACAGATAATATTTTAAAATTTAATCCTTATACTCTTTTAATAATTGTAATTTATTAACAATATAAGAACCAATTATAAAATACTACTTTATAGATTGAAATAAATTTATATGATTTTCTAATATAAATTAATTTTTATTTCTATAGTATACTAATCTCAGAACTTTAATGTGCTTCATAATGTATCATAGAAATATGTTTATGATTGAAAAAATACCTTTGATCTAATTAATACATAAGTTAAGTAATTCTATATTTAGAATTAAGATTTGGAATTTTCATTTTTTTATAAATTTGTTAAATATAAACTTAAGTTAAATCAACATTCCTTAATCTTCCCTTTGATATTAGAATCCTCATCTATTAGGGAATTAGATGATTATTTAGGAGTTTCATATTTATCATCTTTTTCAAAAAGATCAAGATTCTTTATTCCTGAAAATTTCTTAACCTAATTATATGATAAAGGAGATCCATTATCCAATTATGTGATGATTGCATCAAATTCAATTTTATTTTACACTCTTAAGTTGATAAAATTTCTATTCATTTATTTGTAATGAATTATTTAAAATATTGTTCTTAAAATAACATTATATTTATACATAATAAACTAAAATTAAAATCATATTAAAGTGATGCGAATATCTTATATTGTAATTATTTTGACAATAAATAAGTAATTTAAACTAAATTGAATAAAAATCAAGTATTGGTTAGGATTTTTTAAATATAATAAACAGAAATATAATCAAATAGATTATACTTTATTTCTTGTATTTATTTTTATGATTAAAAAAGCATTATCGAAGATTCTTTTAATTTTACCAATCTTATTTTTTCATCTATATTAAACAAATGTTTGAGATATTTTATTATTCATAATTTAGAAAGTAATTTAAAATAAATGTTTTTTAAGAATTTTTAACTATAAATAAACATTTCAATTAAGGATAATTTGGTTCTTATTTTAACTTTAATTATTTACATATTTGATATATCTAATTATTAAAATAAATACTTTATGATTGTTAATGCTATTATATCTTTTTTTTTAATTCTTCGATTAAAATTTAATAATTTATTTTAAAAAATCAAAATGTCTAATTTATCTTTAAGATAAAATATATTATAAATTTTTATTATTAATAATCATTATGAAATGAATAATACAAAATATTTAGTAATCAAAAAATAAATCTGGAAAATCATCTCATTATTTCGATAAATGTTCCTTAAAATGAACCTTTATAATTCCAACCCCTTAATGAATTTATAAATCATCATTCATTTCATCATCCAAATCATCAAAATCAGAAAATTTGATTGAATTAATTGGATTGATTTTTTCTCTATTTTCAAGATCATCAAAATCTCTGAATTCTCTATTTTAAAATAATGGTCCTTGAAATTTAGATTCAAATGGTTATTTAATTAATGAAGATTCTCTGGAATAAGATTATTTAGAATTTTATCGAGATCTCTAAAAATTTCTAATATTATTTTTTGATACTATCGATGGAGCATAATTAAGAATCACTGAAGATTATTAAGAATTTTGATCTATTTGATAAGATTTACGTCTTTCACTTTTTTTCAAATCTGATATTTTGAGATAATCACTTTATAAATTTGATATATCAATATCATTAAATGATTATTAAGCTTAATCTGAAGATTTAGTAGAACTAGTTTAATTGTCCATCCAATCAAATTTTCTATCAAAATTTATATTGTTCTATTTAGCTATTTTTTAAAATAAATCTAATAAATATTTATAATCTGGTGTAGATGTGAATTTTAATTTGTAAACATAGTCTAAATATCTTTAAAATTCACTGGGTAATCCTTTACATAAATCTTTTAATTCTAATTCCATTTTGAATTTGCCAACTAACTTAATTTTCTCTTTATCTGATTATGATACGATATTCTACCATGGTACATTCCCTATATTTATATTTAATCATTTACCTCTTAATAAATAAATGAAAACGTATCCTAAACTTTCTAAATCATCCTTTCTTGATAATTCATAACCTTTATGAGCAGAAATACTTGCATATCTAGTTGTACCTATAAATGGCCTATTTTCTTAGAATTAACTAGATCAAATAATGATTAATACATATGCTAATTGTTATTACGAAATTTTTTAGATATACCAAAATCAACAATATAAACTTATTAAGAATCATTTCCTCTTCCCATTAATATATTTTCTGGCTTTATATCTCTATGAATAACACCCCTTAAAAATATTTTGATTTGATACCTTTTATGAATCTCTTCAAGAATTGTTAATAATTATTCAGCTAAGTTACACACAGTTTTTAGTGACAGTTTCTTAAATTTCTTTTAAAAATGAGCTAAGTCTCTTCCAAGTAATTGCATAGCCATACAATTTTAATTATACTCATTTCCATACCAATATAACTTAGGAACACCTTAAAGTAATATTTAATTAATGTACCTGTTATTCCTCTAAGTTCTTCAATAATTTAAATTTCACGTTCTAAACTCATTAAATCTTTATTTTCTTTTTCCACTTTTATAGCAACATAATCCCTTGTTACTTTATCATGACAAATATAAACTACTCCAAAAGAACCTAAAAGGATTATTCACTTATTACCTTAACTTAATTTTTCTCTTTGGACAAATCTGCCATAATAAATCCTGCCTTTGTCCTGATGCATAGATTTTAATAAACAATAAATATATTAAATTTTCTTGAAGTTATTATTTAGAAGATTTAATAAGCAAATTTTTAATCAAGAAATTTAGAGATTTTCAAGAGAACATTAATTTAATATTTTTTCATATTGTTTTAATAATGTCTTTTCAACATTTATAAATTGGCTCTCATTATTATTTCGTTGACTAACTCTCAATTTACTATATTTTTGGTTTATTATTTTCAGTAACATAACTTTTTATAAGATGTTATAAATTTTATTATTTATTATAGAATTAATCTTCAATTATTAGTTAATATTAATATTATATATATATAACATAGCTTCAAAAATAACGTCATACAAGTTTATTAGTTAAAATAGGATCAATATTTTCTTTTTATTTAGCCTTTTTTAAGCCATCTAATTCTGTTTTAACAACCATTAATTATTCTTAACTAATATGATATTGTTTATTAATTGATAAGAATTTGTTTTTCCAAATATCAATCTCTTCTAAATATTTTTTATGATTTTCTTCACATGATCTAGAAGTTTAATTTTCTAATTCTGTTAGTTTCTATTTTAGAATTTTATTTAATCTTTCTACTTCCATAACTAAAGTGACATTCTTCTTTTCAAGATCTCTAATAATTAATTTTTATTCATTTTTAATTTATTTATTACAATTACAATCTTTTTACATACTTAATTCTCTTATCATTAAATCTTTTTATCTAAAAATTACATAATATAAATAATTACTCTATAATTATTTACAATTTCTAGATTTAAGCTTTTTATTCATTTTAAACAGATGATTTAATCATTTAAGATAATTATACATCTTATTTTTATAATTAGTCTAGATAATATGTTTCAATTGCTTATTTTTCTTTTATTGCACTTTATTTTTCTTCTTTAAGATTTTAACAAATAACATTAGTTTAATTCAATTATTATTATAAAATTGCAATCTATTAATTCAACTATTTAGCTATTTATATTTAACTTTCTAATTCAATTTTTAAACTTTTAATTTATTATTAATGTTCTTCAGTTGTAGAGACAATTTAATTTTTATCCTATAATGATTTGTTTTCTTAACTCAATAATTAGATTTAATTTTGATAAGAATCTATTAATTATTAATTATTTTCAATTTCTTATTCTTTTTCTTTTTTATAAAATATGAATTCCTTTTAAACTAATTCAAATTTATTTTCTAATATTTAAATAAATTCATTAGCATTTTATTATTAATTATTTTATAAAATATGTTCTCTCTATTTTTATATTTCTTCTTAATATCTCTTTATCTCATTTTATTAAAATCTTTAAAATTAAATAATTATTTTTACTTAATTTCTTTTTCTAATAAATATTCTTTTTCATTTCTCATTTCCTTCTCAAGATTATTCTTTTTCTAAATTTACTCTATACTCTCTTATAATACAATTATCTGTTATTTTTATGTATTATAATTATCTTATAAATAATTAAACTATTCCTCTAATCTCTAAACTTATTGTTAATATATTAATGAATCCTTTCTCTCAATTTGTAGTTTGAATTCTAAATTCTCTATAACTTATTATTATTATTTATTTCTCAATCTCTATTCATTTAACTCTACACAAATTTAACTCTACTAATCTAATCTATAAAATTCAATATGTTTACCTTTTGCTTCCAATAATTCAGTTTCATAAACTTTTAACTTCTACCTTTATAAATCTCTATCTAATTCCCTGTTTATTTATCTCAAAGGCTCTTCCATTGTATTTGCAAATGAAACAGCCCTTGTCTATGGAGATGGCTTGTTGTGTGTATAAAGTTTTTCTTAACTCTATCTAAGAGATCTTGAAGGTTTATACATAGTTTTTTATCAGTTAAATTAAATATTATAAAATTTATCCATCTTTTTTTTAATCAAAATAATCAATTTATGTTAATAGAATCATCCTAATTAAATTAGTTATTTATTATTATACTCCTGAATATATAGTTTCATCGTTTCATTTTTCAAATATTATTATATAATCCAAATTTTTATAATTTATTTACAGTAAGGAATATTGTATAAAGACTTTTCTGAATATCTTATAGGAATTAACCAAGATGAAATAAATACCACTATAAATTTAAAAGAATTCAAAAATGTATATGATCAATAGAATTATGAAGTTAATTGGTGGCAGAATATTAATGTTAATTCATCAGCAATTACTACTTTGGGTAAGTGATTGTTAATTAATAATATAAGAGTATTGAAATAGAGATTACATGTTATACATACGATATTTTAATTATCAATAAAATGAATGGAATTTTAAGTCAACAATCTTTAAGATATTATGGAAGTAAAAATTAATTTGGGTTAATAAAACTAGAATAAATATTGAAATACAAAATTTTTAGTTATTAAGAATCTTTTTATCAAAACTATAATCAATTTTTAAAGGATTAGGTTAATAAGGAATTTTAGGTTTTTTTAAGGGTTAGGAATTGGAATGGTCTATTAAATAACAAATTCTTAGTTGAGATATTTTTATTTTAAATGTACTTTAAGAAATAGAAATTCATCCAAATTTTGTATGCTTCATTAGTTGGAATGGTTATAGATGTATTTATAAATCAATTAATACTCATATAATCTAAAATGATATACTAAAACAGATTACCAAATTAAGAACTTATATATATCAAATCTTGACTTCAAAAAGATATAAATTTGGATTTTTAGGAGAAATATGAATAACTTCTAAATTAATTTGGATTATGATTATTAATTTTAAATAATGATTTTTGAGTACAATGTCCAAATGTTGAGAAGATTACAAATAATGTATAGTTAATGATAAATATATTTTGTTTGGAAGAATAAGAACTTTAGATTATACTAGGAGATAGTATACTAACAGTTAATACTTAACAAATAGGATATATATCATATAAAATAAATATATAATTTATAATTTCTATGGATTTGCAAAAGTTATCTAAGTTTTTGAAAAATGAAAAATCAATCGTGTAATATTTCAATGATACTTCCATCGAAATCAAAGATGTTTGCAAATTTAATTTTGGATAAAGTAATCCCACTTATTAACTCTCTTTTAAGTATTTATGATCTAATATAAAAACAAGAAACTCAGACAAAAAGTTAGTTCTAAGAAAGAAACCTGATGGATAATTACTTCCTGGAGTAAAATATTTATTTATTGAATAGGCCCATCAAATAGAGAGAGAATATGAAATTACTTTAAAGTTATCTTAAGTTTCTTTTCCTGTTGCTAAACCACTTGTCTTTTGCAAGGATAGTAGTATAATTGGAACTCCATTCTATGTTATGGAATTTGTAGAAGGCAGAATATTCAAGGATATCAAATTATAAGAATTAAGTAATTAAGAAAAATAACAAATCCTAAATGAATAGGCTAGAGTCCTGGCATAATTACACTCTATAGATATACATAAATTAAAATTAGATCATCTAGGAAAGCCTGAGAATTATTATTAACGATAGATTGCTACATGGAGTAGACAATATAAATTGGCAGAAACAAATAATATACAAAGTATGGAAAATCTTCTCTATTGGTTACCATTAAATATACCTTAAAAGAATGAAAATGACATTATATGTTTATGTCATGGAGATTATGCTTTGAATAATATCATATTCCATCCTACTAAACCTTAAATTTTGGCTGTAATTGATTGGGAATTAGCTACAATAGGTTAGTCATTTGCAGATATTGCTTATATGACTCAATTTTATTTTACAAGCTAATTCTAAAGTACAGCTCATTAGGGAGGAGTTAAAGGAATCTATGAATATCTTGGATTACCAAAATATTAAGATTTATTAAATGTTTATTTTAAATCTAGGAATATTAATCAATCTATTGATCTTAGATATCATACAGCATTTTCAATGTTTAGATTATCATCAATAGCATAAGGAGTTTACAAAAGAGCTTTATAAGGAAATGCTTCTTAAAAAGAATAAGGATTGGAATTATTAAAATTATGTAAATAACTATCTTATGATGCTTGGGAATTGATAAATTAATTGACTGATAATGATCCCTTCAAATTGAAAGATTTAATCAAAAATGATATTCCAAGATGGGGAAGTTGGCCAGTATCTGACAGAGCAAAACATCTTTATTATAGAGTTAGAGACTTTTTAAAGATAGAATTCTTTCCTTATGAAAAATAATTAATTCATGAAGCAGAATCTAGACCACCTGAAACTAGATGGAAACCATTATAAAAACTTCATGAAATTAAACTAAAAGCTAGAGAATAGGGTCTTTGGAACTTATTTTGTACTTACCCTGTTGTTGGAAAAGGTTTAACTAATTTAGAATATAGTTTTATTTGTGAATTAATGGGAAAGAGTGTTTTTGCTCCTGAAGTATTTAATTGTTCAGCACCTGATACTGGTAATATGGAATTGTTAATTCTATATGCAAATTAAGAATAAAAAATGAAATATTTATTACCTTTATTGCAAGGAGAAATTCGATCATGTTTTGCTATGACTGAACCATAAGTTGCATCATCTGATGCTACTAATATATAAACATCAATTACTAAAACAGAAAATGGATATAAAATTAATGGTAAAAAATGGTATATATCTGGTGCTGGAGATGAAAGATGTAAATTTGCAATTGTTATGGGTAAAACATCATAAGATACTTCAAAACCTCATTAATAATAATCAATGATTTTAGTTGATTTACCTCATCCAAATGTAAAAATAACTAGACCTATGCATGTTTTCTTTACAGATGAGGCTCCTCATGGTCATATGGAAATGGTGTTTGATAATGTTGAAGTTCCTAAATCAAATCTTATATGGTAAGAAGGAAAAGGATTTGAAATGGCATAAGGAAGATTAGGTGGTGGAAGATTACATCATTGTATGAGACTTATTGGAATGACTGAAAGAGTATTAGATTTAATGATGCAGAGAGGAGAAAGGAGAATTATATTTAAATAAAAAATGAAAGATGTTGGTTCATTCTAATAAAAGTTAGGAGAATTATAAACACAATTATCAGCATGTAGATTAGTTGTATTGAATGCAGCTATGCAAATAGATATCTTAGGTAACAGAAGTAGATATATATTTAAAATTTTGAGTGAATGTAAAGCCTTTGTTCCTAAAGTCACATAAAATATTATTGATGAAGTCATTTAAATATTTGGAGCTGAAGGTGTTAGTCAAGATTAAGTGTTATCTTTAGCTTTTATTTAAGCCAGAACTTTAAGAATAGCAGATGGACCTGATGAAGTACATTATAGATAAGTGGCCAGATTAGCTTATTCTTTATAATCAAAGAATGAGTTATTATAAGCTGATGGATATGGATTACCAACCTTATCTAAATTATGACATTTCTTAGAAAATGAATAATATATAAAATATAACAAATCAAAAGAATTCTTTTTATTATTATATTGATTTAGACAATTCCTTACATTTTGATATTACTGTATTTCCATATGATTATTAATTCATTCCTTATTATTATATAGTATATATTCTTTGACGAACTGATGATTTTTCATATTATTATAATTTACTAACATAATTATCTGCCATTTTCTTTAAGTCCTATATATATATATATATATAATATGATTTACATTAAATACATCTTTGTAAATCTATTTTCCATCTTTATCATCTAATTAATCTGTACTCATTAACATGGATGGTTACTTTTAGATATATTTCATGTCTTATATTAATTTATCAGATATCATCTTTTTCTATTATTGATCTTTAAATGAATTAATATTTTTCAATTTTGAATTTGCTTTTTAAACTTCCATATAATATAAGGATTTGGCTTCAATTAAATTAAATATTGCCATTTTTGTTTATTAGTTTATTTCTCTTTTATTATCCCTAGAACTCTTTGATCTTAACATTGATCTTTCAGTTTTCAATTACTTCTATTCATCACTATTTATAGAAATATTAGTCTCCATATCTTTACTAAGTTCATTATAGGAATAAAAAGACTCTTTCCTTAAAGAACCTTAGATTTATGAATCCAAATATTTCATTGATTCTCTATCTGATTTAATATAAGAAAAACTTTCTTTCTTAATGTTTTTCTTTGGAAAAATTAATTATTTTAGATTTGTATTAGGAGATGATGGTTAATTTTAAGATGGTTTCAAATTAATATTAATTGTTGTATCATAATATTAAGATATTGGTTAATTTTACTACATAGTTGGACTATTTTATCGTTTATCCTTTTTATTTAATATAATAGAACATCTCTTATTAGTTTAAATAAATTAATATTTGGTTCTAAAATATGCTTGATTATTGAGTTCCTATATTTGATATTTCTTATAGAAATGTTCATCTATATAATTAGGTTTTTCTTCTGCCTTAATTTCTGGAATTTCATACATAAATGACATTATTTTTTATATCTCTCCTTATTCTTAGAGATAAATCTATAATTTATAATTGTGTTATTTAATATAATCTTTCAATAATTTAGATTATTCTCCATTATTTTAATTATGTTTGTTTAGATAATACAATAATTTTATTAGTTCCTAATACTTTGACAAATTATCAGAATATAGATAAGAGAGGCAAAGTAAAAAAAATATATGAAATAGCATAATCATCTAAATTCAATTTTAACTTTATTACTTATCTGATAGCATATTTTTTGACTTCATCTTTTGGCAAACTTTTTTCAATTTTATAATTTATTATTTAATTTATATTTTTTTGAATTTTAACTAGACCATTTTCAAATTCAATGCTAGCTAATTAATAACTTTTGACTATAATTAAATAATTACTTCTAATTTTATAATAACATATTTCCCATAATTATATCAGTCCATAGATCTCTTGAAGAATATTACCAAATCTAATAAAGGATAAAATGAATAAAAAAATACATTAAACTTAAATCCATTTAATTATTCTAACACCTATTTTGAAGCATTACAATAAAAATATGATAAATGATATGATTCTTCTTTATGAAACTTTATGCTCATATTCTATGTATACTTCAGCAATTCATATAAATAAAATTGAATCATTTTAATGTCTGGAATTAAATAATATTATAAATTACTTGGCTTTTTATGCTTAAATTATGATCTTATCAAATCATACCATTATTATAAGAATTACTTTGTCTTACTGATTACAATCAATGCAGTTTTTTTATAAAAAGACACATTTCTATAAAGGTAACTCTCTAAAATTTTGTTTAAAGAATAAACTTATCTTCTCAAAATTTCCATTTCTTATTATTTATTCAGAATAACATTGTTATTTTTAAATCTCTCTAGTAATTATATATTCTTTCTAGGACAACCCTATAAATAATTGTGAAGCTGATAACCTTTCTAATTAATTTTGTGGATTCTTTTAAATAGTTTTCATTTGACATATTATAATATAAATATTAGTATTAACTTCTAGAATGTAAAGTACTTAATAATCATTACTAATATTCAAACATGAATAATATAAATATCATAATTTGTATTTAACTTAGAAATACTACATATTTTCTATGTTATAATAATATTAGAAAAATTGTAATTACTTTGACTGAATTACAAAATATTAATAATTATTGCTTACAATAAACAAATACTACTAAGAGAATTGAATTCAATATAATATGTTATAGTATAAGAAATACATCAGCAAATAAATAATTGAATAAAATGGAAGAATCTGATAGAAATTATAATCTGATAATCCATTTAATTAGAATTATAGTGTCGATAATTAAATAGGAATCAATAGAAAAGCTAATTTATCTTATTATATATTTTGTGATTTAATTCTGTAGGATTCTAATGAATAAATTAACAAATTAAATAAATTGATTTTAAAGTAGGCTATCCTCAATAAATGAGAAATATGTATATATTTATTTTTTCTGATTCCAGTTTTTAACTTACTAAATAATTATTCAAATCCTATTGATGATTACTTTAATTTTTTGTTTTGGTTATAAATATTTTTATAAAATAATTGATGTAACCTTACTATGATAAAGACACTGATGATGAATGTAAATTTAATAAAAATCCTATCTTAGTTTCTGATAATACTTCACTTGAAGGAATGAATTATAGACCACAAACAGCTCCACCAAGTCCAATTACAGAACTTGAAGAATTCAAAAGGTTTTTGATCCAATCATATTATAGATAACGCGAATTTTATATTTTGGAAAAAGCTTAACATTACTAAAATTAATTAATTTAAAGAGATTTACATAAATATGATCTAGATAATCCTGAAGGTTAACGAAGTTGTAAAAAATACTTAAAAACATTGGAGGAAATCTGTATTGTATTTATTTACTTTAAATATTCTTTTTAGATTTATTAAGTGAAAACTTTATCAAGAGAATACAGAAATTCATTTTCAAAAGCTTATAAGATATTATATAAGGAAGATAGATTATGTTATCTTACTGAAATATTAGATAGTGCATAAGAAGGTTTATTTAAAAAAATATTTATAGGCTTTCCTTACTTATGGGTTAATTCTGAAAAATTTGTTTTTTCATCTGATGTACTAAATAAAGGATCTAAGTTAATAGAATTATTTTATAAAGTTTAACATTTTATTAGACTTTCATATTCTAAAACACTTAAAGAAAGTCCTGATTTCTCNACAAAATATTAATAATTATTGCTTACAATAAACAAATACTACTAAGAGAATTGAATTCAATATAATATGTTATAGTATAAGAAATACATCAGCAAATAAATAATTGAATAAAATGGAAGAATCTGATAGAAATTATAATCTGATAATCCATTTAATTAGAATTATAGTGTCGATAATTAAATAGGAATCAATAGAAAAGCTAATTTATCTTATTATATATTTTGTGATTTAATTCTGTAGGATTCTAATGAATAAATTAACAAATTAAATAAATTGATTTTAAAGTAGGCTATCCTCAATAAATGAGAAATATGTATATATTTATTTTTTCTGATTCCAGTTTTTAACTTACTAAATAATTATTCAAATCCTATTGATGATTACTTTAATTTTTTGTTTTGGTTATAAATATTTTTATAAAATAATTGATGTAACCTTACTATGATAAAGACACTGATGATGAATGTAAATTTAATAAAAATCCTATCTTAGTTTCTGATAATACTTCACTTGAAGGAATGAATTATAGACCACAAACAGCTCCACCAAGTCCAATTACAGAACTTGAAGAATTCAAAAGGTTTTTGATCCAATCATATTATAGATAACGCGAATTTTATATTTTGGAAAAAGCTTAACATTACTAAAATTAATTAATTTAAAGAGATTTACATAAATATGATCTAGATAATCCTGAAGGTTAACGAAGTTGTAAAAAATACTTAAAAACATTGGAGGAAATCTGTATTGTATTTATTTACTTTAAATATTCTTTTTAGATTTATTAAGTGAAAACTTTATCAAGAGAATACAGAAATTCATTTTCAAAAGCTTATAAGATATTATATAAGGAAGATAGATTATGTTATCTTACTGAAATATTAGATAGTGCATAAGAAGGTTTATTTAAAAAAATATTTATAGGCTTTCCTTACTTATGGGTTAATTCTGAAAAATTTGTTTTTTCATCTGATGTACTAAATAAAGGATCTAAGTTAATAGAATTATTTTATAAAGTTTAACATTTTATTAGACTTTCATATTCTAAAACACTTAAAGAAAGTCCTGATTTCTCATCGAAATTATTAAAATAAGATATTATAAGGATATTAGAAGATTTTGATAAGATTTGGGTTGATTTCGAAAGAGTATTTATTTAAATATATATTTATAGCTTTATGTTAAAGAATTGATGGACATAGAAGCAAAAGCCAGAAGATTTATACTTTTAGCAATAGAAATTGATAAAGAAATGACATCTATAGAAATAAGAGAAAAATTAAGAGGTAAAATACTTGTAACTAGTGAAAACTATATTTAAAAAAAAGAACAAGTATTATTTTAATTTAAAATTATAAGTTCTGTAAAGTTATTGCATAAATAAATTCAGTTGCAAATGTAGAAGGTAAAGGAAGAGATGATTTAGGAATAAATATTCTTTTGGAAGCAGAAGGTATCACAAGAAGAGTAACAAAAGAGTAATCTAGTGCTGTTCGTAATTTAGCTGATAGTATTAAATCAAAGTAAATTTACATTTCAAATTAGTTTTTAAAAATTTCGAGAATAAATGAGGAAATATGAAGGTAACATTGAAATGGTTGATCCTTAATTAAAAAATAACTAAGAACTAGTAGATTTATTAGTTGAATATGAATCTTAATGGGAAAAAGGATTATATTATTTATTAGATCCTACAAAATGTTAATAATTAATGTACTTTTCACATATAATTGAAACTACTGCAGAAAAATATAATTAATTTTAAGAATAATTAGAATGCAGAGATTCTGATATATTTGTAACCATTCCTTGTTTGATTGCTTTGAAATATTTAGAAAATGAGGATAGAAATATTTGTACTTATTTCTTGCCAAAATTAAAAGAGGAAACTTCGAAATTATATCAATAATATGTTCAATTAAAAAATGAATTTTTAGAATGGAGAAATTTACATACAAAATAATATGAATATTATAATATTTTGGAAAAATAATTATTGGGAATACCTTTAAATGAGAAAGAATAAATTGCACTAAAAAATTTCAAATTAGATAATATTATGTAAAAAATTCGATAAATGTCTATTGAATTATAAAGATATAATGCAATAGAATGGAATTACTTTATTGATGCAGCTATCAACAATAATTGATAATTTTTAAATTTATATATTTAATTATGTTAAGTACAATCTCTTTCTTTATTATAAATTTAATAATAATTATTAATAGCATAAAAGAGATAAATTAAAACGTTGAAGTAATTACATAAATATTAACTCAAAATTTGTTTAAACAAAAAATAAATAAAGAATTTAAATGAAATATCTTAGTAAATTAATAGTAAAATCTATATTTTAATTAAAATAAAATAGTTTATATCATATATTTTCTATTATAATTAAATGCAATACTTTTGATAAATCCTTCTATTAAATATATTTTAATATTTATAGTTTTTAAATTCAAGATATATTTATAAATACATAAATTATAGCTTTTAGAGAGTCTATTGATCTTGTTATTTATATTAATTAATTTTTTATTAAATTTTTAGAAACAAATAATGGTATAATTTTGAGTAATAAAATATAGAATAATGAAGATGAAATGGAAAAATAGGCTAGATTAATGGCAGAGAAATATAAAGATGGACCTAAAAAGAAGGGAGCTTTGGTGAAGAAAACATAAGAAGTATTTTCTTTTAAATAAATTATTTTTAGAGAACTTAATTTGATTCAGCAACTCATGAAATGTAAAAATAGGCATAATAGCATCCTCCGAAATGACAATTTGATAAGTATTAAAATATTATCTAATAAATAAACTCACTTATTGTTTAAGTTTGTCTCATCTATCTGAATCCCATAAAATTATCTTATTTGATATCAATCTGATAATCTTTAAAGACATATTGAATTATTATCAATATAATAGGTCAAAGCTTACTAAATATTATATTTAAATTAGAATTGCCAATATTATTAGATATTCAAATCAATTATTATTTTGATAATAAGATAAAGCATACAAATAAATTATTAATAGTGCTTATGAAAGTAAAAATATTTTTAGGAGAATATACATATGTATATCGTGGAAGTATAGATTTAAGAGAAATTAATGAATTTGTTAAAACATTGACAAATAGAGCATTCATAATAAAATGGAAGGATCAGGAAGATGATTTAATTACTATATCTATGAAATAGGATTTAGTATATTTCTATTAATAATGGACTCAAAATTAATCTACAAATAAATAATCATTCAAACTATTTGTTCATGAGATGCCTTTAATAATTCAGAATCCTTAAACTACATAATTGTAATCATAATCACAAATATAATCTAAATTATATAGTCCTTGTTAAAGATAATCAAATAGTAAGTAAAACTAAGGAATAAGTTAATTTACTTTTGGTTTATAACTAAATGAATAAGCAAAGAGTCAGGAATTTCAAAAAGAACGACATTCACAATAGATAAATTTATAATAAATAGTTGAAATATAGGGTTCTTCTAAAAATATTAGCAATCAAAATTTAGATAAAATACAATAATAGTATTATATGAATGAAGATGGAAAAAGATAGAGAATTTTATACGATTTTAATAATATTAATTCATAAGATTTATTGTTTTTTATGAATATGGATATGAAATAAAGTATAAATAAAAAAGAATTTACTGAAATTTAAATCGCAAGTGATGATGATGATGATGATGATGAGATGATTGATAATAATAAGGATAATGATATGTAGATAATTGATTGTAAAAATATCTATTGTGATTATTGTTCTGATAAAATATAATGCAATGATGAGTTAACTATAATATATACATGTTAATTTTGTGAAGATTTTCATGCTTGTAAATAATGTTTTGATCAATATTAAGAATAAGTTCATTTACATCAATTAAAAGAAAATATTCTTCAATGATTATTTTGTAATTTGTTTTAACAACTATTTAATTATCACACTATCATCTATTTGACCAAGGGGAAATCAAAGAAAAATCATTTTTTGAATTATTTTCGCTTCTTAATTCTAATTTCTAATCAAAAAACATTCTTGATTTTCCAAAGTTCAAACTTTTTATATTAAGTTTTGGAACACTCTTTATTGAACGTGCAGTTGATATTCTTGATTTTTCATAGCTTTTTAGAGGTCTTTGATATTACAACTAATTTGATAATGAAACAGTGATTATAGATGGTATATGTATAGTTTATTTTGGACTTAATAATAATGTATACTTAGATTCATTACAGATTTTTCTTGGCATGAAACATATCTTCTTTTATCTTTATTAGATATATTATTTTGCTCTTATGATAATATCTGAATCCAATTTAGAAGGAGGCTTAAAATTTGGAAATAGCTTATCATATTAGGATTTCATAAATATTTATATATTTATTTTTATGAGTTCCATTCCTTCATTAAGCTTTTCTATAGTATAATATTAAAAACTATTAGTCTGTTATATTGAAATAAATTTAGATATTAAATCAATAATTGATGGAGAGTATTTAAGATCTAAAAACTTTGATGTATAACTATTTACTTATATTTCAAGTGGTCATAATTTTAATGCTGTCAATTTTAGTAAATATATGATAAACAATGATTTTTCGGATGTTGATTAATTAATTAAGCATTGTAAATTAGAGAGTACTGGATAAAGATTCAATATCTGGAGACTATTTCTAAGGTAAATAATATATTATAAACTTAGAATATATTCAAAAGAAGATTCATTTACATAAAAAATAGAAAAGTTAACTAAACTAAGAGAAAATTATAAAGTATTAGAAAATAAGCATTTGAAAACTTCAAGTACATCAACTCAAATTCAAATTGAAGAACAAACTAAAAAGGGACCATTAGGAGGTCCTCTTGGAGGTCCATTAGGAGGTGGTAAATAAAAATAATAATCATCTAATGCAATTGATAATGTAGAATTGAGAAATGAAATCAGAAAAGATGTTGAAAGAACCTATCAAGAATTTGAATTCTTCTCTTCAAAAAGGGTTTAATAAATACTTACAACAGTATTATTTATTTGGTGTAAAGAGAATAGTGAGATATCATATAGATAAGGAATGAATGAAATTGCTGCTTCTTTAATATATATATACACTAAAGAGGCATTATATAAGGAAGAAGTTGAAAAATATGAAGAAGTAAATATCATCAAAATTAATAGGCAACTGAAGAAGAAATTAATATTCTTTTGTAATTTAATTCTTGGGAATATGCTGAACCAGATATTTATATCTTATTCACTGCCTTAATGAATGATGGTTAACATATGGAAATGTTTCGACCTAATTATACAGAATAATAAAAAATTAAACTTTAAAGTAAGAAGCCAAGTGCTATTCTAACAAGAGTTGCAAAATTATAAGATATTCTATTAAAGTAAGTGGATTTGCCTTTGTTTAGACATCTAAAACTTCTTCAAGTTGAATTCCAAATATTTTTATTAAAATGGATAAGGTATTTATATATAGTCATATTTATTAGATGTATGTTTACTAGAGAATTATCATTAATAGAATCATTTTCAGCATGGGATGCAATTTTTTAGGATTTTTTATTATAATAAAGTGATTCATTATTCTTTATAGATTGTATAGCTATTGCTATGATAATATACTTAAAAAATTAATGTAAGTTAATATAAATATATTTAGTAATGGAATGTGAAGAATCTAGTTAATGTTATCAAAGATTTTTAAAATTCCCAAAAATATCCAATCTTTCTAGTTTATTAGATACAGCAACATAAATAAGAACTATATTGATATCTCAAAAATCATCTAATAATTTGGATGATAATATTGAAGGAACAGAAAAAATAGAAAAATTAATAAATCCTACATTTTTTGTTTGTGATAATGTATATTCAAATGTTTAAAATTAAAAAGATAATAATAAAAGTTAAGAATAACTTAAATAATCCTAAATAAAATCTTAATAAATTATTACAAAAACTGAAGAAGAATAATCTTAATCACCATAATCATAAATTAATGAAAAATAACCTATTAAATAATAAGAATCATAATAAGTATTCTTTGATGAAAAGATAATGTAATCAAATACAAAGGCTTAAAAATCATAGTTTAATGTTGAAGAAAAAGTTTAATAAAAAGAATCAAATTAAAATAATGAATAAAAGTAAATTGAAATAAGATTATCAATAAAGGCAGTTTAAGATATATGTGTAACAATAGAGGAAGCCTTTAATGTGATTAAGAAAAGCAATAATAGGTATATTTTGATGTTCTAATTAATTTAGTTAAAATCATTAAGAATTAATAATTAGTTTGGCTGAAATTAAATAATATCTAAACAAATAAATAGATTAAGTTGAAGAAAAATAAGGAAATTAATAAGATGCTGGTTAAAAAAATAATTATAATGGTTTTGTAATAAAGAAATCAATTACAGGATAATAATAATTACCATAAGAAGATAATGGACTTAAAAGCAAGATGGCAGGTTTCTTTAAAAAAAAATGGTGAAGAATGATTAATTAAAATTATTAAGTTTTTTTTTAGTATAATTTTAGAAAAAGTGGGAAATTAGTTAGTTTATAATTTTCATAATAAAAATTTTGTTTTTGTTGTTATTTTAGCAATTTAAATTCAGATAAATTATTATTAAAAATATAGAAATATCTAAAAATTGAATAATTTGATATGCTTATAACAATTATGAAAATATTAAGATTTATATGTATGAATAATATAATTGTTAAATTGAAGAAATGAGAATACTAAATTTTTCAATCTATAATAAATTTAAATCATTTTTTTAGTAAAGTCCTCATTTTAATTAAATCACTTTACAGTTCTTCTTAATTTATACACTAAGTAAACTCTCCTAATTATTATATAATTAGAAACCATTTTTTTTTAATAATTCTTCCAAGAATGTATTTTTTTTCAACCAAGGCTCATAGTTTTATTAAATACTGCTTTCTTCTAAAGAAGCTTTTTTTGTTAAAGAATGTATATATTCTGGATCTTAATCAGATTAATCTGCTTAATCTTAATTTATTATTGATTTTGTTGGCTATGACTACTTTTTCTTTTTATCTTTCTCTATCCTACACCAAGGACATTTATATTTGAAACTTTTATGTTATAATTATGATTCAATATCTGATACTTCGCAATCAATATGTGTCTAATAAAATCTTGATAATTATTATACCCATTTCCCACAACGTTGATTATCACATTAAACCCACTTCTTTCCATCAAGGAAATTCTATTCATCATCTTTATAAACTTAAGCACAAAAGTAACAACACTTCCTTCTCTTGTAAAGTTCATAGCAAGTACCACATAAGAGGATGGTCGAATCCGAAAATTGGGCTACTTTCAAATCAAAAGAACTGGGGCAGTATTAATTGAAACATTATCTAACAGGCGGATACTCACCACTTGTTGACATTATTTCAATTTTTTATAATATTTATTATTTGCTACTCCAAATTATGGTAATAATATTTATCTATACATTAAACAACATATATAAAGAATAAATAAACATTTAAATTAAAAAAGAAAATATACATATTCTCTCCTCTAATCCTATATTTAAAAAGAATATAAAAATTATCCTATTATTGAATGTCATAATCTCAACTTTTTTATTATTATTATTAAAAATTGTAAGAACACACAGGTCAAGGCTATTGCATTAAGTGCAATTATGACATTGAATTTTACAGATTAGGAATCTAGTTCTGATAGTGTATTTCTAAAATCATGAATTATATTACATACTTATCCGAATCTGATAGCTTCTCAATTTTTATGAATTTTTTAATCAACTCTTAGGCATAAAAATGACCATTCGCACAGAATACTATTCCTATTAATAAAGCTAATGCCTAATTTAAAGTAATTCATACTAAGGTTAGAATTATAAAAGCTTAAGTCACAGCTATATTACTCCATTCTAAGGCTTATTATAATTTTGCCTTAGTTAAATAATAAACTTCAGGATCTTAATTGTTACTTATTATCATCTTGTAGTCACTATCCCTTTTTTATTATAAATTACATCTTAAAGTATTCAACCATTCTTACAATGGCTATAAAGAGAAATATACTGAACGCAACTGCCTATTTATTATAGTTCAAATATTTACTTCTAAATATGGAATCTAGGAAGCATAGATTTCCCTTGTTCTGAAAAATGCTGTTCTACTAATGTCTAAGGACATCGATCCCAATTGAATTTTTAAACTAAGATCATTAGAAAATTATCGTACTCTATGCTTATACCAAATGCAACTATTGAAGCAAGAAATCCTACTACAGACACTATAGGTATTATAATACTCATTAAAATAATAATTATTTTTTAAATTCTTTTTTCCATAAATCCTTAATAATTTTTATTCAACCAAACTTGAAGTCAATTATAGAGTACTTATGTTAATATATATAAAATAATAGAAATTCTGGAATAAAACTTAGTTTGAGTTGAACTTTTTTTATTATAAAACCTAAAGTACTTTTTTTGATATAGAGCAACATTTATTTCAAGTTATTTTTCTATAAATTTTAGCGTATGCAGTTTAAATTTTGTTTGATTGTTTTTAGATATATTGTTAGTACTTTAGAATTGAAATAATAATTTTTTAAGGATTTAATATAAAGGATTTATAATAATATTTCTCAAATATGTTATAAACCAATATTTTCTTTGAAAACTTATTGAAATTTTAATATTAATTCAACTTTTTGGTTAGTTTTAATTTATTTAAACAAATATTTGAAATAAATTTATGATATTTATACTCAATTCTTAAAAATTCATTTATGATTTTTATTGGAATCTATAAAGTACATAAAATTCTAATTCTTTTAATTTATTTGATATTATAAATATTATTAAACTTTCTGATATTTCTGAATACAGTTGATTAGTATATAAAAAATATTATATAATTTATTATAATTAATTTTTGAATGAAAAAGGTGTTAATGCTTGTATTCAATATTTCTATTATTAGGATGGAGTAAATTTGTCAATTGATGATCTGAAGGAAATTTTATAAGGAAATTTAGATGTTGTTGTTGAAATATAAGATCATGTTAAAAACGTATATATTTTAGTGATATATTAGCATATACTTCAATCAAGAAATACAGTTGATATGATTGTGTAAAAGAAGATACCAATCTATGGAATTAGCACAGGGTTTGGTAAATTCAAAGAAGTAATTATAATAATTTATATTCAGATTTACATTCCCCATTAAGAAATGGTTGATTTATAAAAGAACTTAATTATATCTCATGCTTCATGTGTTGGTGAACCATTAAAACCACATATTGTTTTGGTAATGATGATTTTAAGATTGAATTGTCTAATAAGAGGATTTTCTGGTGTAAGGATGTCTCTTATTGAATCTCTATAACAAGCAATTAATAAAAAAATAATTCCAAAAGTTCCTTGTTAAGGCTCAGTAGGTGCATCAGGAGATTTGGCACCTTTATCACATCTAGCATTAGGACTTATGGGAATTGGATAGATTTGGAATGATGGATAATATATAGCTGCAGATTTGGCTTTAAAAATGCATAATTTTGAACCTTTAGAATTTATGGAGAAGGAAGGATTGGCTATGAATAATGGAACTTAAATGATGGCTGCAATAAACTTAGAAACTTTGATGAGATCATAATATGTTATGAATGCAGCAGATTTAGCTTTGGGATTAACAAGTTATGCTTTGTAGAGTAATAATTTATTAATAATTTATTAGCTAATTATCATTTCTTAAAAAATTACTCTAAGAGTGATAATAAATCAAAAAATATTGTATTCAATTTAATTGGAGAATAATGGACAGATTAAATTAAAACTAATCCTAAAAGTATATAAACTGCATTTACTACACATTAAATTATTAGATAATCAATATAAGAAAATTTAAGGATTTTAGAAAGAGAGATTAATTCAACAAGTGATAATCCAATTATTGATAATGAACAACAATCTGCAAAATCTGGTGGTAATTTTCATGGAGAATATATGGGAATTTTGGCTGATAATATGTGTATAGCCTTACAAAGACTATGTATATTTAGTGAAGTAATAATATTATATTTATTATATATTAGAGAAGATAAGAACGATTGGTTAATTCAGAAATTGGGGATTGTGGATTGCCTATGTTTTTAACTTCAAAAGGAGGCTTATTAAATGGATATATGATTCCACAATATACTAGTGCTGCATTAGTTTCTGAGAATAAAGTACTCAGCCATCCAAGTTGTATTGATACAGTTCCTACTTCTGCCAATATAGAAGATCATGTGTCTATGGGTGCATATAGTGCTAGAAAAGGATTATAAATCATTTAAAATGCAGAATATATTATAGCAATTGAATTAATGTGTGCAGCTTAAGGATTAGAATTTGCAAAAATCTAATTACCACCTAAGATTTAAAGTTGTCTCAAATATATTAGAAGTATCATTCCTGATGTTAAGACTCAAGTAAATTATTAAAAATAATTTAGGATATTTTTATGAATTAATACATAGAAATAATGGCTAAGAATGTTAGAGATGGTCACATTAATCATTTAATGGAAGAATTATAATTATTATGAATATGCAATTTTTATTATAATCATCCTCCTATAAACTTTCTTGCTCTTGGATCATTAGTTAAATCCAATTCTTACTTTAAGGATTTAAACTATTTAATAAATTAACTCACCAAACCAAAGAACCATCCAGTTCCTATATTGAATAAATTTTAAACTCCAGTTATAGACTTAAGTCTTAAAGACTAAAATAATATTTGAACTGGAACATTAATCAGTTAAAATACCATCCAAAATTGAATTCTTAAATATCCTATATTATTATTCTCTACAAATAAATAATTTTAGATAATTGATAAAAACTACATTATCAACTAATAATGAAGACCTGAAAAAAACCCAAAAAATCCTCTGGATTAATAAATATCTTTGAAACTATCAGTTATAAATAAATTCTTTGCTAATGCATTGATAAATATGACTGTCAAAGGATAAAATGCTATATGAAGTAAACACTTTTTGATATACTCCAATTTGGATGAAAAAGCATTTCTGTTAATTTTATTTTCTAACCATAAAGTTGGAAAAAGCAAATAAAATTGAGCTATTGAATTATTATCATCAAAAGCAGCTCTTATTGGTTTATTCAACCAAACTTGATAAGAGATATTATCAATTGGAGTTGATAAAAACTATAACATTTGATCACTACTTATATTATGAATTATTTAAAAAATAAAAAATCCTTTTTTATAATAATAACAAAATTGTACAATGCGTATTTATATCCATATCCTATATTATTCTAATTAAAATTAAATACCTAATGATTAATAAATAAATTCTGAATAAATAGATCTCTTTTAGAAAAAATAAAATCAATTTTATTTTATAATTAAATTATTTAAATGAGATGGTACCTATGAGGAGTAAAATAAAATGCTTAATTGTACATAGGAATATTGTAAATTATTACAGTAACTATAATATATATTAAAGAATATATACATACTCAGATATTATGAAGAAAATATATTATTGAGTTATTTTATTTAAACTTGGTAGTTAAGTTTTTAGGATTTATTTCAAGTTCCTTTATTTTATTAGATAAAACAATTATAAGTAATATTGACATACTATTCACTCTCAAATAAACAAAAAATAAGACTAAATTATATACTGATATTTGTCTTATAAAATACATTTCTTTAAGCATCTTCAAACTTAATGAATAAATTTAATATAGAGATTAAACTAAATAGTTTTAATTACAAATTGTTTAGGAAATTAGAATCAGGAGATTAGATGAGAAGTAAATCAATAATTTACTTATCCATCATCTTAAAAAATTTAAATGCTAAAATAGCAGAAATTTTAAATTCGAATAATTATACCATTCGATTATTTACATCTCGATAAGGAAAAAGCCAATTCTTATCATGCTTTCAGAATCTATTTTTTGAACAAGTTAGACTCTTCTATTTTAAGTAATTTCATTAAGAAATATATACTAGATATCTTCTTTTTCATTATAACATTTAGTTTTTAGCAATCACTCATTTATTAGTTTTTATTTTTAGCAATATGAATGAGTCTTTTAGGAATGTAGTGTACTAAGAGTTGTTGAGATAAATTTAGTAATATTAATATTTAATGTAGCATGAAATTAAAGAGTTTACAATATGAATCTTTATTTTTGATTACAGACTCAGACTTAATTGGTAATACTTTTGATTTAATGTTGCAATTACTTTTACTTTATAAATTTTGATATTCAAAGAATTTTCCTTCAAATTCATTTTAACAACAAAAACCTTTTTGATCATATTATTTAAAAGATTTATTTACTTATTCTAGTTATATGTCAGTTTTAGAAATCAGAGTATATCAACAAAACTTAAAGGGTAGTATTAATAATTATAATTATATTATTATTCTTCATGTTTCAATTAATATAAATTTATTATAATCATGGGAGGATGTCCATCAAGATGTGAAGTTAAATGTGGAAATAGTTTCAGATATGAAGGAAGTACACTAGAATTAAACTTTGAGCAATAACCTAAAATTGTAAGAAATAAGGATAGAAATCGATCAGCTTCAAGTTCTCGTTAAGGAGAATCTTCAACTTTACCTGCTACTAATTTTCGAAGAGAAATAGAATATTCAGATACTATTTTACATACATAATCAGATCCGAAAAATGAATTAATTGCTAGCAATATTGAAGTGGAATTACTACCTGTTTTTGTAACAACAAAATACATTAATGAATCAACAGTTTAATACAGATAAAATAGATTTATGGAAGATTTAGAAATTGAAGTCAGAGCTAGAATTTAAGAAATGTAATTATCATAATAAAACCAAATAGAAAACAACAAGAATAAGAGGAAAGATAAAGATTAATCATAAAAGAAATTGTTTAGTAATAATTAGAATTTAAAAAATTGAAATCAGAATAAATCTCTAACTCAAAAAATTATTATTTAGAAAATTCATAAAAGTTTAATTAAACATAATAATTATCAATTAATAAGAATACTTCAAAAGAATCTAAAGATTCTTAATTCTAATCACTTTAATCTAGTTCATTGTAGTTGTCATCTGAAAAATAATCCAATATTCCATCATTCAACAATAAAACAGATCCTCTTAAATATTCAACATAAAATCAACATCAAAAAATTAAAGCTTTTGAGAAAATCATAAGTAATTATTATTTAGAAGATAATACTTACTATAGCAAACAAAGAGGAATTCTTAAATAACATAATTAAATTCCAATTTCATAAACTTCAAAAAGTTTGCCTAATAAAATATAGACAAAATCAAAAATATACAAAAAAAAAAGAGTTCATTTTTCTTAGGATACCAATTTCAATTTTGAAAAAAAAAGTGAAGATAAAAAGTCTTCAAAAACATGGTGGAAATCTATTTTTTGATCCTTCACATATTTATTATTATCTAATTCAATTATAATTTGAAAGAATATTTGAGTTAGACATTTTTGATTGTTTAAATTAGGATACTTTCTAGAATGAAAATCAAACTTATAAATTATAAATTAAATTAACAAAATATCCAAGGAAATACATTATAATTCGAATTTAATAATAATAGGTTATAATATATATCAATCTTTTGCAGCTCTATAAATTTTATTACATGCATCCTCCAGCAAACCTAATAAATTCTCTTGACTTTCTTCTCTTAATTTTTTTTCCTCTTCAATCTCACTTTTTACTCTTGAAACCAAATCTTTTAGCATTTCAAATATTGCAGCTTCAGATTCCTCTCTGTTTTTATTTTATATCATATATATATACCTTAATTTCTTTTAATTTGACAATCCTTCATTTAATCTCTTGATTTCATCTCCTGCCCTTCTTAAAGTGCCATTATCACTATCTTCTCTATCTTAACCTTCTGACTTCACCAAATCATATAATTTTGGTAAATCATTTTCTAAAGAATTAGTGATATTTTCAATTTATTCCTATCTAATTTTACTTTCGGTCTAAATATCTGATTTTAAATAGACAACCTATGTTTATTAAAGATTACTACTTTTTCATCCAAGTAGCCTTATAATTTAAGATTACCATCCTTTCTAATTGAAATTTCTTATTCCAATTTAGTCGTTATACGACTTTCAAAAGCAGCAATTTCTCTCACTTTTTATTCAAACTGTGTCTCAAAAGCATTGTTTTCTTCTTCAATTTATTTTTATAATCTCACTATTTCATCCTTAAGAGAATGCTATAATGAGATACAAATGTGTACCAATTTTCTGTTATAAGATGTAATTGTATCTTGTATTCTCTCCTCTACACCAGATACACGTCCACAAATAACATCAATACGATGAGCTTTGGAACTATCATGATGCATTTAGATTGAACTGAGTTTTTCAGAAATTTTAGCAAATCGTTCGTTGAATGGTGTATTTGGATTCATTTTTATTTATTTTATTAACAAATTTTATTTGTATTATTATGAATAAATAACAATGTAATTACCATTATAGTTTTAAATTTATCATTGTAGGTAATTCTGGAGTTGGGAAGAGTTGTTTACTCCAATAATTTATTGAAGGTTAATTTAAAAATAACATTGATTCAACGGTTGGAATAGGATTTGGATAAAAAGATATCATATATAAAGACAGTGTAATCAGAATAAATATTTGGGATACTGTAAACTTCTTAATATTATTTAGGCAGGTTAAGAGTCATTTAGGTCTATTACAAGAGCATATTATAGAGGGTAAAGAAAAGTAATTTAATATTTAGATCGATTGCTTGTTTATTAGTTTATGATGTGACAAAGAAAAAAACATTCCATCATTTGATTAATTGGTTAAATGAGGTAAAGTAAGATTCATCAGCTGAGATAATGATTGTAGGGAATAAAATTGACTAGTGGGGAAGGGAAGTTTCTCAAGATGAAGGAATATAATTAGCCTAATAAACAGGCTGTTTATATTTAGAAACATCAGCAAGAACTGGGGAAAATGTTTTACTTGCTTTTGAAACTTTAGTACAACGAATATATATGAAAATTAAGAATAAGGAGATAGATATAAATGATCCATAAAATGGAATTAAATTGGGATCAATGACTGAAGTATAACTAGTCGTTAATAAATCTAATGGAAATTAGAATTCTTCATGTTGCTGATGAATTTTTGATGTTTATTTTAACAAATGATTTATTTTTAAGAATTTCGCCAAAATATAGAATAATGAAGCAGCTTTAATTTAAAAATAAGAAATCATTTTTTATGACACTACTAATTAGTAGTAACTTATGCATTTAATTTTTAGTATTTATCAGATAATAGATTGTCTTCAATAAATTAAAACTCTTCTTCACTCTGATTATTACTCTTCTATTAATGAGGTTTTTTAAGATGATCAGGAAATGCTTAAACATTTATAAAGATTTAGCTTTCTTGTTCATCTGGAATTGGTTCTTACAATTCTTCACTTATTTCTTCATTTGACAGAGAGTAAATAATGCCAACTGAATTATAAATACTATTATTATAATTCCCACTTCCATAATTACTATTGTTCGTTTAATTTGATTCCAATTTCATCATAGGAAGTTGTAATTGACTTGGTCTTGAATGTGTATTCTAATAAATGTTATTGTTGATATTTGATTAAAATTTTTCATAGTTCTTAATTTATGTCTCTTCAGGCTATAAAGATCCAAATCTATTCACAACAAGATCTTAATAATTATTTTATTAATCCCATTCGTATCTATTGTCTAATATTATATTTAAATGTTTAGCTGCTTATTGTAATAATTTAATTATTGTTTTATAATCTGGTTCAGTGTTGTATGTTAATTTTCTTAAATATCTATTACTATCTAAACTTATATTACTCATAAATTTTAATAAATTCTATTGGCAAATCTTTAAATAATACTTTTGGATCTGTTGTTTCTTTCAATTCCCCTATTTTTTAGGTTCTTTAATCATCTGGGATGTGTCTTAAATTCTGCCATGGTAAAGTACTAATCTAATGATCAAAACAATTAATACCCTTTTAAACAGAAGATCATTACATAAAATAATGATTCTACATCATCCTTTCTACTTAATTCTTATCCTTTATGAGCAGCAATAGATGCATAACGAGCAGTTCCAACGAAAGGCACTTTCTCTTTAAAAGGTCTTGTCTTATATTTAAATATTATACATTAGGCCTCCATTTTTACGTTAAAATATTTTACTAATCCCAAAATCTATTAGATAAATAGCATTTTAATCATCCAACATTATATTTTCAGGTTTCAAATCTCTATGCAATACACCCTATTTATGTATTTCTTCTAAAATTGTGATCAGCTAAATTGTGATTTAAAGTATCGATTTTAAACTAAATTTTTTCCTTTGCTTTATTAAAGAGGATAAATCTTTTTAAAGTAATTCCATCACTATTGTATTATAATTCTCATAAGTTCCATAATAAAGTAATTTTGGTATTCCCTTTATATTTTATAACCTTGATAAAATTTCCACTTCTCGATCTAATGAATGTAAATGTTCATTTTCTGGTCTTTCAATTTTTATGGCCACCAATTTACCATTTCTTTAATCAAATCCTTACATTACAATGCCAAAGGATCCTTACGAAATTCTCTTTTGTGTAAAGTATTGATTATTTATTTTAAGTTATCTCATACACAAATTTATATTAAAGAACCATCATTAATTTATGTTTTGAAACAAACAAAGAAAATTTCATTAGAATATTTTTTTATCTTTCTTGAATAATTAAGACAACCAGAAACATATACTTTATAAACTATCATTTAGAATTGAAGTATGTTTTTATTTCATCTTAAATATTTTATTAGATATATTTCAAATTTATTTATATACATCAAAATTACAAAAACAGATTTATTTAATTTTAATAAATTTTGAAATGAAAAGATCAATTCAAGCAATTTTCATTTTTTTTATTTATATAAAAAGAATAAACAAAAATCATAATAAAAAAATTATAATTTATGAATGATTCTATAATCAAACAATCATTATCAACTTTTAAAATATTTATGATTTAATCAAAAATTCATAATCATAATAAACAATATAATTAGGCTATATTAATTTTCTTTAACTTTATTAAATCTGCTCAATCAATTTCACCCTAAATAAAATATTTTTTAAACATTATTAGAAAATGTTTAATGAATAGTATTTTTCTAATTTTTTATTTGGAATTTTTGAAATTAAAAATATAGTAAATAACATAAAATTCTTAAATGATTTAATAAGACATAATATTTATGGGTTTATTAAATTAAAGAGATTAAATATTATTATTGTTTATAAAAAATATATATATTGAAACTTATTTGAAGAGATATTTCAATAGAATGAATAAAAGTTATAAGTGTTTTTATAAACAAAAAAACATCCTCACTTATGGAAAGCATTCTTAGCTTAATCAAAAACCCCTTCTTATTTTTAAGCCTGATTTTAAGACTCTGTTTTTTCTAACTAATTTATAATTAATAAATATAAATACTTTTGCTAATTCTTGAAATATCTCTCTCTGTTTATCATTTAATTTAGTTGGTATTTATATTTTGAAATTGATAACTTAATCACCTTTCTAATTTTAATTGGGTGCCAATTTGTTAATTCCCTTTAATATTTTTTAATTATATATACTAATCCATTTAATCTCATTTTTTCTCCATCTTAACATCCAGGTTTGATTGAGACCTATTTATCACCATTCAAAGTCTTAATTTTTATAGTATCTCCTAAAACTGCTTATGCAACAGAAATATAAGCATTAGTAATCAAATCATAACCTTCTCTTTTATAATATGGGTCAGGTTTGACTGAAATTTTAACAATAAGATCTCCTGATTTACCTCCATTTTCTCCTACATTTCCTTTACCTGTCACTCTCAAATTTTGACCATCAGCTATTCCCTTTGGTATATTGATAGTTTCATTAGTTGCTTATTTCTATATACCAACTCCTCTACATGAAGTACCTATAAATAAATGAAATAGAATGGATACATGGATTTTTGATTGAGATTCCAGTTCCTCTACATTTAGTGCATGCCATTTATATAGTCATAGCTCCTTATCTATAATTAATAGATCCTCTTCCTCCACAATGAGTACATCTTCCTGGGGCAGTACCAGGTTTACATTTAGTACCATTACATGTAGTACATGTACCAACTTTCTCAAATTATATTGTCTATTGTGATCCTTGAATACTATCCATAAACGAAATTTCCATTTGAACATAAATATCAGCTCCTTTAATAGTTCTTTCAGCTTCTCCTCCCATGTTAAAAAAGGATGCAAAATCCCCAAATATTGATTCATCAAATTCAAATTCTTGTCCTCTACCTCCTCTAGCTCCTTATCTAAAGAAACTACTATATGCAGCAAAAGGATCCTATGCTCCAGCCTAATCCTATTCATCTCCTGTCATTCCCACTTAGTCATAGACTCTTCTTTTATTATCATCTGATAATGTTTCATAAGCACTAGAAATGTAGAATATAATTGTTACTTATTAATTTCAGCAAACTTTTCTTTGGCATCCTTAGATGGATTTGCATCTGGATGATACTTTTTGGCTAATCCATAATAGGCTTTTTTGATATCATTCTATGAAGCATTCTTAGGTACTCCCAATAATTCTAAATGGTTAGATACATAATTACCATACAAATCTCTCTTAGATGAGAAAGAGAAAAAAGGAGTGAATGCAAATCTCCTTAAAACATTTTTAGTAAAAACTTGCATTGTTAACCGGAAATAAATTATTATTAAAATCACTATGTTATCATTTTCATAAATTCATTTAGTTATTCATGTTTATTAAATACTAATTCTATTGATTGATGTTTCGAAATTACTAAAACTAATGATTATTAACATTGTTTCACTTCCTTAATTTATTTCAAACATAATGCTGATTCTTTTTGACCTAAATCATGGATAATTTTATTAGAATTATAGAATTCCAAACATTTCATTTTTTAATTATATTTTACAAATTTGCTTGAAAATGCTGAACATCCATTTTTATTATTTGTAGATTATTATCTAAATGTTCTCTTTAATACTTTAAATATCTTTTCTCCTATAATTTATTGAGGAGGAGGTGATTTTTCCATTTGAAAATCTGGGAATCTTCTTGCAGAGGACTATAATACTTTAATCATTTTCATACATGTAAACTTAATGATTGCTCTATAGATATATGATGATTATTAGACTGAGGTGATAATAATGGATTTTTTTGAGATGTTTATGATGATAAACTAGTTTATTGTTTCAAAGCTAATTTAGTCTTAGAACATAATGGATCAGATGAACGATGTCCTAAAAAACTATAAGTAGAAAGACTTCTATCTGTTGGTTCATTCATAAATAGTTATTTTTTGGATCTTAATACTGAATATTTATGAGTTGTTCTTTCTTAAGACATATCTATTTATATGGTTCCCAATATACTCATATCTCTGGAATCAGAAGGAGGAATATTCTCTTTTTTTGTCTTCATAATCGATTCATTCAACTCAATTAAATATCTTGTTTACATTTAATCTAATTTTATATACAAATTTTCATACTTTCTTAATCTTCTAATTATTTAAGTTTTTATCTTAAATTTTCAACATTTTAATTATAGAGAATTTATTATTATTGATACTATTTTCTATTTTCTTCTATTTATTATTCTATATTATTATTAACTATGTTTGAATCGAGAATTAAAATTGGTAATTTTTGAGATTAAGTAGAGAATATTTTATAATAATAATCTTATTCTATGCCTATTGAATATTACAAATCTTTAATTTAAGAATTCAACTATTATTTCATTTACATTAGATTATCTTGTATTTATTTAATTTATGCTGGGAATGTAATTTCAAAAAGTGTTTTATTTTATGATTTCAAGCATTCAATATGATTCATTCTATCAAGGATCTACTACAATCTTTAAGCAGTTTAGTTTTATTCAAGAACAGGTAGATTAGATTCAAGTCTATTGTATTAGGTTTAAATCATAGATTATTCATACATAATTTAATGTATCTGTCTCTGTATATCTATAAGATGTGTTCTATTCTTAATTTATTATTTTTGTACTTATGTTATTTCAATTGGGATTCTATTTTGAACTTATAGATTCGCTTAGGTAATTCAGTTTTAAGAAATTACGAATACTCTATAATTTAAGCTTAATCCAAATATTCTTAAAATATGGTACTATTGAATACTCTAAAATTATTATCATTTTCAATTTATCGAATATTTTCAATTATTACATATTAATTTGTTTTAGAGTTCAACCCTTAAACAATTTTATCATTAATTAGTAATACTATATTGCAAAATAAATCTAATTATTATTCAGATTTCACATTAGTTACAATTAAATTGTAAAGTTAATCTACATTGAACCATGAAGATTATAAGCCTTTCATTTATTTTTCAATTTAAATTGATTTAAATTGCAACTCTAAAGTGTTGATATTTTATAGAAAATCTGTTTAAAGAATTTCTTATTCTTATCGTTAATTAGCTAATTATATATAGTTATGTTTAAGTTGGCTTAAATTTTTATTGATTTCAAAAATAGTTTTAATATTATTGCATTATGATCTATTTTATTATGAATCAATGATCTATTCTAGTTCTTCATATTCTATTAAGAGAGTATCCATTTACAAAATTCTTCCTTCAATATCATTTTATATCATTTTCTTTTATTCTTAAAATTGAACAATCTTGAATTCTGTTTAAAAGATTCTTTCAAGTAAGATTAACTTAGATTCTGAATGTTTTAACAATATTTATTATTATTAAATCGTTATTCTTTATCCAATTTATTATGATAAAGGATTCAAAAAGAACCCTACTTTTTATGTCCAAACATTATTTTATAATGCTTATTTTAGTTCTTGTATTGTTATTTAGTGATGTTACTTTTATAATTAATCTGTTAGTTGTTGCTATTTATTCATATAGTCTTTTATGATTTATTAGTTTTTGTCATTCAATTCATTTATAGATTATATGATGTTATCTTACTATTATTTTAGGTTTTGTAATTTGTTAACAGAAGTTGAGTTTCTGTTTTTTAATTTCATTTAGATTTAAATAATTTTATATACGGTTAATTAAATAAATGGGAACTAAAAGAAAGAGAGTGATAATGTAGGCAGGATCCCTTCTGAATCCAATATTTAGATATGTGTTAAAGATGAATTTTGTTGCTAATCCTACTGATATTCATGGTACTAAATTACTAAGGTTTTTTTGAATGAATTATCCTTTAGACATTTGTAATATTAAACAATGAATTTGGATAAGAAATTACATCAACCAAATTTTGAATCTAATTATAGAGAGTCAATCGAATGTATCTCCAGTAAATGGGAAATCAAGTTTGGTATGCAATTCCATTATCCTAAGTGAATGGATGGGAAAGGACATTTTATATGAAATATGCAGATATGTCAACTTTGCATTAAACCATTAAACAATATAATCATTTCATAGAAGGTCAAAGAGCTCTTTAAGGAGAGGATGATGAGCCAGATGATAACCTATTATAATATTGAATGAAATATATTGGAGAATTATCAGTGCGGGATTTATTATATTTCTTTTAATAATCATGACACGAGTGCTTTAGAACTTATAGAAACCATCGATATAGCAAATGCTTACAAAATGCTAAGAGGAGGTCTGAAATCTAAATTGAAACAATTAGCCTCCATCTTTCCATGTAATAATTGGATTGTTTTATCATCTCCAGCTTTGATTAATTAGAAATTACGAGCTGATGCAATTTTGGCTCGTCTAATTATATAGTTATTGAAAATTACCCAAAGAAATTCAGTTAATAACAATCCTTTTCTTAATTATAATGTGGTCTTAATGTAATTAATTCTAATTAAATAATAATATAATAAACAAATTACCTTCCCATTATTTTGTATCTAGATTTAGAAATACAGTATCAAAATATCTAGGTTCATTTGCCATAATATTAGTTTCATATTCTATTTTCATTAATCTTCTTCTCTTTTAACCTATCCAATCTGGAAATTATAATTAAGCAGATTCTGGATATCCATCATCATAAACAACCATTGAAGTTCCCCAAATGTTTCTTTCAACACATCCTAAATATGAATCATTATATTTCTAATATTTTTCACATTTATTATCATATATTTATATTTCTGCATGTGCTTCTAATTATACTCCATAAAGATATTGCTATTAATCACTTTATTTTTTTATTATATATATATGTGGATATTCTGAATCTTCTGTTTGATCTGGAATGTCAGCATTTCTCAATACTTAAAATTGTGTGTATTCATTAATAGGTTTGAAAACAGCAGCTCTTTCCTTTTCATATTATTTATATAATGGATATAGGAATGTTGTATTTATTTTTAAGGAGAAATTCTTATTATTAATTCTAATTATATTAGGTTTTTCTATTGATAATTGTTTTAGATTCTAAATAACATCACTTAATAATGGATCAGTGATTTCTTTAAGGATTCCATTATAAAAATATAGTATTTATTTTACTAATCTGAGAATAAATTAAAAATTTACTTGTACATATACATCTAATATTTTGATTCATAATGGACTGTCACTAATAATAATTTCATAATAATTTCTAATGTAGGTTTTTTGGTTAAGAATTTAAATGCAAGATCTTATGCAATTTCATCATTAAAAAGACATCCACAAATTAAGAGTCCATATTATGATTTTAAATCCTATGATTGAAGTAGTAATTAACATTCAGTTGAATTTTCACGAATTTTAAAGAATTCAAAATAAAGCAACAAATCTTATTCTTCAGGCAATCTTATACCATTTGATCCACATACAGGCATCTTAATCTAAATTTATAGATACTTTAATCAAATCTTGTTTCTCTATGTAATTCTATTTTAACAATTTAATTTGCTAAACTAATTGTCTTTCTACAAATACATTATACTCCTTTTTCATTCCTAATTCCTCATTTTCTATATTTTCTTAATTGAAATCTTACCTATTACATCATCAAATACTATATCAATTTCATTTTCTACATTATCTTCTCTCAATTCTTTCTATGCCACAAACTAATTCTACTAAAATAATGATACTTCTGGAGTGATTGTACATTTTACATAAATTTACACAAAGTTTTCATTTGACAACATTGGAACCTTAGTATTTATAGGTTTATCCTCTACAGGTTAACTCATTTAATTAGCACCAAATAAACTCTTTTAAAATCGCTCTTCTCTTTATTACTATAATAACTTTAGATCTATTTGTTATTTCATTAATCAATATAAAATAAAAAATAAAGACAAATATTTAATCACGTGTCTTCATTCTCTGTGGTGTGAGGCCACGCATCTATAATTTCGCAATCATCCCAAGACATCTCAAATACACTAACCTTCTGTATTAAGTTGGAACTACTAATCATTTCCTGTTGTTGTTACATTTAACCATTCTGGATTATTTGACATCCATTCATGAGGTTGATGTATATAATACATTAGAACTTCATTCTTATATCGTATATATTCCTGAGGATTCTGAGTTTCTCCTCTTAAAATCATTAATGTAGATTTAGATTTTAAGTACCATAATAAATAATGTCTAAAAGCTTATTTTCTATTCTTAACTATTTAATTATCTTCTTATATCTAAACCAAATGATCTCTCAACACTCTGAAACCAGTAATTTATTCCAATTATCTGTTATAGTACATACTGAATTATTTGGCATCATCAACTAATTCTGATAAGTAAGAAATGCAATCTTAGTCTTTATACATTGACTTTATAGCATGTCTTAATATGTTTCTGCAAATGTTCTTCTTATAATCTTTTTAATTCCTTTCCTTTTTCGATGATTTCTTTATTTTCTTATTTACAGTTTAACTACTTTCCTTCTTATTCACTTCTTAGTGATATAAATTAGGCTAATTAACAATGTTAGTTGATCTCTACTCAAAATCAATATCGAATGCTTAGAATGAATCATTTTTAAAAAGATTCAGTTTTTAATACTAAATTTTGTTGTTTTCTTCTATGTTCGAACTGAAATTATCGAAAGATTCAAAATCACTCAAGTATTGATGTAACATTTTAGTTTGGATATTTTATTTTTTTTTAAATATTTCTTTTAATATTCAAATCATCTATTTAATAATCTAAACACATTATTCTTTAATAATTATTAACTTTCTTGATGAATTCCGATTTAAGAAAAGATCACTTAATATTTACTATATTATATAATAAATAAATATTTACTCTAAATTATTTATCCTAAAGTTTCTAATACTATTCATATACTCTTAATAAAACTTATTATTTCCTCTGAATTTTGTTGTCATCAACTATACATCTAAAATTTCAATTATAATTATTAACTAATTAACAAAATCATAAACATGTTATTTATTTGATTCATAATTTAGATAAATTATTATTATATGGGATCTTGCTCAATCAAATAGCCATAAATTGTATAGAACATGAAAATAGAAAAACAATGCTCTAGTGAAGAATAAAATGAAGAAACCTAAAATATGTTTTAGCCTCCATTAAAAGCAAATGATGAAAATATCAGATTAGATACTGCTTAAGAAGAATGTGATATTTAGAAAAAGATATATTAACTTCAAATTACTAAAACAGAACCCTTAAAATTAGAATCTATAAATTCTATTGCAATGTACATTAAAGATGGTCTTGAAATTTAGATTAATTAAACAATCTCAGAATATGGCTTGATCTCATTTAAGGATGGCAGCCAATATGAAGGATATTTTAAATAAGGATTAATCCATGGCTTTGGCAAATTCACAGATCTTGATAATAATATATATATTGGTGAATGGTTTCAAAATAAAAAACATGGTTATGGCAAGGAAGTAGTGATAAGTATCTATACTCTTATTTATAGATCATTATACATATCAAGGATAATTTGTTAACAATTCTAAACACGGTTAAGGTCATGTTTAATATGAAGATGACACAAGTTATGTAGGTTAATTTGAAAATAATCATCTAAATGGTTTTGGTGTTTATCAAGGGTTAAATGGTTTAAGATATGAAGGAAATTGGGTAAATAATTAAATGGATGGTTAAGGAAAGTTAACATTATCAAATAAATCTATTTATGAAGGTTCTTTTAAGTAAAATAAAAAGCATGGTTATGGGATTTATACTTGGACTGATGGAAGACAATACAAGGGATATTGGAAGGATGATAATCAAGATGGTGAAGGAGAATTGGTTAAATAGGATGGTTAACCTGTACAAATTAAATATTAAGAGGGTAAACGAATTGCATCTAATCTAAAAATACTAAGTCCAATCAGTTTTGATTGAATTTTAATCTTAGCAGAAGTTAACTTAAATCATATTAAAAATTTTGTAGCCTTTTTTATGTTTTATAAGATTAATGATTACAAAAAAACATTTTGTAAAAAGATTGAAATTGAAATTTAAATTCTATATTTTGAATTAAGTTTATTTTTCTGCATGAAACAAAAAATATAAAAAAAAATAACAAAAATGTTTTTGGTTAAATTGCAGTCTGAATTCTCAAAATTGTAATTTAGTATATATTGTTGATTAGTAGTATTGATAATAAATTTATGTATATCTGCATCTTATTTTGAAAAGAAATAGTGAAGTACTAGTCTTTTAAAATTACAAATCTTGTGATTCTTATAGTGAGAATATTATAAAAATTAAATAATTATAAAAATCAGTATTAAATAGTTGATCCAACTTATTGGAATATAAAATTTGAATTATATTAATTATATATAAATATGTATTTTAAGGTATCATATTGTAAGATCATAAATTTAGAATAAAGAATGAGATGTCTTTCAATATCGGTATGATTTAAAAAATTATCAACAGCAGTATATTATGATATTATAAATATTCACTCCATAATCAAAATTTTAATTAAATGGCATCTTAAAGTGAAGAAAAAGATTTAATAGGATCAATATTAAGTGGTAATTTATAATTAACTAATCGGAGATGATGAGATTAAATTAGTGTCAACTTTGTGCAAGAGAAGGAAGAATTTATCACTCAAATCAAAAGAATTCAATCCTGAATAACATATCAATTATCAAGATATTCACACATCAAATGCTAGTATAATTTCTACAGGATAGGTATCATAATAGAAATAGCGAATATTTTTTCATACATAAACATCTATAGAAATGTATTTATTTATATATAAATAATCCATTTGTAGACAGTCTTAATTATCTAGTGCTTTAATTTAAACATCAGAGTAAGAATTCTGTGGTTCAGCAGATAATTTTTAATGTATCGAAATTCAAATTATATCTGAATAGAATTTGATTCAATAGAGAAACTGTAGATCAAATAAAAAGCCAAAAAACATCTTACTGTATAACCATTAGAATATTAACATACACAATATTAGTTTAAAAGTGATTAAAGTCTTGATGGAAAAATGTAACTTAGTTAAATGGATCTTGTAAATATAATTATTAAGAATTCTTAGGAATAAATATGTGGCAACCAATTAATAAATAGAAAATTATAAAATGCTTTGGATGGTAATGATTGCAATCAGAAAAGACTCATTTTTTGTTAGGTTGAAAAAATATGTGTAAAAGCAGCAAAAGACATGTTTGGTAATTATACAGTGTAAAAACTATTTGATGTTGCAGATTACGATTAAAAATTTAAATTATATTCTCTTTTGATTAGTCATATTTTGGAATTGTCAAAAAATTAATATGCTTGTAGAGTTGTTTAAAAAATGATAGAATTTGTCAAGTAACCATATATCTATTCAAAAGAGGTTCTCCTGAACAAATTGAATCATTCTTCAAAACACTTTATCCATACATTTATTAATTATTAAATGATGTAAATGGTAATTATGTTTTGCTATCTTGTTTTGAAATATTAGACAAATCTGCATTGCTTTTTATTATCCCATAAATTGAAGAATGTGTAATTAATTATATAAATATAAGATTCCAATTCTCTCAAAATAGACATATGGTTGTAGATTAATTCAAAAAGTTTTAGAACTTTATTCTTACGAAATAACCTAAAGGATTTTAGATATATTGATTTCTATAGCTTATTAATTATGTTATTAGGAATTTGGAAATTATATAATCTAATACCTTTTAAAGAGTGGACCATAAAAAGAAAGATTAATTATTTGCCAAATTATTTAGGAAAATTTCGAAAAATTAAGTATTAATAAGTTTGGTAGCAATACTGTTGAAAAATATATTGATTTAATGGGACCTTCATAAATTATTAAGAACTTATGTACAAAATCAAATGATTAGTACATTATTGATTAATTTTAGATTTGTATTTTATAACTTATCGATCCATCCTTTTGGAAATTATGTAATAAAAAAAGTTCTAATAAGTGGGGATCCTTCAGTTCATTATCTAAAATAATTATTAAAACAGCATCCAGATCTTATTTAATAAATTAAAAACTCAGAATTCGGATAAAGAGTTGGTTTAATTTTGGATACTGTGTGAGTTCCTTCAAATTGTAATAGTAACTTGCTTATGAGTTTTTATTCTGTTCAAATATAAATAAATATTTAATAGAATTCAGCATTGCATTCTCATCATAGTTAATTTTTCATCAGGCATTAAATTAGAACCTTTTCCTACATAAATAATTATTAATTGCTTCGGACAAATTAATTACTCTATTCTATTTTCAATATCTTTTCTAGTAATTCTATTTATTTAATCTTTGAATTCCTCCAATTTATTCAATTTTCCTTTTAATATGATCTAAATAAACATTGTTTTATACATTCTCTAAATCATATAAAAGTTAATCATGTTATCTTTATAAATTTGAATAAAATTTAGTTATAACAATATTCTTTGCTCTCATTATTTCATTATCACTTATAATTCTTAATTTTTTTATTTCTTCAATAGCTAAATTGTAAATCTCTTATTTCTATTTGTTAAAATATTATTTGTACATGTGTATTTATTCCTTTTAAATAAAGACCAAATAACCCAGAATCACTAAAACCATAAGATATACAACCAGCATTTGAGAGGAAATTGTTAAATTGTAATACTAAAATATAAGATTCTATTACATTAATCATAACATCTTGATTTAACTTTGAATCCAATTTCACCACCTTATTCATCTAAATAGATTATATAATAAAAAGACCTAAATTTCCTAAAATCTCACAAATAACATTATCAATTTGTAAGTTTGCTTCATCTTATAAAGTAGGACCTTAAAAAAGAAGAATCACTTCAAAATCACTTGTAATTTGATTTTCAATTCTGATAGTTTAACTTTTAAATTATTCTAATTAATAGAATGGATTAAAAACTCTTTATAAGACTAAATATTTTAAAATTAAAATACATTCTTTATATTTATGAGTCAATTATTCAAAAATATAAACTATTTCTTCATGTTTTCTTCTCCCTTAATAACCAATAAGACAATTAGTTTTTGTAATTTGAGTAGTTTAAAAGGTTTCAAAAGCTTTATTTTCTGGAATAACATTTAATAATTTTAGTTATGGAAAACAGACTTTCAACAAAATTGATGATATTGAGCCATGAAGTTTTTACTATTAGACATTTAATAAATTTGAAATTTCTGAGAATTAGAATGGCATTTTTTATTTTTGAAATGCTACATTGCATATATATTCTGCAGCATTATTACAATCTTCATCCAAGAATAGACAATTTATATTATGAAATTCTGGACCTATAATAAAATTAGCTATAGATTCAGATTCAAATAGGAATTTGCTAAATTAAAAAAAAAACTTTTTACTTTATATACAAATCTTACATAATTTTTAAGGATAATAATGAACCTTATTATAGATGATTTTCTGTTCGAATACCTCCTCTAAACATTATACAATAACTTCCATAAGGTTGGTTTGTACATTTTGTGTATAATGATATACCAGATTTAAGTGTTGTGATTTCTTATTAAATGATGTTAGAAAAGTAGAATTTTAATATCATTTTGATAATTATATTAATATATATATATAAGTCATTAAAAAAAATGTAAAATAATGTCTCATTATTTATTTCTTAATTTTTTTAGAAGAGTATTAACAAATATTATAATTTTTCTAGTTTATCTGAAATTTAATCTAGGATCACAAGCAGTAGTATATTTTTTAGGATTGATATCTTCATCATTTTCTATACATTCAGTTACATCATAAGGTGTACATTCTAAATGTAATCCTGCAGGTGTTTCATTCTATTATTCAAGAATTGTAAAGAATTATTAGATTTCATACATAATATCTTCTATTTTTCTTATCTTTCGACCACTTTTATCCTAATTATTACCATGCATAGGATCTAAAAAAAATGAAATATTTAATTTTTCTTCTTATTTCCATTAAATAATGTCTTTTAATTTATCTAACTTATTTTTCCCTAATCTAATAATAGCAAATGCTCTTCCATCTTCATTTTTTGGATTAATTAACTTAAATACATTAATAAATTCTATCTTATTAATTGTTTATCCAATCTAAATATATTATAAGAAATACTTTAATTCCAACAGGATTGTATAGTCCTTTAATAAAATTTGAATGTGCATGATCATGTAATCTAGTTCTATCTCCTATCCAAGGAAAATGAGTATTAGATAAATAATATTACTTATCTTAATTTTATTTCACAAATGCTGATTCATATCCAAGATGTAAACATTCATGTGAAACCCATATTTATGAACCTTCATATTATTTTAGTGTCTCTAAACCTTTTTTAGCATAATGTGCTCCCAATAATAAGCGTGAAGGATCAGGATCTCTTTCATCTCTACTTAATGAATTAATTAAATCTCCCCTATAATTTAATGTACCATCCTTTTCTAATAATTATGATCGTGGTTTTGCAAATTATCCACAAATCCTACCAATTACTATTGCATCTAAAATTTAACCCATACGCTAAAATAACTTTGTTTTTATACATCATAAAAACTAAATTTCTCTTTCCAATGTTTTTCAGTACATTCATCAAATACTTCTGCACAATCACCCAATTAAAGAACAAATTTCTCACCTTTACTAACTCGAATCATTTAATTCTTGAAAGTATTTATCTCTTCAAAATTTAAGATTCCTGGAAGATTTTTTATTTTTTAAAGAGTATCTTAACTAATTTCAAATATATCATTACTATAATTGAGCATCTGAGTATAATGGTAATTATAAGGCTTAATACTTTTTCCAACTATCTATACTCCATTCTTTATCTTAATTCATAAATAAATTTTAATTTTGGTTCACAAACAATCGTATTTACTTAAATATTGTAATCTCTTTGATTATTAACCTTAAATAACTTTAAAGATCACCTTCTATTTTTGATTTTAACAATATATTTTAATTTTACTATATATTTATATATCATTTTAGTTTTAAACTATATCACAATTTTTTTGAATATCTAACGTGCTTTTTTTCTATTTACAAAAGAAATCAATTAAAATTGATGATTATTATTTCTTAATAATTATAAATAAGCAAAATTTTATATATTTATATATATATACGTTAAATTGATATTTTAATTTCATATTCTTATCTATCATACTCCTAACATACTTTTTTATACATATTAATACATTCAAATGATGCTTACCGATCTACTTAAACTATTGTAATTGGTTTTATGATATAAAATTATGTTTACAAAGCAAAAAATGATTTTTAAGTTCTTGCTGAAGTTTAATAACTTTTAGGTTGAAAAATGAAAATAAGCATTTTATAAATGGAAATAACATTTTTTGGTTAATATAAAAAATAAAAGATGCTTGCACTTCTTCTTCTTATCATATATTAAGTCCAGACTTAAACAATTTAATCCAAAGCTATAGTTAAGGAATTTCCATCAGATGAAGACCTTTTTTCTATTACATTTTAAATCGCATCTACAGAGAAAATAAATACAATATCTATTGATCTTAAAGAACTTAAATGTTTATCAACATCAACAGTAAATAAATCATTTATTTCTTAGATAATACCAATTTTAATTTTTTAAAATGAACCAAATCCATATCAATTTACTATGAATTTTGAAAGTAATACTATAAGTGTTTATATGGACTTTGGATAGGTGATTTATTCACAATTAGAAGTCTCATTTGAAGTCACTTAATTTTACTATCCAACTTTTAATCAAAATCTTAATTATTAAGTGAGAGTCAATAATCAAGATATTAAAACTTTCAATGTAATTAGATAATAGAGAGTATTGGACTAATTAAAAATTTCAAGTGGATCATCTATAACATAATAATATACAGATTTAAATATTGAGTTTATTAATACTTATAAAAACTATCTTTATGATGTAATTGTGATTAAATTTAATCCTATTTATGTATTTGATATAGAAATATCATCATGTAAAGGAATTTAAAATATAGGAAAGGATTTAAATTATTGGACTAAAGACACTAATATATATATTCAACAAAAGACAGGAGATTTTGTAGAAAAAAGTAATTAAAATCCAATAAAAATTAAACTAATAGATTTTCTAAATCCATATTATGTTGGAATAATTAATATAGAAGTATTAATATAACCAATTCAATTTATAGATACATAAATTGTATCTTCACATGATTCTATTTATTATTAAGTTAAAAAATAGAAAAATTAATAGATTATTATAACTTAATAAAATAATTATATTAATTCAATATCATAAATAGATTTGATAATTCATACTTAAAGATTTAATTAATATCTTTAATTGGAAATATATCTACCAAATAAATCATCATAAGATCTCATTATTAAATCAAATGATAATAATATGTAAGTAGAAATTCTCACAAGTGTTAATAAAAGTGTATAATTATTGAAATTAATTATCAATGAACCTAAAACTAATTATGATATTAAATTAATAGTAGAAAATTATTAAAATATTGATATTCCTTGTTAAGAAAAAGGGTTTTACTTTTTGACTGAAATATTTGATTTTTCAGATGATTAATTATAGATTTAATAAGGAAAAGGAATTTTAAATTTCATTCCAAATAATATTTAGTTGATATCAATTGAAACAACAAACAATTATATTACTTAAAGTGCAAAAACCATTATTAAATTTGGAATTGATATTACTATAAAATAAGATTGTAAATAATTAATTTTATATTCTAGCCTTATTGTTGATTATATTCAATGAAAATTTAAATATATCAAAAATTTCAACTTTGAATTAAATCATAAATGATAACACCATCAGTTTATATGGAGTATTCAATGAATAAAAATAAGAATATACAATTGAATTTGAGAATATTATTAATCCTATTGTACCATGTAAATTTAATTATTTAGATTTATAAATAATTTATTTAAATTAGGCATTTGCAAGTAATTAGAATTAAATTGAAATTGAAATTATACCTGAAATTATAACTATGAACAATTTAAATCTTGGTTATTTGATTACAAATACATATACAAATTTGAACTTAGATATTAATTTTAATTTATAACATCAATACTTCACCAATATTGAATTTACATTTGATGAATCAAATATAAATTTTAATTAAATTACTAAATAAATAGAATGTTATTTTGATGCTGTATCTTACATTTGTTAAATACATCAAAACAAATTAACTATTTTTGGACTTCGACTAATAAAAACATCAGCACATTTAGAAATTTTACATTTTCCATATCCAAGATCACTATAATCATTAATTATAAAATCAGTCAGATAATTAAATAGCAGCATAATTTTATCAGAAACATCAGATGTTTATTAGATTTAACCTATATACTAAAGAGAATTCAATAAATTTTAGATTTCTTTATAATCTGTCATTAAGAAATTATAAATAATACCAATGAATATTATCCTTATTCCTTCATAAGATATTTTAAATTAAGAATACTTAATTTTTAAATTTGATAATTATTTTACAATCGAAAGTGATTCATAATGCTAAATTAATAATGATATTGTAAATATTGAATGTGAATTCACAGATAGATAAATTAAAATTTTAATTACAAGTGGAACTTTAATTCATAGTATGAGTTATAGTATACTAATAAATAAAATAAAAGTAATTAGAGAATATCAAACTTTATAATTGAGTGCCTTCACTTAAAACAATTATCTATAATAATAATCATTTTATCAATATAAGATTAAATAATTATCATAATCAACTGAATTTGTAGATTTTACATTTGATCCTTTAAATATTGATTTTTCTAGCTAAAGTAATTATAATTTATTTTTTGAAAATGCAATTAATATACCTATTAATGGATATTTATAATTATCATCCACCTAATTAAGTATAGACTTTTTATAAGGATAAGTAATTTAAGTTTCTGGGGAAGAAGATATTTCTTATACAAAAATAATTAAATAAAACTAAAAATATAGTTTATAATTCTATTTCAGTAAAGAAGTATATAGTGGAATGCATCTATTTAAAATGCAAAATATTAGTAATCCACTTTATTAACAAAGAAAAGAGTATTATACTTTTGAATTGTAAAGTTATGATTAATACAATAATCTTTTAGAATTTAAAGAGTATGATCTTTATTCCATTTTTATATGTCCTTAATCAAAATGTTAAATTTGTAATTAATAAGAATTTTGTGATAAATGTGAAGCAGATTATATATTATATCAAGGTTAATGTTTAAAATAATGTCCAACCAAAACAGTTCTGATTGATAATAAATGTTAAAGATGCAATGCAGGTTCAACTTGTTTATAATGCAGTAATATTGATACTGTTTTATGTACTAGATGTAATGATGGTTATGATTTAATTAATGGATTTTGCATATGGACAACAATATTAAATTCAACTTAGAATGTAAATTCATCAAATAATACATCTAATGATAATATTCACAATGATACTACTATTTTAACAAATAAAACTATTTAATAATAATAATAATAAATTTATGATATTCATATATTTGCAATTATTGTATTATCATTTGCAATCATATTTATATTAAGAAATATATTTAGGAAATAAACAGATTTTAATAATGCATTATTAGCTTTTACTGGAATTTCTGATTTTGTTTTATCATATATCCTATTTGTTATTATTATGATAAATTATACTATATCTTAATCTATTATTTCATTGACTTTATGTTTTGTTACAATTATTTAACAACTTTATGCTTATCAAACAATTAAATTGCCATTATAAATAGATATTGCTTATTAAAAATGTTAAGATAGTAATAGAATTGCTAAAATATTTAAATTTTTTGTTTTATTTATTGATTGGAAGACAATCTTTATTCATAAATCAGGGATCACTAATTCATAATTATTTTCTATTCATTTTCAAGGTGAAATCAAACTTAAAAGATTATTTAACTTTTTGTTTCTTGTTAAAATTTTCATTAATATAACTAATTTAGCAATGTTAGGAGTAATTTTAATTTCATAAAATTAAATAGCTTAATTAATATATGAATCAATTTTTTATAATTTGGCTATGATTATCATTTAATTAAATAAGATTTATGAAATTAAGAATTCTTTGAAAAATGATATACCTATTGATATAATGACAGATAAACTGAATCAAGATAATGAGAACTAAAATTAATTTAAAAACACAAGCAAAGTTACTCCAGAAACAGTCATTATATCATAAAACTGATTTCTTTTTTTTTTATTTATTATAATTTATTTATATAATTAAAAAAATTTAACGAACATAGACTTTAAATTTAAGTTAACATAAAATAGAAATGAAATTAAGAATAATAATAAGAGCACAAATGTTATATTCTAAAAATTTCAGAAAAAATAAATATGATGATCTAAATTTCTTTAATAATTTTTAAGTAAAAGAGAGATTAGAAGAAAATAGTATCTAAAAATCAAGAGAATAATTTATAATGAGATTGAAAAATATATGTAGCTTATTTTTAAAGATACATGAAAAATAAACTTAAATTCTTAATAATTTTGAATAGTCATTACACTACTTAAACTTTGTGTCTATAAAAGCATAATTTTATTAGTAAAATTTTATTATTTAGATTAATGAAATAATTAAATCAATATTAGACTGAAAGTTTGACTAAGATGGGTAGAGAAAATATAAAAAACAAACTTAAATGTTTGATTCCCAATTATAATAACTAGAAATTAATTGTTAATAAAGAGAAGTTAATCAATCAGAGTTCAACCAATACTCATGATAACTCAAAAATTAGTGTGTTAATAAAAGAAACCAATTAAATGAATCTCAAAATTGTTAGTAAAAAATGGTTAATGAAAAAGAGGCTTCTACAATAACAGCTTCCTATATTGGATCGACCTTAGTTTGTTATTAAACCTTAGATTATACTAAAATTATTTGTTAATTGTTAAACAAAACAAAAACATTGAATTTCCAATTATTTATTAATATAATTAAAATCATAAATCAAGTTTAATTTATTTTTATTAAGTATTTTAATTTATACTTTTACTCAAAAATTTATTTAACCTTATATAAACTAATATACTATTTTATTTAAAAATGTTATATGGATTTATTATTTTAAAATAGAATATAATTCACTAAATATTCTTGATCTAATCATAACAATCCAATATCTATTCAAGTTGGATATTTTTTTTATTTACCTCTTTATACATATACCAATCTTATGAAAAATACACATCATTTAATTCATATGATTCTAATTTTTATTTCTTTTATGACTTCTGCTATTGTCAATCCTGTTTCAATAACATCTTCAATTATTTGTAAAACTTTAATTGAATTTTTTCATCAACTTAAAGCCTTTATTATTCCAATTGACTTTTTACCTACTCCTTATGGATTCTTAAATATCATCATATCTAGATAATTTAATAAAATAAATGTAAAATTTATGTCAGGATCAACTACTCTTATCTGTCATTTACATAAAATTCCATTTAAAACTTCAATAAAAATATAATGCTTATCTTAATGGTTCTTTGGAAAAATATAATTAAAGTTACTGCCTTTGATAATTAAATTCATAATTGGTTAATGAATAATATAGAAATTTAATTAATAAAATTCTAATATTTTTAATCATAAATTAATTCATTTATTTAAATTTACTATTTTGACATTCCCATTAGGATATTCAGTTTTTTTAATCTTATCTTAATCAATTGTTTATTTAACTCCATCAGGATAAAAGATCTCTTCTTCTCCTTTATAATTAATAAATTTTTTGGTTCCATCTTGGAATAATATCTATTTACTACCATCAACAAAGGTAATTTCCAATTACTTATTACTAAAATAAGTGACCTAAGTATATTTAAGTTAAAAATACAGAAATTCCTTAAGGTAAAGAACTTTGAGTTGAATTATTTTATGAATGATAATAAATTTTAATTCCATTTGGAAGTTCTTACTTAATATCTTTGTTAGGGAAGTGAACAATAACATAATCATTAGGAAATATTTCTTTAATGAATCCTTTCATTCCTTCAACTACCTTCTTTCCAGATTTATATATCTTTAATACTTTACCATCTGATCGTTATGATTTTTCTACAAGTTTTTCTTTTTTATTTGATTACTTTAAATAATCTTTATAAAAAGAATTGTAATCAAATGTAAATTCTTCAATAAATATTTTCTTGTTGATATCATCAATTGAAAAGTTAAATTCTTTATTCTATATCAATTCAAATAAAGGAACAGGTTTAACAATCTCTTAAGGAGCTTATTATTATTGATTATTTTGATCTTAAACTTTTTTCTCATTTTCTAATTGTTAATTTTTAAGTTTCTATTTTTTTTAATTTTCAATTAATTCCTAAACTTCAGAATTTGATTCATAATCATTTATTATTTAAGTTAGTTACATAATTTTTTATTGTTAAGTATTAATTTACTCTTCCAAATATTTTGTTTATTCAATTTTATCTTTGTAATACTTTTAATATTTTTATTTTTTTGCTTATAATTTTAATTATTTTTTATCACTTTCTGCTTTTAGATCTTCAATTTATTTCTTTAAGTCTTCTATCTCTTATATTAAAGATTTATTTGGTTCATTTTGATGAGTCTTTTAAATCATATCAAAAACAGTTTATTTCTTTTTTATTTTTTCATATTCTTTCTTCTTTAATTCTTCTAATTCCTATATTTAATTGAATTTGTTATATTCAAACATATCTTTTTCATACTTTAATATTTAAAATTAATGATTAAGTTCTAATCTTTCTTTTCTTAATCTTTCATTTTCATTTTAATAATAATCAATTGAGTTTTAAAGTAATTCAATTTCTTTTTTAAAGTATTTCTTAGCATTCTCATATTCTTCTTCCTTAGGTTCTTCTATATATTCTTAGCTTTCAATTTATTTATTATATAGATTTGAATCAATAAATTTCTTATATTATTTAACCTATTAATTAATATTGATTTAGATTAAAGGTGTTCTTTTACTTGCTTATTTAGCATTTTCTCTTTAACATGCTAACAATATATTACTTTTCTTCTTTAAATACTCTGCATTCATTTTTCGTTTCTTCTCTAGGCTTTCCTCCTCTCTTATTTGATAAAACTCTTAGTTTGTTAAACGTTGAATAGGCCTATTATCTTCAATAATTTGATATTATTAATCTTATTCCTCTTCTTTAATCCTTTCAAAATCATCCTCATCCTAAAGACCAAAACTAAGAATTTGTTATTGTTTTGGAACTCTTTTAGATTTTAATTTTATTTGAGGGTTTTTAGATAAGTATTGAATTTATTGTTATTTTGGATTGTTGTTATAAATAATTTCACCTTATTCTAAATCATTAAATGGTTAAACTAAATTGATCATATGTTTATAGGAATCCTTAATATATAATTAAGAGTACTTTAAAGTAATTCTTTGGATCATATTGTTGTATTTCATTTGCATGTTGATTATCATATTCATCCATAAAATTTTATAAAAACTCTTAAAAGCTTATTGGTTATTCTTTATATAGATTAATTTTAATTACCTTAACTTGAGATTTAATATTCTTCTACAAGTGCTTTCATTAATTTGTCATTTGTTTGAGTAAAATTTAAATTATCATTTTATTATCGTTATTGCATAGTGAGAATTATTAATTTAATTAGATAAAAATATTAAGTGAGGAAAATAAAACCAAAGCATCTTTATATTGATTTAAATGGTTTTCTAATATATATATATAAATTAATATTATAACATTATATTTAAGGTATTTAAAAAGAACTAAATGTAATCAAACTACAATTTTATAATGTTCTGCCGAATGATTGCTTCCTCTTGATTTATTTATATATTATGATAATGGGTATTTGATTGGAGATTTAGATGTATGCTAATTATCTCCTCTTGAATGTGATACTCTTGCTATTGCATATAATTTATCTGTAGAAACAGAGAAATTAAATTAAAGTTCTTTGATTTTGCTAAGTAATAAATTTCGATTGAATTCATCTATCATTTACTATTTTGAGTTAAAGTCTTACTTATTATTTAACATTTTATTACAAGGATGTTTTATTTGTTAATGATTATTAACTAGTAAGATTAGAAACAGCTATTTTTGGACTGGCAACAATATCTACTTATGCTATTTTGGATAAAACATTAGTGCCTTTTTAATTATTGAATTATGTAGTTACTATTTTTTTATACTGATGATGAGACAATTCTAGGAGATGAGGCTGCTGTTATATTTCTAGCAATATATCTTTGACTTGAACTCTACCTTTCATTCTTTTCTACTTTCATATCCTCATAATTTATCCTATTTATCAATGTATAAATTTTTCCATAATCTAATGGTTATGTTTATAATAAGCATAAAAATTATTCCCAACTTTCAGACAAATATGCTTATTAATTTTATGGATATTATGTCAGATTTATTCTAAAGAATTAATCAAATAGAGCAAATAGTGAGTCCATTTTAAATAATTTAACGATTAAAAATTACAGAATATATTTCTCTTTGTTTATAATTATAATTTTAAATAAAACAAAAAACAATTAGAATAAAATATACTCAAATAAAACTGAATATTATTAAGATCTTAACATATATTATCAAAAAAAGCAATGTATTTTATATAAATAAAAAATATGATCATTTATGTGGTTGGGATTTAGTTTGAAATAATTTACTATTTTGCAATAACGAAGTTTATTCTGATTAATCTTACAAAATTTATGGTTTTTAATTTGTTGACTTTTTTTACGATTATTCTTCGTCTTCCAATTCTTATAATTTTTTTTTCAGTTATGAAACAGTAGTAATCATATAATCAAATGAGATTTTTGATTAATCCTAAGTTGAACGAGATGATTTTGATTGGTTAGATTAGTTCAACGACATTTACAATCCTTATCTATTTTGGTAAATCTTAAATCATAATATTTTATACTTTTTGTGTGGATGGAGCTTTCTTTGGCTAAACTTCTTTCTTCATAAATTTATTAAAAAACTAAGGCATAGTTTCTAATGTATTTTAATAATGTTAAGGTGGTGTATTTAATGCTGTAGATCTTTATTAGGTATTAGCTGTTTTTGCTAAACTAACTTTACCACCTGCTGTATTAGTTCTTTGTTCTATTACAGGAGGCAAGGAAGAATGGAAATTTTAAGTAAAACTACTTTTATTAATCTCTAGCAAAGTATTTGACAGAAGCATATTGTTAATTTATTTATCTTCTACTTTTTTTTTTAAATTTTGAGCAGCTGTCTTACTATGTTTAATTAGATTGAATATTTATACACTTTTCTTTCAAATTGAGTAAGATTACAACATTCAGTATATTTGAGATAACAATCTAAACATACCTAAGTTTTTAGTTATCTCCAACTAGGATTAAATTTTAATTATTTATATTTGTCTTCAGATAACTTTCCCCATACTTTTAATATTAATGCAGGGACATTTTTAAAATTCAATTTACAATCTTCTTATTCTTCATCTAAATATCGACATAATTCTTAAATTTCAGCATGAACTTAATCATAAGTTTTTTAATTATTTACAAGTTTATATTTCTCAACCAATATTACTTATTAACTTTATGTACCAGAAATTTATTAATTTGATTATAATTCAAAATAATTAGACAATTTATAATCTAATATAAATTTAAATTAGAATTACCTTTATGAATAAATTATTTTTATCTAGTTTTTATATTTTAATTTAATTAAAGCAATTCACTCTTCTTATCATTTTTAATTTTTATTTTTTATAAATCCTCTGGTAATCTAGTGAATTCATTACTTACTAGTGACTAATAACATTAAATAATTTAAGGATACTCTTTCAAAACTTTCAATGATCTATTCAAATTATAATTAATATAACTCTGATGAAAATAAATCACAATTAGAACAAACATTTTCAATTTAATATAATAATTCTTCTATTTGTCCTTCACTATTGTATTTAACTACTTTTTAAACATTCTCTGTTCCTGTAATGATAGGTTCAAGATCTCTCCTTATAATTTTAAAAAGAGGAGAGTCTGTTCTATGTTTATCTGGATGTGTTGAAAATTTATCTTTCACTTTAATGCCAGTACAAAACATCAACCAAATTCTATTTTCTTAATCTACCTTAAAATATAAAACCATTCTAATAATTTAAATGTTTCCACCTGAAATTTCTTAGACATGTTTAACAATATTTACGCATAATTATTCTAAATCAGAACTTAATAAGGGGGAACTAATAGAATCTGATACAGATAAGTATTCAGGACCATCAAATGTACTAACTCTTTCATATAAAGGCTTTTTAAAATCATTCATATTATTAATATTTGTTTTCCTATTTATAAGACAGAATTGAGGAGACCATGTTACTTTAATCATTGAATTATGATCACCTTTTGGATAAATAAATCTAAAAAATATTAAATTTAACTCTTTACTTTTGAAGTATTGAATTTAACTCTTTTTCTCTCTAATATAAGAATTTACCAAAGTTCTCTTTATCAAAGTATTCAAAATTAATTATTTCTTATTATTTAGATTGACCCTAAAAGTTAGTTAATCAAAAATACTTGACTAGTTAATAAAACTGCTACCGTATTATCTTATAAAAATGATTATTCAACTTATTCAATAAAAACCCTTTCTTTAGTTTTCCTAATAATTTGACCATTTTAGGCTGTAAAATATCCTATTATATAAATTTTATATATATTACTAAAATAAGGTTATGCCCATCTATAAATAACAGTATCTGCTAGAAAGACTCCATTGCAACTTTGACCAGAATTAGGATTCTTTTTCCATAGATGGAAGAAGAGCCACTCAGTACAAGTTCCAAGTTTCATGAATTTATTTAATATTAATTATTTCACAATATAAATTTATGAAGTTGAACATAAGTTTTTATTGTTCAAAGCAAGTAGTTTGTTATGAATTCTAATTGCTTTGATAATTTATATCTCATAAAAATAAATTTTGCTTTAATTCTTCTTATAACTAATTCTGGAATGTATCATTCTAATTAATAGATTTCCTATTACTTAAACTGCACATTTAAATTAACTAAATTTGGAACTGCTTATTGCTAATCTTTGTATTCGATTGAATGCTGCTGGTGTTTAATAATAATCATCACTAAATAAATTAATTTTATATCTACTTATACAATTTTGAAGGAGTCTAATCTAATTATTGCATTGATAACATTTGTCTAGATTCAATTAAGACTGGTTGTATATTACTCTAATTTTTGTTCTCTTTTTCTTACTCAATTTCCTTCATTTAATTTTTCTTATATATCAAATATTTTCTATGCATTCTATTTCTTCTAGGATGTTTACTGATGTATTTGTTTCTGATATCAAACTTCATATAATATTATTATACATTATTATTCAAATTACTTCTAGTTCTAAGAGTAGTATTTTAATTTTTTATTATTGCTGGCTCATCTATCTCATCTTCCTCAATGTCTGTGACTAAGCTTACATACTTTTTATTTAAAAATATTATTTCAATTGCTTTCCTTTCATAAGGGTTCACAAATTAATCTAAATAAGTATGCCTACCTTCTTTAATTCAAATTTAAAACCCTTTTTATTAAAATTGTTATCTTATCTTCTATAACTTTTCTCTAAATTCATTCATTCTCTTCTTCATTCCAGAGTTCCAATGATTCTTTATTGCATTATCAGTTCTTCCTTCTAAATGCTTAGCAATTTCTGCCCATTCATTACTAATTGCTTCATGATACAAAAATAAAATCCACTCTTCTTCATATTCCCAAGGTGACTTTTTTATCAAAGGATTCAAATGATTATGCCAACTAAATTATTCTAAATTAAATACCGTTCCCTACATTATTTTCCAATTCTACCTTACAACTTAGATGCTATAAATGTCCATTTATGAGGCCCATATTATTCTACTAATTGCATAACCTAAGCATCCTCATAATCACTCCATGGTTCTAAAATTATAATATGATATACTTTTTTTTATTTTTTCAACCTTTTTTCTCATTCAAAATTATAATTACTTCCAATATATTTATAAAATTAACGATTATAAAATTCATAATTATCAATAAAATCTAATAAGTTTTAAATAAACATAGACTCTTTCCCCTTTATTAATGATAGATTTGTCTCATTTCTTTCATTATCAAAAATATTACAGTTTATTAAACTATTTTATTCAGTTTCATTAATTAATAAAGCTTTAATTATTTGTTTAAATTTAGAGTAATTCACAAAATTGTTTTTAAATAACATAAATATGATATAATGCTAGGACAATATAATTATTTGAATTCATAATATTTCCTTTATGATATTCATTAACATGTATTCTTATTATTATTTTCAACACTTAAAATGAATTCATTTAGAAAAAATAAATTCATTTTAATTTCTATTTTTTAATTAAACAAACATGACTATCTAATAAATTGCATTGAATAAGACTCTTATTGTATAGTTTAAATAAAAAAAAATAATGAATTTTTATAAAGAAGATCTAAATACACTTTAAACCTTAACTGAGCTCAGAATAAATTCAATAAATTAAGACTTTTTCTAAATATTTTTAAATAAGAATATATATTCTCAAAAGCTTTTATTACCATCAATTATTTTAGTCTTAGGTATCTGTTTCTCCTTTTTCTTATGAAAAAGAATACAAAATAGGTTTCAGAATTATTTAAAAACACTTTTTATTCTTGAAAAATTCCTTCTTATCAATCTCTAATAGTTATTATTCAAAACAAGGAATAGGTTCATTTTTTGACTAAACTTATCGGCCCGTTTATATATAGCATCCCATTAATTATAAATTATTTATTTTAAGTTTCAATCTATTGGATTTTGTAATTCATTATACAATCAAATTAATTAATGGTTACAAATGAAATCAAATGAATTGATTTAATGATTCACATTTTTTTTATATATAGTTATTTTTGGCTCTAATAATTTTAATGATAATTTTATTATTATTTAATTGTCGTTATGAGTTACGATGACAATTATTGAATAATACCTTTTTTATTAAATAATAATTATTGAAATTACTTAAACATATTATTATAAATTCCTAACTTCGATAGCTTGATGTATCGAGCATCTCCATTATTAAAAAGTTTTTAAAATCTGAACTTCTTGATGAGTCTGAATTTGAAGTAGAACAACCAAATGAGTAAAACAAAAAACCTTAATAGTTCAATTTCAATTTATTGCTTGAATAGAAAAATGATTAAAACTGTTAAAAAAAATAATTAGATTCTTAAGATAATAAAGACCTAAATTATTTAATTGATGAATTAAGATTAGAGTAAAAGAATTTCTAAGCAGAATTAGAACATTTATAAAGTTAATTTATATAAGAAATAAATTTTTTAATGTAGAAAGTTTTCAATTAACACTAATTGTTTTATAAACAATAAGAATATCAATTATCTTTAATACAATAAAAGAGATAAAGATTATAATTACAATCACCTTAACAATCATATACTCTATTGTATCAAATAAATCCAAATTTATAAATATATTAGAAATTTAATAAAGACCTAAAAAATAGTTTAGTAAAATTATTGCAAAATATTAAAACAACTAAAATTTGTTAAGAAATATTTAATGCATAAGAATAGTCATATCAATCTCAAACATCAAGATCCCCTCTTGCTTAATTAAATAAATTATTTTCTAGGTAAGGATCTATGGAAAAGAAATAAACATTTGCCAACAAAATAAATAATACGAATATGAAACTAAATTTAGTAATGCCAATGAAAAGAGATACTTAATCTTTTTGGAATCAACCAAGTGAAAGAAAGTGTAGTATTACTTCTAAAATAAGTTCAAGTCCTTTTGAGAAAAGAGAAAAATATCTAGTTTAATAAGCTTTATTCAAACAATCATCTGATTTCCTAAAATTTAAATGTTGATATAAAATCATACTATTATTTATATTTAGATAAATTATTAAATCAAATAACACCATCCCATACTAATGTTTATAACAATAAATCAATATAATTTTATCAAATTATTTTTCTTATTTAATTGAAATATAGGGTATGTATTATTTTGAATTCAATTTTTATGTCTAATTCATATTTAATAATTTTATAGATGAAGATAATTACATTCTTGAATTATATTATTAATTTAAATAAAAATTTCATGTAATCAAATACTCCTTAGAATAATTCACGTCAAACATAAATCAAATTGCCAACCTAATTAGAGGAATAAAATTTAGGCCATACTTCACAAGTTCCTTATGCCATTACTAAGAATCCAATAGTTTAGAGAAGAGAATCCAATAGAAAAACAAGCACTTGATTAAATTATGCATATTTCATCTTGCCAATCTTTATAAATGATTTATATCATGGAATTTGCAAGTTCTTTTGGTTTTTGAAGGTCAGATCTAGCTAACAAATGGAGTTACAACAATTAGAAATCAATAAACGGCATTTATATACTTTAATTACCTCATGACACATTCATAAAAATAACTATGATTAGAAGAATTTTACAAAAAGCTTAAGCTGAGTTTAATATCAAAAAATTTTAATAAAACTTATAAAATAAAAAAGCTTCCTTTTCTTCCAAAATTTTAATTAATATTTTCATAAATATAATAAAATATTTTCAATTAAGAGTTTTTTATTGTTTTTGGATAGATTATATGAAATTTATAAGAAAAGTGTATTTCAAAGTCATTATATAAAGTAAATAAATTTATAAATATAAATGTAGAAAATGAATAAATAATTATTACTGAAATAAATATTGATAAAATTGTATTACTTAAATTTCTTTCAATTAATAGAATCCATTATAACAAGAAAACAATAGAAAGACATATTTTAATTGAATGATTGTTGCTTACTTAAATTAAGATCAACAATAGTGAAAGGTGTACAACTTTTTGTGATTTATAAAAACCTCCTAATCTTTGAAATTATTAATTTTATTTAAAAATATTAATATATAAATCCAAAATTATTCTTAGTAGTATAGATAAGCCACCTATTTAATCTTGATAATTTTCAAAATAATAATGCTAACTTATAACAGAATTATATTTAAAAATAATTAGATGAGTTGTTAATTGCTTGTCCAAAGAATCTTTCTCTGGCCCAAGAGGTTACAAATTTAAAACCTCATTTCTTTAATTTTTTGCAGGAATATAGATACTAAATATTAAGTTTATGGTTTCATTCAAAATATCCCAAATACAATTCTAATTATAAAAGGTTATTTTTCTCAGAGATCATCTTAAAATTAAATTACTCTATGTATTATCTATTAAAAAATGATTATATAAGGTTAGATAAATGTTTATTTTAAAGCAAATAAAACTAAAAAATCTAAAAAAAGAAGATGATGACTTTTTTGATCTATTTTATATATGGTATTTTTGTAAGTAAATTGGTTAATATTGTTTTTAATGATACCATTCTTTTATTTTTATTATGTAATAAGATAGTTTGAATCTAACTGAAGGTGTGAATAGTGTTATTTTTATATTATAATGTGAAATAATCTGATTAATACTTTTTTAATTTCATTAATAAGTGTATTTATCAAGTAAATATTTAAAATAATTCTTTAAAATATGGAAAATAAGGTTAAATTAAGCACCCAAGATGGAGTGATCATTGAAGTATTAAGAATTTCTATATAGGTTGATAAAGAAGTAGCTTGTAAATCTCATTTAATCAATACTATTATTGATGATACAGGTAGTGAAGAAGAAATTCCATTACCAAATGTTAAAAGCAGTATCTTAAAGAAGGTGATTTAATACTGCGAATTACATAGAAATGATACACCACCTGAAATTGAAAAGCCATTAAGAAGCAATAATTTGTAACACTTTGTACTTAATTTTTAGGTCTGATTGTGTGGAATAAAAAGATGCCGAATTTATTGATATACCTAATTTAGAGGAACTATTTGATATTATATTGGCTGCCAATTATTTAGACATTAAGTCTCTTCTAGACTTGTCTTGTGCTAAAGTTGCTACTTATATTAAAGGTATTTAGATAATCGATTTTTTAAGGCAAAACCCCTGAAGAAATTAGAAAAACTTTCAATATTTAAAATGATTTGACCTAAGAAGAAGAATAATAAATAAGAGAAGAAAATAAATGGGCTGAGGAAACAAGTTGATTTTTCTTCATAAAATTTAATAAAAAATATATTATAGATCCTTATCCTAGAAAATCCATATAAAAATTATATTTAGCTTAGAGCTATGTATCCTTTATTTCTAAAATACCCTAATTTTCATTATTATTAAAGATATATTCAAAAAACAATATTGTCCCAAATAAATTTCTTTAATTATCAACAACTCATTTTGTTAATAAATAAGAATTTTAGTCATCTATTTTTTAAGAGAATAAAGTGCGGTTAATTTTAGGTACATATGCTTTACTTTATCTTATACTTCTCAGTATTTCTTTAATAAAAATATAATTTTCATTTTTTTTATAAAATATTGGAATGTATACTTTATTTATTAATATTATGTGTTTTAAATAATAATTTAATGAATTCATGTATTAAATCAATAGGCAGTGCAAAAGTACTTTCGATAATGCTAATTGCTGATAGCTTACTTATTCATATACAATCCTATTTAATTTCAAACTATAATTATTTGATAATAGCACTATCATTAACATGCTTTCATGGAATCGTTTTAACATCTGAACATTTCTTATAAGGCAGAAATAAATTATTAAATGTTTTTTTTAATGCTTCTAAGGGTGTAGCTTAAATTATTGTTCATTACTTATTGGAACAAAATTGGTTGATTTTTGCTGGAATATAAATAATTTGTATTATGAAATAGGATGTATTACATATAAAATATGTTTCATCTATATTTTTTATAACTCAAATATTTTGTGTCGCTTTTAACAAGACAGACTTCATAATTGTAGGAGTAATTAGGACTGTTTTTAATTATATATTGATAAGTCAAATATTTAGATTTGAAAGTAAAAATACTTTAATTCAACTGGAAAACATTCTAAAACACATATAATATGATGAATTTTGTTTATTGGATAGTTATTTTAATCCAATATTTAATTAGTAAATCTTTGACAAATTAAAAGAAGAACAAGTAGTTGGTGTATAGGATTTCTATATTTAGACAAGAATAATAACTCCAAGAGATAACACTACTAATTTAATTAGAGAAATTCCATTAAATTGTGAGGAAGAAGCCAAATAAACCTTATCTATATAGGATATAATATTTCATCTAAAAAAGAACAAAGTTCCTTTAACTTAAAAACTTTGTTATTAATTAAACAATTAATAAAATTATCATATTTAAATAGAGAATATTATATTGGATGAGAATAATTCTATGATAATGATATAAAAAAGAAAAAAATGTGAGAATATATAATAAGGGAATTAAATAAATTTGATGATTAAGACTGTTCGTAAAGTATCTCATGATATGAGAAATCCTTTGAATGCAATAATTAATATGTAAATGTGTTTAAAAGAATAAATTGATAAAGAATTAGTTATGAAGTATCTTAAACCTTCACTAAATTCCTGTCATTTATTACTTAATCTATTAAATGATATATTAGACTCAGCTTAAGTTGAAAATAAAAAGATTAAATTAGTTTACAGAAGATTCAATCTTTAAAAATTAATTCAAAAAACTATTTCAATATTTGATTCATTAAAGGATAAGAAAGATATTATAATTACATTTAATTATGATTCGAAAATACCTATAGAAGTAAATTCTGATAAATTTCGAATAAGATAAATAATAATGAATTTGCTTAGTAATGCAATTAAATATACAAAACCAAATGGGAAGGTGTATATTGATTGTTCTGAAAGTTCTTAAAGAAAGAATTTCATTAAAATTTGTATCTAAGATACTGGTTTTGGAATAAAACAAGAAAATTTAAAATATTTATTCAAAGAGTATTCTAAAATAGAGGAAGGTGAAAATTAGAATTTAAACCCTTTTGGAATAGGATTAGGTTTGATGATAAGTAATGAATTAGCTAAATTATTATCTAATAATGGTATATAAGTATAATCAGAAGTTGGAATAGGTTCAATATTTTATTTTGAGATAGAGAATAAATAACTTGCACCTGAAGATATTTCAGAATCCCAATTATTGATTATTCATCAAAATGGATTACCTTCCTTTGATGTGCATTTCATTCCAGGACCTAATTCAAATAAATCTCCAGTAATTTCTTTGGCATTACCTTAAGTTGAAAGTAGTAAAAAGATAATTTTAAAAAGATCTCAAAAAACTATTAATATAATGACTAATTCTATAAATAACTAAACAAGATTGAATGTAAAAAGTGATGAAAAGAGTATTGCTAGAAAATAGTCATTATAAGCTAAATAAATATAGGCTTTAAGAGATAAATGGTATGATTATACAAATTAGAAACCTCCAATTTTAATTGTAGATGATGATGAAGTTAATATAATGGTATTATAATATTTAATGGAATAAATGAATATAAGTTCAGATTCAGCAATGAATGGAATGGCTTGTTTATAAAAATTCGTAGAAAGATAGAAAGAAGGTCTATCCTATCAATTAGTGTTTTTGGATATCAATATGCCAGAAATGAATGGATTTGAATTAGCTAAGAAATTAATTCAAATAGATCCTCTTATCAATTTAATTGCTTGTTCTGGTGATGCACCTAATTCTAGTTATGTAGAAGAATGTAAATAATCTGGTATTATTGGTTCTATTTTAAAACCTATTCTCAAAAGTAAATTAAAAGAATTACTATTAAAATTATCAGAAGGAATAAAATATGATAGTTAATAATTTTCATATTATTGCTGATTATAATATTTTATATATATAATGTTAGCTAAATAAATATTCTTAGCAAAGGCATAAAATAAGCCTCAATAAACAGGAAAAATTGAATTTCCAACTCTTTTGGATTTGACTATAGAGTAGGTGGCTCTAAATTTTGATCTTTATTCTTAGTTGCCAGGTATTCCAGAAAAAATAAAACATTAAGTATTTCATCTTAATAATCATTAGATTATATCAAAAGCACCAAAAACTTTACCTGTTACAATCACTTACAATAGTATTGAAGATGAGAATTATTGGAAACAAGCATGTGAAACTAAGTGGAAAGGCACTCATAGAACAATTAATATATGCAAACATAGTTACAGTTATAAAATTGCTTATATGGAAAATTTCCTTGAAGAATACTTCAAATCAATAAAAGTAAGTGTTTATATGAAAAATAGAGTTTAGAATCATAATAAGAAAAAGATGAATTACAAGCAATATTAAAAGCAGTCAATAATTGGGTTTATTCCCTTAATATATCATAAACTTAATGCAATATTGATATTGGATTTTTATGCCAATACTTACCATGTCTATAGAATTTGACAGTTATATATGGAGTTAAAGTAAATATTAAATTATTATATTTTCATTTAGACTAGTGGAATTGATTAAACAAGAAAGGAAATCTTGGGTATGAAACTAAGTCAAGCAGCTGAATTAGGAGAAGCAATCTCTAAACATTGTAGAAATCTTGTATCTTATATAAATTATATTAGTAATCCTTATCTTTACCTTCTAATTTAATTGATGATGATTTATTAAGATTGTTGATGACAGGAATAAATCTTGATATATCCATAATTGAATTAAATCTATCACATAATAAAATCGGAGATTAAGGGTAAATTAATATATATTATTTTTATAAGGGTTATACGGATAGCAAAATATTTAATGAGATCAGAAATACTACTTAAATTGGATTTGTCTAATAATGCAATTGGATTAGTTGGATCTAAAAATTTAGCATATGCTCTATTATTTAATAAATCACTTGAACATTTGAATTTGTCATTAAATTCATTTAATGATATTGCTGGTGCTAATTTCTTTAACAAACTTAGTTAAAACAAAAGTATCCAACATTTGAATTTATCTGCTAATTAATTGGGTAGTTTAACTGCTGAAATGCTTGAAGTATATTTATCAGATTCTTCATGCACTTTACAATCCTTAAATATTAGTAATAATAACTTTAGTGAAAATAATGATAATAAAGATAAAAATATATATGAAAAATTGAAGACAGGTTTAACAAAGAATACAAGTTTAATACATTTTGATATTTCTCATTCTAAATTTAAAAGAAGTAAATGACTTGTTTTAATTAAGTTAATGCTGAGAAGGAATTACAAGATATAATTGTTTAAAGTAGATTAAAATAGAGAAAAATTCCTTTTGTTTCAAAGGAGGAATTCGAATAACAATAAGCATAGAATAAATTAAGTAATAAAATTATTATATTTTAGGAAAGGAAAAGTTAGAAAAAGCAAAAACAAAATAAGTAGAAGAAGTAATCTCACCATAATGAAATAAATGCATAAATATTCAACAGATAAATATTTTAAAATTATTTATTTATATATTTGTGATAATATCTTTTTTGAAATATTAATAATAGATATAAATTTATATTATATCATTATAGAAAATTTAAATTATTTTTAATAATCAAAATAAATTAATCTTTATGATATTATAATAATCATAATTGTACTAAATAATCTACATTGTGTTTAATTTATTTTATAATGGTTTTCTATGTTTTTGATTTTATCATAATATCTTAACCTACAAATATTGATTTTATGATTTAAGCTATATTAAATTATTATTTTAGAGTCAATAATTCTAATATATAAATAAATTTTACTATTTAATTTTATTACTTGAGTAATTTTCACTTTCTTATATATCATCTTTACAATCACAGTATTATTTTAAATTTATTAAATATTCATTTCTAATATTTAAGGTATATTATGTAAATATAAATAAGAACATAATAAAAATAATGGAAATTTACTAAATATCCTTTAAAAACTAATCAAACTTAATTTCACTAAATAAATGAATATTACAATTAACAAAAACCAAAAATAATACAATGAAACAGTTGGTATCATCATTAGTAAAAAAAAACCTAAAAACATAGATATAATCTTTTAATCCCATAAAAATGGATGATCTTCTAATTTATTTCTATATTTATTTATGTATTTATTTTAGGTAATTCGATAAAAACAAATTATCATCACCCATAATTATCTATAAATAACCATCAACATTTTATATATGTAATATACATGAATAGTACATAAAGATATAATATCTATAGCTAAGGACAATTCAAAATTTAATCCAAATAATCCAAATATCATAACAGCTCTTAATAAAATATTTTCATAAGGTGTAATAAATGTAGTTATATGATTCCATAATACAATTATATACATAATCATTTATCCTAATACATAATTTAAAGGTTTATTGGTTTTTAATCCTGCAGGAAATCCCATCAACCATTCAACTTCTTTTGACAACACTTCTATATGTATACTAGATCCATATTTATGTAAAAAGTCTCTCAATTAAGTAACATTATAATAAAGTAATAACAAACTTAATACACCAAATAATATATCCAAAAATACAAATAAGATTCCTGAAAATAATTTATGATAATTATATTTCAAATTTGAAATAAATAAAGGTTAGTGTTATGATACTAATTCTCCTGCTTGATCATTCCATTAATTAAATAAATTATATTTAAAATTAACTTATTTCATAGTATATGATAAGAAACCAAAATCTTAAAGATTTTTACCCATAATTCTAAATTCCATAATTTTTATTACAAATTAGAATACTATTTTCTAAAAATATGTAATTTTGAGAATAATTTTCAATAATGTATTTATTGTATCATTTTTAAGATAACAATAGTAATAATTTTATTCAGAATTAGATTTATTATTAATATATTTATTGAATTCTCTTAAAATATGTTGTCTCCAATTAATATGTATTAATGAATAATCTAATTCATTTAATTTATCTTTATCACATATTTTAGTAATCTCTTCTGAATGATTTTAATCAAATGCTATCATAGGATTTATTGTTAAAATTGATTTATGATTAGGATCTAAATAATTATCAATTTCATTTGATATTATCTAATTTTATATAAGCTTATCATAATAAACTATTGTACACTTTGTCTAATATTTATATCCACATATCATCAACTCTTCTAATTTATTATTTTTTAACCACAACCAAGTTTCTCTGAATTATTAATCGCTTTTTTTCCCAACTATTCCTAAGACCTGTAGTTTTGTCTAAACTGTTAATAAACAAATTTACTCCACAAATTAATTAAATTCTCTCTTGCTTATCCCAATTGTTTAATTAGTTTTCTATTTCTTCAATGCTTTTATTATTTATAATTTGTAATATAGTAAAATTAAATCCTCTAGTGTTGAATCCAATAATGTATCCTTCTTCATTTTATTAATCAGATGGAAAAAATATTTGGGTACAATCTGTAGACATTTAAAAAATATATATAATTATACTCAAATTTCTTAACTATTTACTTATGTTGGCGTTACTAACTCCTCTAAATTATGTTCAGATTATTAAAAATTAAACCCTGCTTATTCTCTCATATTTATAGACTGTTGTTAATCAGTCCCTGATGAATTTTTTTCATTCTCGTTATCACTATCATCATTAAACTAAAATGCAATCTCACCCATTAGCTATTTTTCTTTTTTTTGTTTGCTTTTTCTACTTGGAGTAGTAGATTATTTTTGTGATTTTACTTAATTTTATTGTTTGTGTAATTGTGATTAATGAGAATCTGGTATAACTTCTTAATCACCTAAATCAATATGTAAATTATTTTAAATTGCTCCTGGACTTTTAATTTCCACTTATTATTTTTTATTACAGAAGTGTTTAATTAACATTATTCCGATTAGAGTCAGAAACAACATCAGTCCTACTAATATTAAAATAGTTAATGTCATAATATTTATAATAATTCAAACGATTATCTATTAATTATTTATAGATATCTTTTTATAAGAATTTAATAAGCACCTTAACTGTGTATTAAATTTTGATTATTTTCATTTTTTTTACTTGTAAAATAAAACTAGAAGAAATAAGAAGAAGAGTTTTATTAATATTTATATAAACTGTTATTTCTTCAAATATTAAGTAATAATAATGAAATATTTATTAATTAAAATAATATATAATTTGTATATCTTGATTTTATTTGAAGATTGAATAATAAAAAATTGATAAATTTAATAATCTAATTTATATGTTTACTTAGAATGACAATAAACCATTATTTATTCTTTGATTTTAGCTTCTAAGCAAAGAAAATCTAAATAATTTATATAAACAACAACTAATAATCTATAATTTTAAATATAATCATAAACATATGATCTCTGTTTTCTTTTCACTATTGAAAATCTAAAACAAGTTCAAATTTTGCCTTATATTTTATTGACAATCAATAAAAAGAGATTTATAGTGTGTTTGTATTATATTAAATAATTATTACAAATTTAGATGGATCATAATAGGGATATCAAATATTCAACATTGAAGGTGTCTGATTCAGTTCAATTTGGAGGAATTATGACAAAGGAAGAGTGTTAAGCATTGGCAAAGAAAATTATGTCAATATATGATGGGGATGGAAACGGTACATTAGATTCTTTTGAAGTGGGCTATATTCAATCAGATTGTTATAGAGCCATGAACAAAGGATTTAATCCAACTCCAACAGATATTGCTGCTTTTTCAAGAATAATAGATAGTAATAATAATACTAAATAAATTTTTAGGACGATAATGTGGCATGGTCACAGATAAAGATATAGAAGCCTTGTGTATAAAATACTTTGGAGGTAATTTCGATAGAAGTGAAAGAAGTGAAAGAGTAGTACCAGAACAAACAATAAGTTAACAAAGAACTTATGAAACAAGCTCTTTCAATAGATAAGTATCAAGCAATCAGAATAGCAAAGTCATAACAGTTCAAAAACAAACTATTGTCACAAATTAGGTTTAATAAATTCCTAGTTCACCTCCTGTCAAGAATACTTACAGTTAAGTAGTGTAAGAGAGATTGGAAGTAGCAAGAAGAATTTTTAGAATGTTGGATACAGAAAAAAATGGATTTATTACAGATAAGCATGTAAATTAAAATGGAAGTAATTTAGGTTCCATCATTACTTCAGGAAACATATAAATTGATGGGAATGTCAATTGAACCAACTTAAGAAGATGTAGAATTATGGATGGAAATGGCAGATGAAGATAGAGATGGCAAAGTATATTTAAAGGATTATGAGGCATTAGTAATCAGAAGTCTAAAATAATAAGGAATTGTTTTAGAATGATTCAAATAAGCAAATATTTAACAGTTAAGTTTTATTTAAAGATATGATTTCTAAGGAAAAAAGGTTGCTATTATTTTTAAATTTCTAAATACATATTTTCTTTTGATACATTATTTCAATTTATGTGATCTTTTTTTCAATCATTTAGGAGTCATAAATCTAATAAATTCATCATAACTAAATTTGCCATCTTTATCTAAATCAGCTTTTAAGAATAATTCATCTAAATCATTATCTGGTAATTTTTACTAACCTAATTTAACTAAACCTAATTGTATATCTGTTTTAGATAAAAATCCATCTTTATCTAAATCAAGTACATTAAATGCCTAATTCAATTCTTCATTTGTTTCTTCTTCTCTCATTCTTTTACCCATTAAACCAATAAATTCATCAAAATCTACTTCTCCATTTCCATCAACATCTACTTCTTCAATCATTTCTTTCAATTATTAAGGAGTAGGATTTTCTCCACATTCTTTCATCAGATTACCTATTTCATTTGTTGAAATGGTTCCTCCTCCATCCTTGTCGAACATTGCAAAGAGCTCTTTAAATTGCCTTATTTACTCTTGATTAAAATTATAAGTATTCATTAATATTTTTATAATTTAGCTGGACACAAAAATAAAGGTTTATATCTATATTATTAGTTAGCAACTGATTTTGCTTAAAAAGGCAAGATCATTTGATTTATGCACTAAAGATCCTCTTATTTTCTCTTTTTACACTCTTCTCTATCCACTGATTAATTTTAATCACCAATTTCTTGAAATGATGATTAATACATTGTATTCATAGGAATAGATAAATTGCTAATGTCTTTATAAATTGAATATACACTTTAAAAATTTAATCTCTTTAATTTTAATACTAGGTAGATGGTTTAGGTTCTATCTTCAATCTTTGATATACCCTTTAATTCTAAGTTTCTAATTGACTAATTTTCAAAGGACCTGTATGTCTCTCATAGGGTCTCTTAAATAACACATTCTATTATTTAGGTTTATCTGAAAAGAACTCTTGATAACTGGTGCTACCTTCAAATGATGAATGATTAGCCACTCTAGAATTAGCAAATCTAGCAGGAGTTCCAGTCAAACTGAATCCTCTATATTATCTTTAATTGCTGGTAACAAACTAATTAGGCAGACCTTGCATCTATCTATAAGAATTCTCAAAAGTCTAATAAAAACTTCGACTCACAGTGATTGGAGTATCCCTTACACTTACTTTAGGTGTTAAAGATCTTTTTCTATAAGATGTAGCTAATTAAAATCTTGGATTCTTGCATTAACAATTTCCACATTAACAAAGTGCACATTCGCACATATTTAAATTATGTTTAAAGTAATCAAAATTATGTTTTAATGTTTTTTCATCTATCTGATACCCCACTTTAAGTGCTTCTGACATTACATCTTCTATACTCATTTGTATTTTTATAATATAATAACGTAAATAATTATCAATCATTTTTCCTTTTGATGTATTTATCAATTATTTTGTTTAAGACATTTTAAGCAAACTATAAACCAAATAAATTTTAACTTTAACTTTGAAACTTATGATATAAATTTTTATTGTTCAAAATCAAATATTTATATTAAATAATTATAATGACCTTAACCTATTCAACATGAATACTTGAGAGGAATGTAACTAATACATCCTTGCATAATGATTAATAATACTTAAAAAGAATGCGTCAAATATAGCCACCATGAAAGATCTACGACCTATTATGATTCAGAGTCATTTGGTCAAGTTTTTAGAATTGTCATAAGAAGTGAGATTCAAAGATATCTCATTGAAAAGTTGATCATTTGGAAAGGATAAATTGAATAACTGAAATTAAAAAATATTGATCTTGAGAAAGATGAAAAAGATCCCATTAAGATACTAAAAATTCGTCGAATTCCAGGATATATATATTTTGAATTATGGAAACATAAATGGAGGAAATGTAAAAAACCTAATCTCTACATGACTCTTGATCACCTTAAGGATCACCTTCCTCTCATTGGGGCAAATGGTGTGAGAAGATCGAGAAGATCAAGAAGATCAAGAAGATCTACAATTACACCATAGACACTACAGGAAGCTGTACAAGAAATCCCAAAAGTATATGACTCTCCAGATGAGCGATATAGCCATAAATATAAAGAAATTAATAAAGTAAGAATGCAAGAATTACCACTCCAAGGCTTATCACAATACTATTTGAACATAATTTCACATTCATTATTATTATTATTAAAAATTATAGATTAGTGGAAATCTGAATAAATAAAAATATATTATTACATTTAAACTGTTCTATGAGAATAATAATAAGTAGATATATGTCTTTCTTTTTATGATATAACTTCTTAAAGAAGATGAATTTTAAGGTATATTCTTATACACTTTTAGTTTTATTTAAAAGAATTAATTTAAATATCCAGCATTTTTTCATAGATAATGAGCCATTATTTAAAGAAAATCTATTTGAATGTAGAAATTAGAATTCTGAATCAATTTTTTAGAATTAAATGGTAATAAATTAGATGAACATATGTAATTTGTAAAAGATATTTATTAAATAATATCCTTATATATTGATTTTAGATATTTAAAGATTTGAAATTTTAATGAAATTTCAAAAACTAGTGAAAAGTAGATGTCTAAGAATAAAATTTGATGAGAAAAAAAGATTAAGAATATAAGAGAGAGAAATAGATAATAATTTTTATATCAATAATAATTATTGACTCTTTAATTATTTCTGTTTAGTAAAGGCTATGGTAACTCAATGAATTTATTCTAAAAATAACTTTATTAGTTTTATTGAATTTAATCCTCTACAAATCGTCTATTTTTGTTTATTTACTCATCAAAATTATTGATAGGTAAATATGTAAGATTATTGGGTTTTTTTGATTAACCTTACATAAAATTCTGCATTCCACTTAGACTTAAATTCATGCTTTCACTTGAAGGAATTTAATTAAATTTAGTATTGTCTTTTGGATAAATAGTTTCTTGAATTGAATTGATATCAAAATACCTGTTCTTCTATTAGGAGGAGTTTACCAATTATCATCTTGTTCCATCATTATACTCTTATTTAATTCATCTTAATCACTCTCCATATAGGAATCAACTTGATCAAGGTTTTTGATTACTGATCTTCTTGTTCCACTTTTTTATTGTTAATGCTCATATAACATTTAAACCATTTTTAAGACTTAATCATACTCAACATTATTATCATTTAAATAATCATCATGTTCAATATAGAGTTGCTCTGTGATTAAATCTGGAGTTGGTAAATAGACTAAGGAATTAAGTTCAATTCGATATCTAAAATAATCAAATTGAGTGACCTTCTAAGTTTTTTATCTTTCAAATTGTAACGATAGATAACAAATAAACTTGGTGGGTTATGTTTAATAGCTAATTTGAGTATTATTTTTTTTTATATCATATTAATAACACATAAATTATCATATAAGTTTTTGTTTTGAGAAATTTATTTAAATTTATTGAGAATAGCCATATACTTCGTAGCATTCGTAACTAATTTGGATTATCTAATTTATCCATAATCTTAAAGATATTGTTATAAGACATAAACTTGACATCAATTTTTTGTCAAATTTGATATTTAAATATTATCAAAAGGAGGAGCTAAAGTATATGTACTATCAGGTTTGATTCTATGTGTTTCTTCACCTCCTTAAAAATACTCTTCTTGGGTTTTGATATCTTAAGTGAATTCTCCAGGTTTAGTTAGTTATGATTAAGTGAAATTACTTCATAATTTGAAAAAAAAATCTAAGAATAATAATATATTTTTTAATATTACTTTAATAGATTTTCCATAAAACATGATATCATTTAGAGATTCTTTAGCAATAGCAGCATGATCTTAAGTAACATATTATATGAGAGCACTAGATCTCTCCTTTAGGTATATCATTTAATATATAAATTTTCAATAGTACTTATTATTATACTTATAATTATAAAAAAATAGACTAAAATTCAAATCAATAGATTATTATTTTTTTAAAGCTCTCTACATGAATACTTAAATAGAAAATATGCAAAAAACAAAAATAACAACTATTCATGTAATAAATATCCTTAATAAAATATACTGAAAAAATCTTTTATTCTTAATCATTTTGTTTTGTCTGAATTTGATTATTTAATACAAGTATTATATTTTCCTCATGCAATTTTTGAATTATTTGGACATAGTAGATGCAGGACTGTCATTTTTGTGCTGTATTATTGATATATAGAAACTTGACATCAATATATCCATTGGGATGATATGTAGAATTATTTTTTTTATTGTCGCAATTATGTTGCGTGATCTTAACTACTACACTCTTGATGAACTTATAGCATAACTAGTTGGATGGTTTATTTTTCATGTTTATATCATCTGTTTTGAATATCGATATTTTAAGCATGGTGAATCAGATATGATGTTTAGAGAAAAATATTATAAATTTATGGATACATGTTAATTAATAGTTGGAACAACATTCCTTGCTTATACTTTTGAGTCTATTATTGAAATATTAACTTTAGTTTATTTTTCAATTAATCTTGCTTTAAATGTATTTGAATTAATCCACCTTTTATGGTCTAAGAAATCTCAAATAAGTAATTACAACAAAAGAGATGGGTTTTTATAAATGTATTTTGGTTTAATTTTAGGAATACTTGTAATTATATTTTTTCTAATCTACTTGGCAATAAAATATTAAGAAGATTTAGAAGAAGAAAGTCTAAAATTAATTTTATATATTACCATTTTTGGGGAATTTTCAGGTCTTTGTCTATCTTTTTTGTTGTATTGTATATATAGATCCCACATTAATTGGTCAAATGATTTAACTAAAGGATCTTTGGGATTTCTTTATGGAATAACAGTTGGATTATTCAGTGTTTTCTATGGATTAGTTATCGGATTTGCAGTAATCTGTTATATCTTTTACTTTTGTTGTTATTGTTGTATACATGATGAAAAAAAAAAAGTCCATCCAGAAAGTTAATAATGATTTTATATGCATTTATAAAAAAATGTTAATTATAATTTTAAATCTTTTTTTTCAAATTTTACAATTTGATAAATATAATTCATTTAAATTTTTCAAAAGTTAGAATTAGAAATTCAAAAACAAATCAAAAAATAACAAAATATATATTATCAAAGATATTGCTCTTAAAAATTTACTACTATTCTTAATAAAAAGTTCTAATTATTTCATCGAATCTATTTCATTGAAAATAAATACATTAGAGTAAATGAGTTATATCCATATTTATATTCATTAGCATTCACAATTCTATATATATCCTCTATATCCAAAACTACAATTAAACTTTATTTCATCTTTGTCATTTCATATAATTTTAAAAAACAAAACTAACTGTATTTCTAAAGGTTTCTTTTCATCAATCTGACTTTATTAATAAATCACATCATTTAATTTATTTTTATTCTTTAAACTTATTTTTAATATAATATTGTTTTTTTAAGTCTTCACATTTAGATTACACCATTTTTTCATTTTTAAAGGTGATTAAGAAAAAATTTTATTGGATTTATAAGTAGTCATAGCAAATGAAAAAAATAAAAAAAAATAATTATATATTATGGCACTTGATGTCAACTATATTTAAATGGAATATTAAAACTACAGATCTTAAAAGTCTTAATTATGTATTTTATAACAAATATAGATTTCAGTGATCACTTTAAATACTATTTTGAAAAACAAAAGTGATTTTCTTATTTAAGAAAGAAACTTAGCTTTTTGAAAAGAATAATCACATTTTCCTCTTTTTTTGTTGACCTAAAATAAAAAAATGATTACACATTAAATAATATAAAAATTTTAAATTTTCATATTTAATTATTTGAAAAAAGAATTGGTTTAATTTATTCATTAGGATTATTAATATTATCTTCTAGATTATTTTAGGTTTCTGTCACGAATAAATACATAAAGAAATCAAATCAAACAAAAGTTATTATATTCAAAACCAAGATTGGATAAAAAAAAAGAGGGCATAAATATTTGAATAATAAATTAAACAATTTCATTTATAATTAACTGATATTTTGAATTAAAGGTGCCATGAGATAACAAGAGCTGATAATTAAAAAGTAAATAAGACCTTGATTATTTAAAAGTTTAATGAAATAAATCATAACATTTTCTATTTTATAAATATTTTAAGTATAATTATTTATTTAGTTTTTATAATAGTTATAGAAATATTATAAAAAAATTTGATAGAAATTGTATATTGTTATTAAGTAAATGACGATTTAATTAACATTAATATTTTAATTCTTTTAACTTTCTATTAAATATAGTTCGATATGTTACTATATATCTGACTAGTTCAATCCGTACAGTAATTTTGAACTTTGTTATTTAAAGTATAGATGGTTTGGAGAAGCATGATATAAAATGTTAATCAAGCATTATCTATCTAAAAATTTATCTGATGTGAAGCTAACCCTATCTATTATCCTATTATTTGAAACAACTCTCGATATAAGTCAATTTTTGATGCTTATTTAGCAAGGTAAGCAAGTTTATTTCAACTTATTTACAGATGAAGACTTTTTTACATGCAACCTGAGTAAATACTGGCTATTGATACAGGCAGATTTATATTTAGGTAGATAATAACCTTTGAAAATTACCCCTATGTAAAGTTATTTCAATGAATCTACTAATTGATTTTGTTCCTCAATAGTGATTTCCTAAAATCTATAATGAAAAATATTTTCCATTTTTAAATGAGTTACTTGAGTTACAACTTATTATTCCATATGATAATCTTCTTTTTATTCCTTAAAATAATTCTTTAATTCAAAATAAACATGTCTTCATTGTCAAACACTACATATCATTATGATTGCTGTCTTTAAATAAAAATTTCAGATTGCTTGATTTTATACTCTAATTCTTAAATTTTCTTATCTAATAATTTCCTAGTTGCTTATTCTCTAGATAGCTCATACACCTCTTGCATTGTTTGTGATGGACTAGCATGATAAGTTTGTTAGCTACCATCATTTTTATAATGGTAACTCATTGGTATTACTATGGAAATAATATTAATTGTATATGGATTGTATTTAATCAATAAAATTAATTAAATACTATTTGTATATTAAAATAATAACAATATCCCTAATTTTCTATTAATAATCATAAGTTAATCCTTAACAATTGTAAATATATTACAGAAAATATTAAATGCTAATCAGCCACCCTTCAATCTCAATTTAACATCCAAAATATCATGATTTCTAAATCCCAATTATTCTAAACTTCTAACTTCAGTCTCTCTAAACTCTTGAAACTTTTTTAAAAATAATATTTCATGGAGAAATTGCTCTAATAAATCATATAATGCTTATTATTACTATTATTAACTGATGAAAATATCATTTGTTTAACTATGCGACAAAATTCGCAAAATGGAATTTATGGATTTATTTTAATGTCAGTATTATTCACATATATATCACTAGTAGTTCTAATTGTAATTGTAATAAATCCTGGTTAATTTTAAGGGTGAAGATTATCTTCTTCATATAAGCCAGACTTCATTATTACTATAATTATTATATAGAATAAATAATTTTTTATTAAATATTTACTAATATCACACTATAAGCTTTGAATGCATATTCCTCATCAAAATCAATATCCAAAAGTACTATTAGTTATTCTTTTTTTAAATAAAATATCCTAGAATATTATATTCTGTTTCTTACTTTTTTAACCAATTTTTCTATAATGTGATTTGGGTTGCTTAATTTTCTAAAATTTCAATACATACATACGTGATCCTTCATTAAATTTTGAAATGTCTGCATTGGCTTTGATATTTGATTTTATTCATTTATTCTATATTTCCCTCTACTTGGCACTACTCTTGGCTCAGCTGAAAAGTTCTATTGTGTTGGTTATAAATTATAAACATCATAAAAGCATATTAAACTATTATTCATATTTACAGAATTCAATCTATTATCAAAGATCTATATTCATATAAATAAATGAATGATTGAAATATTTTCTTGGAAAATGACAAATAGATTTTTCTAGATTTTGTTTTCATTATAATTTTTAAGTTTTATAATTACACAATTCATTACAATTTTGTACATAGTAAATGTAAATTTGAATTCTATGATCTGGCCTTACTAATTCTGAACATGTCATGAGACAGACCTTTTAGAACATAAATGCTTGTGTATCTTTAACTATATTAATCTAGTTAAACTCTAATCACAAGATGATCTCTTGTTAATTGGACAAAAAATAAACTTAAAAGATTAACTTTATAAATTCTATTGAAATATAAAATAATTGACAATCAAATATTTAAGAACCAATAATCAAATTCTACAAAACTTTTATCTATTCATAAATATTTAAAATTTGAATGTAAAGTTTATTAGAATAATAAAATAAAATATTGAGAATTAGTTTACTTTAAAAATTATAATTTTTTATTTTAAGATTTCGTGTTTAACTTATATATATTTATTTACATAAACTTGTTTTGATATTGTAAATAATTATCATTATTAATTAAAAAATGTTACTTGATAACATTAAAGTAATTAGTATTGATTTTTATAGGTTGCCATTCGAATAAGGCCTTTCAACAAACGAGAACTTGAAACTTCAGACAAGTGTACTCTCAAAGTTATAGATTAAGAGACTTTAGTAGCAATTCCTCCAGTAGAGGCAGAAACTAAGTAGGGCAAAAAGACCTATAAATTCAATTGGATTTTTGACAAAATAGCTTCTTAAAAAGATATATTTGAAAAGACTCTTGAATATTAAGTACTTTCTTTGTTGGATGGAATAAATGTTACACTCTTTAGTTACGGTGCTTCTGGGACAGGAAAGACTCATACGTAAATATTTATAGTATATTAAGACTTATGAAATTGAATGAGGATTATGGATTACTAATAAGAGCTCTTAATCAAATATTTTAAACTATACACAATAAAAAAAGGAAAATATAGATAAAATTTTCATATTTAGAATTCTAATAAGAGTAACTCTATGATCTACTAAATAATACGAATAGTAACCTTGATATTAGAGATGATGTAGAGAAAGGAGTAATTATAAATGGAATGAGAGAAATTGATATTGCAAGCACTTAAGAGGTGATCAATTTAATATAGTATGGAAAAAGACAAAAGTCAACAAAACAACATGAAATTCTAATTTTTACTAACTACATTCAAGATATTATAGGTTAAAATAATGAAATTTAAGTTTCTAAATTTATTGTCGCTGATTTAGCTTGGTTTGATAAAAGTGGACAAAAGTCTGCATCTTTATAAGTACTTAATGATTGCATTTCATTATTAAGTGAAGCATAGAATAAAAAGATTTAACCATTTATACCATATAGAAATAGCAAATTAACTAAAATACTTAAAGACTCTTTTGGTGGAAATTCTAAAACTTTAATTATTGGTTGTATCTCTCCTTCAATAATGAATTATGAAGAGAGTATACAAACACTTGAATATTGTTCATTGGCTACAGGAATTTATAATCAAGGTTCCATCAAGAATCTATAATAAAGTACTCATTAGGATGATTTTAAATAAGTCTATGATTAATTAATAAATGAGAATGTTGAATTAAAGAAATTATTAAATAATAAATCAAATTAAAAACCAATAAATAATGATAAAGAATAAACCAAATTATATGAAGAAAATATTTTAGAACATTTTAATAATGAATAAGATATTAATTAATCTATTTTTAAGTATTAATGGGAAATAGAATAGATTAAATTTACTGTAAATGAAAATTAAGAAAACCTTTAAAGAATTGATGGAATAGATAGAAAAGCAGCAGATTCCTTAAGATATTAAATTGAGTAAGATTAAAAATAATTACATAATTATTAGGAATAATTAATCAAATTTTAAAAATAAGCAAGTAATTTTATAATATAAAGAAGGGCATTAGAGGAAGTAATATTATTTAATTAAATTTAGAATGTTAATTAGAGTAATTTATAAAATTCATATAAATTATATTTAATTAATCTAATTGAAAAACATATTCTAAGATTGGAAGTATATGAAATCAAACTTAAAGAATAAATAAATGAATTACATAGATAATAGCATGAAAGGATTATGGCTATTTAAAGAAGTTAAATTAATTTAAGAGATAGAATTATTGCAGATCAAAGAAAACATATCATATAACATGGTAAAAATCAATCTGTACAACATTATTCCTAAATTGATACAACAACTGAAGTGATAGATGGAACAAAGGCAAAACTCAAACATTATCCATTGCCAAAAGTCAAAGGTATTTTAACTATTTTTAATCTAGATCATTATTTCAATAGAGAAGCTTATTTGTAAAGAAAAGAATCACCAAAATCAATCTTTAGTCCAAGGCTTTAAACTCCTTTACAATTAAAAGATATAAAACCATATGTTCCTAAAACACCTCACACAAAAATACTTGAGAATCTCTCTACACCAATTCTACCAAAATCAAATCCATTTTCAAAAGCACCTCCTTAAAAAATAATTGACTCATAGTCTATGGTAGCCTTACCATTAATAACAACTAATAGAAATTTATCTAAATTTGTTTATGACTGGAGAGGAGGTGGTTATAAGTTCATTGAAGATCAAAAAAAAATACCATCATAAAAAGAACTTAAACAGATTATTTAATAAAAATAACACACTTAGTAAAGTCTTGACAAATCATTTTTTACTACTTCTAGTCGAAGTAAATAAATATTAAAATTATGAGGTACTTCTGCAAAAAGAGTTTCTTTTAAACAAAATCTATTACTTCCAGGAAAAGTACATGAATCCCCTTATGTAAAAGAATTTATTAATAAAGAAATACAAAGAAAAATCAAATTAAAATAATTGAATTAAAAAATGATGAAAGTAACTTAAAAAAAATGATTTATCTTATATATCTTGTTTATATCTTACAATTATTATTCAAAATCTATATTGTCCTGGTATATTTGCCACAGGATTAACTCTCATTTAGTTAAATTAATTAGGACTGAATTAATATGGTGATTATTTAAATTGTTACTATTATATTCTAGGTGTTTAATATTATTATTATTATTAATAGTTTTATGGTTGTTATTATTATTAAATTGTATTATCATAAGATGCATATCTAAAAATATAGAAGATATTACTGCATAATATTAGTCAATAAAAATAATGAAAGGATTAAAAATATAAATCCAACAATAGAAGTTGTTATGATAGTATTATTATTCAAATGAATAGATTCAGCCTTAACTTGATATGATGGAGAAATACTGATAGTATTTTCATCTTGATCAAATAGAACATAATTGTTTCTATACATATTATATTTATTTACTTAAAGAAAGTATATGGTATAATAATAATAGGTTTATCTGATGATTATTAAATTAAAGGATTATTCACTTATAATTATCTGATTAAAAGATAACATTTTTAATCATCTCTATGTATATAATCTGATTTCGATAATGGGTACTTATTATTATCTAGATTAAAAGTGAAATTAATATCATTGAATTTATCATATTATTCATCATTACATGAACATTTTAAGATATCTTCACTCTTAGCACAATCCTAATGTAAGTAGTTTAATTACTAAATGAAACTTTTTTAATTCTTCCTCAAACTTTTCTATTATTGTCTTTTCTGCCCATATAAATCTTGTTGTACTATCAAATATAGCACTACCTCCAGCTAAAACTTTATTTATTTAATACTTAAAAATACTGATTCATCTCCAAAGTATAATTTATTTATTTTTAATGCCCAGACTTTTTTACCAATATTTGAAAACTTCTCAAATTTAGATTTTGCAAAATATCCCTATTTTTCACCTAAAATAAGTAATTATAATGAATCTTCTAATTTAATAGCAAAAGTAGCAAATGGAACATTTATCAATTAAGTATGCATTCTTATGTAAATTTTAATAATATTACTATTAAAGTATACTGTGTTGAGGTTCTAAAGCAGAATCAAAGTGAAACTCTCCAACTTATGCATTTTTTTTCTTTTTATAATCAATATAATCTTAACCATAAGCTAATCCCAATGTTCCATCATTAGAGGTAGTACTATATTCTGTATTGTATTTATCTATGAGTCCAAAACCTACTTTCTTAACTGTCATCCCTAAAAATTCAATTGAATCCTTATTCTTATAAAATTGTATACTTAAATTGCATATAACCCATTGACTTTTACTCTTCCTCCATAAGTATTTTCAGATGTTAAGGGTATGTTTTGATCATCGTCTTTGCTTGTTTGATAGGAGCAACTTGTTTCACACTTGAATAATTTTGCATCAACAGGACATTTATCACATTTTTTATTATCTGGGTTTTTACTAAATACCCAGGTAATATAAGATGTAGTATCAATTGACTATTATACTTATTCTGAACCCAAAGTTAATGGAATCTGGTAAAATTAAAATTTATGCTACTGTTAAAGTATAATCATCTAAATATTATTTTGAATCATCAGGTGTTGCTTTTAATTTATTCTTATCAATATTTGAATAGGTTAAATGATTCCTTGATCTTCTTTCTGTTTATACCTTCTGAATTTAGATTCTGAATTCTTTAGTTGAGATATTGATGAATAGAATGCAAATTAATATTAGATTCATGAATAAAAATTATATTACTCAAGTAAAAATAATTAAACAACTTGATATAATCTATGATAAAATAAAAACTAAGTTATTATTATTTTTAGTAATCTCAACATTTTCAATCAATAACAATATTATGATTTGAGTAAATGAAATGAAACAATATATTTATAAAATTTCAAGATTTAGTTCTTTTTTCATCTTTTATGGCTTAAATTCTCCAACTTTCAGAGAATTCATTTAATTTGTGCATAAATTCTTAATGAAAGCCTGTAGAACCTAAATTTTCAGATATTTTAAGCTTTGACTATTTATTTTATAGTATTTATGATGATTATGATTTATTATTTTATTATTTAAGTTAGGTTGATTAGAATTTTTATTATAAATTGGATAGATCTAATTTAAGTTTTACATTATTTGTTTTTTTATCGAGATTGTTATTGCATTTGTACTAATATTATCGAAGGCTATCTAAGATGGAATCATTTTCTAATCTATTTAGAAAGCAAAAACTAGATTCATCAGAGTCATTAACAACAGAATTATCAGCATCATGTTCATTTTTTTCAAAATAATAATGTTTAACTCCATGATATTTATCATTTGGTTCAACTGCACTGTCATCATTAAGTACTTCTTCATTGTATATTTTTTCAATATCGATTCCACTTCTTTTAATTGCTAAAACTAATTTGATTAATTTTGCTTCTTTTTCATTCATTTCTTATAATTTAATTTACATTGCATTTTGCATTTGTTACAATTAGCCAGTATCCATACTATCAATTTAATTTGTATTTGTTGATTATTTTGGTGATTTAAGTTGATTAAGTGTTTAAATTAATATATCTCTTTCTTTTTCTATCATTTTACAATTATTTAAACATAATTCTTTTTCTTGATTGATTTTTTCAATAATTTCATTGAATTTAGATTCTTAATCACATAAGATCTCAATTGATATATTATTCATCATTTCAAATAAATTATTGATAATTCTAACAGATATATCATTAAATGAAGTAGATTGAATGAATTAATGTTTGTATACATTTAATAGATTGCATTATTTTAATAATAATTCTTTATAAATTTCCCATTTGGTATGATATTTTTTCTTAATGATAATTGATTAGATTTAAGTATTAAGATTATGTAATTCTTGATTTATCTAGATAGGTTTCCTTTATCCTGGACTTTGAGAATCATTAGTGAGATGGGTATTTAGATTCTATTTAGATCTAAATAATGAAATTTGGATTACAGTTGCTAAAGAACATTGGTTGAAAACAAATGACTATCACCAACAATTTTTCTTAATTTTAAACCATTTTCAGAAGTTTGAAGTGAATCATCTTCATTTTATATAGTGGCAATTACACGACTTTTGGAGTTACTATTAGTACGATTATTAGTGTTTTCTGAGATATTGTTTTTATGTTATTTATAACGTTTCTCTTCAATTGATTTGGAAGTTGGCACAGTTTATTTAATAGTCAAACGCTATTGTTGAAATTTGGGAGCAATATGAAAGAAATTGTTTTATTCAGAAGAAATGTTAGGTTAAGATGATTATTTAGGAATCACAACCTTAATGAAAGGCTCTTTGATAGTGATTGGAGCTACTCGTTGCATTTCTGATAATTTAATTAAATATTCATTCTAATAGAGGTGGTAACTCTGAACGGCATGTGGGACACTGCATTTTAATATCAATCCAACTACGTAGACAAGATGGATGGAACCAATGATTACAAGGGGTTTACATGGCTTATTTGATTACTAATTTTTAAGTAGGTGCTTGTGTATCAAATGGATCTTCCATCAATGAAGTTAAGCAGATTGCACATTCTTCCTAGAAAATAAGATTAGATTTTCAGTACATGATCTTCTTATATATTAAGTGTTCTATAATAATTGTATTGTTTTGGTAAGAAACATTTTGGAATAAAAGATCTTGGACCTAATTTGAATTGGATATATAGGATAATTATCTAGAGCAAGTATTCACTCAAATAGATCATACAAAATGCTAAAGAAGGTTCAAGACCACGTAAATTACTTGGACATCCTCTATTGTAAATCTAAATTATTATAATGAAATACTTGATAAATCATACTTGGTACCAAAATACCAAAAACAAAATAAGAGATAAATCTAGGGTTATTACCAAGTCGAATGTTATGAATTATTTATGGTAGTAGACATAAACCAGTTAAACAAATAAACCAATTATAAGTGAAAAAGAAGTACATCAATATAAAATATAAGATGAGGCTAAAATCTAAAGTAAGTTAGAGATTATTACAAAATTATGCAAAAAAGTAAGTTATAGCCCTTCTCATTCTTTATTAATCAAATAGATCTTCTAAATGTCGACTTCTCCAAACTATCCATATTAATTTCATATCACAAGTGGTTGCCAATAAGAAGTAAAAGAATGCAGGTAATATGAAGTATTAGAAATATTGCTAGGATTGATAAAATTTATTACATAATTAATCAATGCTTCATAGAGATTTTACAAACATATATAGGAATCTTGTATAGTCAAATAGCCCACTGCAAAAAGTGAGATCTAATATAAGTTTTAGACATTTACTTTGTTTGGGTCTTCCTCATTCTCAAGTAATGCTTTACAAAGTTTTGTGACGCATAAGAATTACGTAAAACATATCATCACAGACATTGCACAATACATAATAATGACTAATAAATTGTTTGTGGTGTCAAGCATCAAATCCATTAATATATCAACATCACAACGAGCATCCATAGAATTATTATGAGTCTTCATATGTACTTGGATCTTAGCATGTTCCTTATCATATTTTTCTTCTTAAAATTCGATATTGACAGTATATGCTATTTCACAATTCTCTTTTGAATAATAGTTTCTTCTGAATTTGTAGGCTGTTGTGTAGTTCAAAGTACTGATGTTCTCGAATGAACTAACATTAAATCACTTATTACATGTCGCTGTCAGAGTAATTTGTCAATTTAAATATACCAATAACTTGTCTCAATTCTTAGTATTTTGGATTCAATAGTTGAAACTCAAATCGATCGATCACTCCATTATTATCTTATTAAGTATTGTTTGGCAAGAATATCATATAAGCATCTCCTTATTCAACTGTCAAGTATTGAAATTATTATTCTTTTTTCTAAGATGTCCATAGTCCTTTATATTCGAAACCATAGAGTAAGTTTGACAAGTCACTAATATTTTTTGGACGTTCACTTAGTCCAATTACTAATTAGAACAAAAAAATGCACAACATTATAAAAATTATTTATAATCTAATCTTACTTTTTTCACACATATATAATTTAAATTTCAAATAAATGAAAACACTCTCTGAAAACAAGACTTTTGTTTAACATATTAAATAAAGACAAGATGATTTCAAAGTATATTCATATTCATATTCAAGAAAACCCTATAACTTCCTACCAAAAAAGATCCTCCTCTCCTCCAATAAAATAATTTCAATTCACTTACTTCTCCAAATCAACGTAGAGAATAAACTCCAAATTAGAGAAAAGCTAAAATTGAAAGTATATATATATTCTAAATAGGTGAAAATTCATGCTCTCCAACTCTTTTTCGTACTCCATAAATCAGCTTACATTATGAATACAATAAAAAAGGCCATTAAAGATAACCTAGTAACAATAGAAGTCGTAATGAAAATATATCCACTGTCAAAGAAAGAAGAGAACATAATGCTGATTCTGTTACTAGAGATTACTCTAGAGTTTTAGAAGAAGTTATGAAAAAATATCGTTTACTTAAAACAGAATTACTTACAAAAGATAAAGAAGTACAAAAAACACAATTTTATAAAGAAGAATGGCTCAAAGAAAAGGTATTCATTCTTTATAATCAGAAACGTAACGAATTCCTCTAAGAAAGAAACAAAAATTTGAAAATGAAATTACTCAAAATAATAGAATTAGTTTAATAAGATTAACTATAAACTAATGATGAATCGGAGGTACTTTAATATTTGTATCATGATAGTTAATAGGGTATCATAGCTAGTCTTTAGACAGAAAATAAATATTTACGTTAAATGTTGCATCTATATGATGTTACTGATGTTTCAGAATAACTTTAATAACTTGAAAGTGAGTAAGATCATGAAGTTGACTATATTGATAACATACTCAACGTATTCTTAGGTGATCTTAGAACTATTTAAAAAAACAGAAAAGAAAAAAAGGAAAGTTAATAATTAGGTATTATTTTACAATTATATTATTAGGATAATTCAATTCACTATCCTTGACAGTACTGAATAAAGAATCTAGTTTTGTTGATTTATCAGAAGATAAATTATTAATGGAATAATAATGAAATATTAAATAAACAAGCTCAATTTATATCCTAGTAATTCCTTTCATTTTTTGTTGTGTATTTTAATATTGATTTTAATTTATTATCTACCTTTTTATTTTATAATAGTTACATAAATTCATATTATTTTTCTATAAGTCAAATCTTTGAAAGAATATTAAGCTATAATAAATTATTTATCTTATTCACAACTATAACTATATAAATAACTATCTATAATATTAATTTAAGTTTATTTTGTATAACTGCATTTATATTTTATTAAAATTTCTTGTAGAAATCCTATTTTATATAATATTTTAACAATATATATATATTTATCATTATTATAATAAGTATGGTAAAGTATTATATTTTAATTTTGATTTATAATGTTTATAGGTAGGAGTTCTTTATTTTTATTATGTGAATGGTCTAACTGGTAATGTTTTATGTGGAGATTAGCAATTTTAAATTGTCATAATTCTTTATCTTGGTCTATTAATTTTGATTGTATGTTTTTATTTAATTTATTTTAATAATATTCCTAATCATTATAATATATTTATATACCCTCATATTTAGTAAATGAATCAATATTTTAAAATAATTAATTATATTAAATATTTGAACCTTTATGTATCTCTTTGAATACTTTTTCAGTTTCTCTATCTTTTGTAATATTAAATTAATTCTCATTGAAACCAAACTCTTATTTTTTTTTTTCATATTCATTATTTAAAATATTTATGTATTACTTAACTACATCATCATTAATGGACTCTATCAATTAAAGAGTATTTTATTATTTAGAATTCTATTTTTAATCATTAACAACAATATTTTTATAACTAACATTTTGTGAGTCAATAAAATAATAAGAACGGGAATTTTCTATACTCCATTTGAAAATACCATGTGTTATTTTAATTGATCTTACTTTTTCAAGAAAGTGAATTATTTTGTATGTGTAATACTAACACAATTATTCATGTGATAAACTTCTTTCATATTGATCTTCCTCTTCATCTGTAATATATTGAGATGAAGCAATGACTATATCTTTTGTTAAGATTCCTACTTCAATATATGCTCTTTTATATAACATTGTATAATCATCTTGTTCTGCAACATAAAGAATCCTTTAATCAACCAAATATTGAGATTATATATAGAGTATGTCCTTCCATATAGTTTCAATTCTTCTTTTATTGAGTAGAATATTTAATTCTACATCTGTCATAATTTGAAGATTCTAATCAACAAACTTGCATATACAACCATTTTTAGGCATTAATGATTTTAATCTATAATGTGGTAGGTTCCTTAATTATTTATATTGTCCATAAAGATTTGTTTTTCTTTAAGAGATGAACAATTCTACTTCTCCTTAATTGAAAATAGAGATTTCAGGAATGTTGAATCGAAATGTCTTAAGAGTCAAAGGTTATAATGCTTTTAGAATTTGAATATATGTAAAAGGCTATGTTTAATGTTAAACAATGAAAGTCTCTTTTGCGAGTTCGTCATTCATTAAATTAATAATGAAACATAGAGAAGAAATGATAAAACAGTTATAGAATATATAAGACCCATATGTATTATAAAAGCAAAGACAGATAGATGTAAAGAGGAAATATGAACAATTATTGGCTTAAGTGAATCTAATTTATGATGAAGATGCAAAAGAACGTCAATACTAAGTTGATTTCTAGCGTTTCATTCATTTTTATAAATTTTTGGCTCGTCGACCAGATAGCGAATAATCAAATTAATCAATAGTGAACAGATTATAATTATGGGTTCCAGACACAATAGTATTGAATGATCGTGAAATGCCAAATTATTGGTTGTATTCAGATTCAAGAGGATATGTATTTAGAACAGATGCTTTCACATCAAAAAATGTAATTAGTAAATTAGCTAATTATACATCTCCAGATGAATTAGTTGCAGTTATAAAGAAATAATAATTTAGGAACATGGAATTAGTTGGGAATGAAATTAAATTGGTGTGTTGTAGAGATTTATAATCTCAAATTAATGTCAATTTTTAAAATAGAATGGATCTCACAATAATATAAAAATTTGTTAAAAGTAATGGTCCAAAAGCTTTTATATGTAGAACTATATGGCGTAAAGATAAAAATCCTTATTGTTATATTGTAACTAATAAAGAAGATTATTTTTCATAAACAACAAATCCTAAATCTGAATTCACAAAATATATTACTAATGTTAATCAATAGAATTCATGTACAATTGTTAATACTTGTCGTGGAAAATATGTTGATGAAACAGTTCCATATGTCAAAAATATTATAAATTATATTTATATACATTTGCATATTTCATTTAAGGAATTTGCTGCTGATTTCATTAAAGATGAAAGTGGAATATGGTGGTTTATAAATGTTAAAGGATTTATTATTGATAAAAGTCCAGATAAGATTCTTTGGAAATCTATTACACATTATGGAGAAGATGTACATGAAGAAGGATAACCTATAATTTAATAACAATAATCAAAAATTATATCACCTAAAAATAAAACTAAAGTTGCTGATATGTGTTAAAAACTAAAGATTTGTAAATATTGTGAATAATCTTATCCTGAATAATATTTATAATATAAAATGACATTAAAAATGATCATTTAAACTGATAAACATCTTTATTGGAGAGGTAAAACATTTAATTGGATTGAAAGATCAGATGTAACCAATTTAGAAGTTAGCAATCTCTATCATGAACATAAAGTATGTAAATAATGTTACACTCTCTATAAAGAAACAGAATAACTTATTGAATTACAATTATAATTTAATAAATAATTAGGATTACCCAGTGATTATGATACTATTAATCAAATGTTAACACTCAAAGCCAATTAGGTGAATAATGAATCTATTAAAACAGGATTAGATGAATCTAAATAAATTTTTAATATCTCTGCAACTAAATAACTTATACTCAATAATTAATCTATACCTATTATTCATAATACTGTTATTAAAACACTTAATCGCTTTAGATTCATGATCTTAATCCATTCAATTCGAGATGTCCCTTAAAATGTAGATCTATCTAAACACTATTATATTGAATGTAACATCTTTGATCAAAAATTCAGAATTAAACTTGATCTTATCACAGGTCAAATCTTTGATAAAGGTTATTTCTTAACTCTCAATAGAATGCGTTTATATTACTTTTTTAGTGATCAACGTAAAGGATGGGTTGAATATGTAAATCAAATCAAAATATTACCAATGTATCTTTATTAAGAAAATATCAAAATTGGTACCTTAGAAATAGAATTACAAGATCTCCTTTCAGAAAGAGTTATCAGAAGAGAATTCCTAAAAGTTTTTAGTGTCAAGGATTGCTATCCAATCTTAAGTTGGTCCTTAAATGTATACTATTATATATAAATTAATAAAGTTGACTTTAGGATTAGTAGATTCAGGCCCTGCTAATGTTACTAGAATTAAATTACAAGAACATTTTGGGATTTAATTACCTAATCCTGATTATTGTACTTGTGAACCTCTTCCGGCTGAATGGATGACAATACTAAATTAGAAAAAAGATGTAGATCTACATAGAAGTGAAAGATAAATTACTAATCATACCTTAAAAAGAGTTTCAACTGCTCATGCTAAATTACAAAAAAGTAGATTTGAAGGATCCTCTTTGCATTAAGACATGGAATCGTTCAACGATTCAACTAAAGAATTATATAGTCAACTTAATTTATAAAAAGAAATATAATTATATGAAATTGATGAAGATGAACGTAAAAATAAGAAAAGAAGATTATTTTAATAATATGATTTATGATCATTGATAACTTATTGTAATTTTAATTTTCATTAGGCTTTAACTATTATTTTCTCTTTAGCCTAACCTAAAGTCTACAATTATTAGTGAACCCTAAATTTTATAATGTTCTATCTTTATTTTAGTGTATATTTGATATACTTTACAATTAATATTCGATAGTTTCTTTATATTGAGCTTCCATTTTTTGAGTAAAATTTGCTAATTGATTAATATTAATATCTTATGAAGTACTCTTATATATCAACATATTAATTTATGATTTTCTTTATTTTTATTTAAAAAAATAATCAATAAATAAGATAAAATAAATAACTTTTTAAGCCTTTAGTTTCTAATAATTTCATACAATAAGTAATTTTGACTTACCCTCCTTAGATTTAGACATTATGATAGATTATCAAAGTTTATAAAATCTAAAGTTATGAGTCAAAATTTTTAGAATTAATTAATATTAAGATTTTAATTCTATTTTTTATTTTTTTAGTCAAATTCAAATCATGGAAACACGTACATCATCACTAATTAAATTTATTATTATTAATAATTATTCTATTATATACATATTTTAGAATATAAAAGCCTTTGAGAAAAAAAGATTTATTAAATATTAAAAATAAAATAAAAATGAATTAATTAATGAATTAGGTTAACGAAGCAAGTTCAGGTAGAAATGATCAACCCCATGCAATTAGTGTTAATGTTGTTGTAAATTTACAATAAGCTAATTTAAATTTACAATTATCCATAGATCCTGAAATTCCATTTAATATTTTTGTAAATGGAATCAAAGAATAAATATTTGCACAAAGAATGTAGGCTCAATATGAAGAAACTATCGAGTATTAATTGGGAAATGGATCCAATTTATAATAAAATGAAAGCAGAACATTATAATCTTTAGGGTTCAATAATAATTGTACACTTTATGTTAGGCTTAAGCTCAAAGGAGGATAATGAAAAATTAATATAATTATAATAATTTTAAAATGTATGAATATAAACTTCTATTGGAACTAAATTTGATAGTGTTAATAGATATTACATTTAAATCTTTAAATAAGAAATTATTAGCTTTATCATATAATTGAACTAAAAATCTTAAGTCTATGCTAATGCTTCAAGGATACGTTTAACAAACGATTAGACTATGAGTCAGTAGCAATTGATTTCTTAAGTAGAATAAAACATGATGTCTATTCTATAATACATAGAAATCTTATTAAAAAAATTAAAATTAAAATATAAATTCTACTCAATTCATAGCAAAACATACAAAATATAAAATTAAGATAGAAATTGTACTTTGCAGCATCAATAAATTATAATGTAAAAGGTCTTTTAATATTCTTTTTTTTTTTAATATTTGACTTATTTTATGTACTTCAATATAAAAAAAAAAAACTCCATTCTTAAGTTATAAATATGTATCATATTTTGATAAACTTTTCAATTTTCATTTAATATAAAAATATAATATTTTTCCAATATATTCAAATATAATGCATAATCATTAGCACTAATTCTATTATTTATATTATTAATGTATTTTTAAGAGTAATTCTTAATATGATTTGATTCAAATATCATTTCTGAGATTCAGGATCATTTTTTATTAAATAACACAGTATTAAATTTATAAAATTACTCTTTATATAAATGTCTATAAATTTTTGAAACAAAGGATCATTATATTTGCATTTTTAATAAATCTTTTTTTCCCTAATTTCTTTCAATAATCCATTTATTAAATCATAATTGGACTCTATTAAATTCTAAAATTATGAAATGATTTCCCTTCTAAAATATGGCTTTAAGTTTTTCTATCTTTGTATTCAAGCTTTTTAATAATTCATTTGATCTTTTCAATTCATGATATGAGTTTGTCCGTTTTTATTTTATCCTCCTAATGTTCATTAAGGCACACTTAATGAATCCTCATTTTTTTACAGCAATTATATGAAACATAGAAACTAATGGATCTGAAAATCTACAGTATTGAATTAAAAATTTTTAATTTTTAAACAACCATATAATATTTGATTATTTAATAAAAGTGCAAATCTAATTATCTATAACTATAAGCCTGCAGTTTATGGGAATGGAATACTATCAATAGATGCTAATCTTAATATGAATATAAATATTAAATTATCAATATTAATTATTTATTAAACTTAGAAAATTGAAAATTAAATATATATGAACTTGTTTTTATAGTTTTTTAAAAATTATTTTATTAAAAATAATGGGAAGAGCCTTTGGAAAAAGGGAAGTGCAAGTATTATAATAGAATTTCGAGATTTTTAGATATTTCAGGTAAAACAAGTATCATTAATGCTCTGAAAAATGAGAAAAATGCATCTGCTGCACCTACAGTTGGTTTTAAAAAAGATTCTTTAGAGAAATTTAATTTCAATTTTTAATTCTCTGATATGAGTGGACAAAATTAATATAGAGGGATGTGGTAATACTATTTAACAAAAGTATAGAAAATTGATATGAATAGATTGATGGTTTAATATTTGTGATTGATTCATCCGATAAAATTAGATTTGGTATAGCCCTTGATGAATTAAAATTATTATTTGAGATTCCTGAATTTAATAAAAATCTTCCAATACTTGTATATGTGTATGTTTTGGAGGTAGTGAAAAAAACTGGAGTAGAAAAAAAGATAAAATCCTCTTTTCTTTAGGGTATAACATCTAAATTTAATTATTACTCAGTCAAATATTAAGTTCATTACTCAAAATAGTTCGGAATTTGTTGAAATTATTAAAGAAAAATATTAATTAATCCCCATTTTCAATATCAAAATGGTTTTTTAATAATATGGAACATCTCGATTAATATAAGGATTAGATTAATTATAATCTCATATTAACTTAAATGAAAAATTTAAGTGCAGAAAAATATGTTTAATATAGTTGCATAAAATATTACAATTAAATCAATAATTAATAATTGTCTATTAATTTTTTAAAGATTAATGAGTTTCGATATCAAAAATGGGGAACACTTTTAATTCAATAAACCCCCAGAAAAGCTAGAATAAGTAGTAATAGGTGATTTATTTGCAAGGAATTAATATTCTTAAAATAGGGAAAAATCAACAATAAGTTCATAAAGTAATCCAAAGAAGAACCTAAAGATTAAATTAGTGACTAAAAAATTAGTTAAATTAATTAGTAAAGAAGGGAAGTAGCAGTGATAATAATGAAAAAATAGTATTTGGTTAATTATTAAGACATTTATAAGACCTTTGAAATATTTTCATACGGATTGCTACCACTTCTGAATGATTTGAATTAGCTCTTAGATTTAATAAAGAATTTCAAAAAAATGAATTAGAAAGGAACCAGAATATAAATTGTTAAATTTATGAAGAGGCTTAATTAAAAATTCTAAGTGCAAGAAAACATCCACAACTTCCTTAGAAGCCAACTCCACTTTTTACAAGCTCTCATCTCATCCAGTTTCTGATCGAAAATTTTTAAAGAGCTCGATGTATGCAAAAGGAGATTTTATCGCATCTAACAAATTGAGATTTTTGAGACTTAATTACAATTGATATTTATATATGTTTAAATACCATTAACAATGATGTATAAGATCTAGAATGATTGAATATTTACTGTAAATTAACTTGAAGAATTAAATAATAATTTACTTGAAAAAAATTAAAAATAGAAAAAATAATTTAGTTGTTGATATTATATAGTTAATAACATGAAATTTTATTATTGGAATTATAATTTAAAGAAAGCAAAGAAGCTATTTAGTAAGATAGTAAAAACTAATGACTAACTAAAATAGTCTTATTTTAATATTTAATAATATTATTAATAAATTCAGGATTAACAATTAATTAAACTAATTTGTATAAAATTAAATAATAGCAAATACAATATTGAAATAATAAGAAGAATGTTTTGGTTATAACTAAACATTCAATTATTCAATACAGTTAATAAGAAGAGTTGAATAAAAAATACAAATTGATTTAAAATAATGATTAAAGTTTAACCTAATAAGGTATAATACAAATTTTATCTTGTAAAGAGTGACACAAAAATGAGTGAAATTAATACATTATTATAGATGAGAAAAAAATGAAGTTATAAGCGAATGATGCTTAAATAAAATCTCAATTACTTAAAATGAAAGATAGAATATAAAAAAATTTCATTTTAGATGAAACCTAAAGAAGATTATTAAATAAGATAATAAAAGCTATAGATCAATATATAATATTAATAATATTGATACTCTTCTAGAAACAGCACAATATGTATCGTAAAACTAAAAAATAAAATAAACAGAATTATGTAATAGTTAAAAAAAGTCATTAATTTGAAATTATCTCATATAGTTTAAAAATCGATTAGATTATTCAATTTTTTTCATTTTAGGTAGACTTAAATTCATATTATTTTTTTCTTTATTTTTAGTCTTATCTAACATTGATGTTTTAAGATAATTGAATTAATTTAAATAATCATTTTTTTTTTGATCTGTGAAAAATTATAACAAAATCTATTGATTTCATAGGTTTCAATAAAATTTACATTTCTAGAATTTATAAAATTAAATAATAATTACAAAACATGTAATATTAAAGACCCAAATTCTAAAAAAATCCATAAAAAAATGAAGAAATCAACAATAAAAATCATTAGGATTCACCTGAACTAAATAAAAGGGAGCCAACAACATCTTAATCAGCTAAGGCTTATAATTCTTAGTACAATCCATAATATCAACCCCCCTGCCTTGTTAGTGGATCCCTTATGTATGTTCCTATGCCTCCACCTGCTAACTAGGCTACTATAAATCAATATTTTTAATAATTTTATCCTAATCCAGAACAATATTTGGATAAGTAGTCTATATCAAACAATCAAAATAACTTATCAGCCACATAAAAACAATCAGAAATCTTATAAATAATTTCTACTCCCTAAAATGATGTCTAATAGAAATAATAAAAGCAAAATGAATATGTATAATCATATATTCCAGATTAAGAAGAATAAAACCTATAAAATAAATCGAAACCATCAATATTAGAGAATTTTTAAATCATTTCAACTTGTAAAATTAAAAATATGGATCTTAGCTCAAAAACTCACAACATGATTATTGTAGATAAAAAATTCAAAGAATTTATAATTTAACCATTTGATGAAAATTTGAAAAATAAATAATTGGTACTTATTTTAATTACTCTAAGATCAATTCAAATCTTATTATAGTTTAAGATAAAAATATCACAGTTCCAGAATTTGACTCAGTGCAGAGATTATGTTAATTACATATGAAACCTATAGAAAAAATTTGTACTAATTATGATTGTAAATAAAATAATGATATTTTGCTTTGTTAAGATTGTGCAAGAAACCATAAAGGGCACAATTTATATGATATTCCAGAAGTATTATTTCTTANTTTTTTCTTTATTTTTAGTCTTATCTAACATTGATGTTTTAAGATAATTGAATTAATTTAAATAATCATTTTTTTTTTGATCTGTGAAAAATTATAACAAAATCTATTGATTTCATAGGTTTCAATAAAATTTACATTTCTAGAATTTATAAAATTAAATAATAATTACAAAACATGTAATATTAAAGACCCAAATTCTAAAAAAATCCATAAAAAAATGAAGAAATCAACAATAAAAATCATTAGGATTCACCTGAACTAAATAAAAGGGAGCCAACAACATCTTAATCAGCTAAGGCTTATAATTCTTAGTACAATCCATAATATCAACCCCCCTGCCTTGTTAGTGGATCCCTTATGTATGTTCCTATGCCTCCACCTGCTAACTAGGCTACTATAAATCAATATTTTTAATAATTTTATCCTAATCCAGAACAATATTTGGATAAGTAGTCTATATCAAACAATCAAAATAACTTATCAGCCACATAAAAACAATCAGAAATCTTATAAATAATTTCTACTCCCTAAAATGATGTCTAATAGAAATAATAAAAGCAAAATGAATATGTATAATCATATATTCCAGATTAAGAAGAATAAAACCTATAAAATAAATCGAAACCATCAATATTAGAGAATTTTTAAATCATTTCAACTTGTAAAATTAAAAATATGGATCTTAGCTCAAAAACTCACAACATGATTATTGTAGATAAAAAATTCAAAGAATTTATAATTTAACCATTTGATGAAAATTTGAAAAATAAATAATTGGTACTTATTTTAATTACTCTAAGATCAATTCAAATCTTATTATAGTTTAAGATAAAAATATCACAGTTCCAGAATTTGACTCAGTGCAGAGATTATGTTAATTACATATGAAACCTATAGAAAAAATTTGTACTAATTATGATTGTAAATAAAATAATGATATTTTGCTTTGTTAAGATTGTGCAAGAAACCATAAAGGGCACAATTTATATGATATTCCAGAAGTATTATTTCTTATTCAAAAAAATTAAAAATCTTTAGAAGATGATGAAAATTTTATGAACATATTAAAATGTAAAACTTTTTCAGAATTAAAATTTTTTAAATCAAATATCATAGGATAATTAGAAGAGATTGAAAATAAATTAAACGATGGCTTTAACATTTTTTAATAAAAACTTTTTGAAAAAAAAAATTTCTATGAATAAGCTTTTAATGAGATTTAATTCGGAGGGTTAAGCAAGATGATTGAATAAATTAATAATATTTACAATCAAGGAGTATTTTAAGAAGTACAATAAAGTTCTAATGATTTTTTATACAAACAGTTAGCATAATAATTAGAACAGGCAAAATAATCAATTTAAAAATTTGAATAATTAATTTAATAGAAACCCTAAGATCAAGTTAAAATAAAAATCAATAATATAGAGTTGTTGATTTAGAATTAAAAAATATAAAATCTTAATGATCTCTACTTTTAAATCAAAATAGATGCCTTAAAATAAAATATAACAAATATTCTAGATTAGGATATATTATTATTTAAAAAAAATAAAGGAATTAAACTGAAAGGAAATAATTAGCTATTCAATTTAAAAGACTAATTAGATATTGAAGTTATTTCATATTTAGAAATTTGATATTTATAATAAATATTAGAATAAAATATATAAATCCTAATATTTAAACTAAGTTCTCTTAATTTTTCTACATTTTTCTCTTTTATTTATTAATAAACTAACATTATTCTTTAAAATAAATAAATCTGTAGAAAAAAATAAAAAATACGATAAATATTTTAAAATGGAATGTGAAAAGCTTTTTCATTATAATTTATTAATGCAGCAAAGGCACAATCAAATAGATAAAAAACTATACTATTCTATGGGGTGAATGTATAATTAAGTAATTATCCTATAGATTGAGTAGATTTTACTTTGAAAATTTATTCTTTTTAAATCCAATTTCTTATTTATTTAGAAAAAACATCATGTATTCTTCTATTCAAGAAATTTATTGTAAATAACACATAATCTAATGTTTAATGTTCTGATAGAGTTAATATTTTCTTAATGAAAGATCTAAGGGTAATATTTACACATATTATCAAGTTTAAATTAATTTAATAGAAATACAAATTTTTAATTATATATAATCATCCTCCTTTGAGCATAAGCCTTACCTAAAGTGTACAATTATTTTTGAAACCTAAAATCTATAATGTTCTAATTTCATTTGATTATATAATGGATCCATTTTCCAGTAAATACTCAATGGTTTCCTCATATTGAGCTTTCATTTTTTGAGCAAATATTTATTCTTTAATTCCATTTATAAATTTATCAAATGGGATATCATGGTTAATATTGACTTATATTTTTAAAGTAGATTATGGTAAATTTACAACAACATTAATAGTAATTTGATTAGGTTAATCACTTCCACCTTATTTTTATTGCTAATTCATTAAATAAATCATTTTTATATTATTTTTAATATTAAATCAATCATTTTTTCTTAAAGGCTTTATATTCTAAATATGTATATAATAGAAATAATTATTAACAATAAATTAATGATGATAAACAAACAGAAAGATTGTTTTTGAGTCTAAACTTTTGATTTTATAAAATTCTTGAAGTCTATCATACATCCAAGAAGAAAAGTCAAAACTATTTATTTTATAGAATTATGAAACACAAAAGCTGTAAAAATGAGTATTTTTATTATTTTTTACAGAATAAAAGCTCAAAATTTTTATTTTATTAATATCTTTTTATTAATTTTATGTTCATTTCAATAATATTGCATTCTAAATACCAAAAAAGATTTTTTTTAATCGTCTTTTCTTTTGGAATTCAGATTCTATTGCGAGATATGTGATGAGTTGAGAATATTTATTAAATGTTTTAATAAAAAGATTAAAATACATACTCCTGCCTAGATTTTAAGAATTATTCCTTCTCTCTTTCTTTTGTTCTATTTAAAAGCCATCCTATATTTTTTTAAATATCTAATGAAGTAAAGCTCCTATTTGATTTTTTTCAATTAATCCAATTAAGGATTAAATTTCCTCCCTTATTATTTGACTGAAAAACAAACTAATTTATGAAATTTATTGATAAGTTTTTTCATTTCTTAATTCTAGTTGTTTGATTAAAATTTATAAAACCTATTCTACAAAATAAAAAATTAATTTTTCTATATTCTGCCACATTTATTAGAGAAGAAGTTTTTTTATTTTGATCATAATTGCTCTTAAAAGTAAATAAATGTTTCATTTTATTCTGAAATTTTTTTTGCAGCTTAGATAAATAGATTAAACTAAACCCTTAGCTTGATTAAGATGATATTGCATTATTCTACAATTAATTTTGAATTGTGCCCTCTCGGCTTATTCTTTGACTTTTAGTGATATGGGAATCCTAATTTATATGATTTTTATTTCATAGGCATATTATATTTATACAATATAAAATTATAAAAAATTGTAATTTGAAAAGAATCTTTCATTATTTGGGTCTATCAAAATCAAATGAAAAAGAGTTTTACAGTTAAGATTTAAATGTCCAAGTTTACATTTCAAGAGAGGAATCTTGAGAACACCCAAGTTTGAAACATATTTTTTTGTTTTTTTTGATAAAGATTTAACAGAAACTAATAGACACTTAAGGTAATCGCAAAAGAAAAAGAATATAATATTCTATTATATTTTATTTTTAAAAAAATAGCTAATAGTATGGATACTGATTTTGATGAGGAATATGCATTCAAAACTTTTAGTGTGATAAAAGATGAGTTCTTCAAATTGACAAATTTATTAGATTATCTTTAGACAATAGCTAAAAAAGTAGAATTTTTGAAGTGCTTAGATTAATAACATATGCTTAATTCTTAATTAATCTCAAATTTAAAATTGCATTTAATTAATCTAATTTTATATATAACACAATTAAAAAACAGTTGATGATAATTTTATTGTTTATTTAATAGAAAAAAGAAGGTTTATGATATAATACTATTCAATATAAAAAAGTTTATGTAAAATAATATTTTACTTTGAATAACAAATCAAAAGAAAAAATATTACAATAAAATACTAACTAATACTTGTATTTTAATGATCATTTATTTAGTTGATATTAATTTTTATATAAATAATTGTTAGTCTTCTTTACAATCATCATTAATAAATATATTAATTCGAAAGAATGAAATGATTTTCATTTATATGTAAAATATATTTAGAAATATAAGAACATTTATAATCTTATGAGCTAGGACATGAGAATTAAATGAAATGAATTGGAGTAATAATGATATTTTGAAAATATATTTAATAATTAATGTCATATAAAATTTCATTAGTAGGTCTGGAGGGTAGTGGAAAAACAACATTAGCAAAAGTTTTGAATGACTAACACTAAATCAACAATATGCAATTGGAAGTCAATGAAGATATGCCAAATTCAGATGTAATGATCTTCTGTTTGGATGGAAGCAACATGCAACAGTTGCATCATAACAAGGCAGCATTAGAGTAAATTAATGGCAAGGAATAATTAATTATATTGCAAACGAAAGCAGATATTCAAACAATAGAAGAAGGAGAATTGAGAAACTTCTTGGGTGTTGGAGAAATACCAATCTTACCAATTTCTGCTTAAAATGGGGATGGATTACCTTAATTAATTACTTTATTAAGTTAGTAGATATAACCAACACAATAGAACTTTTCAGCTGAGCCAAGAGTAGTGCCAAGTAGAGGGAAATATAGAATAAATGAATAAAATCAAATATCAAAGCCAATGCAGACATTTCAAAATTTAATGAAGGATCACGTATGTATGTATTGAAATTTTAGAAAATTAAGCAACGCACACCAATGGAATAGGAGTAGGAATATATACGTTTAGAAAAAGAACGTATTAAAGTAGAGAATATGTCAGCTTAATTGAATAATTTTAAGAGGAAACTAAAAAAAGAAGGTATTATACTTATTTTATTTTAAGACACATATGATATCAAAGCAACAGCAAATCCAAGAATATAAGTAAATTTAGAATTCTTTTTAACAGACACTTTAGCATAATGTGAATAATAAAAAAATACTTTATCCACTTAAACTGATAAATTGCAAAAAAAACCAGAAGACCCTCCTTTCATTCCTAAAAAAACAGGAATTGATGCTGCAACTTAAGTTGAAGATTATGAGTTATTTGATTTTGATAGAGAAGTAACTCCTATTTTGAATGTGATATGTACAAAGACTTTAGAATAAGCATGTTTAGAAATAGAATAAGAAGAAGAATTTATGGCTATGTATAGATTTAAAGAAGCTTTTGAAAAAAGAAGAGTAAATGAGAAAAATAAGTAACATGTTACAGTTGATAGAGAAAAATAATTGATTGATCAAAAGACTGAAGTTTTGAAAAAATACTCTTAGAAATAAGAGAGAATGCAAAAAGTTATTTTTAAAGCTTAAGCTCATGCAATTGCCAAAGAATATTTAAAACCATTATAAGGATAAATAATGTAATAAGTAATTACAAGTGGATTTTATCCTAATGAATTCATGAATCAATTGCAAACTAAATTTATGGACTATTTAGTAGGAAAAACTCAAGAAGAAGTAATCAGACTTGTTGAACTCAACAATTCTATGAAAACTGCTTTTAATGTCTCTAATTTCGAACAAATTCCTAAAGTCAGAAAACCAATTGATTAATAAATACAAAAAAAAAAAGATAGGTAGGCTTTAAGAATGATTAATTATTCAAATAAAAGAGCTATCCGTATCTTCTATTAAGACTTAGTTCCTCTCTAAAGTGTAATTTCTATGACTTTGCCTAAATTCTTAGATGGGTCATTTGAAGAATGGAAAAAAACATATGATTAGAGAGTTGCTGAATTAGAGTAGAAGGCTGAGAATAATGAAATAAATGAGGAAGACTTTGCAAATCAAAAAAGAACTGAATATCCTGATTTGTAAGAAGGATATTTTGGAGCATCCATTAATAATTTTACTAGATTCGCATTTTCTATGGCACATGATTAATATTACTAAACTAGTGATAAAAGATTATAAATAGTAGCATATGTTTTAAAAAAAGATGGAACATATGAAATTATAAATTAAGAATCAAAAAATTATGGAAAAGTATTTAAATGGAAACAATTTAGATTACCAATCAAATAAACTGATGATGAAGCTTTAGTAATAAGATTAGAAGAAATAGATTCTGAAATAATTGCTATAGTTTTTGGATTGTTATTACCAAATTTATAAAATAATATTAAAGCCTTAGAATGGGTGTAAAATGCTAGATTTGGTTTGTATGATGCAAAATATTGTATTCCATTTGCTCAAACCAATGTAAATAAGGCATTTAAATTAGAAGAACTTGTAAAATAAATTGATGATCCTGAATTTGCTGAAGCACCATAAACTGTCTTTATGAGTTGCTTCACATTAATGAAACGTTTTAAATAATTTGGTGGATGGTATATAGAAAATACTTAAGCTGCTACTAAAGGTATGCTTACTTAAGAAATTGAACCCTTTTATGAAAAACTATCATAATTTCTTATTGAAATGTTCGAATTTACACTTCAAAGAGATAGCAATGTTATTTCAGCAATTTAAGAGAAGGAAAAAGAAAAAGATGCCATATTAACCAATTAAGAATTATAAATGAGTAAATTTATAGCCTTTAATTTTTAGTAATTACTAAATCAAAAATACCCTACTCAAAAAAAATGCCTACAGAACCTAATGTTACTGATTCAGCTCTTCCCTCTTCTAGACCACTCGAAGAACCTTCTGATTACACTAAATCATAATTCAACTCTATGATTATAGAACCATTAATTTTGGATATGAATGATTCCTTTGAAATTATAGAGTCATAGCTGATTAACCATCTAACTAATATTGCTTCAAGGTTGGTTAACAGTTGCACTTGGGGGTTTGAGTTGAAAGCCAGAGGCAATTCATTCCTCAGAGTGAAATAATTAATTAGGGTATTTAATATATCAATTTTAACTATTTAGTTAAGAAATGTAGGTGATATGACAATTGTAAGAAAGGCAGAACCTCCTAAGGAAGAAGTTCCAGTGCAATAAGAAGAGAATAAGGATAATGATGATAATGATAATGATTCCTGAAATGATTTAATATTAAATGAATTATTATGAATTATTAGGAGTGAATTACAAAAACTCCTCTTAAAATTTTTGTAAAGCCTTTTTTTAAAAAATATATGATTTTGTCATCCAAATAAAAATAGAGATGTAAAAGAAGTTTAAACTTAAATTAAAATAATAGTAGAGAATAATATAATTTATCTTAAAATAAAAAATTTTATTTTACTTTCCTGGATATATATCAAGATTATATGATCAAAACAAGAAATAATTAAACTTAGTAATCTATTAAATAGTTGATAATTGAATTTATTGTGTTTTATGAACTATGTAATTCAATAATCTTATATTTATATATTAACTATTATCATCTCTTATCTAGGGAACTAATCTTTTAGAATATACATTCTATATTTTAATGGACTCTTGTGACAATCTTACTCATTCTTTGAGTTAAAATGTTTATTTATTATTAATAGTTGAGATATTTTTGATTCTATTCAATAATTTCGTTAATCACTTAAAATTTATGTTCAATTTTCTTAATCTCAAATAAATACTTTCTTTTTGAAGCAGCTAATTAATATTTTAAAGAAATTAATTTTTCTTCTAAATATAGACTTTCTCTTTGGGTTTATTGTGGTTCCAAATTCGATATGGATTCCCTTTATTACTCAAAATAATCCAATTCATATAACAATCTGAAAGTATTTTCATTCTCATAATGATCTAATTCCTCAATGATCGTCTCTTATTCCAATAGATTAATGACAAAGAGCTTATCATCTGGACTAACATTCATAGACTAAATCTTTTAAGTGACTTTATTCTTCTTAGTATTATTCATAATATATTCGAGATCACATCTTAAACCATTAAGTTCCTGAAGATAATTTATTATAATTACTTTGTATATGTTTTTGTATTCTAATTGAACTTCACTTCTAAAATTATTTAATTCTTCAGTAATAAATTATTCTAATCTTTAGATATCTTGGGTATCTGAAAACATTTTGAATTACTATTCGACTCTTCCTTAACTCTTTTTCTATAATTCCTGTAATTGATTATCCAAATAGTTCATCTTCAATGTTAAATCATTCAACTGTTTTTCATATGGCTTATTTTAGTTATTACTTTTGAAATCACTAAAGCTAGTGTTGGTTGATGTTTCTCTTGATTTATCCCTTATCTTTTCTAATTCTTCTTGCTTTTTTAAGAGTGTTTTAATTTATTATTCCAACTTTTAGACATGAGGAATTTCATTGACAATAGGCATTAAAGCATCTTGTTACATACAAACTCTATTCAGATTTGCTTAAATTAATCAAGGATACTACTTTCCAAAATGTTCAATCTACTATCAATAGATATGTTTTCCTTTTATTTAATGCTCTTTTTGCTTGACATAAAGTGTTGATCTTTTTATTTTAAATATTTATATTCGTTAAAACAATAAAACTTTATTTCTACTTTTATCACAAAATATATGATGATATTATATCTTAAACATTTTTGATCTAAAATTGTATTTAATCAATTAAATAAAACAATGAGATTGAGTATTTTAAAGAAAAAATATAATTTAAGATTCAGGAACAAAGTTCTAGTAAATATATATAGATTTTAGGAATATTTTTGTTTCTAAAAAATGAATGTTAATTTACGAGAATTAAGCTATTAAGTAGAAGCATAATAATTAATAAATTCAGGAATGTCTATAATTAATGATATTTTTAAAAGTCATAATAATAATATTCTTTAATTAATATAAGAATATTATTTATTGATTAAGAAAGAGAAAATAAAATGAAAAAGATATGAAAAAATTACAAATTGAATAAAAATGAGGTATCAATTATCTGTTTTGGGTATGCAAGACTAATTGTTGAATTCTGAATCTTATTAATCTTGATTTTCGACTCTTCTTTTTTTGTTATATTGATTGATATAGCAATTTTAACAAAGTCCACCTAGAAGATCAAGATGATTATTTACATGCATATAATTTTTTGTGTGAACATAACCAAGGTTATTTGTTTCTACCTAAACGATGATAACAATTGTTGCACATTCCTTTAGCATAATGTTCTTTGTCTGGATGACCACAAGTATTGGCTTTTTTACTTCTAAGAGATATTTAAACAACATACATTTTCTTATTGATTGTTTTTGGTGGGTCTTATTCCTTTGGAAGAGTCTATATTTATAATCCATGAGTTGCTGAGTCAACAATGTGTCGTTATAATAGTTCCTATTACGTCATTTGATATATAGGAGGGAGGAGTTAGTCGTTCTCTTCAACTTTGATAGGTTGATTAAGGAGATTTAGAGTAGTTTGTTGTCTATCTGCACTGAGATTGAAACGCATGACTAAATAAATAGAATATAGATACTTACATTAAAGAGTTTGTAGAAGTGGATGAAAGAAATTCATTTTTATGTATTTTTATTAATTAATATATTTTAAATTTTAACGATCATGAATACCTCTTTTCCTAAGATGTCAACATCATCATTAAGTTAAACTACTTCTCAAACTAACTTTTATGATTCAAGTCCTATGTCATCATATTCAGCAAAGCAATTAACTTCGAATGACAATTTTAAAGTTGTAGTTCGTGTAAGACCTCCTTTATAGAGAGAAGTAACAGATGGACGTTTCATTTCCACTATTTAAGTGTCTCCTGATCATAAAAAAATATGCCTGTACGAATATTATAACATTGATTTGGTTGATCCAGAACATCTTGAAGAATACCTCAATAATCCTAATAGTTATACAATGCATACCTTCTCATTTGATTATGTGTACGATTAAGATAACACACAAGAAGAAGTATATGATAATACAGCAAGACATGCAGTACTTTCTGCACTTTAGGGTTTTAACGCCACTATTATGGCATATGGATAGACTGGTACAGGTAAGACATTTACAATGGAGGGATTCAAATACAATTGTGTAGATCCTTAAAGAGGTATAATTCCAAGAGCAATTGAGGAAATCTTTAAGCACATTTCTAATGGATCCAATGAATCTACAACCTTTATGGTTCGTGTGAGTTATCTCTAAATATATAATGAAGTAGTAAGTGATTTACTAAGGAGTGATAGATAAAATTTACATATTCGAGAAGACAAGAAAAGAGGAGTATTTGTTGAAGGTCTATCTGAATGGGCAGTACGAAATCCTTCTGAAATTTATTCTTTAATCTAAAAAGGAGCTTAATCTAGAGCCACAGCAAGTACAAAGATGAATGATGTAAGCAGTAGATCTCATGCTGTTTTTATAATAATTGTTGAATAGATGACAGAAATTGATAATCATAAATCTATAAAAGTTGGAAAACTAAATTTAGTAGATTTAGCTGGTAGTGAAAGAGTAAGAGTTACTGGTGCTACAGGTAGAAGATTAGAAGAATCTAAAAAAATCAATTAATCATTAAGTTGTTTAGGTAATGTAATATCTGCATTAATTGAATAAAAAACACATATTCCTTATAGAGATTCAAAAATTACACGTCTTTTAGAAGATTCTTTAGGTGGTAATTGTAAAACAACTATGATGGGAATGATATCACCAGCTATTGATGCTTTTCTTGAAACTTTAAGTTCTGTTAAATTTGCAAATAGAGCAAAAAATATAAAAAATAAAGCTACAATTAATGAAGATGTAGATCAAAAAGCACTTTTAAGAAAATATGAATGTGAATTATAAAGATTAAGAAAAGAACTTTCAGAAAAGAATAAAACTATAATAGATTCGACAAAATTAAGTTAATTAGAAGAAGATAAAAAGAGAGCAGAATAGGATAAAAATGCTGCTATGGCTGCACTTGAAGCAAGAAGCAAATAATTTTTCATTGAAAGAGAGGAAAAGAAAAAGTTAGAAGAAAAGATTCGATAAATTAATAGTTAAATGTTAATTGGTGGATGTAATATTGAAAATAGTCCATAATTTAGAAATGCTATAGAAGAATAATAGAAATTAATTAGAGCTTAATATGAAAAAAAGATAACAGAATTAGAAAAAGAAAGATCATAATTAGAAGAAGATAAGGTTTAAGTTGATAGATACAAATAATTAACTCTCAAATAAAGAGATATTATGATTGCATTGACAACTAGGTTAAATGAAAGAGATGAAACAATAGTCTAATTATAAGATGAACTTGATGCTTATGATAGAATTCATAGAGAAACAGAAACTATGTTAGATTAAAAAATATAAAGAGTTTAATAATTAGAAGATTATGTTAATTAAATGGGAGGCAATCTACCTAATATTCAATAGATTTAATCAATTAGATAGAATAAAATTAAAGATTGTGTTACTTAAGATGGTTAAGAAACCTACAATATTACAAAGGAGAATTTATAAGATTATGAATCTCAGATAGAATAATTAACTCTAATTAATTAAGAATAAGATTAAGAGATATAAAGATTAAATAATTTATTATTGAATCATGAAAATTCAAATTTAATGGATTATGTAAAATGTATTTAATTATTATTATTTTATTAGCTTCTGTTGATAATATTATTGATGCATTGTCCTAACCTAATGATGGATTAAAATTATAAAGTGTAGCCAAAGATCTTATTAGTCTCTAAAAGATTCTCTAAGGGGAACAATAGCAATCTAATCATGCTTTTTCAAATATATAAAATATTGTTCATTCAAGAAAAGAATCTCCAATGCATACTAATTAATCCAAAAAATCTTTAAATAATTCATAAAATTATGATGAAGATGAATAACCTCGTTAGTTAAACAATTTTTATACTTTTTCCAAGTATTCAATTTATACATATTCTAGTAAATCATAGACTTCCTCAATGAAAAAATAAAAGGATCCTTCTCTTCCTAAACCACAAATAAATGTTTAAGATATCATCAAAATGAGAGAAGTAAAAAGAAACCTCTATTCTTGATTTATTATATATATACAAAATTAATATTTAATTAAAAATGAGTAATGAGGAGTACATTATTGATAACTTAATTACAGAAGCTCGTTTCTTTATTGATCATAAGGATGATAATGAAACATTTCTTAGTCAAGGATAAGATTGTATAGATAAGATCAACTAAATACTAAAGAAAAATATTAGGTATTCAAAATATGTAAATAAAACAGATCCTCGTTTTTAGATATTTCTTAAGAAGTAATCATAAAGTATTGTGAGGCTTGTCTTGTTGTACCAGATAAAGAACACATAGCTCAATAATATATAGATCTTTATTTTTAACGCAACTCTTCTTAGGGACAGTTTTACATTAGAGCTTTGTTCATAAAAGCTAGACTTATATCTATGAATGGTCATGATAGACTATTGAAGGCAGAAGACATGATCAAAAATTTGAAATTGTCATTAACATTTGTTTAATAAGGATTAGATATTATTTCAAAACCAGAAAATAAATAAAAATATGGATTTCTTATTTATAATGCTTCCATTTGTGTTTATAATATTATTAGACCTATGCTTAAACCATAATGGTAATTATCATTTGTTGATATTTTGGATAAAATAGATAGAATGTTTGAAGAAGTAGATGAAGCAGATTATGATTGGAGATGTAGATTTACTTGGCTATTATTTTATTGTTTATATGATGATAGAAAAGCTGATTCATTTAAATTATTAGATAAACTATGGGAAACAACAAAAAAGAAAGGAGATTGTGATTTTTAGAATTCACTATTAAGATTAAGAATACATATTGGTAAGGAATATAAATAAGCATTGGATTCAGCATTTAAGGAATCAGAATCTGCTCCATCAGAGAAAGCTTGGAAATCATTATTTATGCTCTAGAAAATGAGGAGTGGTTTGATTCCTGAAGCATAAGTTGAAAAGGAATTAATTAATTTAATCAATTCTATTTCAAGTGCTGTTTTACCTGGAAATGAAGTAGCAGCTACTAATAAGTTAGCACCAGTATTTTAAGAAAGATTGGCTGAATCAGGAAGAGTAGCACTACAATATAATTTAGTAAATATAGCTGATTCAATTACTGCTTTTTTAAGTAGAGTTAGATAACTACATTAAAAGGCATACATTTTACATGAATATAATAAGGCAGAATTATTTATAAAGAAAGCAGGTCCATTAATTGATAATAAGACAGGTATGAGATTGAATTCTTTATAAATTAAAATGCAAGAAGTTGAAAGAAGAATTGAAGCATTAAAAACTATGGAGAAAGTTATGGTAACAAATAAAAAATTAAATGATCCTGATCTCATTTTTGAAGGAGCTGTATTGATTTGGAATATATCATTGCCATTTTTAAATGCTTAATATAGAATTCATGTATACAAAGCATTTTCTATGGCTTGTCAACTCTTAGAATAATTATAATGTGTAGATCATGCATTAAGAGTCAATTTCCATATAGAATTAGCAAAGAGTGATTTATAAGAGGATTTAGCTGTGAAAGCAGAATAACATATAAAAAAAGCATTACAATTAGATTATAGTGTACCATTAGGGAAAGTGCAATTTAAATATGATGAGGGTGAAGATTTAGGTTTATATTAAAGACCTTATGATAAATATCTAAGGAATTTAGAAGAAAAGATTAGATTAAAATTAAATATTTATTAAGAACCTAAAAATGATATTGAAAGAGTAATCACTTAATTAGAGAATGTATAAGCAGCTAAATCTGAAAATTTAAGAATAGATATTTTATAGAAATGTTTGGGAACTATTGTTAATTTGTAAGAATAGGAATATTGGTATGATACTAAATTAGATTTAGTTGAAGAAGAATAAAATAGAGAAAAAGTATTAAAAAAATAAGAAAATTTATATTAATTTAAATAAAAGAAATTATTAGCAGCTGAAATTGCTAGATTAGCATTTGAATGGGAATTTAATGATTTAGCATTTAAAGCTTGTGAATTTGTATGTAATGATACTTGGGATGTAAAAAATGCATCTGAAATGATACTTGCTTAAGTAGAATGTTAATATAGAATGGCATAAATGATTATAGATAATTTAATTAAAGATAATTTTGAAATACCATTTGCTGATCCTATTAGAGTAGAAGAGAATGAAAATATAGAAGAATTAAGTCAAGAAAAAAAAGATTAAGTATTATCTTTAAAAAGGAAAATGTGCTCTAATTTTGTTAAAGGTTTAAAATTAGCAGATTCTATCAAATAAACTTGGTTAGTATTTAATGGAGCTATATATATTTGGAATAATTTCCTTACAATATTCCGTAATCCTATTAATGATAGCAAATTGTTACCAGAAATTACAAATTTATTGAAAGAATTCTTTGAAATAATGAAGAATTCTTTAAAGGAAATTGAAAAAAAACTAATAAATGATTATGATATTGATACAAAGATTTAAGTATTAGCTAATATAGGTTTAGTGTATGCAAGATTAATGGAAGGGAAATCTTAATATGATGAAGTTATGAGAGTTTGTGAAGCTCTTCTTTTGACTCCTTTATCACCTCACACTCGTAAATTGATTAATTCAATTAAAGCAAGAGTTTCTGGAACAGCTAAAACTAATGCAGCTAAACCTGGAACTTAATAAGATAAAAAAGGTACTAAATAACCATAATAATCATCATCTGATAGTGTTATTTTTGATGTTGTTTCATAATTAGAAATTATTTAAAATTCAACCAATAAAGCTCAAACATAAGATCTTATTAAGAAATGTTTTGAAACACTTGTTAGTTGGACAGCAAAAGAAAATGATGAAACTGAATTAGAATTACATGCTGAATTATGGGCTAGATTGGCAAGATTAGCATTAAATGAAGAAACTATTTTAATGTATAAATATTCATTGAGATGTGTATAATACTCTTTATAATTATTAACAGCAGATTTATCAACTATTCCAGCTTCTCGTTTGAGATGGTATTCTTTGGCTGAATATATATATAGTGAAAATCTATTAAGAATGCTTAATTCAGAAACATAAGAAACTGAATCTTAAGAATCATTGTTATTTTCAAGTTTATTTCATGCAATTGAAGCTGCAAATAAAGGATTAAAGGCAGGTATTAATAGTTTAGTTTTGGATGCATCAAAATAAGTTTGGAATTTGTGTGCTAGATTAGAAGAGAGTGCATAAAATAGAAAACATTTAATTAAACCAGTATATTCATGTTTAAATTACTTAAAAGAATGTAAAGAAAAAAGTGAACCTGATTTAGTATTACTATTAGCATAATTATTATTTAAAAGTGCTTTAGAAAATGAAGATTATAAATTAGGTGAAATGGCAGCAGATATGGTATTTGAATTAGTACCTAAGAATATGTCAAAACCTATATGGGAAGCTAAAATGATTTTTATGAGTAAATAAGGTAAAAATGAATTATAGGCTATTGTAAATATGAAAGAAGCAGATTCATCATTATAAGCTAAAGTTTGGATTAGATTAGCAAGAGTATCAAATAATCTTTATAAATAATATACAGCATATAATAAAGCTATTGAATTATTAAAGAAAGATTCTTCTGTTGAAATAGTTGAAGTATTAATAGAATTTTCAGAATGGTTATTGAGAAATGGTAATGAAAAACAATTGGTTATAGAGAATTTGATGTAAGCTGCAGATACATTAATAGAAATTGAAATGGAAGAAGATGAAGAAGAAGAAGAAGGAGATGAAGAATAGAATTCATCAACTATTTTTAGTAGAAGTACAAGAGGTAAAAAGTCTACAGTTTCTAAATAATCAAAACAAAAATCTAAAATGACTAAAAAAACTACTAAGAATACTGTTAAGTAAAATAAAAGCAAAGAATAAAAGTCATAAATATCAGGATAAAAATCAAGTAATTAAAGATTTTCAAGAGCTGCAAATGTTAGAACTACAACAATCAAAAGTAATAAATAAAAATCAAAAATATTCAGACCTAGAGAAGAGGAAGCTAATCCTAATAGATTAAATTGTGCTCATTATGAAAGATTAATGAGAATTCATATTATGTTAGCTATGATTGCAGATACAATGGAATAATCTATTTAATATGCAATAGATGCTAAAGTATTCTTAATTAAAATGATTGAAATTTCATTTTAAACTATGAATGAATTTGAAGAGAATGCTGCAAAATACACTAATATTATAGATGAAAAAACAAGCAAACAACAATAATAATAACCAAAACCTTAATAATAAGATGATTTTTCACCTAGATATCTTTTACCAACTTGTATTTAAGATTGGATAAAATTATAATTCAGTAAAGAATTCTTAGAAAGAGTAAAAAGTTATGAAGATTTTAATTTTATGGGTAAATACTTATTTGACAAGGCTTAATTAACATATACTTATATAAACAATTTAATAAATATTTTTGAAAAATATGGACTTTAAATTCATAGTGTTCCAATTTTTGTTTTTTAGAAATTTTTTGTTAAGGAAATATTAAATAATTCTTATTTAGATAGATTAATTGATGTGAGGTTTAGTAAATGTTTACATTAAGTAGGATTTCATAATGAAGCAGAATAAATGTATTAATAATCTAATATTGTTAAATTTAAATTGACTGACCAAGAAAAAAAATAAATGCTTGCAAAAACTGAATCTAGTGTTTTATAGTAAAATAGATCAAGACCAGCTGACATAATGGAACAAAATCTTCCTTAGGCCAATATTATTAGTGAAATATTTATTTATACTATTCTTACTGATTTAGGCAATGAATTAATATTTTAAGGGGAAATATATAGAGCAAAAGAATTATTAGCTGAATCTCATAAACATGCTAAGATTGTTTCAGATTTAGAGTTGATGGGCAGAATATTATGTCTTTAAGGATAAATTGCATTTTTAGAAGGTGAATTCAGAGATTCTATTGAAAATCACAAGCTTTCTCATAAATTGATTAAAAATGTAAGTTAATGGGAAGTTTCATCTATTGAAACATATAAAACTTTGTATAAACTAGGGAAATATGATGATATTAGATCATTTTTAAAATAAATTACAGAAGTACTCTTGGAAGTCTTAAATAAACCAAATTATTCACCAAATAAATTATAGATTTATTAAACATTAACAACTTTATACATTTTATAATCTAAAATATCAACAAAGGATTTATTTAAAGAATTTTCCTATGAAACATTCAAATAAATTATTGATAATTTAGAGAAATCTTTAAAATGCATATAACATGGAGGATTTATGACACATTAAATGGATTTGATCTTAAATTTAGTAAATAAAATACTTATATTTGTTCGAAATAAAAATTATACTAAAATTGATCAAGTTGAAATTTATTTTAAAATTATTTAAAGGTTACAGAATTCAATTCTAAAACCATTAGAATAATAAAGTAGATCTTTATTAAAATATACACTCCTTATTGAAAAAGAATCAGAATCAATTAGATCACCAATTATGGATTTATAAGCTAAAATACGTGTAGTAATGGCTTCTTGTTTTACTGAAATGGGATTGATTAAGTGGCTACGAAAATAGATGCAATTACCTGATCTATAAGGTTCTGATGATGACAATAATAATGATTAAGTAGAAGATAAGCCAATCGAATAATTAAGCAATTATGAACCTCTTTAGAAATTTTTAACATAATTAACTATTAAAATATAGAGAGCAATATAGCCATTACCTTAAAGATTGGAGAGTTTTGAAAAAGCAACTGCTATATTATTATCTACTTTGAAATAATTGAAAAAAGATTCATTTTGGTATACAATTGCTGAAATTGAATTAGTGAGAGCAAAAAGATATCTAGCTATAAGTAAATAGTAATTAGATGATGTATGGGAAATACCTCTCTAAGAACCAGATTAAATTGTTTAATTATAGTAAGATGATGACAATTAATTTGATTATAAGACTGATGCCTTATAAAGTGTGTTAAAATTGATAAAAGAAATTGAATCTAAAGCATTTACAGTATTGAAAGCTAAAGGAGACAACACAACTATTCCATTAGAATGGAGTATATTTGGATTTAAATAAATGAACTTTTATTTGAAAATGCTTTATGAATCTGCTTTAGATATTTTAGGAATTAAAAGTCCAGAAATATCTTATGATTATTTATGTAAGTTTTAACATTTTGCATTTTGTGAATAAATGTTTAATATGGTTAGGCAATCATTCTTTGGAAAGCATAAAATGATAGTATATATTAGATTAATCAAAATGATAAACTCTGTCTGTGGATTTCTTAATTAAGATGCCATTAAATTATTAACTGAAGCAAATAAATTATGGGATAATTTAATGATATTTCCATTAACAGAACTTTAAGCTTAATTATAATAGAGTTCTGGATTTCTAATTATGTAGATGAGTCAAAATAAAACATGTTTATATTTAGGATATTTACATAATACAAAAACTCCTGTTTACAAAGTTTAAAGAATTCCACTTGATTCTAAAACTCATGATTAAATGAATTAAATGAAAGCTAATTTAGATTAGATTAAAAATAATTTAATTAAAACCCCAATAATTTAATAATAAGATTTCATAAAATTAGAGGATGACATGGAAAAAGAATACACTAAATTTTGTTAAGATGTAGAATAATTCATGAGTTTTATACCTTAATTGATAGATGAAAATATAAACACTTAAGAGGAAGTGCCTCCTCCTGTAATTGATCCAAAAGCACCTCCTCCTAAAAAAGATTAAGGAAAGTAAACTAAAGGGAAACCAGGAAAGGATGAGTTAGCTTTATATGAATCTCCTTTGGAATAAGCACCTGGTAAAATTGACACTGTAGTTTTACTTATAGATCCAAAGTTCTTTGATTATCCTATTGAATAATTAAGTGTATTTTAGAAGATAGTTGCAATGTCAAGAGATTTTAGTATGGCTGTATATGTTAGAAGACTAAAAAGTGTTGGTTTCTAAGTTTAATTAAATAATAGTTAAAAAGGAATAGAAAAAGACAAGTTAAAATATCTTACATACGATTTTAAGACAGAAGATTAGGATTTAAATTTGGATGAATTTAATTTACAAAAAACATTAGGTGAAATTTAAAAAACTACACCTTAATTAAAATTTGAAGGAGTAATTATATTATTTTATATATTATTTAGACATTTTCTTAAAGTAGATTAGCATCATTGGGAGAATTACAAAAGTATGCTTAAACAGGTTCTTCTATTTTCTGGTATGGATCTCCTGGAGTGTTAAACATTTTATCATCAAAAGTAGTTGTTGACCTTTCTGAAATTAATACCTCTAAATTTTGGGTAATATTTGATAAGATGAATGCAAAAAAAAGTTTAATAGAAAAGTTCTCATCTTTAGATCCTGATGGTGAGAAGACTCACATTTTAGAGTAGAATTTCAAAATCTCTGTATTTTTGACGCTAATTGATGTAAGTACAATTTTAACTACTTAATGGTCACCATAAATTGTAGAATTCTTAAAAGCTTTTGAAAATTTGGTCAAATAACTAACAGAAGATATTTATGTAGCTGCATGTTTGTAAAGATATAAGGTATAGAATACTTATTATTATTTTTAGGCTCCTATTATCAAATATTAAGATGAAAATGGAAATATAATTGACAAGAAACCATAATAAGTGGAAATAAAGAAAGGTGGTAAGGTAGAACCTGTGTAAGAAACTTAAAATCTAAAGGAGATTCAAATTGATAAAAAGAGAATCTATACTCACAATTTTATATTCGTAGGATTGCCTAATTTAAGACTGATTTGATTTATTTTATTAAAAATTATGTTCACAGAGTAACCCTATTATGAGGCTAAAGTGTTTCTTAAATCCTATAATGATGCTATTGCATGTTTAAGGTAAGATAATTGTTATAACAATTAAATAGAGACGCAGCTGAATAAAAAGCTCACCTTGAATTCTAAGAACATGTACTTTAATCACTTGCTACAGCTCGTACAAGATAGGAGGTAGAAATTGTTAATAAATTAGCTTGATGTGAGAGATGGTTAAGTAGTGCCAGGATTAAATTTTGGGTAATCAAAGTAGACCAAGCTTTTCCAATTTTCAAAGTATCTATTTTTCATTAAAGAATAGTCATGTGTTTGCTAAATATTTTAAAGGATTTGAAGAATATAATGGCAATTTCAAGGGTTTCTAATAGATTGTAATAGAAGGACTTAAAAAAATGAAATCAGATGTGAAATGAGATATGAATAATGAATATATATTTATTATCTAAAAAGATAATTATATATAAAAAGGATAGATTTAATAATGCATATTTGAAAGAGACAATTTAATAGGATTAATTAAGGGGGGGGGGGGATATGATAAATTGAAAAAGTATTCTAGATTAATTATTGGAAAATATATGGATTGTAGGTAGAGAGGACATGATTGAATGGAAGAAATGAGAGAGACATCATGTAATTAATTGATAAATCGCTTATTTAAATTTTGAATATCCTTTATGAGAATATCTAAAAATTATTTAAATAAATAAAATGCTCACAAGGGCATTAGCCAAATAGATGCGTCTAGGTAGATATTAAAGATAAAGAGTATAATAGGATTCTCCGCTGCTAAGAAGCAAGCAGAGACAGGCAAAGCAGCGACAACTACAACAGGATAAATCGCTTAAGTGATTGGTGCTGTCGTCGACGTACAGTTTGATGGACCTCTTCCTCCAATCTTAAATGCATTGTAAGTGTAAGGAACAAGTCATAAATTGATCTTGGAAGTGGCTTAACATTTGGGTGATAGTAGAGTTAGAACAATTGCCATGGATTCCACTGAAGGATTGATTCGTGGTTAACCAGTTTCAGATTTAGGAGGTCCAATTACAATTCCAGTTGGTCCAGAAACTTTGGGACGTATTATGAATGTCATTGGTGATCCAATTGATGAAAGAGGCCCAATTGAAACAAAAATTAGATATCCAATTCACAGAGAAGCTCCAAGTTTTGTAGATCAAGGTAGTGGTGCTGAAATTTTGATCACTGGTATCAAGGTGGTAGATTTATTGGCTCCATATGCAAGAGGAGGAAAGATTGGATTGTTCGGTGGTGCAGGAGTAGGAAAAACAGTGCTTATTTAAGAATTGATTAATAATGTGGCTAAAGCTCATGGTGGTTATTCAGTATTTGCAGGTGTAGGGGAAAGAACAAGAGAAGGAAATGATCTTTATCATGAAATGGTTGCATCAGGAGTTATCAATTTAAGTGGTGGATCAAGATGTGCTCTTATTTATGGATAAATGAATGAGCCCCCTGGTGCTAGAGCCAGAGTTGGTTTGACTGGTTTAACAGTTGCAGAATATTTCAGAGATGAGGAAGGAAAAGATGTGTTGCTTTTTATTGACAACATTTTCAGATTCACATAAGCATGTTCAGAAGTGTCAGCCTTGTTAGGTCGTATTCCATCAGCTGTCGGTTATTAACCAACATTGGCAACAGATTTAGGTTAATTATAAGAACGTATTACAACAACAAAGAAGGGATCTATTACATCAGTCTAAGCAATTTATGTACCTGCAGATGATCTTACAGATCCAGCACCTGCTACAACATTTGCTCACTTGGATGCTACAACTGTGTTATCAAGAGCATTAACAGAATTGGGTATTTATCCAGCTGTCGACCCATTGGATTCTTCATCTCGTATGATGGACCCAAATATTGTAGGTGAAAAGTAATTAACTAAAATTAAATAATATTAGACATTATACAGTTACAAGAGGAGTTTAGAAATTATTGTAAGATTACAAATCACTTCAAGATATCATTGCCATTTTGGGTATGGATGAATTATCTGAAGATGATAAACTCACTGTTTCCAGAGCCAGAAAAGTACAAAGATTCCTTTCATAACCATTCTTCATGTCCGAAGTCTTCTCAGGAAGAAAGGGTAAATTCGTATCACTTAGCGATACTATTGCTGGATTCAGAGGTATTTTTTTATTAAAAAATATTCTAGCTTTACTTGATGGTGAAGGTGATGAATACCCAGAAAATGCATTCTATATGCAAGGAACATTTGAAGATGTCATTGAAGAAGCTAAAAGAGTTGCTGCAGAAACCACCAAATGAAAAATAATATATACATTATAACAATTAGAATATTTTGTTTCCCACTCTTTCTTCCTTATTTTTAGAAATTAATGTATTTTAATATTAATTAAACATCATCATCTCGCTTGGATAATTCTGGTTTAAGACTTAAACTCTCAAAGTAATATGAATAACATACTATTCCTCCTGTTGAGAATTAAAAAAGCACTCTAAATAAATTAAACTAAACTTAAAGTTTAAGTACACTTATTAGAGATAAAAAATCCTCTATTTCCAGATAGATTTCTTAGAATAATCCATTTATTAATACAAGTGTTAGAACTAATACGCCTAAATCTACTCATCCATCATATTAGGTAATCTACTTATATATAAATAAGGGTTACTTTTTTGCCAAATCAAAAGAGTAAAATAGGGTACAACTAACCTAATTAATTAGCAAAACCTTACAATAAAGTTATAGTAAGACAAACAATAGCTTAATTAAGGATAATTCTTTTAGATTAACAAACAAATCTAAGACTGATAGAAAATATAATTTACTGTCTCTAGATCAGAATAAATATATACAAAAACCTAAAACAGAGAAAGTAGCAACTATTGATAGAATTTAAACCAATAGCAATCAAATTCTTAATTAAAAACAACCATTAAATATTCATTTGAGTTTAGATGACTTTGTTACTTAAGTTAAGGTACCAAATTCCTCAAAGAGCAATTAATATATATCTCCATTTAAATAAACAAAATCACTTTCACCAAAAAATAGAATTTTATCTACTACAAGAAGTAATATAAGAATCTATTTTAGAAAATATTTATTATGTTAGCTCTATGATAGAAGCTGTCAACGGAGCATATGATTCTCTCAGTTAGTTATATAGAGACCATGCCTTATAAACATATAATAGCATAGGTTTCTGCTTAAATTAAACAGAACCGATTATTAGTAGTATCCAAAAGAAAATAGTAAATTTACCACAAAAAAATAGCAAATGTAGTTTTTTGATACGATTTAGTTCATAAAACTGTGGTATTTGATCTTGATGAAACTCTAATTCATTGTAACGAAAATTAGAATATAAAATCTGATGTTTATTTACCAATTACATTTCCTTCTGGTGACACAGTTTCAGCAGGAATCAATATTAGACCTTGGGCTAAATAGATTTTAAATCAATTATCAGAAGTTTGTGAAGTTGTAGTATTTACAGCTTCACATTAATGTTATGCTTCTTAAGTGATTCAATTTCTTGATCATAAGAAAATCTTAAGTGCCCAATTATTTAGAGAGAGTTGCATTGTGACTAATGATGGAGTGCATATTAAAGATCTTAGAGTATTAGGTAGAGATATGAAAGATATTGTTTTGATTGATAATGCAGCATATAGCTTTGGGTATCATATTGAGAATGGAATTCCAATAATTCCATTTTATGATAATAAGGATGATAAGGAATTAAAGTTATTATATGATTTTTTAATCTCTGATGTTTTACCTGCTTATGATTGTAGGAAAATACTTGAAGAAACTTTCAAATTGAGAGAGTTTCAGAATTATAATAGTCCTAAAGTAGCAATTGAAAAATTATATTGTTGATAAGAATTTATTAATTTTTATATTTGATGATTAATTTTATCAATAAAATATTCTCTCATAAAAGACTTGAATGTATTTAATTATAATTTATATTCAATAAACATTGAGCATTAATCCTTTGTAATTCTGACCATTAATTATAATAAATTCATAATGTAAGAAGAATTGAGATTAAATTACTAAGATCAATTTTCTGATTGTTCTGATGAAGATGAGGATGTTGAAGACTGTAGAAATTATGCAATTGGTTGTTTTCATCCTGTATTTGTTGGAGAAGTGTTTCATGGAAGATATGTTACAATTTAGAAGCTAGAATTTGGCCATCTTTCGACTATATGGTTGGCTAAAGATTTTAAGACAAATAATTTTGTTGCTCTTAGATTTTAAAGAAGTGCTCCTAGATTTCAAGAGGCTGTATTATTAAGAAAATAAATAGGCATTAAATGAAATTGAGATTCTTCAGACTATTCACAAAAAATCAAAATTTATCAATATTGTTAAATTATTGCATGTCTTTTTACATAAAGGTCCATTTGGACAACATTATGTATTAGTGTTTGAGATGTTGGGTGTAAATTTATTAAGAATATCTCATTCAACAGAAGATAGGGGATTGAATTTTGATCAATGCAAATCAATTATCAAGCAGATTCTCATAGCATTAGACTTTTTACATAGAGAATGTGGAATTATTCATGCTGATTTAAAACCAGAAAATATTCGAGTTTGTTTAACTAATGAATAAGTTAAAGAATTGGTTGATAAAGGATAGATTACATAACGATAACAATTCTAAGATAATATTAAACATTATTAAAAGTAATCTTCATCAGACAAAAAGAAAGAAAAAAGAAAGAGATAGAAAGAAAAGAAAAAGTTATAATGTATAAAGTAGAAATTATAATGGATGGTGGGTTTAGATAAAAGGTAGAATAGTTAGATAAATGTAGAATATTTTAAGTAAAGATTGTGGACTTTAGTAAGGCTTGTTGGATTAATCATCATAACAATGATAAGATTCAAACATTGTAATACAGAGCTCCTGAAGTGATTATGGGATAGTTTTATACAACATCTGCTGATATATGGAGTTTAGCTTGTATTGCATTTGAATTGATTACTGGAGACAGTTTATTTGATATTGAAAATGATGATGAATTAACACATTTAGCTTATATCTAATAAGTTTTAGGTCCATTTCCTATTGAATTTACATGTGTTGGAAAAGATTGTAAAAAGTACTTTTCACATAATGGAGTGTTGAAACACTTCAAGGTGAGTGAATACTATACTTTGGAATAAATCTTAGTTTAGAAGTAAGAATATTGAAAATAAAGAGATACTAGATTAATAAAGTAGAAGCAAATTAATTTGCAGATTTTTTATAACCTATGTTGAATGTAATACCTTATAAAAGAGCTACAGCTTCATAAATGCTGAAACATCCTTGGATAAGTAAATAATAATTTAAATTTTATTATTTTGTTGAATAAATATTTATAGATGATGAACATGAAATTGATGAAGAAGACTTAATTAATAATCATTTTTTATGATATTCAATAATAATTAATTATCACATATATCAATTGTCATTTATTAATCTAAATCTATTTCAATGATAAAATTGATTTTTCTCTCCTTAAATAATAGATAATTCATTTAAATCAATATCCCATTTATCTTTTTACTTTTCATGTTCTTTACCTTATTTTTTTATTTGAGAATTAGGTAAATTATATCTATGATTGATTTCACATTAACCAGAAACTTAAAGATTATGATAATGTAAGGTAAAGTAATCTAAAGGATCACTATATGATTTTGCATGCCAAATAGGTTTAGTTTTTATGCATTTTTTGGGATCCATAAGTTACTTTTTTTTAAAATTATTCATCTTTAAATTATATTCAATAAATAGATCTTTTGCAGTATTTAATAAAAATTATTTGCATTCTTATTAACTCATTAAAGATTAATAAGGTTCTAAAATATTACTAATCTTTTTTTTGGATTTTGATTAAGGATCTGAGTCATCAAATTTTCTATTATCAGGTGAAGGATCATCAACTGGATCTTCTAATATACTAATATGTTATTCAGCTTCATCAAGATCCTTTTCAAAATCAGTTAATATTTTAGTATTTGATACTGGAGGTGGTGTAGGTTATAAATTTTTAGCTTGTTCTTTTAATTAAAATGATAAATTTAAATTAATCTTTCTTTTATTTTTTAGAAAATCAATATAATTTCCAAATTAAGTTCTATAATATTAAGTTTCAGTCTATAATTATTCTATTTTTTAATCTCTTATTTTAATTCCCTTTATTATTTATTCATTATAATTATAACATTCATTTATCTTTTTTTCCATTTCATCTTTTATTTATATTAAAAATGCTACTTTATTTTTCTCTTTTTCAAATAATTCTTTATATCCTTTTAATAAAACTTCAGTTTTTGATAATTTCTCTTAATAAAATCCTCTAAAATATTTAAATCTATTTAAGTACCTTTCATTATTAGTCAAATATTTCATATTACTTGGTTATTATTATTAGAATCCAGTCAAATCAAATTAATTTTATGGACCTTTTTCATTTGAAACTTGATTCAAATTTTAATTCTAAAAGACTTGATAATGATATGATAGATTATCATCAGAATGACCTGAATCATCATTATAAATAGTGTCTTATTTTTATAGAGATTTAGTTACTTTTCATCTTATAATATGCTAAAGGACTTCTTAAAATAATTTTTTTTTAAATTTATTCTCTATATAAATTCTAATAGTAAAAACATCATATATACTTGATTTAGGTCTCTAAGTAATTTATTCTATTCTTGTAAATTCTGTGATTCTTGAGATAGTTTATTTAAAATTTATCTAGTAGATTCTAATTCTTCATGTAATCGTAATGATTACTCATGTGGTGTTAGAATCTCTCTAATTTTTACCATCTATCCATTATCAATTAAACCTCTATTTTTCTCAATGTCTTAAATTGTATATTCTTTATCTTAGATGCATCTTCTCAATTCAGCTAGCTTTTCTTCTAATTCAACAATTAGATCTTTATAAAACGCTTAATTTTCTTCAGATATTTGCTATGACAACAAAACCTTTAATGTTTTATTGAAATACTTACCTTATTTTGAGCTATATTTCTTTCATCTATCAATTTATCCATTTATTTTCTAAGCATTTCATTTTCTTCATGTAATTTCATTTACAATTGAATAGTTTCTATTTATTCACTAGAATTTGTTGAATTAGTTGAATTATTTAGACTTATTTAATATTAAAGTATTTATACTTTTGTTTAAGTGTTAAACGAAGAATTTCTTTATTCAATTTTAATGCTTTTTCCATATCCTTCAATTAATCTTATAATTGTTTGTTTTCCTCTTATAAATATTGAATCTTAGCATATTGACGATTAGCCACAAATTCACTCATCTAAACTCCAAAAATGGGGTCTGTCATTATTTTTATTTATGATTTTAATACCGGGTTATAATCCAGGATAATTCACATTATAAGGAACCAATACTTATTTATTAGGAACAGGAAAGACAAGAATTTTAATAGACACAGGTGAAGGTAAAGAACAATACAAAATGCATTTAAAATAAATTTTAGATAAAGAATAATGTGAAATTTCAATTGTACTTATTACCCATCATCATTTTGATCATATAGGAGGAATATCTTAAGTACTTTAATTATGTCCAAATGCTAAAATATACAAAAATTTAGATCATAATTTAGAAAATGATAAACTCTATCCTTATAATCCACTTTAAGATGGATAAATATTCTAAGTTGAAAATTCTACAATCATTGCTATATCTTAACCAGGACATTGTGTTGATCATTTTGGTTTCATATCCTATTAATAAGAATGGTTTTCAGGAGATTGTATGTTGGGAGGTTCATCTTGTTATATAGAAAATGTGAAATAGTATTTATAAAGTATGTAAAAAATTGAAAAAATGAATATGTAATTTATTATTTCATAATCCTATAGAAAGACTATATATCCAGGTCATGGATATTCTATAATTGAAGGAGCATAAGAAGCAATATAGAATTAAATTTAGCATAGAAAAAATAGAGAATAATAGATTTATTAAGCAATTAATGGATAATCAGTAGATGAAATTATATTAATTGTATATCCTAATTTAAATGATGCTTAAATGAGGAATGTTGTAAAGATTGCCATTGAGGCTCACTTAATTAAACTTATTGATGATAATCTTGTCATTTGTAAAGATAATTTATTTTATAAATGCTGATTATTCTGTATTTTATTATATAATATATTTAATCTATATTGTACACATCTTTTATATATTTTTATATATTTAGTAATATTAGTAGTATGTTCAAATGTTAATGAATTTTGTATGAACTTAGTTTTAATATAATAAGTAGACACGTAATTTTATGAAAAAATTGATAATAAAAAAATATATTATCAACAATAGAAAAAATAAATAATGTTATTAGAAATATTTCTATTGTTTATTTTTGTTGGGTTGTTAATTGGATTAAAGTGGTTATTCACACCTTATACTAATTGGAAAAATCAATAAAAAACAGTTAAAAAGGATGATAGTATAGTGATTATTTGTGATGGAAAAGAATACAAGTATTCCACATATAAAAATACATCTGATGTTTAATTAAGCATAATTATTCCATCATATAATGAATAAAATAGATTAGGAAGAACATTAGAAGCTACATTTAAAGTAAACATTAATTCCAATTTGATTAGCACTTTAATAATTATAAATATGAAATAATAATCATAAATGATGCATCCAAAGACAAGACATTAGAAGTAGCTAAGAAATATTAGATAAATAATAAAAACTTTAAGATTATTACTTACAATAAAAATAGAGGAAAAGGAGGAGCAGTAAGATTAGGAATGTTAGCAGCAGCAGGGGATATTTAATTAATGATGGATGCAGATTTAGCTACAGATTTAAATGAATATGAGAAATTATCAAAAGAAGTAAATATATATTACAAAAATATAATAGTTATTAAAAATAACATAAAATGGATTAGGATTGGTAGCAGGTTCAAGAAATCATTTAGTGAAAGATGTAGTTGTTTAAAGAAAATGGTATAGAAACTTTTTAATGCATTGTTCTAATTTTATTATTAATACTATATGTGGAGTCAGATTAAAAGACACTCAATGTGGATTTAAATTATTTACAAAAAATACATCAGCAATATTATTTAGAGTATTACATTTAGAAAGATGGGCATTTGATGTAGAATTATTTATGATTGCATAAAAATACAAAGTTCCTGTCTCAGAAGTACCTGTAAAATGGGAAGATGTGGAGGGTTCTCATTTAAATGTAGTAGAAGCCTCAATTTAAATGGCCAGAGATTTTCTATTAGTCAGAATTCTATATTTATTAAATATTTGGAATTTTAAGGATGACATAGGATTATGATGAGTTTTATTAATAAATATTAAAATTGAACGAATTAATCTAAATGTCTAAAAACTATTATTCTATTAATGCATTAAACATCTAATAAACTCAAACCACAAGTCATTAATTTACTAAAGAAGAATTTGAAGATCATGATTCTTCTATAAGTCAACATAATTCTAATCTATTTAATAAGGAAGATAATTAAATAGATAGAATAACATATTCATAATAGAAAACACTAAGTAATATTGAAAATCCTATATTTAATGAGAATGATAGTTAAATATAAATTTTTGTATAAATTCCAAGTGGAAGAATTCTCTCTTTAGATGTTAATAATAATGTTGAATATTTGCAATAAATTACTGATTTAATTTAAAAAAGAGAAGGAATACCTCCTAATAGATAGAAATTATATTTGGGTCCTTAATTTTTAAATAAAATTAATAGTAAGACAATAAAGAAAAATTAAACTTTGCACCTTAAAATAAGTAGTAGTAATAATATAATTGTAATATACAATAATTAAAGACATCTTATAAATGTAAATCTTAATGATTGTGTTAGTGAAATAAAATATCAATTAGCTTTAAATTACAATTATCCATTTGATTCATAAGAATTATATTTCAAGAATTAACAATTATAAAACAATTGCAAATTATTTGAATATAAAATACAAAAACATTCTATTGTAGTATTGAAATTGTAAAATCTTATTTACATTAAATAAGCATCAAAAAATAGAAAAATTATGAAAAGATTAAATTTAAATTAGAAAATTAAAGATTTAAAAATACAATTGAATTAAAAATTTAATGATTTAAGTGAATATCATCTAATATACTAAAATTAAATATTAAAAGATGACTATCTTATATAATTTTATCAAATTAATCATTAATCAGTAATAGAAATAGTAGAAATAAAATATATAAATTTTTCAATTCAAACATAAAAACTAACATTACAAATCAAAAAAGAATAATATGAAACCATAGAAGATATCAAAAAGGAAATTTAATCAAAATTATAATTACCAATTCAAAAATAAAACTTATTTTATAAAGGTAAAGAATTAGAAAATGATTTGAAAATAATGAATTGTAATATTGAATAAGACAGTAAAATATATTTATTCAATAATCTAAAATCTTTATATGAATTTACAATTGTTGATTGTGAAGATTTTGAAGATTTCACTATAAAAATAAATCCAAATAGTAAGGTTTATGAGCTAAAATAAAAAATAGAGGATTCTTATTAATTATCTATAAATTTTTAACGTTTAAGATATGAAGGAAAGATTTTAAAAGATGGTAAAGATTTATCATATTACAACATATAGAATTTTGACTTTATTTTTTTGGAAAGTTGGATTTGATTAATATTATTAATTATAAAACATTTTATTTTCCGATAACATAGTCAATTTAATAAATTGAATTTTCTAATGATAATAATATATTTACAAATAATATAATGTAATTAAAATTATTAAGATTCAATCTTTTTAATTGTATTTATATATTTTACATCTTATTATTTAATTTTCTTTTCTTTCTTTACCATAGAAAAATAAAGAATGAACTATTAATAAATAAATAATTTCTTCATATCTTTATGTCTCATTCATAAATAATATTATCCTTTATTCCCTTTTTCAAAATTAAACAAGTAATATCTAGAGGAAGAATGTTATCAATCTAATATTTAAAAGGAAATAAAAAGTTTATATAAAAGCATCTTAAAATATCTACCATTTTTTTTTCTATTATTAATTTTATATCCTTTTTTATTTATATAGGTTAATATGAATAATACATCTTTTGTTCCAAAAATCCAGTATCTATTATTTTATACTACTTAAGAATTGGTAAATCTATTTTTCACAATTAAAAAAGACAATAAAAAAAGTAAGAGAAATTCATAAAACATCTATAAAAATTATATTCTTAAGTATAATTGTTATAATGGACTATATGATTAATTAATATAAAAACTATTAAGTATTACATATATCAGAAATATATATGATTTATAGATTAAACATCTTCTTATTATTTAATTTATTTGATTATTGATTATCAATAAACAATTTATATATTTATTCATTTTTAATAAAAATGACAAACATTTAACATCATTTTAAACTAATTGTCACATAAACTATATTCTTAGCTGATCTGATTGAAACCACTATTAGTCTAAGCATATTATTTATTCTAGTAATGTATTGGATTAATTGTATATATATTTCATTCACTCTTAGCTCAGATATCCAGTAATAATGAAACTATTATTGAAATAATGTAAGCTAATATTACATTAACAGGTATTGATTTGTAACAAACAATTTCCTCAATTGGATTTTTATTCAACATCTCTAAGTTGGCTCTTAATCAATAAGAGATATCCCAACAAAATTCTACTTTAGAAACTGTTACAGGAACTTTTACAGTTTAAGAAAGGTCTTAAATTGCTTAGATTGAAGAATTAACTTAAATATATATTCCAAACCTTCCATATTATGTGATATAACTCAATTCAGAAAGTTTATGTGCATCGAATATAACTTTAAATAAATATGATTTTAAATCAAGTCCTAATTGCACTAATAATCCAAAATTTTGTTAATTATTAGAAAACTCTAATAATTATAAGGGTAATTTTGATCTTTTTTAATATATGAAAAATGAAAAGAAAGATCAAGTTGTATTTTATACTTTGTTTCCATTTAATATTTAATTGATATAAATTTGTGGATTATTAATTAGTGATTCATTATATTAATGTTTTATTTTGGATTTAGCAGAGTATAAATATTCAGAAGGGATATTATATACAACTTTATTTACTATAAATAATTCAGTAATTTCTGATATAAGCGATGATTGTCTCACTGTTGATATGAAATGTAATCCAGTTATTGAATTAAATAATTTGGATTTAAATGATTAAAATAATAATGACATTGTTGAGTTTTTAGAAAGCATAGAAAAAACTGATTGGATTAATTAAATTCATTCATTAACTCGTTATTATGAATCATCTAATCCAATTATAAGTTTGTCTATGGTAGATATAAAGGTCTATTTTTATTAATCAATTAAAATTGGGACTTATGACATTGTAATTATTTATAGATATGTGTTAGAATGATGAATTTTCTTCAGAATACAAGGAAGATCTATTAAATCAAACTAAAGAAGAATAAGATAAATTAATTGCACTCCAATAAAATTTTAATAGATGGTAGTTACTTGCTACATTCAATAATTAATTATTTACAAATTTAGTAGAAACCAAATAAGAAGATTATTTTGATTTCTTTCTATTCTTTTAATTTTTCATTCTATTTTTATTATTGACTCCAATATTAGTCAATATTATAACACAGAATGAATTTGATTAAATTAGTATAACATTAAATTAAGTTTCATTGATGATGTAAATGTTTTTTGAATTAGATTATGATACTTTACATAAAGATTTAAATACATTTAAAGAAAACTAAAAAAGTAGTTTAACTGAATTGAATGAATTAATATAAATTTTTGATGAATTTTGTTGGTTGATTGAATTTCTAAATCAGTTAAATAAAAAGGTTCATGATTTATAGAAATTAGAATAAGGATTACATATTTTTGAGAAACGAAATTCTATTGAATGTTTAGAATTAATCTTAATGAAATTAGTTTCAGAACATAGTAGATAAAAAGATTATGAGACTGCAATCACATACAATAAATAATTAATTTCTATACTTGAATAATAAAAGAAAGATATTTAATTAATTAAATCAGAAGAGATTATGAGAATAAATTACAAATTATTTCAATCATTAAATTAATTATTAGATCTATTATCAAAATTATTAATTAGAAATAAAAGTAGAGATAGAAATGCCTTTAATTAAGCAAAAACATTATTTTCAAATATTATGGATTTTGCAGACACTTTAGAGATTAAATTCACTTTATAAATTAAATTATTCTTTAAAAAATGTAAATTACTCTTCAATCTTAGAAAAATAAAAGAAGCTGAATAATGTATAGATTAAGCTTAATTAATTTTGTAATAAAATTATACTTTAAGTAAGAATGCATCTTATTAAAATAAAACATTTAATTAAGACAAAAAGTTATTATAAGTTGTTCAATAAAAAATTTATTTTTATAGAGGATTAATTTATATGTCTAGTGGTTAATTATAGCCTGCAATATAATAATTAATGTTAGCTCTAGATTATGGAAATGTATATTAAACAAAATTAAGAGTAAAAACTATTAAGATGTTATCTTCATTACTTGCAAAATAGGAGAAATTTAGATCTGATAGTTAAATTTTAAAATAACTCCAATACTTTTTCTAGAATTAAAAAAGATAATTTATATTTTTAATTGATTCAACATAAAGAATGGCTGAAAATTAACTTGAAGTTGTAGAAACTATTAAATAAGTATTAGTTATTATAATAATTAGATATTTTAAATAATGAATGATGATGATTTAATATAAGTATCAACTTTTGATGAATATACACATGTATTAATTGAATCTTAATCAAAAATTAGTATATTAGAAACTATGGGTAAAAATTATATGGAAGATGGGTTTTTTGATTATTTAAGCGGGAGATAGACATAAAATTAACGAAAATTATATTAAGGAATTTTGGAATCTTTAAATTAAGGTGTACCAAGAAAATATACTAATTATTTAATTGTAATGACTTTTGGAGAAAATTATGCTGAATAAAATGATAAATTAATTGAATTGTTGGAAAAATTAAGAGATGGATTTTGGCATTTTGTATTATGTAGTACATAAGAAAAGAAATTTATGAATCAAAGGAATACATTTTATCGATTAACAGATGAAGCTAGAGATGGAACTTATATTGAATTATTTGCCAATTTTGAAGAAGGTTTAAGTAAAATTATTTCACTTTGCAGTTGATATTATTTTATTAAATATTTTTATATTTTCAGTTAACATGTTTGATGATGATTTTGATTTAGGGAAATAAGTTGATTTGGCCAATGAAGTGAAAGAGATGGAAGTGAAAGTAAATACATTGTAAGAGAAATCGCAACAAGACCGATATCTGGGTAATCATTTGATGGATCACTCTTAGAATTCAGCGAAATGGTATTAAATTCCTTTAAAATGATGGAGTAAAAATTTAATGAAATGGAGTCTAGGTTTAGTAAGGCCTTATAGTATAAAAACAAAGAAAATACAACTAGCAATATTAGATAAAAAAGTGTTTCTGTTGGAAAAATATACGCGCCTCCAAAAACTTCAGTTGGTAAGATATCTTTACCTAAACATTAACCTCCTCCATTAAAGAAAAGCATCTTAAAAACAAAAAAATGAATTAAGTTTAGTTACTATTCAAACTATCTATATATTTAATATATGTTAAATAATAAATACAATTTATTAATGTATGTATAAGATAGAGACATAATAAATTAATTTAGAGATTGATAAATAAAGTTTTGAACATAAATGGATAAAAATAAAATTTTTGATTTTTTTCTATTTTTTTTTTATGGCTCAACTCTTTGATAAGAGGATAAATTTAGATAATTTATGTAAAGAATGCCATATAGAACATTTCTTAAACTTGAATGTTGATCAGATAAATACGTTAATTTATTAATAATTATAGAATATTCTAGCATATTTATAGATGTTTTATAAGTGGCTGATTCTGGAAAATTTTAAACTAATTAATGTCTTAACTTGCTTCTATTGGTATTGACTTTGGTAGTTAGAGATCTGTAATCGCTGCAGCACTTAAGGGTGGTGTGAAGGTTTTAGACAATGAAGGATCACATAGAGAAACATAAAATGTGATAGGATTCACAGTTGAAGAAAGATTCATTGGAGAATAAGGAGCCTTATAACAAAAGTCTAATTTCAAAAATTCTGTTGCTTTTTTCAACAGATTCTTAGGATTACATGGTGAACCTACATTTAGAGCAGAAGAGACAAAATGGTTGACTGTTCCTACATCAATTAATGATTCTGGAAAAACTTTATTTGAGGTTAATTACCTTGGTTAGAAGACCACATTCACTCCTGAGTAATTGACAGGTTCTATGTTAAACAAATTAAAACATGTTATAGCTCACAATGATATAAATGTACAAGCAAGTAATTTTTGTATCAGTGTACCTGCATATTATACAGAATCAGAGAGAAAGGCTTTGATTGATGCATGTAAGATAGCTGAAATTCCTTTGGAGAGATTGCTTAATGAAACAACAGCAATTGCAATTAATTATGGTCTATTTAGAAAAGCAGATTTGGATGCTGAGAAACCAAGACATGTTGTATTTGTTGATTTTGGACATTCAAAATTTTCAGCATTTGTTGGTTCATTCTATAAAGAAAAGGCTTAAGTATTAGCTTAAGTGAATGAGAGAAATCTAGGTGCAAGAGATATTGATTGGTTATTATTTGAAAAATTTGCCACATAATTTGAAAAATAATCAGGTGGTTTGAATGTTAGAAAAAATCTTAAAGGAAAATTAAGATTATTGGAAGCTATTGAAAAAGCTAGAAAAGTCTTATCAGCTAATTCTGAGGCTCCAATTAATGTAGAATATTTAGTAGAAGATGAAGATTTCAATACTTTAATAAAGAGAGAAGATTTTGAATAAATGATTCCACCAGTCTTAAATTAAATTCAATAATAATTAGAATTTTTATTTAGTTAAATTTAGAATTTAAAATTACAAATACATTCTGTTGAAATTGTAGGAGGAGCAACAAGAATTCCAGCTGTTTAAAGATTAATTGAAAAGATCTTTAAAGTTGAATAAGTATCTAGAACATTGAATGCAAGTGAATCAATATCTAGAGGTTGTGCAATGATGGCAGCTATGAAAAGTCCAAATTTCAAAGTCACTGAATATAAAATTGAAGATTGCAACTATTATCCAGTTAGAGTAGGTTGGCTCTATGGATAATAATTAAGTTAATAAGACTAAAGTTAAGGATTGGTTAGATGTTTCCCTGAAAAATAATGTAAAGTCTTATTTGATTAAAATAATGCAATTCCATCAATCAAGAGTTTTGCACTCTTAAAAACTGAACCAATTGAAATTACACTCTTTTATGATCCTGTACCTGAAGGTTTCTAAGCTATTTTATGTAATATTATTTTATAATCTTTTTTAGAATAAATTCGTGTTCCTCCACAAAACCCAAAACACTAAGAACATTCAACTAAGATCAAAATCTTATTGAATCATAATGGATTATTATAATTAGAAGAAATTGTATTATAAGAAGAATTCATGGAAGAAGTGAAAGTGCCTGTATTAAATATATATAATTAATTTATTAGATTGAAAAACCAAAACCAGCAGAACAACCTAAACCAGCAGAATAACCTAAACCAACAGCTGATGCATAACAATAATAATAACCATAAGCTGCTGAACCACAATAACCAGCTCCAGAAGCTGTATAATAAGAATAACCAAAACCAGAAGAACCACAATTTGAAATTAAATAAAAGAAGAAAACTATTTAAACCTAAATTAATTGTGAAACTACTTCCTTGAATAGTTTGTCTAAAAAAGAAATTGATCACTTATTCCAATAAGAATGTGAAATGTAAAATTAAGATAAATTGGTTCATGAAACCCATTTCAAGAAGAATCAATTGGAAGCCTACATTTATGCTTGGAGAGAGAATGTCAATGGAAAATATGCTTAACATGTTAGACCAGATCTCAAAGCTTAAATTCTTAAGGAATTAGATGTATAATATGAATGGCTTTATGGTGATGGTCAAAAGACTACAAAGAGGGAATATTCTGATAGATATGATAAACTTGTTTAATTATGTGGTCCAATAGTTACAATTGCTGATGAGTTTAGATTAGTTCCTGAAACTATTCAATAAGTATTACAATATACTTCCAATTATGAAGGTTTTGTAACTTCATAAGTAATAATATTAATTAAATATAATAGGAATAATAATATGCTCATATCACACCTGAGGAAAGATAAGTAGTTGCAAATGAAGTGAGTGCTTTTAAATTATGGTGCAATCAAGTTTTGGATGGTTTAAGTAAAGCAGATAAAACTGTCAGATTCACAACTTCAGTTTAATAAATTTAAACTAAATATAATGAATTCAGAGATGTAAATATTATATATTAACAATTTAGAAATGTTAACCAGTTGTAACCAAACCTAAACCTGAACCACCAAAAGAAGATAAGAAAGTGGAAGAACCTCAACCTTAAAATTAACCATAAGAAAATGAGGCAAATAATAATAATAATAATAATAATAATAATAGCAAAATGGAAACAGAATGATTTATAATTTAATGTTATTGTTGTTAATAAGTAATTCAATTAATATTTATTCTTTTTTCTTTCATTATTATATTTCAAATAAATTGGAAATTGTAATAGTATATAACTTTTGTTTAATACATTTATTTTATTATATTTTAATATTAATACAATAAATAATATAAAATTATAATATGAGTCAATAAGATATTTCTGATTCAGATAACTATTCTATGGATTCAATAAAACTAGAAAAACTAGATGAATTAAATGATTTAAATTATAATGATGATAATTTAGATGATTTAGATAAAATTATTGCAGATATACAAAGTATAAAATATCCATAAAATTTTAGAGATTGAATTTAAATAATAGATTCCTTAGTAAGATCAAAATAAAATAAAAAGAGGAGAGAGCTTAGATTAATTTATTTGCAATTTCTTTGTTAAATATTAATTACATAGAAGTTTAGAAATATTTTAAGTAAATATATTAAAAATAAAAGGAAGAATGGACAGAATTAACAAAGTCAACTATGTTTCACATTAATAGTATCAATGCAATTCCAGATATTTATGTGTAGTTTGAGAAATTAAAGGATGAACTCTTATTTTTAAAAGGAGAACTAGAAAGATCACAGTTGATGTCTGAAAAGGCTTCAATAACACTATAAAAATTAAAATAATAACGAGATTTTCATAAACTAAATTTTTATAGAACATAATAAGAAAAGAAGCAATTATCAATTGAATATGATAAACTTAAATAATAACTGAATTTCTAAGAAGAAAAATTGTCTAAATCAAATATCAGAATTATTGATAAAAAAGAATTGACTTAAGAAGATCCATTATTAAATAGAAAAAGATCATTATTAAAAAATACTTTATAATAAACAAAAAATGAAGAGGAAATAAATAATTAAAAAGATATTTAAAAATTAATAGATAGATTACCTCAAGTTAAGAAATCTAGTGGATAATCTTTATTGTTTAAACCAAAAATAAATAAATGATTTTAAATTGATATATCAAAGTGTTTAAGATGGAAGTCTTATATATAATGTTATAAATTCAAATTTCTAAATGTTAAATTAATTTATCTAATCTATCAAAATTATCATCTGGCAATGGTTCTTGAACCTATTGTTTTTTAGTTTGTACTAAAGGTTTATAAAGTATTGGTTCTTATTAGACTAAAGGTTTTTTAAGAAAATTAACTGGTTTGAAATCTTTAGGCCTTTATTTAGTTGCTATTTAATCTTTTTCAATAGTCAATTTCCAAGTATTTTATAAAGCATTATTAGTTTTTTATAATGATTAATGAGGTTAATATTATTGAGTAACAATTTATTGTATGTTTGTTAATAATTCATCAATTTTTTCATCAATAGGATCTTAAGGTTCTTAAAATGATTATTATTCTTCATATTCAAACATTTATTCTTATGCTTTTGGTATTTCTGATTCATTTAATAAGAGTTCTTCAGTTCTTTAATGTTCTCCAGTAAAATCAAGATCAAATTATTACTATGTGTTTTACATTTCCTAATTTTATTGTTCATATTCATTAATAAATGTAATTTAGGCAGAATCACCTTCTGATCTTAATTTTTTCTAAGCTGATTCTATTTATTAATGATTTTCCATTGGAGTAACAATTGATCTTTAACCTTCATTCTTCATACTTTATAAGATAGGTAATATGGTTTAATTTTCAAGCATTCTTTAATAATCAGAAGGATTTTTAATTTATGTAATTTCATTAGCTTATAATCTTTTAGTAATTTCATCTTCTCTATTTTTCATAGATTATAAATCCCTAAGTAATGATTCATCAAAAACTTAAGTAGTTTAGGCATGAATTTTAGGTAAGATTAATTGTGTTTCAGTGTATAATTCAGGTACTTAATTATCATCTTCATATTAATTATTAGTATTATATAATTATTTGATAGCATTTCTTGCTTTGTCATTTCTATAATATTCTTGTAACAATAATTATCTTTTTTCAGATTCTGTTAAATTAGAGTTAACAAATTTAGTAGTTTTAAATATTCTATCTCCTTCAATAACAGGTAAAAATGGAGTTTGATCTATTATGTCCCAAACTTTTTATTCTTTTGCTTTAGATTGTAAATATAATAATTCTTTCTCTGCCTTTAATCTAACATTATCAACTTTTGTAAGATGATTTCTCATCTAATCTAGATCTTTTTCAAATATCAATTATTATTATCCATAATATTCTTTAAGTTGATCAATATGTTTCATTTTATATATTTATTTATTTATTTATATATTTATTTATATTTTGTACTTTTCATGGTTTTTATTCTTCATTTTAAAGAGCTTCATCAAACACAAATTCTTCTGGCACTTAATTAGGTGGAGCAGGTTATTAATTTACAACTTATTCAATTATAGGTTATTTTGGTTTAACAGTTAGAGATATCACATTTGCAGGTTATGAAGGTTCACTATCAATTAACATTACTAAACCTTATTTACGATCCTAATTATAATTAAATTAATACTTTGAGAAGTGGTTAATAACGATTTCCTTCTAATAATTAAATATATTTTTTTTATTTATCTAAAATTCTGCATGGATTTGTCAAATTATATTAATTTGGTTCATCCTTTGGTGCAGCCTATTTCTTTTCTTATTCTTCTAAAACACTTGGTTATTTAATGATTTCACTTGGTTATTACTCTAAACTCATTTTTGATTATTCTCTTGAAATTACACCTTAAGAAGCAGAATCTATTTATTTCTTCTCTAAATCTTTCTTATTAGTTCTAGCTCTCACTTTCTAAGTTGTACTTAATTAAACAGTTTTTTTCTCAGCAATTGGTTTTTCAGATTTTTTCTAAGGAGGAGGATAATCAAATACTGATTGTTTGATATTACATTATAATTGAAAGTCTTTAGGGATATCAAGGCTAAAATTTTATAAAAATATTTTATATACTTTTCATTTAAACCAATAAAAGAAACTGGTTATAAAGCAATAGATATCATACTTAAACAAGGATACCAGTACCAATAGTTTAAAAACCATAACATACCCACACAAGCATTTAGTTTTGGTACTCCTTATCTGCTTTATAAAGAAACAGTCAAATTTCTTCCTCCACAATCTAAGAATCCTTAGAAAATGGCTAATCCCAACTTAGTTAAAACTGTTTCATGTTTTTTTGCAGCAATTTCATTAATTGATTTCATGATTGCCTCAAATTTAGGTTCCTAATCTTTGTTTCCTTAAGAGAGAATCATTCCTAAAGCTATCAATGCACCTTATCTTACAAAATCTACAGTATCGGTTAACATTGGTTCAATCGCAGAAATAGCATCTGCATAAAGGGTTCCAGCACATGCAATACCTAATGCAATAGCTGTTGCGTATCTTATATGTGGATTATATGACAATGTCAATAATCTCATAATTTTTGGCAAAGCTTCATAATTCTTAAACATTAAGAAACCAAAAGATATGACAGCTGCTCTTCTGACATCTTCTGAAACATCATTAACTGATATGGATAGCAACTTTTAAATAATCTTATTGCTTCCTGTGCCTACATATGCAAAGGCTAAGGTGAAGCAACCACCATATCTTATTAATGGATCATTTGATTATAACATTTGATCAATAATCACATCAGCTTTATCCTCTTAATGAAAGAGTATACAAGCAATTGATAATGACAAAGTTCTAACAATTTTGTCTTTGTCTGATTAACTTGCTAATACTAATAGACGTTTGCATTATTCAATAGATCCAGATCCAGCATTTAATAATCCATAACCAATACTTGCACCTTCTCCATAAATTGATTCATTTTTTGAAACCAAATTATGATAATCTTAATTCAATTTTTCATCTTCAGAAGCAAATGCTACTAATCCTGAACCTAAACATGCACCATGAATTATTTGCTCTTTTTGAGATTTCATGTGATCTGATAATTTGAGCAAAAGTTATTGATCTTGAGTTCCAAAATGAATAAGTCCTAATCCATAAAGAGCACCTCCAATTTCAAATGGATTAGTCTAAGATAAATGAGTTGCCATAATTTATTAGGATTCTTCTATATTGTATTTATGAATCATTCCTAAAGTAGATGTAGCAGTAAATCTCTACCAATAATTACATTTAGTTGCCCATTATTAATTTGCCTATAAGAAAGATGTATCTTATGTGCCTGCAGTTGCTAAAGCATGACCAAACATGCATGCACCATGTAAAACACTTGATTGTTTTGGATCATTTGGTCCTTTAATTTTATTTAAGACTTCAACATCAATTTACTTATGATTCTTCAAAAAGTATAAATATGCTTTTCTTTACTATTCTCCTGATAACAATTTAATTAATTTGTCTCTAACTTCTTGGAATTATTGATCAATAGGCAATGCAGCAATGATTTTTTGAATAAATTGTGGTTTTTAATTTTATGCTAAATCTATGCATAATTATTCAGCTAATAATAATGGAGTACCAGTTTATAATTTGTAATGATTTTCATTAGTTACCAAAGTCCATAGGATTTCAGCAACTTTGATAGCCTCTCCTAATTGAATTAAGGTTGTGACAAATTAACCCCATTCTTCATTAGGTATTTGACCATGTTTTGCCTCTTCATATATTAGATCAACTGAAAGTCTTAATAATTATTCTTTGAATTCTCCTCTTTATGTATTGAAAAGATGAAGAACAGATATCATTTTACCAGGATAATTCCATTTATTAAGAATCTCAGCTACCCAATCAATCCTCTTGCATTCAACTGCTACACCTATAGCAGATATATGATTATTTTATCCACATGATAATTCTAAAATGTGTTTAATTAGTCTTATTCTTTCTTCAGATGCTCTTCCTGATTAACGATATTACTCAATACAATGTTTTATTAAACATTGATTAAATTTATCATTCAAATCTGATTACCAATATTGTCCACTCTGTAAAGCATAATTAAGAGATTCGTCAAAGTTATCTAGATGATATTGAATCTTGGCACATAAATAAGAGGCTAATTATCTTTCAGGAAATTTTGAATCTTCACTTAATGCTTCTCTATTGGAAATATATATTTTGGATTTACATTTAACTAAGTAATTCAGATATCTCTGACCAATGTTGATCCACTTAGTTTAACATTTCTTTCAATGCTAAAATACGAAGATCATTATCTTTTTCTAATAAAAGAGTATTGAAATTCATAAATTTAAATTGTAAATAATACTAATCTAAAAACATTCACTTAATTTATATTCTTAAATCATCTCAAATTTATATATAAATTTATTTCATTATCTTATACACTTCAATAAATATTTTATAGTATAGATGATATTAAATGATAATACAATAAATTAGTTATATATATATATATATAAAACAAAAATAAATAATTATTTTTATCTAACATGATAAATACCAATGACAATTTAGAAGATGAATTTGATGGACTTACAATAGAGAAATTATCAGGAATTAAGAGATCTATATTATAATCTAGAGATGTTCATGATTGGTTTAAGAAAAGGTTAATTATTGTATTGTAATTTTCAGATATAATGATAAAGTCAAAAAGAAATATTTATATTTCCCAGAAGAAATCAAATAATAATTAGAAGTTAAAAAGATCTTCTAAAATTTTGACTAAAATAAATCAAGTATGGAAGTTAAATTTAATTTAGACAATTTGGATATGAGTGAATTATATGAGATGTTTTAAAAAAATGGTTTCAAAATTACTGAAGAACAATTGCAAAAGTTTTTCAAAATTGTTGATAAAGATAGAGATAGTAATTGATAAATGTAATCAAAGATGCTTTAAATTGGAGTGAATTCAAAAATTCAGCTTTCAACGAACAGGCCGCACAAGGTATGCACATTCCTATATCTTTTTTAGTCTTCTATGAAATCATGAAAGAACTAAGAGAGAATATGGAAAAGGAATAAAAATTAGACAGTTCTTCTCCTGCTGGAAAATATATGCCATTTACTTTTAACAATATGATCTCTTATCTAAGTTATCTAGCCAGTCGTGATGAATTAAAAAAAGCCATTGATGTTTTATACTATCTTTCTATTAATAGGATACTTCCATTTCACAATTAGAGAAGTTCAAAAAATATATGGAAATGATTAATCTCAATTAAACTATCAGTGTTTAAAAAAGAAATCAATCAACACCTGAAGTTGATATCATTCATGAAGAAGTAGGAGAAAGTCAAAATCTAGATTAAGAATAAGAATTTGTTAAAAGAAATGAACAAAGGTTTAACTTATATAAAAACTCTTGTAAAATAAATTTATTGAATATAGTTTATAATTCTTAGAGTGCTTCTAAAAGTCCCAAATCATAAAAATAACCTAATATATTATAAAAGGAATAATAATTAAAAGTTCCAAAAAAATTAAGAGAAATTGATGCTATTGTAAGATCACATTAAGTTCCTGAGACTTAAAGTTTATTTAAATTAAAGGAAAAAACTAATAATTCTATCATTAAATTGAAGCAAGATGTATCTAAATATATACATTTAGCTAAAACTTAATATAATATAAATGTAGATGAATTATAAATCGTATATACTCTTTATTATTTTTATAGTAAAGCACAAAAAACAAACCTCCACTTACATTGAAAATTAGGAATTTCGAAGAAGACTTTAAAAATGCACTAGCAGCACATTAAATGTCATATAGTAATTCTGAACCATATTTTAAATTCAATGGATCCTCAGTTTAGGAACATCAATTGCCAATACTTGAAGAAAAATCAAAGACTATTACTAATCCAATTTTACCTGGAGATCATTTACCAATTTCAGTTTTACAAGAGTTAAGAAAATTTTAAAGAACATAATAAAATTCATTTAATTCCAATACATTTAAATCTTTATTTAAAACCTAAAGTGATGTATAATTTAACAATAAATAATTAGTTTACCAAAACTGCTATCAGTTAAAAATCAAGATCTTAAGGAAGATTTATGAATATTCAAAATCATGAAAAATTCTAATTTAGTGTTCCTTAAACTGCAAAACCAAATTAACTTAGAAGCTAATTATCAACAGCACCTTAATTGAGAGTAGGAACTAATTATGGAATGAAAGTAATTGAATATTATATTAATATTTAGAATCATCAGAAAATTGAGATCCAACCTTTACTAGGAAAATCACTGATTAAATAATGAATAATTTATATTTTATTTTTTACAATAAGTGAAGAACTTAACTTAACATTTGATGGTTATTTAAATCTTTGCTTTCTATAAAATTTGAGAATGAGATGATTAATATTCAAAAATTAAAAAGATTAATCAAAAACAAATTCATTAAATATTTGATAATATATTGCCAATTTTGAAGAATTACTATCCAAATAATAATTAATAATTATATTTACAAAATGTAGTTTCTATTTTTGAATGTTTAATCAAGTTTTTTAATGAATTTTCAAGTGTTAAATTATAATAATTTTAAGCTTAGTAGGTAAATGGAGAAAATATTGTGTATTTTAATTATAAATAACAATTATTTAAAAAATGTTAAGGTTGATATTAATAAAGTTGATTAATTGAATAATCTAAATTAAAGAATATAGGATAGCTCAAGAAAACACAAAATAAAAAATGAAGTTTATAATTAATTAATTAATTGAAATTTGAATGATTGTTTTGATAATTCCTCTTTTGTATATTGTTTAAAGTTAAACAGCAACTACAATAAGTTATGCTAGTTAAGGATCTGATTGGACCTCAGGAGTATGTTCAAGTGATACTATTATTTATAATATTAGGCAGTACTTCTCAAAGTCCAATCAACTTAGAAGTATCATCTGGTACATGTGACAATTCTATGGTTCTTGACATTTAATTTAAGAAGGATGCTATGTAAATAGTTATGGAAAGAGTACAATATACAATATAATCGAAAGCAGCAGTCTCAAATTTATATGCAACAGACATCAATGGAAATCTTTATGGTATTGTATTTAAATATCTTAGGTTACACTGCAACATAATTTATGTTTCATGGTCCTTCTGAACATACAATCGAAGGAACTAGATATGATCTAGAAATGCAAATTGTGCATGAATTAAAAGTAATTTATATATATATATTCAATTTAAGTCTGAATTCAGTGCCACCATAACTAAGGCTGTTGTTTCAATATTATTTGAAGTATCTAGTACAGATCAACCATTTTTTACAACATATGATTTTACATTGGTGGCATCTGCTGCAACAAATACTACTACTAATTCCACCACTAATTCAACCACTAATTCAACTAATACATCAACACCAACATCTGTAACCTCCACAATAGCTTCAATTAATTTCAATGATTTATTAGGTTCATAATTAGATGCTAATCCAGCTTATTATACTTATGTTGGATCCTTAACTATTCCAGGTTGAATTATTATTAAATATATTAGATTGTGATGATAATGTGAATTGGTATATACTGGATTCCATATTACCAATCACTTAGACTTAATTAGATGCTTTTAATACTTATTTTTTAAGCAATTCAACTTTCGCTTCTGGAAATGGTAATAATAGGGCTATTCAATCAACAAACGATAGAACAATTAAAAAAGGAGGAGTGGCTTGTGAAGAGTAGTTTGTCTACTTTTTCTCCTTCTTCATCCTATACATTTTTATTAATTATTTCATATTCAAATTGTTATGATCATTATTATTAATTAGAATTTAATCATGGGTTAAATAAACCCAAAATATTCACCACCTTCTCCTGATAAATTAAAACTTACCTATTAAATTAGAAATCAGGCAAAAGTATTTTCATATATTATCTTTTTAAAGCCTATTACACTAGTCTTTGATACTTAATTTTAAGTTAATGAGATTAATCAAGATGATTGGGATTTAGTCATTTCATCTATAAACATGAAAATTGATAAAATAAATAAACTATAACAACTTCCTCTAAGTATATTAAATATCTGATATCTTAGATTTCAAAGCTCAATTAATTCAATCATTTATGATGAACAAATCCATTGAAACAGCCCCATGCATTACTGGTTCTGAAGAAGGACTTTAAGAATTGCTAATATATTTGCGTACTCTTAATAAAGAAGATTTATAAAAATTCATTGAAGATAAATAATTGATAGAATAATTAAGGAATCTATTAAAAGTAGAATGTGAAGGATATCATGATAAAGAAGTAAAATATTTAAATATTATCTAAAGTGTTTAATTTTAAATATCTTATTACATTGTATTCAATAGAATTGTAATTTAGATTTAAATTAACCCATTTTAAATGAACTTGCAGAAATTTTGAATCCTTTGCACTCTGTTAACTTTAGTCTACTTTTAGAAATCTATATAGTTATTTGTAAAAATTAAACTGATGAAAAAATGAATTAAATTTCAATATCATGGATGGAAATGAAAAGAAACGGAATGTGGAATTATCCATTCGAACCATTTATTCAAATCCTATAATTAAATAAAAGTGTCTTCTCCATTATGAATATGGTTAGATTTATAAATTATTTTATGGAAGCACACGAAGATGTTGAATATAGTAATAAATTAAAAACACTGCTTATTAATTTTGGATTAAGATTTTTAATTGAGGATGTCAAAGCTAAAATCTAAACTGGTTATTATAAAATAGAACATTGCACCTATTAATATATGGATGAAATGCTCCTTGAATAATATCAACATTATAAAATCAATCCTTCATCTAGAAAAAGAAAACTACTTCCTCCAGATGGTAAACCAGTAGAATTAAGTGTTTGTGCAGCACTCTGTGCAGACTTATTTATAGATCTCTAAGATCCAGAAGCTTAAAAAAAATATGAATATGCAATATCAGAAGCTCTTGCATAAATAGATGCTTTCCTAGAATTAACTGAAAAAGTATATGCAAAAGTTATGAAACCAAAAAAATTAATTGTTGACAAAAAGTCAAGAACAAAAAGAGCAGGATCTATTACAACATTCCTTGATGAAGAAAGGTCAATCAAACTCAGAATTCCTGATTTAGATTATCAAAAACTTCTCACATAAATCAGAGAAGCTACATTATTTCCCTAAGTTTTAGATGCTTTCTAAGATTATTTATAATCTGCTGCAAAAATTGGAGTTAACGTCATATCGTAAATGATGTCTGTAGCTGTTGATAAAATGATTGAACTTCGAAAGAATGATCCTTTAAAATTAGATTTATAGGCATCAGAAGAAAAATGTACTCAACTAGAAAATTAAATTAGATCTTATATTAATGACAAAGCTAAGATGTAATAAGAATTAAATTAGCTAAAAGAAAAATTAATCGATGCTAACAAATACATCAAAAATATTGAGCTGAAATTGTAAACCTAAGAATAAATTATTCAGACATATAATAGTTAATCTAATACAGAAAAACTGCATCCTCCTCCACCACCACCTCCTCCTTTGCCGGGATAAAAAGCATCACCTCCGCCTCCTCCACCTCCCTTACCTGGTCAAAAAGCAATACCACCTCCTCCCCCTCCTCCTCCTTTATCTGGATAAAAAGCAATACCTCCTCCCCCTCCTCCACCACCTCCATTACCTGGTTAAAAAGCAATACCTCCTCCTCCTCCCTTACCTGGTTAAAAAGCAATACCAACTCCTCCCCCTCCTCCTCCTTTACCTGGATAAAAAGCAGGACCTCCCCCACCACCTCCTCCTCCAATTCCAGGATAAAAAGGAGGACCTCCAGGTCCTCCACCACCACCGCCTCCTCCAGGTTAAAAAGGAATTCCTCCTCCACCCCCTTCATTTGGTGGAGCTAATGCCAAAGGGCCAGGAATACCTCAATAAATTGGAAAGAAGAAATAAAATCCTTAGAAACCAATGAAATAAGTCCCTTGGGTTGTAATAAAAGATGATAAGATAAAATCAACAATTTGGGAAAAGATTGACGATTCAAAATTAAAAATAAATACTTCATTATTGGAGGAGTAATTTTGTAAAGTTGAATTGGTTAAAGTAAGTGGAAATGCATTACCTTCTTAAAAATAATAGATTAAATAAAAGGTTTCTTAATTATAAGCAGAACGCTGTAAAAATGTTGAGTTAGTAATTTCAAGATTAAAAATAAGTTCATTAACATTAAGAGAAGCTTTTTTAAAAATAGATACTAACATATTAACTGAGGAAAAGATAGCGATGATTATAAATGCAGTTCCAGAGAAAGAGGAATAAGAAATGTTTTTGCATTTCAATCCTCAAGACCTTTCATCAGTAGCAACACCAGATTTATATTTTATGGATTTAAGTACAGTACCATAAATAAAATTAAGAGCAGAAGCAATAGTAATAAGTTATGAATGGATGGGACTTTATGAAAGTGTTGAAGCAAAGTAAAATAAGATAGAAAATGGAATAAAATTGCAATAAGAAGATAAGAAATTATAAATAATGTTGGAATACTCTTTAGGTTATGGTAATTATTTAAATGGACAATCAACAAGAGGAGGAGCATATGCTTTTAAACTTGATATAATGAGTTAATTAGATGATGTAAAATCAAATGATAATAAAACAAATTTATTGATTGTTATAATTCTACACATTGAAGCAGATATAGGATATTCATTATATGATTAAGAATTTCTTGCAAAAATAGATTATGATTTTCTATGCAAAACATCAATATCTTCACTTACATAGGATATAAATGAATTAAAAAGAATGGAGAGAGTTGTAGAGAGAGCTAAAAAAAGTCATGGAGAAGATTCAAGTGATTAAGCTGGAGTAAAGTAAGATATATATACATATATATAAATAGATTCAAAGCATTATAAGAGTAATTACAAGAGAAAATTAAGAAATTGGAAGAAAAAAATGTAATATTGGAGAGTAGATATAAAGCTTTATTACAATATTATTGTGAAGATTCAAAATTATAATCAGATGAATTCTTTACTAAGATTGATAAAATCTGGAAGGATTATTAAAATGTATTTATGTTAAATAAATTTATTAGGCTCTAACTCAAATAACTAGAATAAAATAATAAGAATAGAAATTACAAAGAGATTCAAGAAAAAAGATGTCATAATCTTGTAATCTTGAAGCTTTATAATAATAGAATGAAAATTTAAAAAATTAATAATAACTAAAATAATAATAATAATAATAGTAAAATTAAGAAATAAATTCAGGTTAAAATAAAAAAGATGTAATGGAAGAATTAAGAAGATTGTAATCTAGAAAAGCAGAATTAGCAGCTAAAAGATAATAAAAGACTATAGAATGATAAAGGGTTATTTATTTAATAAATTTAAAAATAAAGAAAAAATTGATGTGCATAACATAAATAGATAAATTCATTATCTATGGAGATAAGCAATAACAATAGATATATCGTCTATAACTTCATCTTCTTCTTACCATCTTTTAGTTGATTCTCTAACAATTATTTCACAGATCTCATCTATCTTTTTAGCAGACATATTAGGACTCCAATGAGATATCACAATTTTTTAAATTTCTTCATTTGAAAAGAACTCCCAAACTCCATCACTTGCTACTACTAAAAATGCACAATTAGCTTCCATTTTATGATGTATAATTTCAGGTTCAGCAGTTACTCCTACAGTTGAAGCAACATAATCTCCAAATGATCTACTCATAGCTAATCCTGGAATTTATTCATGTTATAACCAAACTCTTGCTGGTCCAATCTTTTCTCCTGTTTCTGTCATATAAGGTTCAACTCTTCCTCTATTAGAAATAATTCTCTTAAATTCTGAAGGTAAATCAGGTTTATGATCATTAGATAATTCTACAACATTCCATTTATTAAAATTTTGTTATTCAATAAAAATCTAATATAGTATATTTAATTTACAGATCTTGAATCTCCAATATTTGCACACCATAAATGAGGTCCAGATAAAAATACTAATGAACAAGTTGTTCCACTAAATGTAATATCAATTCCTGAATTCTATAAATCTTTTGTCATTTTATTAAAACTTGAATTCAAAACTTTATGAATTTCTTATTCATAAACTTCACTAATATCTTATTCTTATTTCCCTATAAATGTTTTAATTGATTAATCAATTAAAGTTGGAAGCACTTTTTTGACTAATTATGAAACATAATGTCCATAAACTCCATGTCCATCACAAACTGAGAAAATATATCTATTTTTAATTCCACCTAAATTATTTGTAATTATAACACTATCTTAATTAGTTTTTGTTTAACCATTTCCATTTTAACCAGCTTGAGATCTTATTTTATAATATTTATACTTTGAAAAGAACAATTAAACGTAATCTTGCATCTCATATTCATTTGTTACATTATTTACTAATGTTGCTTGACTTGTTGATCTTCCATGTAACATTACCATTTATTATGGCATTTTAGGCTTTATGCTTGTATCTTAATCAATAGTTTAAGATGCCATTTTTGCTCTTGAGACATTAACCTTCTGTTTAGGGGAAGTATCTTGAAGTAATTTAATTATTTATGCTCTGCTCTAAAAAATATTTAATTTAAAAATACTGATGGTGTTACTTCATTGCTAGCATCTGTTCTCTTACTTCTTTTTTAGGCTAATCCCAAATCGATTTTTTATAAAATATCTTAACTTGTTGTATTCTCTACTTTTTTTAAATTTGGTAATTTTGTAGGAGATGGTACCTAAATATATATTGGAAATACTTCTTATTAATTTGAACTTATAACTCTTTTCTTTGGTGAATAACTACTTGGCTATACTAAAGTTAATCTCTATTGTTGAATCTAACATAATTTATTTGAAATTACTATTTTCACTTTATCGTCTTATATTCCATTGCTTGCAGTCTAATATCTCTTCAATTGCATTTTACTCTTATTTTATTGTTGCCCATTTCTAAATTAATCTCATTTTATATACATCACAGGAGACATATTTATAACATTTGATCTTTCTGATGGCTGTTATTATCCCTATTTTTTCTTTAGCTAAGGAGAACCTGCACTTGATTATTGATTGTTTGATTATTATTATGACTCATTAAATTTTATAGGAAACACTCTTACTGGGTTCATCAAATAATATTTTATTTACTTATATAATTTTATTACAACTTTCAGATAAAAAATAATTATTGTAATTGGGTATTTCTATACATCTATTCTATTATAATTTGTATATAAATTTTATCAAATAGATGAGTATTTCAAAATCATACTTTATTATAATGCTACTATTGATTATTATTTTTTAAATTTCTTTTTTAAATAATAATAAACAATTTCATAATATGAGATAAATTCTTTGTATATTATATCAATTATATGATTATCAATACTATTTTAATTCAAAAAGATTGGAATTTTTAATATCTTAAAATTACAAAATTTTTTATGCACAAACAAAATGAAATCATTAAAATAATTCTCATTCAATTATAGATTTATTACTAAAAGGAAAATTATCAAATAAAATTGATGGAGATTTTGATAATAATAATAGTAAATTAAAAATAATATTAAGAATTTTAATGTAAATAGGAAACTATATAGTATGGATTATTATTATTTCAAAATTTATTTTAGGGTATAATTTAACACTGTTTAATTATTTTTTAAAAGATTAGGAAAATAGTATTTATTGATCATTCTATGATTGAAAATAATTATTTCTTAATGAGAAAATGAAAAATTTAATAAAAATGAAAATTCATTATAAAGTATATAGATAATTATTGAAATTATTGGATTGTAATTATAATATTGATTTCAATTAATCATTTAAGAAATTTATCCTTAAATTATTAAAATATTCCTTTTTTATTTTCTTATTTAGTATTATTTTATGTAGTTTATTTTTCATCTTTTTATTATTCTTCTAAAATATTTTCTTCTTCTTCTAATTGATGACTTTTGTAAGTAAATTCTTTTATTAAATTCGCTTCTTTTTCTTTATCTATTGTTTTAACATCAATAATAAACATAGCAATTACTGGTAAATGATCACTTTCAAATCTATCAATACTTTTATAAAATAATTATTTGATTAATGCTTATTCATTTGTTTTAATAAAGATTCTATCACAATAAGATGGAATTTATTCTTGTTTCTTTGTTTAATAAGTATGATTAACATTTAATTTATAAGTAGGTAAGAAAGTTATACAAGCTTCTTAATATTCTTATAGAGGATATTTTGCTTTTGCCTCATAAACTTAATCTGATTATTAAAGTTTAATGATACATTATTCAGCTTATCTTAAATTACCTTGTTAATAAAATTCCTTTTATTATTAAATTAGATCCAAAATTGAAGTTTAATTTGATTTTAATCTAAAATTCAAATCTCCCATTAATAATGTATAATCTGATAAATCAATAGATTTCATTTAATTTTTAAAAGCTTTTTCATGTATTTCTTCAAGACTTTCAATTCTTCTTTTATTTTTGTTATTACCAGATGCTAAATGACAATTACAAATAGTAATTTCAGAATCTTTGATCTAGAATCTAATTAAACATGCTCCTTTATTTCCAGCATGACCTTCAAGACCTGTTTTAATTTTATCAGTTGAAATTTTACTGATTAATTAGACAAGTGATACTTTTGAATAGATTAATATAAGCATTCCAACTAGATTTTCTTATTAAACTAAACAGAATTAATTTCCATTATTATTTATAGATGAATCTATAATTTTAATCCATTCATTTACAATATCTTGATTTTATCCAATCATCTTATGAGCTTTATATTATTATATTTCTTATAAAGAAATGACAATAAAATCTGGAATATAATCTTAATGAAATTGTAATACATCATTTTATAAATTGTAAATTAAATTACCATTTACATTCCAAGTTAATGCAAATAATTTATATTTTTGAAATTTACAATAAGATTTAACTTAACTTGATAAATAAGTTTAAAGAGAAGATCTTTAATTTTAAATTCCATGTAAATATGATTCAATTATTTAATTCTTTGTTGAATCAATGAATGTTTAATTAAATAATCTTCCAATTGATGCAAAATTATGAGTTATAAAACCTTTAAATGTAGTTTTACCTTTTTTTGTAAATTCACTTGTTGTTGCATTAGTTCCACAATATAATTAACTAATAGCATCTCCATTCTCAGCCCATATTACTCTATATTAATTTAAAAATTCACATGCTTTAGTATCTTCAATCATAAATAATAAATCTAAATCATGATTAACTTAATATTTTGTTAGAATTAAATCAGTAATTCTTAAACATAAACGACTTTAATAAGCATTAGTTCTATCTAAACAATCTAAACAATTTACTCTATATGCTCCTTATTACATTGATATTATTTATTATTAATTTAATGTGTTTATTGCAAAACAATCAAATAAAATACTTTCCTCATCTGATCCTCTAATACAATTATCAATTGATTTAAATTTTTCATTTTTACAAATCTTATGAAAATCAATACGATTCAATTTCACTCCATCAATTTTATTTTTTTATACTAAACTTTAAAATGATTCATTTAGAATATTTTCAGATGTATTTTCCCCCATTAAATTAATACAACTTATATTTTTATAACATTCTTGCAAATCATTAAAATGTTTAAGATAAGCATGTTCACATAATAATTCATTCCTTGTAATTTTTACTTTTCCAGTTATTCCTTTTTATTTCCAAAATGTTGGAACACTACCTCTATAAATAACATGACTTAAACAAAAATTCTTTACCATTATAATAAATTCTGTTGCTACATAATTAGCTACATATCCATCATCATTTATTCCTCTATGATGAAATCTAGTACCTGATTAATATCTACATTTTCTACTAATCAATATATATTTTATCTATTCATTTCCTAATTTACTTTAAAATTATCCAACATATCCTTAAATCATTTTACAATACCATTATGGCTAGATATCATAATCTTAAAATTTATTTGTAAGATGATTATTCCATAAAAATTCGGAAAAGTCTCTATAATTATTTTTATAGCAATTCTATAATGGTTAGGCTGGATTTCCATTTAAACTAAAGTAAAAATGATTAGACAAGTACTATTAATTTATAAAATAGAATATTACATCTTTTATAGATTATATTTATCCATATTCATCGTAATGCATTTTTTTATCTAAAACAATTTAAAATCCTATAAAACCTACAGATTAAATTCTATAGTATTTCTATTTTAATACTTAAGCTACTAATTCGCACTTCTTACAAACAATTAAATATTTTTAAAGTTATCCTTAATATATACCTAAAATAGAAGATGCCTATATTTCTTCCAAACTAACTTCCCCTTCTATTAAAGTAGCTTATTATTATTCTAATATTTTTCCAGTTGTATAATCAATTATCAAAACAGTTTATAAACCTAAAGATGGTTCATTTGCATTTATTATTATCCTTGATGCCAATCTAATAATTGTGAAATTATTAAGAAATTGAGATTTAAACATAATTTTAATTAATGAAAAGATAATTTTTGGACATCTTAATAAACTATAGAGTTTTGATATATATTAATATTATTTAATAAATAAATATAATTATTAGAAACCATGAATTTTTCCTAATTATACTATTTACTTTCAATAGATGCTGTATTTATTATTCTTTTGATTCTCAGTTAATTTGAATGTATAAAATAATAGTTTATAAAATACTAAAGTAATTTATTGTTATTATCTAGAGGTAAGAAAATAAAGAAGATCATAAACTAAACCTTAATTATTTTCTCCTGGAGCATCATTTTTTCATCATCATCAATCTTTAGATCCAGATGCAAATGTTGATGAACAAAAATAAGTAAGAAGAAAATCAAGAGCAACAACTTTGAAATTATCTTAAACAACTAATACATAAAATGAATCAAATAAACATTCAAACATAAGAAAATCTATTAAAAATCATACTATCTTAACAATAGTATCAACTAATAGCAATCTATAAACTACTCCAGAATCAAACAAACATAGAAATACAATTAGAAAACATAGTTAATTTGTGACACATTTAATTACCCCTGAAACTGCAAGAAAAAATTTGAATACCAACCAATCTGACCATGGATCCAAATTGATACCTTAATAATAAACAAACTAATAAATGGATAATAAAAAGATGAAGCCCTTTCTTGTAATTGTAGATGTTATATTTAGCTCTACTTTCCAATCATTAAAGGTACTATATAATTAACAAACAAACTACCAATTATATTTATTTAATGTTGGGCAAGATTAACATTTTAACTTATTTATGTTGATTTAATGACATTTTATGAATTTGTTTTTATTCCTGTATTTTTTATCTCTAACAGACTTATTGATAAAATTATTAGAAGAATAGTTAAGAATTACTCAGATAGAATAATTTATATAATTACTGTAATCTATTTTACACTCTCTATTGGAAGTTAAGTAGTTTATGTAATATAAAATTATATTTAAGATGATTCTTGCAAATATTAATTATTTATCAATTGTTATCAATTTAATTGATATTTTAGGAATTGACATATTAATATATTGTATTTTCAGATTATATAGAGTAACAGAAAACAAATAAGAACAAGATTAAGATTAAATCTGATTTTTGAATACTAAACATAATCTACATCTATATTTTTAAACATAAAAACATTATCATTCCTCTGTTTCAAATTAATATAAAATATCACACAAATTTGATCCTACTTTTGGAACTCTTCCTATTACTAATTATGAACTTATATTATTAAAAGTATCAGTTTCTCTATTCAAACAAGCATTAGTTAAAAATTAAGTTGATGTTTCAAAAGTCATTTTACCAAATGGAGCAGTATTGAACTATTATATTAATATAAATATTTACATCCATATATATTCTATTCATAGCTCTTATTTGTCCTCCAAAAGTCATATAATCTGCAATTAAATATAAATGTCTATAATCAACAGCAACACCATAAGCTCCAAATACTGCTAAAATTTCTTTAATTATGGCATTTCTAGCAGCTTCAATACCAAAAGCATTCATAATTGCTACAATATCATTACAATCAATATTATTTAAATTTATAAAATCGAAATTTCTAATTTTATTTAAATTGACTCCTTCTGTGTATATCATAAAAGATGCACCTCCACTTTTATCATTCTTTATGATTTTTGCTTTATTAATTCCTTTAATTTCATTAATTACTGTATTTGACAATGTTTTCTTAACAACATTTGTCATTAACATTTTTTTACTATTTAAAGGTAATTTAATAACAACTTTTATAAGTTATTTTTGTACTTCAGCCTTTTCTAAATATTTATGTTATGTTATTTAAGGTGTTAATTATTATTATTCTTTTTTAGGATTTTATTTTTTTGGTGATTCTTATTATTATTAATGTGATTCTTCAAAAATATCATATTATTAAGCTGATTATTCAAATGTTTAATTAATTATATTTAGTACTTCTTCATCTTAATTAAGTTCAGATAAATCATCTTATTCTTCTTATTATTAATCTTCATCTTCATCTTCTTCATCATCAGATCCCTTTCTTTATTTTTTAGCTTCATTTTCTTTACTTTTTAGGAAACTGGTTTTCTCAACACATCTTGATGAATTCTTATTTAATTCTGCTTGAATTATTTTCAATAATAATGGAATAAATACATGATTAATTTTCTATAAAAATTTAATAAATATATTACATTTTTTATTTAATCTTCTGAAATTCCAAAAACATATTTGATTTAATTCAAATCTTCTAATTCAACATCAATTTCATATATAACTCCTCTTAATTATGAATGAAGTGGAATTCCATTCTCTGTTAATCTTTTGTATTCTCTAACTTTAATATTATTAACTAATTCTAAAAATACTAATTTTGACATTCTTTTTGCATATCTATCTGCTTATGATTTCTCAATATTAGCATTCAAGAATTAAAGAGACATAGTTGGTGTTTTTTATTTTTTTGTTGCAGTCATTAAAATTTCTCTCAATCTAGGAATACCTAATGTGACATTTTTTTCACCATGTCCTGCTAAATGAAAAGTATTTAGAGTCATCTAAGTTGAAGGTTCTCCTATTGATTAAGCAGCTACACATCCTACTGCTTCTCCTGGATGCATCAATGCTCTTAGATATCTAATATTTGCTAATGATTTAAATTATTTATTAGATATTTTTTTTTACTGAAGTTCATTTTAACATTTTTGTAAATATTCATTCATTGTAGATTAAACTTTCATTGAAACAGCTCCTAAATTTTAAGATGGATTATAAACATTCATTAAAGTATCATTTTCTAATTCTACAGAAGTACCATCTAAAGTTTAGAAATGTTATTTCATCTCTTATACTCTATATAGTTTTTTATAATGTTAATTATTTTAAGCTAAGAAACTAAACTTCTCTAAATATTTAGTTTTTGTTGTATCAATACCATCTTCTCCATAAAATAATTAAATTAATGATCCATCATTATCTCTAACTGTTAAATCATATTAAACAATCAATCCTTCTAAATGTTTTATTAGACATCTTTATAAATATCCACTTCTACTTGTTTTTACAGCTGTGTCAATTAAACCTTCTCTACCAGCCATACAATGGAAGAAAAACTCTTATGGTCTTAATCCTGTCAAAAATCTATCTGCCACATAACCACCTGCTCTTGGATTAGGATCATATGGTAAAAATGAAGGTAGAGATCTACCTGTTGGCATTAAAGGTACTCTTCTACCTTCTAATTCTTGTTATCCCAAAAGTGCAGATACTTGTGAATGATTCACATTACTTCCTTTGGCACCTGTCATAGTCATCATTGAAAATAAGTTTAATGGGAACAATTTCTATAATCCTCCCAAAGTTGAACCTACTATTTCTGAAGTTACTTTAGTCATTGCTTTCTTATATTCTTAATCTAAAGCCTCTTCTTAATGTTTTTCTATTAATATTTTTTATCTTAATGCTTCATAAATTTGATGATCATATGAGAAATAATGAACATCTTATTAGTATTTTGGATGATTGTATTATCCATTTTCAAATATAAAATTTGATCTATTAAATAAATTAATTGATTCTGGTATTTATGAATTATAACCACAATATTCAGCAGCTTACTTAACACCTTTCTTTAAATTCTCTTCTATTAATACTCTTCTTTTTTCATCATGTACTTCATCTACTATAAGATCATCCATTCCACATGTAAACCCATGATATTATAAATATGCAGCAAAGAGACGAGCAAAACCAGTTAATAATTATCCTGTCATCTTAGGTCCATATAATTCATGAAAAGCATGCATCATACCATAATCTGCACCAGAACCAACTTAATTTTTATCTACAATTCCCAATAATAATTCATTGTCTTTTATTAATACTTATATATCATCTGATGCCATTCCTGGTAATTCTTTAGATGACAATTTACATTTTGACTCAAGATTTAATCCAATATCTGGATCATATCCATTCAAACCAACTATAATTTTGATAATATTGCTTATCAATTACTTACCAGTCCATAATTATTTTGGTTTAAGAATTGCAGGTTGAACTAATTCAATCTTTTAACTGTTTTTCTCAAATAAACTCCAAATTGATGTGTAAATTAATTACATATATTATTATTTTGTAAGAAATGTATCTCTTAATGTTAAAAATACACTACTTACAATCATATCTTGCATCAATTCTCTCAATGGTTTACCATTTGTTTATGATATATATTGATAATCATTTAATGCAATATTATAACCTTCAGCTCTTCCAATCATACTTTAAATAAAATGAAGATTCATTTCATCACCATCAAAATCTGCATTATATGATTTACAATTTGCATAATGAAATCTAATTGTTTATTCATTTGGTAATACTCTTACAATATGTCCCATAATACTAGGTTTATGAAGACTTGGTTATCTATTAAAAAGCATTACATCTCCAGTTCTTAAATGTCTCCATACAACTTTATTTTCTCCACTTCCTAACTCTCTTACAATTGCCATTCTTTATTATGGTGTTAAATATTCAAGTGCAATTTTCTTACCATCCTCTTAAAAATACAATGCTCCTGGATAAACAGGTCCATTCATAATCAAATCAGCCACATATTATTAATTTAATGAATTTACATTCTCTGGTATAATTAATTTTCTAGCTAATACTGTTGGAACTCCTACTTCATTAGTACTCAATAATGGATCTGGTGAAATTACTGATCTACAAGCAAAATTAACTCTTTTTCCCATCATTTTCATTCTAAACAATCCTTATTTTCTTTCTAATAATTATTTTACTCCAGGAGTTTCTCTATTTTATTTATTTTAAGCTCTTTCAGAATTCACTAATCCAACTACACAATCTTAAAGTTCTAACCATTTCTACATTATAGTATCTAATCTTATAATTTTCTTTAAATTATTTTTCATATGATCTGATTATTTCAATGCTTCCATACTGCTTTATGTTTAAGCAGGAGCATTTGTCATATTAGTTATCAATACTTTTAATTCTTAATTGTATTCCAAAATTCTTGTATAAGTGACAGTATGACCATGCAAAAATGTTTGATCATTTACCTTATTTTCAGGTCTATATCGATTAGCTGGAACAATTAATACTTCAATAAAAAAATTTTCAGGAGAAATCTTTTTTAATTCATATCCCTTTTTTGCATTCTTTAATGTGTTAGCATTAACATAAATACTACCATATATATATTTTAATAAATCTTAATCCCAACGCCATAATTAATGTATATGTTCTGAAATTTCCATTGGATTTAAATAATGATTTTTCTTTTTATTAGAACCTTATTATTGTTAATCATCTTAAGTATCCTTGTTTCCTTTTTCACTTTTTTCCATTAAAAAGAATTTACTTACACCTTCCTTTCTGACATTCGGTGAAACTTTATTGCAATGAGGACATTTTTTATTGATATCTTTGAAAAATTATTTTGTCAAAATTTTAAGTTCTTGTAATATGTGACTAGTTTAATTTATTCCATCAATATATTCAGATTGATGTTTTTTTACTTATAATATATCAAGAATTTCTTAGATTTATTATTTAACATCCTCAATATCTAAGAATTCTTAAGGTGCTGTTTCTTAATCACTTTGCATTTTATTATCACTTCCTTTCCTATGATCGCTTCCTTTTCTTGATGTATCAGTAGCAGTTATAGATTATTTCCTATTATCTGATGCATTCTTAGTTTATTTGTTGAGTCTCACTTTTGTCATGTATAGCTTTTAATACTTTTTCATTTCAATCAATCTCCCTAACCTTAGTAACTTAAAATTGTTTTTATAAAACTTTTTTCTATCTTTTGTTATTCTTAACTTATGGCAATAATAGCATTTTGATCTCATTAAACTCATTAGCTAATTTACTAAATATGGATTGTAAACAGGAAGTAGCAATTCAATATGGCCTACATGTCCTGTACAATCCATGTTCTCTTAACCACATGTTACACATCTTGTACCTCTTTCATGTGGTTAAACTCCCAAAGCAGGATCATAAAGACCACCTCGAATGGGATGATTGAGTTTATCAAAAGCTTTGGGATTTGATATTTCTTTAACACTCATTTCTCTTATTTCTTTTGCTGTATAATATCCAAAATGAACTGACTAAATTCTTTTTGTAATCACAGATTAATCAGTCAGCATTAATTAAATTTTATTATATAACTAATATATAAATATATACATATTTATCACATAATTTTTTTAATGCTAGTTAATCATCTTTAATACTAAATATCATTATTAAACCTAAATTTTATAAACGATAGCTTTTTATAAATATCAGTTCAATTTGTAATTTCTAATACATTACGTTAGCAAAATATTTATATTTTACTTACTAACAATATAATTATGAAATAATTAATATTAAATTTTAGATATTTATTACATTATGGCTAACCAATTAGTGCTATCAAGATAAGTTAGTGAATAACAGATAATGGATTTATAAATTTAAGCTATAACCCAAATGTGTAATTTTCATAAAATGAGGCTAGGAACGATAATACATTCAATGCATTAAAAAAGTTCCTAATTTATAGAGGAAAGTCTCCAATTAGTTGAGTAAGAAGTATAAAATCATTCATATTGGTCATTAACTTCATAAACAATTAAGAAAGTTAATTAAAATATTGAAAACTTAGAGGCTCGATTAAAGAATGAAATAAACATAGAAAAAAATAATTTATCATACTAAATTAAACTGATTTCAGAATAAATACGAGAGTTCATCTAAAATATCATTTCAATAATAAATTAAGTAACCGTGAGCACTACAGAAATTACTGAAAAACTTTTTAGAATTCTTAAGGAAATTGAAGAACTTTTATTTAGAATGGAAATGGTAATAAATTCTAATAGAAACTCTCTTTCTCATTTTAATATTTCACTTGCTATCTCAGTAATTCTACTTGAAGTTAGTTGTGAATGGGCCTTTGGAAAAAAAATGAGGAATATTTTAAAAGGAGTAACAGAAATTGCTTTACCATTTATATTTGCAGCAAATGCAAATAAAAAATTATAAAGGCAATTTAATGATTTAAAATGTTTATTTGAATAATAAAAAAGATTAATTGATTAAAATGTTACCAAAAGTATTTTTGAAATGAACATAGCTATGGATGGTGTAATCAAAACCTTTTTAACCAATATAAAAAGACCTAATTTAAATAATTAAAGAGCCATAGCCTGGCTAGATAGTCACATTGAAAATTATGGAAATTCTTAATTGGCTTAAAGAATTAGAAATTGTTTTCCAAACATTTAACATTGTCATTTTACAAATGATCATCAAAGCCTTATAAATTTTTTAAATGAAAATTACATTACTTTTTTGATCATATAAGGATCTATTGCAAATGAAACTCTACATATGCTGTTAACATACCCTAATATTCATTCAATTCTTATTTATTGTTAGTTTCCTGAGAAATATGAGGATCTAATACAAAAATTTAAATAAATTGTTTTTATCACAAACTAATAAGATGAAGTGATTGCAGCATTAAAAAAAAGCTTAGCACCTTCTTTAATTTTAAGAGAAATTAATTTATACTAATTTCCTAATTATTTTTAATAGAATGCAGCACTTTATTATCTTTCTGAGGAATTTTCGTTGAGTAGTATTCCTTAACTATCTAAAGATGAAGCACTTAAAATAATTAAAGATACAATGTAATATGTGCCAAATACTGTGTATACATTATCTGAAGAGGCTTAAGTTGAATTAGCTCTTTAAATTCATGAGAAATTTAAAAATGGGCAAATTGAGGATATAATTAATCTCTATACAGGTCCTAGTGGATTTTTTAAATTTATTAATAGAATTCTATAAAGTTTAAATGAAAAGGCAATTTTAGAAGCATCAGTGATTATACAATCATTAAAATACAGTTTAGAAAAATATTAAGACAATATAGACCCAAATTTATTTATTTCGAGTGAATTTTTCCTATACAGAGGAGTAGATTGTACGATTGAAGCATTTAAATTGAAGCATAAGTTATATGATTTAATGATGTTTCCTGCATTCACTTCCACTAGCAGAGATTTTGCAATAAGTAAATCCTATGCTAAGGATTTGGGCATTATATTTAGAATCTCGTTCAATGAAAATAATTTAGATGACTCTCATTTTTAGATGGTCAGACCCAAAGCTATTTATACAGTTTCATAATTTTAGAATGAATAAGAATATTTATTTTCTTGTTTTTCGTGCTTCATAATTACAAAATTTAATGAAGATAATATCATAGATATAGAATTTGTTAAAATTTGAATTGATTTGATCAAATAATTAGTTAGTATATTTATTGTATTTTTAATATGTGTGAAATTTCTAATCTCGAATTACATTAATCAAGGCTAATCTGCCTTATTAACTTCAGCTTTAATTAAATTATTATAATTAATCCAGGATTTTGGCTTTATCAATTTTTTCAATAAGATAATTAAGTTTGTCATTTTTCACAGTTTAGTTTTTCTTTGTATATTATTAATTATAATCTGCAATAATTTTTTAATCAAAAGCAAAAAAACAGTCAGAGGGTTAAGTATATATATTTGAACATTTTTTTTTTTGATTTATTTATTGGGTTAGAGATGAGTTTATCAAATTTCAAATGTAATCTTCTATTTAATTAAAAAATTTTTATTTTTTATGATAAAATATTTTTATTTAAAATATATTGTATAATACTTATAGAAGCAAAATCTTATCAAATTTTAATATAATGGATTAGAATACTTCATTTCTTAATAAACAATAATGCACCCTTAAGTAACAGATTAATATAATTTTTTTCAAAAATTTAATCAAATCAAAAAAATATAAGAATCTATAAAAAAACTTAGTAATATTAAAGCAGTTGAATTGAATAGAGAAGCAAATTAAATAAATTTAAGAATCTAGATAATATATTTATAAAATACCTTCTCACGTATTAAAATTTAATTTATTTTTTGTTTCATTGAAGATGAAATAAATAGCATATTTAAAAACTATTTTTCAGTAGGTTAAGTCAGCATTTATGCTTACATCTAAATATTAAGAAATAATATGGAATCTAATCGTATTTTAATGAATTTATAGATATTTAAGAAATCGCCTCTCATTGTTATGATAAAATGAACAATTTAATGATTATTGAAATTTGGATAAAAGGAAATCAAAAAATCAAAAATTTGTTAGTTCTTTAAACATACTGATCAAAAGCTTCTCCTCTCTTTTTTTTCATGTGAGCTTCTGTAATAGGTATTGTCACAAATTCCATTGCACAAAATAGGACTATAGGACCAATCAAAGCGCAAACACTTAATCCATCATATATTGCTGACAATCCAAAACATCCCCAAGTTATAAGATCAAAAAATAAATTTGGATGCCTACTTTTTTTCCAAAATCCTGTGTCCATAATTTCTGTCTTTGGTATTAAACCTTATTGCTATAACTTTTTAAATTTCTCCAATTGTATATCTATGTATATTATTTATCTTTACCTGCAATTGCTTCTAAACAAATACTAAAAGGTATAATTGACAATGCAATATAATTCATAATCTACAAGCCCTAAAAATTTTCTGATTTCCATGTAAGATTATTTTAGAATAAGAAATATAATGGAATGCTAGTCACAAAAATGAAGACACCTTGAAAAAGAAATTGAACCAAAACCATCAAATTTTTTTTTAGTCTGTCACTGTTAAATTCATTAAAAATATTCTCAAATCGTTCATCTCGGTATCCTCCTATAACTCTATAAATAAAAACAAATCCAGCCAACCTCATAGACCATAACACTACAAGAATAATATTAATCTGAAAATCTATAACAATATTTACAATCTTTGAAGGAAGTGGTATCTCTGAAAATATGCAATAAATTATTCCTGCAACTAAATGACTTGTTGGATAGGCTACATCAACTATGCATATCTGATCTCCTGCAATTTTGTAAACTATAAAAAACAACACTTAGTCAATAAGAATAGCAGGAAGCCCCCAGCTCAATGCAACCTCTACAAAGTCAATCATTCCTAAATAAATTATTAATCTTTGAATAATTTAAGAATTGATTAATATATGAAAATATATATCAGATAAATTTCATAATTAGAAAAAAGTTCTTCCAATTAACAACATATTTAAATTTTATTACTAAGATTTTTAATATAAAACATTTTTTCTTGAAATTTACAATTCCCTAATAACAGTTTGTAAATGGTGTAATTCAATTGAATAATTTATATAATAATAATATTTACAATCTAAATGTTATAATATCTTGGATATTTTGATTACAAATTTTTGACAGCCCCATGTTTGCTGTCTAGTTGATCTACTCAATTTTAATATTAGGAATTTTAGATTAGTCTTAATTTTAAATGGAATAAAGAAAGTATTAATTAGAAATATTTGTATGCTTTTATGCATTTCAAAAGTTTATGATTTGAGAAAAATTAAAACTTTAAGTTCATTTATGTAGACTGAACCAGATAAAATATTTTTCTGCTTTGTATTCAAATTTCAAAAATTAAATATATACATAGAAATGTGAAAAATGAAAAAAACTATTTTTCTTAAGAAGTTAAGAAAATTAAAGATGGAAGATTAGGAAAGATGAGAAAATAATAGAATTTAAGTTTTCAGTAAGAGTAAAATTAATGTTTAAAGAAAATTAATAGAAAAAGATTTTATAAAATTTACTAATATCCTACAAATATCAGGTTTTCTAATTTTATTCTAATTTAAATCATTAGATGTTAATTTGACAATGGCAAAATATAAAAATGAATTTATAGAAAATTTCATGATAATATTCTATTATTTTAATCTTACATTTAATACGTCATAATTTAACCTGCTCTTATTTTCTCATAATTATTCTCAACATATAATATCTAGGTAGAGATTCTTCATCTTGGAACCAAGAATCCTTTTATATTGTATTAATTATTAAAGCAAATATATTTAAATAGTAGATATTAAATGGATTAAAAAAAGAATTGTACCTTTTTCTTTATCCTGATTCTCTCGTCAATAGTCAGAAAATTACAAATAAATGCGTCTATGGACATCTATAAAGGAAAGCAGACTGTTAAAACTCAGGCTTTTGCTTTTGGTAAAATGATGTTTGTTTTCTAAACCTGGTGTCCTTTAAAAAGAAGGGGAGGAAACAAAAGAAAAATGCTAGGTTTTTGCAGAAGAAGACTGTAGAGTTCAAACGTAATGCAGATTTTATTAGGGCTATTGCTAAACCTTTGTAAATTGTAAGATCTTCAGTAAAGATAATTGTTAATATGGTTATTGCATTTGGATTTAAAAAATGGAAAAAAAATGTTTAGATATAAATTCTTGTGAAGAACTTCCAATCTATTTAAGGAGTTACCATGTGCAAAGAAGATCTTGATGGCTATACTGTAGATGATAAAGGTCATGGATGTATAAAATTAAAAGAATTACGTTCGTAATACTAATATGATTTTCAATGTTTTAAAAGTAATTAAAAGTTAAATTGTTGTTTTTGAGATTATAAAAATGAAAAAAGTGTTGAAAAAATTTGTGAAAATCTACCTTTTACTTAAGATTATGAATGCAAATCTTATATGAGTGAATGTACATCAAATGGAAATCATTCTATCTTAAGAAAATACTGTAGTGATGCTAAAAATAAATTCGGTTGAAACAAATGTTTATTTCTTTAAAATTAATGTAAAATCAAGACTTGTGATATTGCTTTGGACTCATTTACAACAATGTTAAAATTATGATAATTTATTGGATTGTGTTACCTCTGAAAATGAAGGATGTAAATAAAGACCACAATCATGTGAAGTTTATGTTGGTTAAATAGATTATTATTCAATAGTATAAGAAGATTGCATATGGTATAATAATAAATGTGTATAAAGAGAATGTTAATATGCTCCAGATTATTATGGCCAAGTGGATTGTAGACAATATGGAAATTTTATAGGAAAATTAATTGGTGGATGCTAAGATTCACCAGATAATTTTAATTAGATTTTAGAAGAATAATTTTGTGAATTTAATTATAGTAAAGAAAAATGTAATTGGTTAGATGGGAAATGCACACTATTCGAATGTATAAAATTAAAATTGCCAACTTATAAAAATCATTAAATTTGCTAAAAGTTTAGTCCATTATGCACATTTCACTTAGAAGTTTTAGGGTGTGTAGATAATATATGTGAAAATATTACTGAAATAGAATATTGTTCAGTTGATTCAAAAGGAACTATTTGTGCAATCAATTAAGAATTTATTGATAAAAAATGTAAAACAGCTCCAATAAGTTATGATAGCAACTAAAAATGTGAATAGTGGTTGCCTTATTGCACAGTTAATTTGTAAAGATTACAAAATTCAAATATAACGGTTAGATGTGTTGATAAATAAAATAAATGTGAAGTTGCTCTTAAAGAACAATGTTATTCTACAATCTCAGGTATTAATTGCAAATGGGACAGCATTAATCAAAAATGTATATATAAGGTGTGCATTGATGCAGATCCAAATTTATATTTAACTAATGAAGATTGTAATTCATTTGATGTTTTACAGGGAGCTTGTATAATTAAGTCTTCTGGTTTTGGATGCGAATAATGGCCAAATAATTGCGAAGAGTTGATAAGTGAATTTTAGTGTAAATTAAATTTATAAGATGAAACCAAGTGTTTTTGGACTGGTAGTTTATGTAAAACATTAGAATGTTCAGATGCTTCTAAAATTAATTATACTAATAATATTGAATGCAATATCTGGTTAGATTATTGAATATATAATTCAATTTCTGGAGGGTGCATGAATAGACCTATGTCTGTTGATTGTTCATCATCACCTAATAATAAGATGTATGATACACATCAAGAATGTTAAGCATGGAATCCTAAATGTACTGTTATTTCTTCCTTTAATCCAATAGGATGTGAATTAAAGAAGGCAAACTGCTTTGAATACATAAGGCAAAGAAACTGTAAAAAAATTTTTTAGGGCAAATATTGTTATTGGAGTGATGCTGAGTAACAATGTTTTGATGAGTTTGATGATAATTATTTTTATTAGAGAATATATGGAGATTTAACACATCAAGATTGTGAAAACTTCCTTTCTAAGTGTACTATAAATAACATTGTTAGTGATTGTTAGTCTCTTTCAAATTATTGTGATTATGCACTTGAATAATAATATGTGATAACATTATCTTAATAACCTTGTAGATGGGATTTAATTAATCAAAGATGTAAAGATGTAACTTGTAGGGAAAATTTAACTGCTTAAACTGAGGCAGAATGTTTAAATTTTAGAAAATTTAATGAATGCCAATTAAAAATGTAATCTAATGGAACTTATGGAGTAGGATGTGAGTTAAGACCAATTTCTTGTGGAACTATTACAAATCTCTAGTATATGTAAATTAACTCTTACATAATTAATTTTAATGTTAAGTTTTATGAATTAAATTATTTTGAAATAACTTTACCATCAGATCAATGCGATTCTATTTAAGATAGTAAAAGTAATGAAGTTTGTTAAATCTATAATCGCTCTTGTATCCTTTAATCAGGAGGAAACGGATGTTAAACTATGAACAGCTGCCAATATTCTTCGAATAATATTTGTAGAAGAGAAATCATGTAATTCAATCGCAAGAGCAGATATAATGACTCTTGTTAATCTGATACTTATTGTTCCAATAACAATGCACAATACTTTTGTAATGGATTGGCAACATCATTAGGATAATTATGTTACACCTACACTTTTTGTCTTGATAGTAAATGTATTTATTATTGCTATTTATAAACTGCATCTAAAAATATATCATTTGATTCAATTACATCATTTTAAGATAAAAACTAAGTATGCTAAAACTATTCATCAAATTACAGATATGATAATTGCAATTGCTATTTATCAATGAGTTCATGAAATTAACAAATAGGTGGATAAGAATTGTGTAATAAATCAGTTGTTAATTCATAATAATGTGGATACAATTTCTCTCATAATACTTGCAAGTCCAGAAAATTCGAACATTTAACTTATTCAAATTATTCTGTCATAACGGATAAAATTTGTAATGATTGGAGATATGACTGCATCCTTGATACTATTGGTTGTACAACTCTCACAGGAAATTGTACATTAATAAAATTAATTCATTAATTTTATTAATATTAATACTCTTGGTAAGCTGGTAAATGTGTAAATGTTATTGATTGCCAAATAAATGCGACAGCTATCACAAATTACGAATGTCTCTTAGAAAATGCTGATTATTGCAGATTGAATTATACTAAAGGCATAGGATGCACTTTTTATGATTGTAGTTCTATTTAAAATTAAATGATATGTATACTTAAATTTGGATATAATTAGTCAAATCTTGCTGATGGATAAAATTGTATATGGATAAATGATAAATGTCATTTTAAATTATGTTCCGATTTTCCTACATAATTTGACTGTGAGAATAGTCATGTTAGGGTTGGCCGTCCACAATAATAAATAAATGTTTTTGGTGTGAACATTAAATTGTAAAATGTTCTAATAACAAATTTTGTAGTGTAAATGTCAGATTGCAACAATAGACTTTTTACAACTACCATTCTTTTTTAAACTGATCACAAATGTATAAAAAAACAATAACTTTGTTCAGACTACACCTACATAGATGCTTGTGTAAAACAAGCATTTGGAAATATCAGGATGAAGAATACTTCTTTGATTGGAGGTAATTTTGTAAGGTGTAATTTGAATGGTATAGAATTTGAGAATGTGGATATCAGCGGAGTCAATTTTAATGGAGCTTAGATGTTGAATTGTAAATGGAAGAACATAAAAGTCCATGAATTGAATAGGTTGGATGGCCATAGTAGTTGTGTTAGATCAGTCTGTTTCTCTCCTGATGGAAATACATTAGCTTCTGGTAGTTATGATAACTNTAATCGCTCTTGTATCCTTTAATCAGGAGGAAACGGATGTTAAACTATGAACAGCTGCCAATATTCTTCGAATAATATTTGTAGAAGAGAAATCATGTAATTCAATCGCAAGAGCAGATATAATGACTCTTGTTAATCTGATACTTATTGTTCCAATAACAATGCACAATACTTTTGTAATGGATTGGCAACATCATTAGGATAATTATGTTACACCTACACTTTTTGTCTTGATAGTAAATGTATTTATTATTGCTATTTATAAACTGCATCTAAAAATATATCATTTGATTCAATTACATCATTTTAAGATAAAAACTAAGTATGCTAAAACTATTCATCAAATTACAGATATGATAATTGCAATTGCTATTTATCAATGAGTTCATGAAATTAACAAATAGGTGGATAAGAATTGTGTAATAAATCAGTTGTTAATTCATAATAATGTGGATACAATTTCTCTCATAATACTTGCAAGTCCAGAAAATTCGAACATTTAACTTATTCAAATTATTCTGTCATAACGGATAAAATTTGTAATGATTGGAGATATGACTGCATCCTTGATACTATTGGTTGTACAACTCTCACAGGAAATTGTACATTAATAAAATTAATTCATTAATTTTATTAATATTAATACTCTTGGTAAGCTGGTAAATGTGTAAATGTTATTGATTGCCAAATAAATGCGACAGCTATCACAAATTACGAATGTCTCTTAGAAAATGCTGATTATTGCAGATTGAATTATACTAAAGGCATAGGATGCACTTTTTATGATTGTAGTTCTATTTAAAATTAAATGATATGTATACTTAAATTTGGATATAATTAGTCAAATCTTGCTGATGGATAAAATTGTATATGGATAAATGATAAATGTCATTTTAAATTATGTTCCGATTTTCCTACATAATTTGACTGTGAGAATAGTCATGTTAGGGTTGGCCGTCCACAATAATAAATAAATGTTTTTGGTGTGAACATTAAATTGTAAAATGTTCTAATAACAAATTTTGTAGTGTAAATGTCAGATTGCAACAATAGACTTTTTACAACTACCATTCTTTTTTAAACTGATCACAAATGTATAAAAAAACAATAACTTTGTTCAGACTACACCTACATAGATGCTTGTGTAAAACAAGCATTTGGAAATATCAGGATGAAGAATACTTCTTTGATTGGAGGTAATTTTGTAAGGTGTAATTTGAATGGTATAGAATTTGAGAATGTGGATATCAGCGGAGTCAATTTTAATGGAGCTTAGATGTTGAATTGTAAATGGAAGAACATAAAAGTCCATGAATTGAATAGGTTGGATGGCCATAGTAGTTGTGTTAGATCAGTCTGTTTCTCTCCTGATGGAAATACATTAGCTTCTGGTGGTTATGATAACTCTATCCGTCTATGGGGATAATAAAAAGCCAAATTAGATGGTCATACTCATTATGTTATGTCAGTCTGTTTTTCTCCTGATGGAAATACATTAGCATCTGGTAGTTATGATAACTCTATCCATCTATGGGATGTCAAAAACAAGTATTGTTCAGATTATAGATTTAAAGAAATTTAGGTTAAAAGTACAAGATATCCTTTTTATCCCTTTGCAGTAAAAGAATATTATTTAAAATTTAGATACATCAAATATAATGGTTTACCCAGACTTCAATTTTGTATAGATTTGAGAGAGTTTTTTATAAAAAAC